GACAACATTCAGACCAATATCTTTATTTCTGAATTTGAAGAATTCTGTAAGGAAGTTCCAACAATTAACAAACGCTTTACTAAAATTGCAAAATTCAAGTGTACATCTACAAGGCACACAAGCCACAGATGATCCATCATATTGGTTTTCTCCTAGCATTATTTAACGTAAATGTTTGCCCAACTAGAACGAATTCTTAGAAAGAAAAAAAAATAATACTGTGTCCAACATATAAAGTGGTAGGAAATCATAACTTGAATATCGGTCTTCCAAAAATTACAATCGTACTCATATATCGTTTCGTGATTCTTTCATACCGACCTTTTACCTTACTAATAATAAATCTATATAGTTTCACACCTGGAAAGTTGAAATCATTGTTTAAACATACGGATCGTACTTGCGGCTTTATTTGACTTGTTTAGTTGTAAATAAGCATCAATTAAACATCTGAAAAATTCTCAATGTCCCTTGAACTCAAACGTCGAAAGCACCAGCACCATCCGCCAATCTTTTAACCGATTGCTATTCGCACTCAGCCTAAAAGGCTCACCCTTATTAGTTATTAGCATACAAACACGGCAATAATTTTCTGTGTCATAAAAATTAGCCTTACCTAACCTTTTATTCAGGAAGTCTCTTTGTAAAAGTATATGCAGCTTTCTTATAGCAGTCTTGATGGCTATTCTCTTTTTACTTTATTTGAAATTTTGAAATAAAGTAATTATTCCAAACTTAGCTATGCATGCTCATGTCTTTCCTTGAGCCATTTCAAAAGGACTGTTTAGGCCCTTCATTGTTAGCATATTTGTATCCCTGTGCGAGAACCTTAGAGGGCTTAAGTGGTGACGTCACAAACAAACATTTTAAGAATTTTTTCGGACCCCTTAACCAACAAAAAAAGAGCATCACGAAATACCTCTAAACACGTGCAAAATCAGTAAGAAGTGTGTTACGAATTGGCTGCAGAAATGGCTACATAAGAACAGGCTGCTAAAATGATAGTAATCCGTTAGCAAACTCCAAATCTATTGTTGGTCAATGGTCATACCTCACCCGAAAGTTGGCACATTTGAAATTTTAAAAACGAGGATCTTATGTGTAGGTGCTTTTTCGGTGAATATTCAACACAATCGGCAAATAAAGGTTGTCACACTCAGGGGTGTAATGATAGGGGGGCTCAGTTGTTCATTGAAAATGAACATTTTTATGTTCCTTTTATAATTTGAGACCAAGAGATTGGCAAAGCTGGTATCACTTCACTTCTAGTTGACGGCTGCATGACGCTTTCGATTCAGAGGTGGCGCCAGGAATCTTCCGACAGAGGGGCTGGAGCTTCCAACAGAGGGGCTGGAGCTTCCGACAGGGGGGCTTAAATGACTAAAATAAGCAGTTTTCGTACGTTATTTTGTCAAATTTGCTCCGACAATAACCTAAAATTTCCTCCTATGGGGGGCTAGATGCTCCCGACGGAGGGGCTGTAGCCCCCCCCAGCCCTCCCCTGGCGCCACCACTGTTTCGATTACTTCGCGTTCTTACTTTTCGTCTTCTGCTTCTCCATTTGGGTCACACAATAAAATTTTGTGTCATTCATTGCTAATGTCTCATATGTATGAAGGTATTCGTTAGTGTCGATGTACTCATTCGCAGATATTTTTAACACAATCAAACTTTCATACTGTGTTCTATCACACCCCTCCCTACCCTGGGTACCAGACTTACCTAGGGTAACCCCTACCCCAACTTTCAAAGAGCTCATCGGTAGAATTTTATTTATAACAAAATAATTTTATGCTAAATAAAATTCCTGTCGGTAACATATGGTTTTAGACCCCCCTCCCTCTTGTTTTCATCTAAAAACTTAGAAAAAGGCGTCTTTCTATATGACTGTCGAAAGAAATTCGGTTTAAATAAGTTTGTGCATCTGTGCATTCACGGTAAAACAAATTTCGACTGTGCACCAAACCATACAGTGCTATATCGAGTCGATCATACCATACTGCTGATATGCATCAGCTTGTGTACTTTATTTTCAGGGCTTTTTTGTCATACTTAGGGGGGCTTGTCCCTTTCTTTATATTCGCAAAGGTTCGCCCCCGCAGCTACAATCCTTGCCAAAAATAACTGGAACGCCTTCCCATTGCAGCATGCAAATAAACATGTCATTCATTGATGTCACTGTAGTTTGATGACTTTCTAAATATTTGGAAGCCAAAACCCTGAAAATTATCTTTCAAGTAGACGAAAGGATAAGGCTCTGTAGCACCTATCATTATGGTTAAGTTCCCTTTTACAGCTAATTTGTTGATTAATTCTGTAAAAAGGTAATAGAAAACAAGGTTTCTCTTCAGAGGTTTGCGTTTCAACCGCCAGTGAAGGAAGACTACAAAAAATCATTACATTGCAAAAATTCTCTATCCAGTGGAAGATAATAAATCTGTATCAGACTCTGTATCAATAGCAAGATATTAAATTTTTTAAAGTTCTTCAATTCCATTATTTAAGTTCATCAGTATCCTTACTTAAGTTTTTCAATATCCTTACTTAAGTTCTTCAATATCCTTACTTAAGTTCTTCAATATCCTTACTTAAGTTCTTCAATATCCTTACTTAAGTTCTTCAATATCCTTACTTAAGTTCTTCAATATCCTTACTTAAGTTCTTCAATATCCTTACTTAAGTTCTTCAATATCCTTACTTAAGTTCTTCAATATCCTTACTTAAGTTCTTCAATATCCTTACTTAAGTTCTTCAATATCCTTACTTAAGTTCTTCAATATCCTCACTTAAGTTCTTCAATATCCTTACTCAAGTTCTTCAATATCCTTACTTAAATTCTTCAATATCCTTACTTAAGTTCTTGCCTTCAAAAAACAGGCAACGACCTCCTTCGCTTCGCTCAGTTGACAAGCCGACCTTAACTCGGCATTGCCCACCAGGGGCGCCGCTAAAGGAGGGCACTTTCTCCCCAAATTTTGTCTATCGGCCCCTTATTTTTGTTCTCACCCTGTAGTATAATCTTTTTGAAAAAGTTGTAACGTGCTAAAATTTCTATAGCCGCTAAACTTTCAAAGTATGCACTACAAAATCTTCAAATTGAAATTTTAATGATTTAACTCTGAATAATAAAATATAAATAAATAAAAGCTGCAAATAAAATTACTTATTTTATTTATGACCACACCCAAAAAGAGTGAGACACGCCCTTTTGTCGGCAAAAAGCAATACTTCCCCAACGAAAAAACTTTTTGGCTATGCCCCTGTTGTTGCCCGCCCCGCCCACCTTTTCAGTGCTGTCTTTCAAAGAAGTTTTCTCAGTTCTTTGTAATTCAATTCAACTTCCAACCAGGAAACAAAAAAGTGGATCGCAAAAATGCAGTCTTGTTAAAATCCACTTCTCAAATCCCGAAGAATCTACCAAAGTATGTGGATGTGGAACTGAAGCTTTTATCATTCGTCGAAGTACACGAAACGAGTAATTATGGCGTACACGAGCGCTGGATATTTTTCCGGACCACCGCCTTACAATCATTACAATCATCAGCTTGGAGACACTGGCGTGTTTGTTGTTAATCAGCAGCCTCAGTCAAGAAGGCAATTTCAGTTTCCTATCAGCTTTCCACCTAGACCTGTTTTGGTGGTGTCGATCGCGCAGTGTATCATTGGGTCTCTGTATTTCATATTTGGCATTGTCAACATTATTGTGATCCCCTACTTCACCTCATATATTGCGTTCCCAGTATGGTGCGGTCTTGTGGTGAGTTGTTGTCTCAATCTTTGGGAATTCAAATTCAATTCATTCAACAACAAAATATATAAAAGTTTAAAAGTATACAAATGCTAACTGGTGGTGGGAAAGTTTATTATAAGATTACAAACGGGCGCAGGGGGTCAAATGTTGCCTTTTGATAGGAGGGGCAAGGGGACCAAAGTCATTGGTTGTGCTGAGAAGTGCCTTGCCACTTTCCAATTGTAGATTCATTTTTATTTTCACAGATTCTTGCAAATGGAATTGTCGGTTGCTGTGTTTTGAAGATGAAATCAAAATGCTTGGTACGTGGAAAAACCGTTTCCAGTAAAGTCAATAAATGATAATGTTATCCAGGCTTGGGAATCATCCAATTTTTCAGAATAACATAAAGGAATATTGCTCAGCCTCTACTTGCATATTTCCTTCATATTTTTCAGTAGTTTCCTGTTTCACAAGGTTCGTAACAGATGATTGCTTTCTAACATTTCTCATTTTTCGAAAAACGTGTTTTTTTGAGAGCAAGATTTCTATTTGATGTTACCCTGAAACCATATCATATTTAAATATATAATAATAATTTAAGAATAGGCCTATACTCAGGCTCAAGACGAAAATTTCTTAAGATGATCGAGGCAGGGTAAAATTCTATAGTGTTCTTCTAAACAACAATGTAGTAGCTGGGAATTATTTTTCAAATGCCCTTTTACTCAATCCTGCTCTATTGCCCTTAGTCCTAGTTCTTAAAAAAAATGTGTAATTAATGTTTGTGTAATGTTGGTTTGTCAAGATTTATGATGACTTATACAATTCTTTTTTTAGGTATTTTTTTAGATTTATTCAAGGGGTGTCTGTTGGATTTTTTGTTATTTCCATTAAAAAGTTACAATACATAAATACAAGCTACTTACAAATTTACTTTACAATACTATTCGGACGATACCCCGAGGAGCAAAAGACTATGACTACCCCGGGGCCATAGACACAGAGGTATAGATTTTCTGCATATGGATATAGATTTTCTGCTTACCTTTAAACATTGTCCAATGTGTTATCATGAAATTTTGTTTTGGCCTTCATTTTCAAAAGCAAACCTTGATGCAAGCTCTAAATACAGAAAGATCTTGACACAACCATTTTATGCAAAGTTACTATTCTTGGAGACTATAATTGGAAGTTAAAGTTCTTTTTAAAATAAATTTTTCTCAAATTACAGTTTGGTGCATTTTGTGGCCTAAGTATAACATCCTTGATACTGACAGTAGTTATGGTGATATTCTACTCTATTTCTTTGGATTACTTCGACAATTCAAGTTTCCTTGGCCTTTCCTGCAACTCTTATGGTTACTGTTACAACTTCAGAACACTTTCAAAGTCCATTAAGGAAGCATCAATTGGTTTATTAGGTCTCCTGGTGGCGTTGATCTTGATTGAGCTTGGGTGCTCTATTGCTGCCGTTGTTTACTCATGCAAGGCCTATTCAAAATGCTGTACAACCTGCCTCGGTGAAGACTGTTGTGCCTGTGTAGGCTGCTGCGAGTGTGATGCCAGTCCATTGACTCCTCACCAGGTATGTTCCAATTTCAAACAGCTCTTGGCAAGTATGATTGTAACATGTATTTGTGGCTAATTGATAATTATAACTCCTCAAAGTATGATATTGGCAAGGACCATACTTAATTAAATTTAAATATTTATTAAGTGAGCGGTGAACAAAAATAGGATGCAAACATTGATAAAATGGCAAAAATGCTTCTTCTTAGGTCAGTGGCGGATTTAAGGGGGGGCAACTAGGGGCAGTTTCCCCTCCCTTGACGAGCTGAAGCAAGTCTGGTGCTCCTTTTTTGGAAATTGTGCCCCCCTTTTGAAAAATGAGAATCAGGTGAAAAAAGTTTCTGAGACCGATAGGTTAATTTGCTTCGAGGATTACCTCAAAGTTATGTTGTTTTTTTCCGAAAATGGATCTGAAATTGTTGTATACAGCGTACTCTCATCATCAATCTTTGAAAATTTTTCAACAACCCCACTACCAACTGCCCCTTCTTCAAGTTTGCTTTGGATCCGCCCCTGTCTTAGGTAGATCCTTGTGAGTAATCATTGTTTAAATTCAAGTTTTATAATACATTCAAGCAAAGGCAGCACAGACGGTATCCGTTGCTAAGTTAACTTGCAAGTATTCTATATCAAATTCACTATTTCTACCAATTCAGTTATTGTTATAGCATAGTAATAATAAAATAGAAATAGAAATGAATAATTTATTTACAGTTGCCAATGAGATCTAGAAATGTTTTAATCAAAAGAATCTGCTAGCAATGTTCAGTCACATGCATATGTGATTATTATCAAAAGCCTAAATTTGAATAGAAAGTTTTACACAATCTACCATCCATCATAGGAGTATAGTACGGTTAAAGCATATGGCTAAAACATGGGTCTAAAGGAGAAGACCCTCTGTCAACAAAAATATTTCTTGAAATTAATGGCTACATAATTTTTCAGTCGGATATGATTGCTTCATCCTGTTTCAAAAGAAGTATGACGTTGACAAAAAGTTTTAATGTATGATGTTACCAAAACTTGCTGTCATGAATCATGATCCAGGTTAAGTTGCTTGATATGAATATAAATTCAATTGTATGTGAATGGTTGCCACTTGGGAACCGTTGCTGTTGATAAAAGAAGATCTTAGGAAATTGTCAACAGTGCATAGAAGTAACCAAGTCTTATAATTGTTTCATTTCTTAGCTGCAGCAATTGAGCTAAACAAACTGTTTCATTGAAATCGCTTGATCTTCAAAGGCATGTGGAAAAATTTACCTCCCATGTTCCTTGTTTCCGCAAATGCCCTTAAAGAAGTCCGGTATTCCGACCCAAAGAGTGGGCATGCTAATAACATGAATGACAAATAATAATGGCATCACATATCTTTTGGTCTTTATGCATATACGTTTATAATTTGTTGTTATTTCTTGAATATTGTATTATTTGTTGCTATTTTTTAGTAACCTGGCAGAAAATTTTTCCTCAGTCACGAATAAGGACACAGAGACGCAGTTTTATGAAGTACTGCAAAATAATCCACAGAACGTGCAACTGAATTCAAGCTATGACGTCATAAATGAATAGTTATATTGATTATTATGTTACCAGAAAAGGGAAGTGGGCATGTTTAATCCCAGGAAGGGTTCCCTCCTGCTCAAATTAGTCTAACACGGGTTATTTCCAGCCCCTAGTCAACAATTTTAAAAGAAATTTGTTCCTTAAATTTTACCGTAGTAACATGTGTAAAATTTGAATTGTTTTTTCCATATAGCCATTACGGCAACAAGGTGGACAAAATTTGCAGCTACAAAACCAATTCGGGTATGGCCAATACCCTCAGACACAGCAACAGCCTCTGTTTCAGCAACTTAATGCCATGGGAGTTAAACAAGGAGATAATCCGTGCAGTGTATTACTCAATGTGATCATTAACATGCCTGGATCGTCCTATTTGGTTGACACAGCCAGATCGGGCCAAAATGATTCGCAAGTTCAGACAATGAGTTCGACAATCCATCCTAGAGATGGAATGCAGCCCAGTGGAAGCAGCCAGCATACAGCTGAGGAAGGGCAGGCAGTGAATCCAAGTGCCTAGGATTCGTATTTTTTAAATGTCACTAGTACTGTCATTGCAGAGGTTTCAAAACACCAGTCTTACTAAGTTCCAGATTAAAGTTAGGCATATTCAGCAATATTTCATTTAGCCTTATTTTATTCACAAAATCATCTATTTGGTAATAAGGCAGAATTGACACCAAATTAATTATTTATCCTATTTATTTCTTTAAGTCCATTTTTAAATTTCAAATATTTTTTTTCCTAAGGTCATTCCCTTTTACACTGTATCGTATCTCTTCTGTTTGCTGCATGTTGTTTTTTAATCTGTCAGTTGGTTATGTATTTAGAAAAAGCGAATCGTTAGTAAGTGCGAGCGTAAAGCGCCTTCTGGAAACCCTTAGTTAGCGGTAACGAAATATACTTGCTGTTAGCCTGTTACTTTTTGCGCACATTCTTATGATTAAGATTTTTAAATTCCCCTTGTAATATCGAACTGTTGTTGTTCATCGTTTTTGTATATTTTATATGTATTATCGAACAATTATGGTGCAGTGATAAATGGCCTGTCCGGATAACAGACCGATCTTGATAATCTGATTTTGGGGAAAGGAGGAACTGAGCCAGCTTACTCAATTCGAACAAATACATACAATTCTATTGCGAAGAAATATAATTCACTACCATGTAAAATTATCTAGCCCATAAGTAATGCAGTTTAAATTCATTGCTTTGTCCCTAAAATTTTGTTCACAATTTTCTCCCTTTTTCTAGGCCACGCGAGCTTGTTTATAAGCGCATATTTGTTATGTTTTTATATTGCTGATTAGTCATGACATTGTACAGTACTTCATTTACATCATTATGCACGTACATCATATACCTTATAAACACCGTGTACATCATATACATCATTTATGCATGTAATTTATTATTTTATATGCCTAATTAGCAGTCAACGCATACAATTATGATTTTGAAAATGGCTTTGAAAAAAGCAAACATTTTACGACATACTGAAAGCTTTTTCGTCTGACACTCCTCAGAGCATAAAACGTCAGAATAAGGTTTCGAAAGAACACGATGGAAAATATATACCCAGTTGTGGATCGAAATAGGCCAATCAGAAAAACGCAAGCACAAGACCGGTATAGTTGACCAATCAGTGCCACGAGCCTAAAGAAAAATTACCAATGGAGTCTAAGAGAGAAAACGAAGTCCTTCTGTCTACACAATGGCAGAGCCTGGTCGTCCTTCCATCTAGCAGTTTTGGAGTCGATCTACATAAAAACGAAAAAGCCGCCATTGTATTTCAGCCGACGTTTTCAGCTTGACGTTTTCAGCTTGACGTGTTCAGCTTGACGTGTTCAGCTTGACGTTTTCAGCGTGACGTTTTCAGCTTGACGTTTCAGCTTGACGTGTTCACCTTAACATTTTAAGTTGGAAGTTTCAGTTTACTTTTTAAGCTTGAAGTCCAAAAATACTGCCTGAAGTTTTGATGGATTTTTCACCTTGAAATTCAATGTATTTTAGTGTTTTGTGGATATAGATATTCAATTTGACGATCAATCATTAAATGTTAGCTATAAGATAACGTTTAGATTGTATTGTCGTCGGCAAACTTATAGAAGCCTCAATTGCGTTAAAAAAACATCGATGAAATTATTGAATAGTACGGTACCTAATACGGATCCTTGTGGGACGCCATATTTGACATCAAGACAGCTCGTATATGTTGATTTCAGCTTTACGCACTTTTCCATGATACTAAGTGACTGCATATGATTTGGAGGCTAGACGAGCTAAAATCATAAGCATGAAGTGTTTCTATGAGGCAGTGGCGGATCCAGCCAAATAACTGACTACCTCCGAAATGAGATAGAGGATCGACCACCCCCTTCAGACCACACCATCTTCCTGGTCACACTGCTTTCTAAAATTATTATTGACTTCCATGATTTTTTCATGTAGGCAATTTTTAAGACACACGCGACGCTTTACTGAAATTTTAAGTATCCTTACATCAACCTTGAGACGCAACAAATTATCGTTGTTATTATTCTGAGGCTGGGCATTCTAAAAAATTTACCAAAACAACAACATAGAATAAGAAAATAAGAATATCAAATATATCAAAATAGGGGAAGTTCACATTGAGTTATCTCACTCAGTGAGAAAAAAACTCAGGTTTTGTGAAATGGATAGTGATTTTGACGACGATTTTGAAGCTGCTGCCCTTGCTCTTGTTTTAGTTCAAAGATCTCGAAGATCACGTTTACGTAAACAAAATGGAAGATTTGGTTTCGGGATATTTTTAGTGTTTGGAAGCAGTATGGTCAGTTCCATAAGTTACTGCAAGAAATGCGCTTCGTGGACAAATGTTGCATTTATTTGTTTTTCCAATCGCTGCTATCTCACTAGTTCAGGATTGAATCCTATAGGAAGGGTAGAAAAGTAATATTTGTTTGAAACGAGGAGAAAAAACCCCATTGTTCAGAATGATGTAGTGCAAACTGTGATGATGCAGACGTCATAAATTGTGTTCGAGCCCTGGATGGAGATTAGCGTTCTCAACTGTTCAGTGAGATAAATATCAAAACTTTTTGATATTATTCTCACTGAGTATCTCACTGAAAATGCTCCAGTGAGAAAAAATTCAGGCGTTCACACCAGTGAGATAACAGTTAAGTTCACTGAAAAATCAGTGAGAATATCGTTATATGACTGGTGTGCATCAGGCTTTAGAAACGAAATATTTATGCATAGACCTTTCGAACAATGTATAAAACTGGTGAATTGGCTACTGTTTCGATATTCCCCGATTCCCCTGTTCCCCTATTCCCCGAATCCCCGAATCCCTGGTTCCCTATTCCCTGTTTTAGTAATAGCCAGCTTTTATCACTCGTCGAAGTACACCAACGAAACGAATAATAATGGCGTACACGAGCACTGGATATTTTCCCCGACCGCCGCCTTACAATCAACTGCTTGGAGAGACTGGCGTGTTTGTCGTCAACCAGCAGCCTCAGTCAAAAGAGAAATTTCAGTTTCCAATCAGGTTTCCACCTAGACCTGTTTTGGTGGTGTCGATCGCGCAGTGTATCGTCGGGTCTCTTCATTTCATATTTGGCCTTGTCAGCATTTTTGTGGTCCCCTACTTCACCTCATATGTTGCATTCCCAGTATGGTGCGGTCTTGTGGTAAGTTGTTGGACATCTTACTCATGTCAATCTTCGGAATTGTCCTGAAATACGTGCTGTACTATCATGCAATCTTTGTCAGTTTTTTATTTTCTCACTTTTATGTGTAGGGACTTGGGTGGCTGCAAAAAATCTTGTATCAACAATATACACTTCTGTGAAGCAGGCACTCCGCAGCCATTGGGCTAGCAGGGGCAACAGCCCCCCCCCAATTTTTTGCAATAATAGGATAGAAAATTCTTGGAAGGTGAAGTTGTTTGCATTTACACTACGGAAAGTAACCGGGTTAGCTTAACCTGGGGGGCGAACCTGGGTTAGTTTGTGTACAGTGTAAATAGGGCTTAGGCTAGGACTAAGAAAACAGGGGGAAAGGGTAATTTTTTGAAGGGTTTAAAGGGGAAATATGTTTTCAGAATTAGGGGAAAAAAATTTCCAGCGTGTTTCATCCTATGTTAAATGAGAAAATGACCAATAAAACTTAATATCAATGAAAGGCAGGCGATGATATCTTTTTAAAAGTGCAGGTCTTACGTGCTTACATGCAGTGATACCACTGTTGCATTTCCTAAAGATTGAAAACTCAATTTTAACTTATTTTTGAAGTATTTCTCATACATCTCAAGGGTCTTTGTTTTCAAGGAGAACAGCTGAGAGGTCCTTCATGATGTTTTCTAATGCTGATCAGTTTTGATGCAGGCAGAAACAAGCAGGCCCCCCTGGAATAAAAAAACAAGTTTTTTGCTATCTAGAGGAACTTCTTCAGCAAATTTCCAAACTTATTGTTCAGGCACTGCGGAGCAGGGGGTGCTGGGGGGGGGGGGATTTTTCCAAAAAATGCCAATTATTAAGTATCAAACTACCAGAAAAGCCTCTTTTTATACGGCTTTAGCCCCCCAACTTTTTTTAGACCCCCCACTTTTCTCAATACTCCACGGTGCCTGTTGTTAATTAAAGGATGACTTCAGTGGCATACCAAGGGCTGCAGCAGTGGGCGTCGCCCCCAGATATTTTTTGGGACCACGCTCTTCAAACACTCGCGAATGCGGGGAAATGCCCTTTTTGCAAAATTTTCCCCCATTTTTTTATTCATGTTAGCTACAGTAAATAGCAAAGCATTTTATAATTGTTTTTGACACAAGCATACAGTATACTACCACCCCCCCCCAATGAGTTTTACATCGTTTTGGACAAATCTCAAGGACCATATTTTAGAAAAGTGGGGGGGTCCGGACCCCCCATTCCCCCCCTTGGGTATGCCACTGGATGACTGTCAAACAATTTGATATACAAACCAGCAAAATATTTTGTTCAATTAATCATAGAACTAACAGAAGTATACTTTCAGTCTCTCACAGTGTTTTTGACAGGCAAGATTTTTTAAAAACTTTTATCTTAAACTGGAGACAGTAAAGAATTTAACATATTTACCTTACTAATCATCTATGGACTTTTCTGAATATCAATCAAACCAAACTATATGTTGCCAGCAAAGTTGTATTGATAGATAGTTTTAAGAATGCTAACTTTGGCAATTTTATTGCTTCTGATGAGAATCAAGTTAGTTTGAAATTTGCATTTCATTTGTTTTCTTCATTTATCATGTATGTGCTTAGGAGAATAACATTTCCTATATTGTAGTATTCATTCCTCTTTCACAGATTCTTGCAAATGGAGTCATTGGTTGCTGTCTTTGGAAGGTGAAATCAAAATGCTTGGTAAGTTGAAAAACAAGTTTCTAGTAAAGTCAATTAGTGACAGTGTTATTGTCTCTTGTGTATACAAAGGTAGCTAGAAAATGTATTCCAAAACTAATAACAGGTGAGGTACAAGTGGAAGGGGATGTGAGAAAAATTATTTATATAGTGCTTGAGTATATTGTAGTAATCAAGTAAAATGTTGGAATAGCAGAACCCACAAATACAAAATATGAGAGTGTAACACAGGGGTGAGCAATTAATTTTTATTAGGGGCCACGTGAGAAAGCTTAACTGTGTTGGAGGGCCAAACCAACGGTAATTTTATTATGAAAACTGTTAATTTTCTCCCAATGTATAATTCTATGATAAACGTTATTGGTAATTTTTTCACAAAGATTCCCTTGTTTTTTGCAACTTTTATTTTCGTATTGCTTTTATATACTAAATTATACAAAATCCAAAGCCTGGCTGGGTTGAGATGATTGTTCAAAATTGATTTTGGACACAAGAGTAAGTTCACTTTTAAATTTTTTTTTTACCATCTTAAGAAAAGTTAATAAAAACACGCGAAGGCAAAACCAGTGTAATATTTCCAGAATTGGTAGAGGGAGAGTCGCAAAGTCACAAGCTTGTCCTTTATCAAAACCATGTTTTTTTTAAAAATATTTGAACCAACCAATTTCAGAACAGATGTAACATATTATGTGGTTCTGGCTATATCTGGCTATTCAGCTTACCTTTGGAGATTATCTGATGTTTTTACACAGGATGATATGATTTATTTTCCTCTTCTGTTTTATTTCAAATTTTGCGGTAGCTATGGCTTATATTATTAAAGATTCCCCTGCCTCGACCATTGTGCACTTATCCAATGGATCACAACTATGCAAACCTAGAATTTTGGGTCATTTGCCACCAAAGACCGGTTTGAATATATCTAAATAGTAGCTAATATGATTGGATATTTATGCTTGCTGTTTCCCTAGATTCATATCATAAAATTTTGTTTTGACCTTCTTTATCAAATAGCAAACCTTGATGCAATTTATTTCTAAAATGGTTTGCTTTCTGTCTCAAATTACAGATTGGTGCATTTTGTGGCCTAAGTATCACATCCTTGATACTGACAGCCATTATGCTGACATTCTACTCGATTGGCTTGCGTTACTTCGTCAAATCACATTTCTTAAAGTACAACTGCTACTTTAGCCAAAGTTTTCTTGCAAATTGTTTTTACTCCAGAACACTTTCAAAGTCCACTGTGGTGGCATCGATTGGTTTGTTAAGCGTCATGGTGGCATTGCTCGTAATTGAGCTTGGGTGCTCTATTGCTGCTGTGTTTTACTCGTGCAAGGCCTACTCAAAATGCTGTACAACCTGCCACGGTGATGACTGCTGTGCCTGTGTAGGCTGCTGTGAGTGTGATACCAGTCCATTGATTCCTAACCAAGTATGTTCCAATTTCAATCAATTCTTAATAATCATGATTGTAACAAACAAGTACTTATTAACTAAGCAGTGAACAAAAATGGGATGTCAACCTTGATAAAGTGGCAAAAATGTTTCATCTTAGGTAGATCCCTGTGAGTAATCACTGTTTTTAAAATACATTCAAGCAGGTACAATACAACAGTATCCGTTGCTAAGTTTATTTGCAATAGTTCTATATCAGATCCACTATTTTCCTACAAATTCAGTAAGAGAATGCTTATGATAATTTAGAGATAAAAATAAACAAAATTTACAGTTGCCAACAAGATCTTGCAATGTTTTAATCGAAGCACACAGAAATCAAAGTTTTCTACAATCTACACTGCGACGTAGGTGTATAGTGTTGTTAAAACATAGGGTTAAAACTGGGGGTGGGGCGAGGGGGCAGTCGCCTCCAAGACTTTGGAGAACAATGGTTTTTTGTTCTAAAACAATATGGAAATGTGACGTCATCTTCTCAAAACAATAGGCTTGCCCCCACCTGTATTTGGCTAAATGTTAAAAGGATAATAGAATACTTTGCAGAGAAGAGAACATACAATTTTCTTGAAATTAACTGCTACATAATGTTTCAGTCTGTTATGATGTTGACAAAAAATCATAATATAAGATGTTACCAAAAGGCTTGATATGAACGGACCTGCAATTGTACGCTAAAGGTGACCTCTTGCGAACCATTGCTGTTAATCAAAGAAGATCTTAGAAAATTATCAACAGTGTATAGAAGGAACTAAGTCTTGTAATTATTTCAATTAAAGGCTGCATAAATTAAGCTAAACAAAATGTTTAATTGAAATCTCTTGACGTTTAAGAGGCATGTGGAGAAGTCCAATGTTCATTGTTCCCGCAAACACCCTTAATAAGTCCGGTATTCCGACCTGAACCTTTAGGGTATTAATAACATGAATGACAAATAATATTGCGTCACATACCTCTTGATCTTTATGTGTATACTCATATTATTTGTTGTTTTTTCTTGAATGTTATATTATTTGTTGTTATTTTTAAGTTATCTAACAGGCAATTCAACTTCAGCCACGAATAAGGACACAGAGATGCAGTTTTGTGAAGTACTGTAAAATAACTCCCAGAACGTGCAGCTGAATTCAAGCTATGATGTCATAAAGTAATAGTTAAAATGATTGTTATGTTATCAAAATCTGGAAGTGGGCATGTTCAATCTCAGGAAGGGCTCCTTCTTGCACATAATAGCCCGACCCGGCTAATTTTTTAGCCACTGGTTCTATTTCAATCTAAATCTTACCCGGAATTCAAGATGAAAAATTTAGAAAATGTTCAGAATTTTAAACAGTTCTTAAAAACCTTCAAGATTTACCGTAGTAACATTGTGAAGTTTTAAAATTTGAATCATTTTTTCCATATAGCCGTTAGGACAACAAGATGGACAAGATTTGCAGCTGCAAAACCAATTCGGATATGGCCAATACCCTCAGACACAGTTACAGTCTCTGTTACAGCAACTTAATGCCATCAGAGCTACACAATTAGCAAACACTTCCAGTACATTACTCAATGCGTTAATTAACATGCCTGGAGCGTCTTATTTGGTTGACACAGCCAGATCGGGCCAAAATGATTCGCAAGTTCAGACAATGAGTTCGACAATCCATCCTAGAGATGGAATGCAGCCTAGTGGAAGCAGCCAGCATACAGCTGAGGAAGGGCAGGCAGTGAATCCAAGTGCTTAGTATTCATATTTAGTAGTCATGCTTAGTATGTAAATATCACTAGCACCGTCATTGCAGAGGTTTCAAAACACTAGTTCCGGATTAAATATAGGCATATTCATCAATATTTCATTTAGCCTTATTTTATTCACAAAATCATCTATTTGGTAATAAGGCAGAAACCTCTGCAATGACATCAAGATTAAACAATTTACTTCAGTCACGTATCTAGGCTGTATTCTCGACGAAGACCTGTCTGGCGAATCAATAGCTACCACAATCCTAGGTAAAATCAATGGCATGCTCAGTTTTCTTACAGAAAGCAACATTTTCTCGACTTGCAGATTGCTAGCAAACGCACTAATTCAGCCCAATTTTGACTATGCAAGTAGTGCTTTGTTTCCATTCTTAAACAAAAGATTAACAAAAGAATTCAGACAGCTCAAAATAAATGTATCAGGTTTTGTTTGAATCTGAATAACAGAGCACATATAGGAATAAAATAATTCAAAAGTATAAATTGGCTCCCGACGAAACCGAGATTTGAACAATGAACGACTGTAAAGGTCTTCAAATTTTTTGATAATGCAGCCCAACCCTACATATAAGAGATGTCCTACCAGTTGGCCAGACCCGAATAACTCGAGGATCTAAAAACAAACTGAATCAACTTTTCTGAAAGAAAAGCATAGGGTGAAATTGCCTCCCATCAGAACTAAAATCTGCAAAGATGATGAACAGTTTCAAACATAAGATCAAAGATAAATTCTTTGAAAATCTGCAAAATGAAGAGGATAGCCCCTACATATTTTATTGAAAACCCAAAATCAGCCAACGAAAAGGTTCTAGTTAAAAAATTTCAGAATAAATTTTTTCCCAGTTTTTTTATACAAAATCCATTTTTCATGAACACATTTTTTTGATAACACCTCTGGAGGGACCATTATGGACACACACAGACACACACACACACGCACACTCACACGCACACTCACACTCACACTCACAATCACACTCACACATTGACATTATTTAATTATTTATCTTATTTATTACCTAAGGCCGTTCCCTTTTACACTGCATCGTATCTCTTCTGTTTGAGTTATTCCTGCATGTTGTTTTATGAACTCTCAGTTGGCTTATGTATTTAGAAGAAGCAAATCGTCAGTATGTGCGAGCGTAAAGCGTCTTCTGAAAACCCTTAGTTAGCGGTAACGAAATATACTTGCTGTAAGCTTGTTAATTTTTTGCGCACATTCTTATGATTAAGATTTTTAGCTTCTCCTTGTAACATTGGACTGTTAATCATTGTTTTGTTTATTTTATTCGTTTTTATGTCTTTTATGTTTTTATGTTATCGAACAATTATCGATAGATCTATTCAATAACAACATTGGAAAGTCTGTACCGACAAGTTCACCTTTGATATATACGGCAGCAGGATTATTCCAATAATTAAGTCCCCAGGATAGGTAATAAAGTAACTACAATCTTGGAAACAAGTTTTATCTATAGATTTTGCTCACAAATGAACCTTTGCTAAAACAATCACACACTAGAGCATTTTGCTGTGCCAAATGTTACGGCTGACAATTTGCTGGAGCAAAATTTCCCGTGTGCAGCGGCCATTTCGTAATCATTCATGACAATAGGTTCGAATATCAAACTTGTTTGATAATTTTGTTCCCTCGTGGCACGTTTCAGGCGTTTAATGTGTATTTGTTGCTTTTTTAAGTCGCTGAATATTTGTTTCCTACAAAATAAACTAAAAAACGAGATTGAAACACAATATTTCTAAAATAAATACAGAGATGTGAAAAAAGTCCTCTTCTCCCAACACGACCCCCTAAATTAACAGCATTTTAGATTTTATTGATTTTTTTAATCCGAGCGCTGTATTCATACTTAATTTAGATTGTATATGGGTCACTGAGGGGTTGCAACATGTATAAAGACAATTTAGTTTTCATTATAGCAGCCTATCGGTTATTTGTTAAATCCATTGAATAGAACACCCGTCTTACCCATTGGCTCTATTGTCTTACCGTGCAATGCGGAAATTTGTTTGCCTCCCTATGGTGAAATCTGAATACCTTCCCCCTGGAGAATGCTTTCATTCGCCGCACACGGAAGAAAAATGCCACGAGTAAACATGTTCTTTTTTCAAAGAATTTTCGATATTCAAACTAGCAATTGTTTGGCACTGCGCACCAGTCTAAAAGTAGGGGGGCTGAAAAGGGCGTGACCGAAGTTTTGAAATAGTTGGAAAACGCCCCTTCTAGAAAATAATTGCTTATTTCACTTATTATTTGTAAACGGTCTGATCCAGCGAAGATATCAATTACTATTAAAATAGATATAATTAGCCTCAGGGAACTTAACACCAACCTAGCCGAGTTAGAAAGAAACATATAATTAAACAAGATAAAACTCAAAGAAAATAAACAAAAATAGGGACCCCAGTCAAGAAGAACTGCTACTTTAAAACTGCCTTTGAGTGAACTTTTCAAAATTTTCTAATATTATTGCATAAAGTTGGGGAGGGGGGGCTATAGTACCTGCTAGCCCAATTAGGGGCGAAACTTCACTATTTTCAATAGGGGGCATGAAGCTTAGATGCCCGACGAAAGGGCGTGTAATGCTTGATAAACGGGGCGTGTCATGCCTGAACATCATTTTTAAGGCACATCGCCTCAAGGGTTGAAATCATCGGGGACCCCGAGAGAGGGTCACTATGTATGTCAGGCCTTCAGACTCAGGCTGTTTTTCAAAGTCAAAAAAATAGGCCTCTAGTTTTTCTGGTGTTGGCTATATTCTATGTAAGGCCTGTCTTTTCTATTAAAGAAAAATAGTCTTCACTTTCTAAATCACCTAGCTATTAAGAGAGCAATTTGAAAAAGATATGGAAGTAGGATCTCAATTTTACCACAGTGGGACAACAAAACATAGCTTTGGAATTTAGAAACAGCTACACAGACTACAATGTTTCAACAAAAATAGTAATCCCATAAAAGAGCTTTAGTTTTCTTTTCTGAGTTTTATTTTCAACTTTCGGTTGCTCCGTAAGGAAATTAAACATTTTTAGACACCCAAGCACAAAGTAAGTATCTCTGAATTCACCATAACAAAATCTCTCAAGCTTGTGCAAAGAGAAGCTTTTTTATTGGAAATACTTTACAGGTACACCTATAATCAAAGCTCAATTTTCGTGTTTTCGTAGTCATGGACATTGTTCAGAGGCAACCCCCACACCCCCATATTTTTGCGTGATTCGTTATTGGCGATATTTTCGTGCGTGAAATCGTGAAATCTCGATTTTTTATGCGTGATTTCATGAATTGAGATTCCTACGTGAAGCGTGAAACATGAGTTTTCCTTGCGTTATGTCATGAAAAGGTGAAAAATAATAATAATAATAATGATGGAAACATTTCATTTTCAATTCAACTTAAACTACAACTACAAATCTCACTATTACAAGGTAATTTGCAATTGGCTAGCCTGGTTTTACAAGAAAAAACTATAACAATCGTAAGGTAAAAGGAAAAACTGAGAAAAATAAAATAAAACAACTAAAGTTAAAAAGGATGTAATTCCGGATTTGTCCATGGCTTATTTTTGCAACATAATAATAATAATAATAAAAATAATAATAATGAATCATGACCAGTGTCTTTACAGGGTGGCTCTTCATCTGGTCGTTAAATACTACACGATGTAAAAGTTGCTATATGAAAAGTAAAGATTAAAATAGTTTAAGTTCGACAAAATGTAAATTGGAATTAAAAGTTAGGTTCTTCTCTTTATGAATCAAACTAAAAGCCTCTTTTTTGCTTCAGTAAGAAAATATTCTTTAGATTTTGATGAGAATTCGGCTTTCGTTTTTGAATTTCTTATCGCATTTGGCATCTTGTTAAAAATTCAGCTGCACTTAAAATTTTAGAATTTGTTGCAATTTGTGGTGCAGAGTTTGATCTCAGATTTTTACTGTTTTCTTTCAATGATATGTCAATATATGCTGGTTTGTTATGATGTGTTATATAATTAAAAGCCAGCTTCACAAGGTGCCATTACATAGGTAACCAGTCTAATGATATGTTATCCTTTTCTTCAACGTAACGGCCTAGAACAAAACTTGCAGCGGCATTCTCCACCTTTTGTAGTCGTTTTTGCAGTTTTAATGAAAGAGGATGAAATACAACATCAGCATAATCCATTTTGGATCATATTAGCAACTCAGCAACTTGCTTTTTCAGTTTTAGTGTCGTGATATTTTTGAATTTTTTTACTATGGCAAGAGCTCCAAAACAGGATGATGTTATCTTGTTTATGTGCTCTTTCCACAAAAGATGCTGGTCTAAGATAACACCAAGATAAAATAAGAGAACTAAGATAGTCTAACTAAAACCCCTCTATTTACCTCCATTGTTAGCAGTTGTAAGAGGCAGCCCCAACAATCATTTTTCGATGGGCCCTGATAATGATAATAGCAAATATTTTTCTTTTTTATGGCTCTACGAACTTCTAGCATTTTAGTTAATTGAGCTAAATTAATCTAACTATTCACAAGAAGAAAGTAAGCATACCATGTAAATTTGTATGCTATATTTTTATAAAAATTATCTACAAATTTTGCAATTTGCAACTTTCCAATTTATAAAGTTTTTATTTAGATATTGCAGCTGATTAGGCCCTCTATATTAATTAAGCATGCTGCCTCTGAAAAATACAGCCTCGAAAATTTATAAAATCAATGCTACCCGTAATAGGTACTTTTAGTTGCAGGAATTCGCCATAAATCTTTTGTCCAAAGGCCGTTTTAATGAAGTACTCTTGAATTGAAGGACGAATTACGATAGTTGTGTGTTTTTTACATCTCAGTCATTAGAATACAAAGGTTTTGGATATGCGCAGCCCTTTTGCCGGTGTCATATGCGTTTCGGTAACCTTATGCATTTCGGTCCGGGTACTGAAACGCATGGCATTTTTGGTGATGCAAAATCGTACCCAAGCACTTAAACAATAGAGTACCAAAACGAATGGTGGAATTTAGCATGCAAAACGGTCCCGGTACACAAACGCATGGCAATTTTGCTTATACAAAAACGTACCCAAGCTTTTAAAAAACAGGGAACAGAAACGAATGGTGGAATTTAGCATGCAAAACGGTCCCGGTACACAAACGCATGGCAATTTTGCTTATACAAAAACGTACCCAAGCACTTAAACAATAGAGTACCAAAACGAATGGTGGAATTTGGCATGCAAAACGGTCCCGGTACACAAACGCATGGCAATTTTGCTTATACAAAAACGTACCCAAGCTTTTAAAAAACAGGGAACAGAAACGAATGGCGGAATTTAGCATGCGAACCGGTCTGGGAGCACAAATGTTCTGGTTCACATTGTCCAGAATGTAAAGAACAATCGAACTATTTCTAACAAGGGGTTCTAACAAGAAGCGGTGCTGTGATTTCCCTTGTTAAGTTTATGCAAAAAAGTACAACATTAATGGCGACTCCAAAGTTTTCTTGATTGAAAAGTGTGAAATTTTAAACTCAAAAAGCATTGTGTTCAATTTGTTAACTATAACTTGTCATAATATCGCACTACAATGAAATCACATGGTTTGAAACACATTGCGTTTCACAATGTTACACTTTTGCATAGGGTACCAAAACGCATATTACACCGGCAATATTTTCTTGCGAACAAAATAGTACCTTGAAAACTCTTATATGTACTATTAGATTTGCCCCAACGGTATACAGGTACAATAGTTTTGTTTTTTGCAGATCCACGTCGCAACCATATCATATTCACTCATTTTTCCTACGAGGCTTTTACACACAGGGATTTGACGTAGTTTTTGAAGTTATGTCCAAAGAATACTGCCAGTAGCTTTGATGGATTTTCCATCTTGAAATTCGAAGCATTTTAGTGTTCTGTGGATATAAATATACAATTTGAGGATAATTAATTGAATGTCATTAGATTGTATTGTCGTCGGCAGACTTATAGATCCAGAACCCTCAATGGCGTTAAAAAGTCATCGATGAAAATATTGAGTAGTACGGGACCTGATACGGATCCTTGTCGGGCGCCTTATTTGACATCAAGATAGCTGCTTTATGTTGATTTCAACTCTACGGGCTGCTTACTAGATATTAAGTAACTGCATAGGATTTGGAGACAAGCTAAAAATCATAAGCATGAAGTGTTTTCATTAGTAGTCGTATCCTTTTGCCAGTTCGGTATGTACCATCCCTATAACAGCTTTGTCATCTAAATATGCTCTACATCGTTCCGATGGCCAACAGGGAATATTGCATAACCATCTAGAAATCTGCCTAACCGAAATTTGTTTAAATCATCAAGTAGAGGTCTTTGATGATGTTAAGCCTCGGAACACACTGGTATATAACAGAAAGTAACAGTTCCGGAAGCGTGAAAAATGCATTGTCAGAAAAATGGTTACCTTCGAATTTTTTCAAATCTGATGATATTATCGTAATGATCTTGCAAAACTGAGTTAAAAATAACCAAACACCCGTCTGGTTTGTCCTGTAAGCAAAACGTCATGACTATAGCCTCATTTTTCTACTACTATCGCTAGATATAAAAAATTGTCTGATGACTAAACTTCTTTTGCTGGAACTTTCTGTTTTACCAAGCAACTTGCTTCTCTGAAGTTAAACGATATAGTATAGTCGCATAGCTGTGGAGCTGTGCTTTTTATGGTAGAAGCATGAAGTTTGGTAGTACATAAATGAGTGATGCTGAATAAAATGAAATACATATCAAGCTTTGAAAATGCCCCTACAATCTATTTTCGGACTTGGGTACTTGTATTGGGTATAGCATCACAACGTCTAAACTTTTCAAGTGATGAAACCGAAGCATTGTTTTCTTGCATGTGTCCTGTTTTCATAATGGGGACGTGAAGCTGCGAGGAAAGGCTATGACTACACAATGACGAGAGTTTGTTTTAAGCCATCAAACGGGAAGGGACCAGCACCTGAAGTTTAATGAAATTTAAGGATTGTATGGAAGAGTGCTATGAATTTGAACTAAACTTTTCCAACACGCCTCGCCAACTATTTGTTCAATTTACTTGACTGGCCTATCTAACCTGGAGAAGACAAATCAACGCTTTTTTAATCATGGATCAAGCAAAAAGTCCATTTCAGATAGTTGTAAAATGATGTTCACGAGATTTTGCATAAGCAGTAGTGAATTCTTGGCAGGATGCTCAGGAAAGTCGAAGACATTTTCCATTTGACGTGCAATGTTTATAGAACTCTTGAAGACGTATACATAATATTGTTTTCTATAGAGTAAGAACTTTTTCACGATAAAATGAATAACTTTAGAAAATGGGATAAGATGATTTCATATGCAATAACTTGCACTTTGAATATATCGGCTTGTTTGCTATAGATGATGAGAGGCTTTTCGACATTTAATCCATCGTTATCCCTTTTCGACAAACTTGGTTAATAGTTGTAAGTTTGTCTTGTTTATTATTTGATTCAAGTACATATATGAGAAATGCTGAATAGGATTAAATGCATATCAAGCTCTGAAAATGCCCCCAAAAGCTATTTTTGGACTTGGGTACTTGTACCAAGTCCTCTATTGGGTATAGCATTACAACGTCTAAACTTTCTACGTGATAGTTATAGTGTCTTGTTTATTATTTGTTTTTATTTATAGCATGAATTTTCATGGCATGAATTTCACTCAAATCTTGCAACACTCAGTAAGCTTATCTCCTGCATTTACCAGCTAAAGGAATTTATTAAGGTCCTCTGTTTGGCAAAAAATCGAAACCATTCTTTTAGAATTCATAAAGACAATTCCTTGTTTGGTACTTTTAGACTTATTTTTCTTACTTGCCTTGGAACCATGATGAAATAATATCTTATCTTGTCAAAATTGAATCTTGCAATTTTGAAACTTATTTAAAAGCGAAATTGGGCGTTGCCTAGGTCGTTGGTCTAGAGTCTAGGGCGTTGCCAGAAAATATGTGACCACGCCCATATAGGAACCCACTCAAATCTTTGTCTAGATCCGCCACTGCTTGTACTAAGTCTTATATTAGATCTTGCACTGTAAATTTTTAGCTATGTTAATTTCTTACTCGGAGAAGAAACATCAACAAAAGCATTCCATCAATTACAATAAAAAAGCTCCTTCAGAAGACGTTGCCACATCCCTCCTTGAATCAGGTCTTGAGGCTACTTTCCCTCATCACAGGAAGCATCGTTGGGCCGTTGGAGCATCGGCACAAGTTGCTTCACCTTATCCATACAGAATCCTAACCTTTGATATAGCTTAATAAACTTAAGTAAAAGCAGCTTAAAGTTCTGGGCAGGGATTTGACAAGAAAAGTTCACTTTTCCCTACCAGAAAGCCGATGCACCAGTCCTACCTTAGATACCTAAAATATGAGAGGGGAAGAGAAAACATAACTGAATTAAGAGCCGAGTCCTTCCTAAGCGAAAAATAGCAAGAACTTTGAAATGAATTTCGTGATGAAAATAGGCTCTAACCTAGTACAATATTAACATGTAATTGAAGAAACACAATACGTTTGATATCAAAAGGGGAGAGAGGGACGGGAGAGGAGAACAGCGTGGAAACAGCATACCAAATAAGCACGATATTGCCGACCCAAGGCAGTTAAAAACACCCATCTGTGTCAAGAGTCCCTTACTTTCGTGCAGAAGCCGAATCTATAGAACTCCTCCTCTGTTATTCCCAATGGCATTAAAGAAGCGCATAAGGACTTAGATACTAAACTGAAGCATGACGATTGACACCCAAATGAGATTAATACAAATCAGCTAAGAAAGCCCCTTGTCCTTGATCTGCACGACCAGGAAGACGAGTAGGCTCCGATATCATCTTCATTCCTGTAAATCGTGTAAATTGGCAAAGTCATCCCAGGTGGCAGGGTTAGTAACATCAGGAGAATGGTAAGCCACTGGTTTGTGGGCATTGAAATCACCAAGATAGTGACTTTGGAGCGGGGAGATTGTAATAGGATAAGAATCAATGTATTGCGAAAAATGATAAAATAGCAGTTAGTGAAGAAGATATAAATCAAAACAAAATGAGCCGTAATTGTTTATCAAACAAACATAGTTGATTAATAAGGTACAGTTTACGATATTGATAGAATATGTAATTTGATAGAATAGGGATATCAGGCATTTATATTACTGTACGGGGATCGTAATTGAACACTATACAAATTTTAATTAAATGCTAATGTCAAGATTATTCAAATAAATCGCATGTTATGCTTTGTAGATTGGTAGTTTGAAAGCTCTTTGTATTTAGTTAATTAACGTTTGTGTAGCTATACATTATTATGTTGTAAGTAGGTTAAAAACCACCTCGACCTGCATGCCAATTGATAAAAAAGTACGAATTGCCAATCAGTGATATCCAATACCTATGTCATTGTGTATGCAGATATAATTGTCTAGCACTGTGTCTACATTACTTAGATGAATCGCATGATATTCATCTTTTGAAGAAATTAACATTGCAAGCCAAGAACCTTCTTCTTCTAACTGCAATTTATTACATAGCAGCCTTTAATAAGATGGACCAATGATGTTGCCACATCAGCATTTACCTTGAAAGAAAAGCTGGGTTCTTGGAATACATTTGTTTAATCCTCCCTTCTCTCTCCCCCCTCAATAGCATTCTTTACCAAAGTCATACAAATAAGGTCGGAAAGGATATATTTGAAACTAAACTGCAAACTAGAGATACGTTTAGCACTGCCTAAATAAGCTATTGTGCTCTCTAGAGATATATCGTTCACCAGAAAACACATTTGAACTACTACTAACAGATATAATTGATATCCAGTTTCTTTCAGTTCTTCTGTGCAATAACCATTTAACGAGGACATGAACTGTAGCCAAGCTCTTTGTGTTTGGTTCTAGAATAAATTTGAGATAGACATAACTCACGGTACTCACAGTACAGCCAGTAACTTGCAATGATATCGCTGACGCATATTGTTATCTTCGAAGCGCTAATGATCGTTTTCCCTAACCGTTTTTCATTACCGTTATTCTCGAGGTCTCTAACATCGGCCTTTTTAGATCATGGCTCTTGAGATCTCTTAAAGCTGTTTTTTATAACCATTTTTCTCGAATTCTCTTTTCCTATTTGAATTTTAATTTCACTTAAAGGCCATTTCTATTAATTTCTGAGCCAATAGGTTACAATGTAGCAACAGTACGACGTTGGACTTATTTTAAAAGTAAAGAATGCAGCTACTTACATTCTGAAAGGCTTCAAACACGCCTGGTTTGAATCCCAGAAACACCAGGCTCCATCTGTATTGAACAAAGAACAAGATAAGGTTCTAACAGCAACGGACTGATCAGCATAACTTATGCCATTTAAATGTTTCAAAAATAGCAAAAACACTTCTGTCTATACAGTGTCATTTCATCCAAATAGCTTCAGCCAAATGTAAAGAAATACACACTAGCCAAACAGTTTATCCTTAATGTAATGAGATTTTGCAAAATACTTTACAAAGTGGCATTGTACATGAGGAAGCTTGCGAAAAACAAAAGTAAAATTAACAAAAGTTCTTAATCTCGCGATGCCAGGGAGGTCCTTGACCCTATGCTGTCGTTATAAAAGAAGTTCTTTACCTGGGCACGTTGATTCAACGTCTGTCCTTCCTCTCCATTGCTAGAATGGACTGTTACAGCAACTGTCTGAGCTTGTGAATCATTTTGACCTGATCTGACGGTGTCAACCAAATAAGACGCTCCAGGCATGCTAATGATCACATTGAGTAATGCACTGCACGGATTAGCTCCTTGAGAAACTCCGGAGAACGCTTCTCGCAGTTGTTGTTGTTGTTGAATCATTTGATGTTCTTGGCTTCTGCGGTTGATTGGCTGCAACTGTTGCCCGTGTTGTTGCCATGGCTGCAAGATACAATACATTAAAAGTATATCATCAGAACTGAAATATGCACTATTAACATTTTGTATAGTAAACCTACTTCTAATTCCTTCCAAAGAAATCTCAGAATCAGTGTATCTTCCTTTCCATTTCACAATTCTATATAGGTTCTGATAAAATGAAGAATTTTGTCGACGTTCGCTTAATCTACTTTAATGAGAATAGCTTTTTCAAATTTATGTTAAATTCGAGAATAGTATTGCTCCAAAAGAATCCCAACAAAATTTCGTTGCGAGTAAGAAAAGCAATAATTATCAGTCGAAGATGATACGAACTTGTCTTGAAACGTAATGATGAATTACTTACAATCTATTACCTTTTAGAAATTAAACTCGCACATACTAATTTTCACACTTTATTGTCATCAGACAATTACGGTTATTTTGCAGTCAATTATGCAAATAGAGGAAATCATGGGAGCATGGGGGCTTGGGTCTGCAATTGCCAGGCTATCCTAAGATATTTGACAAAATACTAACCTGTCGAAAATCAATTCAAGATGTTTTCTTGCTGGAAAATCCTGGTTCAGAGACCTCCCCCCTCGTGGCTAAATAAAAACCTGAATTTCCGCAACTGGTTTTTTGCGTTAACTATGATAATTCTGATACTATCAAACTGTTGTTCGCTTTTTCTTATAAGTAAATTCTTGAATTTTGAAAACCTCTGAGCTTACCTGGTTCAGAGTCAATAAGCTGGTATCACACTCACAGCAGCCGACACAAGCACAACAGTCATCAACAAGACAGGTTGTACAGCATTTTGAGTAGGCTTTGCATGAGTACACAACCGCAGCAATAGAGCACCCAAGCTCAATCACGATCAGCACCATCATGAACGATGAAGAAAATATAGAAAATTTTTCTGTAAATATAGAGATCCTTCTGTAGTAGTCACAGCGATAATAAGTGCAGTAGTAATCATACCAATAACCATTGATGAAGTAGTTCAAGGAAAATGAATACGCAACCAGCATCAGTAGTGTCAGAATCAAGGAGGCAATACTTAGGCCACAAAATGCACCAATCTGTAATTTAAGATGGAAAGAATATTTTCATATTGCTAATGCCATGCAAAATGGCTTTATTGAAAATCCGAAGGCTCTTTTTCCTGTAAGAATACCGAAAGCTGATTGTTTGTCTTTCTTCTAAGCAGACTGAGATCTTTGTCCTGATTTCTGGTGGATATTCGTTTTTATCAATTTACAGCAGCTCTCCTCCTTCGGGGGAATCGGATGTAGAAAAGAGTTATTTTCTTTTCTACACCCGATTCCCCCGAGGGGGAAAGAATTTAGCCTGGTTCTCATGCAGTGGCGTAGCTAGCGGTCATGCTTGTCATGCCGGGCATGACCATCTATTTCCAGAGAAAACATTTTTCAAAAAAATTTATTTTCGTAAGAATAAAGTCCTATTCTCCTTATGTAATAGCTCAGGTCATTCGCCTTTGGAGCCCTATGGTTCCACGCAAGAGTATGGAGCCCTCCGAAGGCGCTCTTCTATTGTCGGGCATGACTAAAACAGTGGGTTTCCAATTTAGTCATGCCCATAACTATGAGCATGACCAAACCCTGTGTTTTAGTCATGCCCATAACGCTGGTTCCCTATGTTTGGTCATGCCTAACAATAGGAGTGACGCAGGAGAGAACAAAGGCTAGTCATGCCATTTCGAGAGGGCATGACCATCATTATAATCATCAGAACCGTCCTGTGTTATTTCGTGAACGCGAATGCGAGGCATCGATGGCGGCGCTGTGCCTAGATCCACGAGCTGGGAGATAATTCTCTGTAAGTAAAATGCAAGCAAAAGCTTTTTGCCAAGCAGCCACGACTCGTGTTATTCTCCAGAGCATTTATGGCAATGGCAGGATTTTTCAGCCTGAATGGTGTTGCACTATATGGGGAAGTGAAAGGCACGAAAGGCCCTTTTCGACATAAAATCAGCGAGCAGGATCATTTTATGCAACCAAACCAAACTCTCAGCCTTTTCAGTAATCAATTGTTACGAGTTGAACATTTGCAGAGAATCTTCTTGATTTAATGAATGCCAAATCTTAGTGCTGTTCACTGGAGATGGATGGAGGAGATAGCAGTGTTATTTTCCAAACCAACAGATTTGAGAGCTTGAACTTTCCAGACATTTAGCAGCATATTCAGAAACTGTTAAGCCCTTTAAGAGCATTGTTACTATATTATGCTGACCTTGTTACTGACCTTGTTAGTTAAACAGTTTTATTTCTTTATTATTGTTTTTTATGTATTTGAAAATTTACAAGATCAAATTATTTCTTTTAAAACCCTTGTTTGCTAGATTTAGTAAGGACAATCCAATCATGTGGATATTTCCCACAAGTATACATCAATGTTTTTGTTAAGCTAAACTTTTTTTGCAAGGTATTTTTCTATTAAGTCTAATTTTGCAAAAAAAAATTTGCAACTAGGCCTATCCATTATTTTAGCTTCCTATATTTCATATCAAAATTTGCATTGCATATTCATTTGCCCATTTGTTTTATTCATCTATTAGTTCTATTGAGGCTGTTAGTTAATCACGATGGCTTTAAAATACCTTCAATAGATTGACAATATGACTATTTGTGGAAAAGATGACCAAAAAGCTCCCATTCAGTTTCATGTGATTTATTGTTTCATTTACAAATTTTAGCTTATTGTAAAATGTTGCTTAAATCGATTGATTTTCAGGACCTTTAAAAAGCAGAGGATGGCCAATAAATGATGCGACGTAAATCGGTTAAATCTTTCCTTCTTTTCTTTCGATAAAATCGTCCCGGCAGCTACATAACTTGCATGCTAACAATGGCATAATGATTAACGCGCGACGTGGGCATAATCTTTCTCAAGAACTATCCCAGAGGTCTTCCAAAACTGATATATCTTCTATAAATATTTCCAAACGACTATGAGCAAAACGAAGGCGACAAGATCTTTCACAAGCATCTTGCCCCTAAAACGGTGCATGCCTAAACTGCTTTCTCTTGCTGCTACTTTTCCATAATTCTTACTTCCTAAGATGTGGTACGGGGCTCCTATAGATACTGAACTAAAAACAATATACATGTAACGAGCGGGGTGGGGTAGCGCGATATCCTAAACTACTGGGTTGCTATGGCGATCTACTTAACATGCTGATAATTGACGTAGGTATGAAGTTACTCATAATAATACAGAGATTATCCTAATACACGTGATAGAAAAATGCGGAACGAGCAAGGAAAGTTACAGATAAACAAGAGTGATTAGGTAAGGAAAATTAAACGAATGGACTAGAGAGGGGCTTATTGTATTTTGCGAAAATTTTCGCATAATGCGAAAATGCGAAATTTCGCAAAATACAAGTTTCGAGGTGGTATTTTGTAAAATGCGAAAACTGATTCTAAAAACTTTATTTGCCCATATCAACGACCGAAAACAAGCAATTCATATTCAGGGCGACTCTGTTCATGCAAATAGCCTAGTTCATGTCACATTTAACGTTAGATAACTCATGGACACATTTTGGAAAATGGTTCAAAAACCAACCACACCAAGGCCATGAACGGCCTAATTGTGAATTGCCCATTCCAGCGAAAGACGATAACAGTAAGCATCCCGGTGCTTGCTAATTGGTAATTGGTAAATACCCAACATTCTGCGTGTTCTGTGTTGTTTTAGGAGTAATTTACGCCTTTATCCACAAGGCCTATTTTCCTGCTTCCTTCCCGGTGAAACCCGCGTGGCTGGAAAAGGACGGGGGTGATGTCAAAAGATTTTCGCAAAATACAAAATGGCTGGGGGTTTTTGTATTTTGCGAAAACTCGCCAAACATTGTCGAAATGTTAGTTTTTATTTGAGAAAATGTACGGAAAGGCTTTGGATTGTATTTTAGCCTAAAATTAGCAGTATTACATTATCTCTAAACTTTACAAATGTATTTCAGCCTGCAAATAGCAAGAAATTAGGAGAATAACACAATTTTTTGTTTAAGCTGAGTTTATATACGATACTAAATTGATGTTTTTAATGTCTTTTGTTTCGAAATTGTCAGAACTCTGTCTGTATAAATTACCAACAAACCAAAACAGTGTCACAGCTATAAGATACAAAAGTCATTTCATGGTGTAACAAGATGATTCCTACATAATAAGAAAAGCTCATTCCAAAGGTTCATCAAAACATTTTTTTTAAGTTATAAGCCTTAAAATTAAAGTTTCCAAAAGGAACTCATCAACTCAAAAATTGGGCGTGGCAGAATTTGGCCACACCCATATTTTTTCAAATTTGAGGAGAGGGCATGACCACTGCTATTTGGCTAGCTACGCCACTGTTCTCATGTATCGTAATTCATGTATCATGTATCGTATCATCGTAATATCTATGATATCAGACAGTCTATGATAGATACAGAAAGTGATTTACTAAATAAAAACAAATAATAGACAAATAATAGAAATATACGTAAATAAGTTAGTAAAAAGGTCAAACAGAATACCAGGTTGCTCTCTTTTTATTTCATACTCTGTTTTAAAAAATTAAACGGTAGAAAACTGTAAAAAAAAGCAAAAAAATCTATCTTGTAAAAAAGATCATTCTCATTCTGCTTACAAAAATATTCACTCTACTTACGAAAAAAATGGCCATCAGCAAAAGTCAACTTGCACTTGACACCATGGCTTAGTGGCAGAGGTTTGTTGCAAACACAGAAAAACGTAGTTTGGTTCTAACCCAGCTACCAGGGAAATATTTCTTTCAAGGGAAATGATAATAATTTTTCAGAAAAATCGTTTTGCTCCAGATTTTTTTTGGGGTTTCTAGTCCCCACCGTCCCCCTGGGATTTTACGGCCATAGTCACAGACAATGCGGCGATGCGGTGCATAGGATAACATCGGCGCTGAATTACTTGCCCTGAATTCCTGTTACTTGCTCTGTCTCTTTAATTGTTTAAACTACATAAGGAATCTTTGATCTGAAAGATCACGTGGTAGCAAAGATATCGTGGTGGTAGAGTCTTTGTGCTGTAAGCTTTGTATTGAATTTAAAGAGTAATCTAGAAAAAAGAATTTCCCGATAAAGAAGTATCGGAGAAAACAAGTACTTCGTAAAAAAATCATCTTGATAGAAATCTCTTACTAGAGCAAACTAAATTGAGAAAGCGTGATGCACTATTCTGTTTTGGTGGACCGAAAGAGTGCGACGGTGAGCTAACTGAGAAACAATGGCTTCTTTCATCTCAATCGCGCCTCACTCCTTTCTTGAGCTGACTGCTCGCCTTCTTCGTGTTCTTCAAGGTCAGATTCGAGAACATGCATGGAGTCCCGAACTGGTGATCCGTAAAAATTTACGGCCATTTTGGATGGTCGCTTGGACGATTTACCACGCGCGCAAAGGATTATTGTCAGGATTGAGTCCTCTGTCCTTGATGTGTTGATTGATGATAAAATGAATTATAAACAGAGTTTATTTGAAGAGGGGTATTTTAGAATTCAGCATAGCGTGGGTCTCACTTTGTTTGCAGACCCTCTTTACTACTGTGGTTGGTATATGGAATTATTAAATGGTAAGTACAAATGGTAATGGTAAAACAAATGTTATTGTTATGCAGACGCAAACGAGGAATAGTAGAAAAAGAGAAATCTTGTTTGTACAATTTCGTCTTATTTTTCAAGGAGTTAGGTACTTTCTGTTCGTCACCATAGGGATTAAAGATGCTGATTTTCCAGTGCGCCCACCAAATTGCCACTGAACCAGATTAAATTACCGGGCGCCCGAATTTTCAAGCGAAATGTTTAACCAAAATGGCACCTCCCCATCATAAATTAGGCATAGTTAACCCCCCCCAACCCCTCCGAGAACCAACCTTTTGCGTTAACAAAGAAAACAGTTCAGAAGCATCAAATTTTCATTACATTACCATGCATTTTGATGTGTTTTTCCAAAGACAGCATCCAATAACTCCATTTGCAATGAACTGAAATTGAGAAAGAAAGCCGATACATAAATATACTAAGATTTGTAAACTGGATATGTGATGTGCTGCCTATCATAGGAAATGGCCAACTTTCAACAGAACACTCGACTTACCAATAGACCACACCATACTGGAAATGCAACATACGATGTGAAATAAGGCACAAGAAAAATGTTGACAACGCCGAAACAGAATTGGAATGCTCCAATGATACATATGACAATCGACAACGCATAAACAGGCCTGACTGGAAAGTTGATCGGGAACTGTAAACGCCGCGTCGATGGAGGATCTTGGTTAACAATTCGCACGCCGGTTTCTTCAAGCTGATAATTGTAAGGGGGTGGTCCAGAAACGTAGCTATGGTTCGACCATGCCATGTTTAAAACAAGAATAGGTAGTAAAATTGTGAAAGCCAAGCAAGTCTGATGAAGCTCTAACTTTGCTCTGTGATACAGAAGCAGGTAACCTAGTAACAGTAACTTGACCTCAATTGTTGTAAGTAGGAAGTTGAAACCAAGATATTTGAGAAAACTGTTCAGGCTGTTTCAGACTGCCTCGAAGTCTAAACCGGGAAATATCGTTATATTTCTGTTAGCTGAATGCCAGCTGAAACATGTTTCGAATATTTCATAATTTCGCAAAGCAGAGCATGAAAAATGCTCCATACTATAAGTCTATATGCGACATATATTAGGGGGAGGTGGGATCCCTTGTTCGCTGTTATATGTTCGCTTGTTCACCTGCTTCTCTGAGAAAAGTTGTTACTTTGTTGACATTTTTGTACTTTTAGTCCCCATGAAAATTACTCATGTTTTTAATTTGAATCTTATTAAATTGAACGGTGTAGAGACCAATTCTATCAATTCTGGCCCAAAACACCACCCAGTGGATTCCCAGGGGGGGCACTTGGCACACAGACATACGGGGGGTCAGTCCGATATTTTTGGGTCAAATGCTTGCCAAAAGTGATATTTTTGGGTTTAATATTTGTCAGAAATGATATTTTTGGGTCCTGCGGAAATAGTAGATACAATTCTGATATTTCTAGGTATCAAATTTAGAAACACTGATATTTTTGGGCATTCGTGAGATTTTCATATCCGAATCAAATGTATTAGGGGCAACTATTTACGACTTTTTTGAATTGCAGATCTTATAAATTACAGCTATGTCATATTATCTCACCCAAAATTCCAATTTGTGATATTTTTGGGTACAAGATATAAGTAAAACTGATATTTTTGGGTCTTATTGAAAATGAGCTGATATTTTTGGGTGGCCTTTAAATTTCTTGGACTTACCCCCCCCCCCCCTGGGAGTGGATTGTCGTGAAACGATAATATTAAAAAGAAAGAAATAAAATGTTAACCCCCCCCCTTGTTTTTTTATCAAGTTTAGCATAAGTGCCGTTGACCTTTGTTGGCAAATGAAAAAGTGGGTGGTATTGGGAACGCGCTTTCCTCGATAGGTTTCTTTATGATAGTACAATAATATGATAAGATAGAATATGATAGTAGGATACCAATAATGTGATAAGGTTCAGATTATTAATGAGGCTAGAAAAGAAGTAATTAAGACATAATTAATTTTTCCTAGTTCTGGATAAGAGCCAATTTTCCCATATTCCCATATTTTTTGTAAATTTTCAAATGTTTGTTCCCATATCCCCTGGAGCCCCTTAAAAACCCCAAAAACAGATCAAGTGTTCAGTATTGCCAATTTTCAGTAGAAAAACAGCCAATGATAACAAGGTACTATTTGATGATCATGAAGTTTTGCTGGCAAGAGCAAAACGACTGCGCACATCAAACAGAACAGTCCATCCTGCAAAAGAAAGGACCTGTGAACATAAGATTTATGACAAATTCTTGAAACAACAAGTATTACTGGTACCATTGACTTTATCAAATTTCGAGGTAGCATTTTATGGATCAGCATGCCTGATTTGACAAAAAGCGCCTCGTTGGCTGTTTATTCAAGACAAACATTAAAATTAAAACATTGCATGTTTACCTCAAATATAGTGTATAATATTATTTCGTTGGTTTATTTTCCTTGTAAATAGTTGGTGTAAACTAGTTCATTTGAATACAGAACTAGAACTTTTTATCAACTTAAAATGGCAGGTTATATATAACGGATTAGTCGAGCCGTCTCTAACAGGTTTTGTCCATTCAATCAGATTATTGTTTAGATGTTAATTTGCATCGGCTGGGGAAAGTGTTTGGTCCGGAGTGCCTTAAGTACTTTTCAGAGAGCTTGAAAAGGCAACCTTTCTGGACGACTATAACCAGATGACAAAGCTTTCTCCAAGATATTTTGATGCCTTTTCAAAGATAAAATCGATCCGGTTCAGAATGATATTCTCTAATTAATGTCAATTACATACATTAAGCTGAAAACGTCAAGCTGAAAACGTCAAGCTGAAAACGTCAAGCTGAAAACGTCAAGCTGAAAACGTCAAACTGAAAACGTCAAGCTTAAAAATTCAAGCTAAAAACGTCAAACTAAAAACGTCAAGCTTAAAACTTCAAGCTAAAATCGTAAAACTGAAAATTTCAGGCTTAAAACTTCAAGCTGAAAACGTCGAACTGAAAACGTCAAGCTGTAAACGTCAAGCTGAAAACGTCAAGCTGAAAACGTCAAACTGAAAACATCAAGCTTAACCTCAAGCTGAAAACGTCAAGCTGTAAACGTCAAGCTGAAAACATCAAGCTGAAAACGTCAAACTGAAAACGTCAAACTGAAAACGTCAACGCTTTACACAAGAAAAGTACAGATAGAATGTTAAAGGAATCGTCTAGTATAAGATAACATATGTCATACATCTATAACAGTATACATGACATATTGAAGTCCATTTTAATAGGCAATCTACGTTGCTTGAAGCCTAATATAATGTATTTGATCGGTGATCACAGTGACTGCAACTAGCATTATCACGAAACCAAGAGAAAAATCAATCGGCAGCATTCTCAAAAGGCTGATGCTGCCGTTGTAAAAACTATTCAAGGCAAAGCTTTTAGCTTTTAGCTAAAACATTATGCTGATGTTTTCTAACTCAAGTAAAATATATACTCAATATGATGATAGGGTTTCACCATGAAATTATACTTTTCCTATTGAAACGAATAAATACGACAATTTGGCCTCGCAAGTAAAACCTATTGTAAAGATAAAACAGTTATGAGCGAAAAGTTGAAAGTAGCAGATATACTTTGCTAGCTTTTTGCTGACCTGCAGATCGGTTCAATAATTAGAATTCTTTTCATTTCATTTTATCATATTTATATACAGAAACCCTATCAGCTACTAATTTAAAAAAGAAAAAGTAAAGATTAATTTATATATCATGCTGGTCTTCCTAGGGATCGTGCTTCGGGAAAGGATGCTAATTTACCTTTAGTAAATAAAAACCCAAGGACGACATAAAAGCAATTTCAATAAACGAGAACTCTATACCACACTTAACTCTAGGAGGAAAAATACTACACGATTCTTAATCACATGTAACATACTAGAGAAGATTAAATCATTAGATTATAGGCTATGATGTAAAGCACTGCAATAACAGACAAACACTACATCTACATACGGCAAAGCTTATAAGCTATATATAAGGTCCAAGAAATATACTTTATAATGAAGCTCCTCGTAGCCTAGAAAGAAAGAAGAAAATCTTGAAAAAAATTTAGCGACACAAGAATTAATTTCATACTACATTACTTATGTGCTTCATTATTTTATATATGGTAACGTATTGCATTCCTCCATAATATAATTTTGCGTTGTTAGAATTGAGTAGGTTGCGTCGGGTCCACTTTTCTACAATATGCATGTTTACAGTAAAATTTACTAATACAAGCAGACTATTAATAACAGCCATGTTATTTGCTTTTTTTGGTAAAACCGGCCATTGATCGCATCGTTAGAATCATGTGATAAGACATATCCATAAAAACTGTGAAAAAGAAGGAAGAACAACCCATCACAACGGGAAATAAAAATCTAGATCACGAGAATTTACTTGCACGCGAAGAAGAAGCAAGCTTACTATCAGCGTTTATGTCAGTAGACAGCACGTTTATTTTTGTTACGCTTTATGTGCGCACTTACTAACGATTTGTTTCTTCTAATACCGTGGTTTTATGGTCGAGAGCCAACTGAGAGTTCAGAAAACAACATGCAGGAATAATTCAAACCAAAGAGATATGATACAGTGTAAAGAGGAATGGCCTAAAACATTTCAAAACATAGAAAGGAATATAAACGAAGAAGTTTGTTAAATAAGAAATAAGGTCTTACTGTCAAATAGATGATCTAGTGAAAAAAATTCGGCTGAACAAAATATTGTTGAATTTTCTTGATCTAATCCCGGAACTTGGTCAGATTAATTTTTTGGAAGCCCAGAGGGTCAATGGTTGATAGCCAGCTGACAGTTCAGTAAATAACGAGCACGAATAATTTGAATGGATACAATTTAAAGATAAATAGGCTTAGATAAGAAAATATTTAAGAACTAAAAGAAAAGTTCTAATGAACAAATAAAATAAATTATGAATAAGGTACCGATTTTGCCTTATTATCAAATTGATGATTTTGTGAATAAAATAAGGCTAAATTAAATATTGCAGAATATGCCTACCTTTATTCCGGAACTTGTTAGACTAGTATTTTGAAAACACTTCAGCGACAGTTCTAGTGACTTCAAAAAAATATAAATCCTAGGATAATGTTTGGAGTCTCTCCACTAAGCGCAAATTTGCAACAAATACAGTATAAACCAGAAAAGATACTTCATCAGGGATTCTTATAAATCTATGCATACTAAACGAACATACCTCATTTTTGGCAAGCATGCCTGGATACCCTCTTGCGGAGTGCTACATCTTCTGGGCTCCCATCATAGAAGATTCAGCAAAATTCGGGTTAATTTGCTGTCAATAAATAGGAAAAACACCGTATTTAAGCCTTTGAAATATCAGACAGAGACTTGCAACGACCACGCCTATATCAATGCAAGTCAGTTACGGCTACCTGTCTGGTGCGATTCATCGAGATCTCCAACATACTTCTGAAAAACTAGTGACGGCATATATGGAAAATATATACCCAGTTGTGGTAAATATATATTTCTAAAGGAACGCAGTACTGATTAGACAACTATACCGTTCATGTACTTATGTTTTTCTGATTGGCCTAATTTGAAGGCATGTATCTTCATGATTTCAACAGCCAAGGTGATTTAAACAAACAAGAGATACAGCTTCGATAGTATTTACAGGGAAGATGCAAGAGAATCGGACTGATCTGGAGAGTATGAGAGAATAGAAAGGGAAAACAAACGAGGAAGTACGTGAACCATGATGTTGATGAATACAGCACAAGCGTTAGGTGAGTCAGAAGAGAAAAATTCCTCTAACTACTATTTTTAGAACATTGAATTTGGTCCTAGTCCTTAAAATAAAAATAGTCTTTTGCGAGCGATTTAACCAGTGTTTGTCTGCAAAATTTGGGATTTATATACAACCTGAAGTGTGAAATGTCATGCCAAATAAAAAGGTCTAAAAATTTCATAAGGTCACAAAAAGTTTCGTTCAAAGCCCCAAACACCACGGAAGCCAACTTTGAACAGTTTTGGGAAAGCAATAAATCGGAGGATAAGTAGAAATGTTTATATGGACACCTGGGTGCCTATATTTTTTTACCTGGGCACTTGGGTTCACTGCCTGGATTTCTTCCGCTGGTGGCTGGCTGCTTCCGCTGGGCTGCATTCCATCTCTAGGATGGATTGTCACACACACTGTCTGAGCTTGTGAATCATTTTGGCCCTGATTTTGGCCTGGTCTGACGGTGTCAACAAAATAAGACGCTCCAGGCATGTTAATGATAACATTGAGTAAGGCACTGCACGGGTTTGCTCCTTGTGTAACTCCAATGGTTGCCTGTTGCTGTTGCATAAGCTGTTGCTGTTCTGGTTGTTGTTGTTGTTGTGTCTGAGGGTATTGGCCATAGCTGAATTGGTTTTGCGGCTGCAAACTTTGTCCACCTTGTTGTCGTAATTGCTATAAGGAAAGGAACGACTCAAATTTTAAGACTTCACAATGTTTCTACCTAGACCAGGCGAATAATACGGCAAGGGTGACCTCTTTCCTGTCGGAACTTTTCCATTGCTTTCGGGCATTTTTCTTCTAATCATAATTGCTACACGTAGTTGGTAGAATTAATTGCTATGAAAACAGAATTGCGTAGTGATTAGTTGTTTTTCCTACGGTTCATTCAGTTTATAGCCCCAAAATCTCTAAACTTTTTGCCACCGTGATATTTAGCTACCCTTACCAGTGCATGAAAACCCACTCGACCATGTGACCAGACGGTCGCAGGAAATTTTTCATAAATAAAGCTCTGCAGGATTTTTTTTTTAAAATAAGCTCTTTTCCAACAAGCAGCTTTGTTTCTTTCATGTTCATAAAAAACATGGTTAAAATGGCTTTCCTACCTTAGTACCCTTGAGAATGTTTTTAAAAATTCTTGTTTGATAAAAGTTTACAGTTTTTCATCTGTCTTGAGGATCTTTGTTATAATTTGCGAAATTCTTTAAAATTTTGCAAATTTTAGCTATGTTGATGATGCATGCAAGGCCCCTACATTGCCCATCACAGTGATTCTTGCTAATTAAAGCAAATGTTCTCTTATGCTTGTTGCAATTGATTTTTTCTCAGAATCCTGGCCTATATCTTAATCAAATAGTTTGTTAAAAACTTCCATGGATACAGGGACATCATATGATTAATCTTTTTAAGCTCATTCTGTTAATGTTGCTATTCTAATGCTTGCCTCCATTTTCCAAAGATAGCATCTACCCCAATTAGATCTCCACTTATACTTTTCCAACTGCATTCCAGTAAACTTTGATATTTTGAGTGGATATTCTCACTAGTTAGAGAGTAAAAATTATAGCTAAGCCCCTATTCCAGAACAATTTAGGCGTTCGTGAAAAAAATGACTTTTAAGTGATAGTAAACTAGCTTATGCTTTCATAAAACTGGTGACACATCATTATGGTTGTAAGAATGTGACCCTTTCTTCTTTTATCTTTACATTCTCGCAGAAAATTTATGCATGATTTTTGTCCGGTCGCAGGGAGGAAAACAAATTTCATGTCCTGACCCTTTCCCTCTGGAAATGATAAAATGTTTGGTAAACGGCGAACACCTGCTGCATTTATCAAATATGGGCATTAAGAGCTTTAAGAATTGCACACAAAGAAAATGTCTCTAGTTTTGAAAAATTATTTTAACCCGATGATTTTGAACCTGCAGTTGCTCACGGTAGAAATATACAAAACGAAATCAAATTTAAATACTAATTTGGTTCAAAGCAAGTTTTGGAAGAAAAATAAACACCTTGCAGTTTGAGGCGTTCGGATAAACTACTACTACCAAAGGGAAAACAACTTGTCTTGGAATCGATACAGTCTGATTTATGAGAAAAAATTATGGGAGTCACTAACACCAGAGATGTAAAATTCAGACTCCCTTCATATATTAAAAAAACTCTTTAAAGCCCATAAATGCATAAAAGTCTGCAACAACAAATTATGTAAGGTATTTTATCTAAACTTGGACTTTTTATCATAAATTGTATTTTTCTAATTGTGATTATTTATAGCAATTTGTATGCATTTTGTTTAAATAGTTAGCCTTAATTAGCTTTTGAGCTACAGTCGAATTTCGATATAACGAACTCTGAAGGGAACCATAAAATAGTTCGATACATTGGGAGCTCGTTAAACCGAGGGAAGACGTCCTTAGGTCTCTTCGCAGTACACGCCTAAAAATATTACTGTTTTAGGTGGGCTTGTTTAGGCTATCTCAAACTTCTGTGCACATTTTACTCCAAAAACCAAGCTGAATTAAAATATTAGTAATGGCTAGTCATCGAAAATGAAAATCCTGTTCCTCTTATAATTTGGGACCGAGACACTGGCAAAGCTGGAATCACTTAACTGAGCACTTCACTTGCCTCTTTTGCTTCTCTATCCAGGTCTCAGTGTTTTATATGTAAGAAGGTATTCGTTTGCGACTCGCCAAGAGCCAGTTCTGGCCCTGGGGCTATAAACAACACAGGCCCTTATGCAGGATGGCACAGGGGAGAAACTTTTTGAGGGCCCTTCTTGAGACCCTGGCCCCAAGAATTCACTCCGGCTACCACCCCCCCCCCCCCCCTCTCGACGGTACTGTTCCTTAATGTCAATGTACTCATTCTCAGTAATTTCTGATGCGATCAAACTTTTGTCTCATGGTCTGAATCTATCAGCCAGTGCTTGAAATGTATCATCAGCATGTTTTGCCAAAGACAGTAATGATTTTTCCCAAGAGAAAGTGATAAAGAACACCAGAATAAAATATATAAAAAACAGATGAAAAATTTAAGAAAAGTTCGTTGTATCGAAGGTTTTAATGATGAAGGGACCTAAAATTTTGTTCGCAATAACGTGAGTTCATTATATCCGGGGTTCATTATAATGAGAGAATTTGTAAGGGGTTTGTAGGCAAGAGACCAGAAATTTAGTTTGTTACACCGGGAAGTTTGTTATATCCAGGGTTCATTTTATCGGGATTACACTGTATATACTTTTAACTGCCAACTTTAGTCAAAGAATTAGTAATATAAATGATTATAATGGAACATACCTGATTGGTATTATTCAATGGCCTTGTATCGCATTCACCACAGCCAACACAGGCACAACAGTCATTGATGAGGCAGGTTGAACAGCATTTTGAATAGGCCTTGCACGAGTAAACAACAGCAGCAATAGAGCACCCAAGCTCAATCAAGATCAACAGCATTAGGAAGCCTAATAAACCAATTGATGCCTCCACAGTGGAACTTGAAATTACTCTGATGTAGTAACAGGAGCCATAGTAAGAGCAGGTGTAATAATAGAACCTTGAATCGGTGAAGTAATTCAAGGAAATCGAGTAGAATACCAGCATAATCACTGTCAGTATCAAGGATGTGATACTTAGGGCACAAAAGGCAGCAATCTGTAATTTGAGACAGAAAGGAAAATATTTTTGAAAGAACTTTAACTTTTAATTATAGGCACCAAGAAGAATAACACTACAGAAAGAGCTCGTGTCAAGATTTTTTGTACTAAGAGCTTAGATAAAGGTTTGCTACAGTAATTATTCGATTACCCGACCCACCGCTTAACCGGACTTCGATTATTCGGTCCGTGAAAAATGTGAAAAAACTTAGAAAAATTTTTCCGCACATTTGATAATATATCAGGAGCGTTTTTCTTGCTTTCCATTTTAAATATTTTATGAGTATTTTAAGAGTATTGTGTAAATTAGGTTATAATGTGTGCTTAGAAATAAGCTTTCACAACAACCATCCTGTTTATTTATGCCGTTATTTGTATGTTTTCAATTATCCCGAGAAGACCGGATAATTGAATAAGCACTGGGTTTGATAAGGAAGGCCAAAACGAAATTTTATGCCAAAACATTGGACAATGTCCAAAGGTAAGCAGAAAATTTATATCCATATGCAAATCAAAAGTAATGTGAGAGACTGCTGATCTGGAACCTGGTAAAAGAATCCAAGAGATAAGACCATCTCTTTCTATCTCAACACAAATGAGGATCTTTTGTTTCATGTAGACTGGTTCCAAAACGGCTGTGATTGGGCAACAACAGAGAACCATTCAAATGCACTTTACTTTATCTCGCGTTACTTTTGATCTGCATCTAAATATAAATTTTCAGCTTTCCTTTGAACTATAAAGTACTTTAGTATGATATGTTCACTCTTCATGAAATGTCTAATGCTTCTAGTAATAGACGTATTGTGTGAATTAGATTAGCCAATTACAAATAGCACATACTGAAGAAGAATGATTAAAATACAAATACGTAGTGGTCTTAAGAATTGAAGGCAACAATCACACCTGACCTACTAATCCTCATTGCTTCCTAGGGCAAAGAAGATCCAAATAATGGTGCCACAAAAGTCTAATTAAGAAAATGTTTTTAATTCGGACTAAATATATTACCTGAATGCATGCTATAGATTTATAGAATATGTATGGACCCAGAAAATATGATACATCTGTTCTGTATGGTTTAGAAATGGCTAGTGATTGACTTTAAATTTATAAACTTAAAGATTAGAATCATTTTGCTTGGTTTGAATTTTTAGGTGCAATTTTTTTGAAAAAATACGGTCTTGGTAATGGACCAGCCTTTGTGACTCTCCATTTACCAATTCTGGAAATAATACATTGTTTTCACCTTCCTATGATTTTATTAATTTTTTTTCAGATGATATTGGTTAAAAATCTTGTATACTCTTGTATCCAACAAAAAATTTTAAACAATTATCTCAACCCAGCCTAGCCTGAGTGCAAACTTTAGGAATAGAGGAAATTGTTAAGTCTGTGCCATATGGCTTACCTTGAATTTTTGCAACAATGGCTTTGAATTGAATTTTAATTATTTGTACACAAAAGAGCTTGCATGGACATTGACAGAGCATTGGTAACATGTCTCGCATTGAACAAACTTATTCAATGACTATCACACAAAGACATCCCCAAAGGCATATCCTGAAACAGGCATCTTTATGACTCTTTCCTTAAAATCGTGGACAGACAACTCATTGGCTCTAGAGACAAAGAGTTTTGAATAAAGCGGATAAAAGGAATAAGTGGAAAAAAGAAAATTCATGCCCTTGCGCAACTTGACAATTTCCTCTATTTGTTGAATCTGTATGCAGGCCAAACCCAGCCAGGCTTTTGATTCAGCATATAAATACAATATAAAAATAAAAAATACAAAAAAACCGGAAAATCTTTATGAAATGTTTATCTGTAAGGTTTTATCATAGAATTGTTTTCACATCATATTATTATACAGCATAGCTAGGCATATTACAGCTGGCAGGGCACTAGAATGTGTCTGTCAGCCCATAAACGATTATGAGAGTATTTTTCAATTTCAACTTGACCTACACCACCATTTCATATGTTCATAAAAACATCATCCATATCTTTCTAATAACCATATGTATTATAATTTACTGATTATATATTGGGAGAAAATAAACATAGCCCATAATAAAATTATTGTTGGTTTGGCCCTACAACACAGTAAAGGTTTCTCATGTGGCCCCTAATAAAAATTTATTGCCAACCCTTGTGATACACTCTCATGTTTTGTATTTGTGGGTTCTTCTTTTCCAACATTCTATTCCTTTACTTTGATGGACACACATTTATAACAGCTTTAGGTAGTTGAAGTGTCTATCCAGTTTAAATATTAATTCATTATTATTATTATTATTATTATTAATACTTGCTTCAGAATCTGAAGCACAGATCACACCATTTTAAATTCAAATGCAACACATAACTTTTTCTCTAACCCAAGGACTGACATGCTATATTTTCTAATCCAAGAAAACTGGGGTCTTTTACTGAAGATTACTTGATTACTACAATATACTTAAGCACTATATTAATAATTTTTCTCACACCCTCCTCCACTTGTACCTAACCTTTTATTAGTTTATTTAACTACCTTTGATACACAAGAGATAATACTATTGTCACTAATTGACTTTACTGAAAACTGTTTTTCAACTTACCAAGCATCTTGTTTTCACCTTCCAAAGACAGCAACCAATGATTCCATTTGCAAGTATCTATGAATAAGGAGTGACTATGATGAATGATAACAATAATTATAAAATGAAGAAAACAAAATTTTCATGGGATGTGGTTTGATTTTCATCAAAATTGAAAGAATTGCATAAGCTAGTATTTTTGAAACTATCTTTCAATTGCTAGCTTAACTGGTATACACAAAGTTCCTTGATGACCAAAAATTTATGTTAAATTCTTTACTGTGACAGCAGCATTGCCAAACAAAGGGAAATCAGCTGGGCAATGAAGCCTTTGTTAATATAGAGAGGAGGACAATAGCAAAAAATGTAAGGTCACTAGGGCTGGTGGGACAATGACCCCCCTGTTAGAATGTAGAAAAAGCCCCAGACAGCTGAACTGCAGAAAGTATGATATAGATCATACAGAAACACAAGAAACACATTTGTTAATGACTTAATTTTAGTAGATCTTGTCAAGTTAAGTTCCTACAGCATTCCTGTGAAGTTTGTTGAGTTTAAATGCTAAGTCCCTTCTGCTTATCTATCATGGCTATAGTCTAATAGGAAGGTGTCTTTGTGAATTTCAAAACCAGTCAGTTACACCAGCCTCCATAAACAATGCAAAAAATGGATTTACTATTAGTTTCTAAAATCTTATAGAAAGGCCACATTAAGGGAACCTCATGCCTTTCAAGAGGAAGAAAAATTAGAAAGAAAGAAATAAAAATGCTTCACTTATTTACTTTATTGTTTTATTCACAGCTATCTCAAGACTTAACTGCCTCATCTGGACTCTCAGAAACAAATTGGATCGGAAAATGGCAAACAAAAATGAAACTTTGGCATAGGTGCTTGTTGTGAAGTAGCTGGGATATTTGGGTTGGAAAGCTACTCTTTTGCCATTTTTTCAAAAGGAAGGGGAAGCCGATGGGGGGTTGCTTAGCAGGGGTGAAGCAGTGACTGTCAATTTCCATTTCATTGGTTGTAACAAACAATCGCATAGGTGGACTGTAAAAAATTGCATAAGTCAGCTCTGATTCCTATTGGTTGGCTGTACTGCTGCATGGGCAAGCTCCACTTCTGACTTGATAAATCAAATCTGACCTATGCTGGCACCAAAGATTGCAGAGGTGAAGTACACTCTGATTGGCTTACAAGACTTTTGCATAGGTCAAACAAGTGGTGATTGGCTCTTGAGGGATAAACAAATTTCTGGATTCAGAAAATATGGACCAGATAAATAATTAGAATCACCACTCGAATAATTGTGCAGAGGCCGAAAGAGAGTCAGCAAAATAATGCCCTGCTTTCTGCATGTTATTGGTATTAACAAGGGCAGATCTAGGACAGACATTGCTAAAGAATTTGCAAAAGAAACTATTGATTAAAAATGTTGATAGTTTCCATTTTATATTGTTGTTGTAAAAATCTGATATATGTTTCTGCATAGGTTGCTGCAGTCTGGATCCCCCTTTGGTGTTTTGAAGAAGAAAAAATATTTCGAATTCCAAACTTGACATATACAGACATTTGTTAATGGTCAAAACAAACTTACAGTGAAGCATGGGCAGGGGCGGCTGAGAACAGAAAAGTATTGGTATTCGCCTCTGAAATTAAGACATAGGTAGGCCCCCACTCAAGGTCTTGAAATGATTTAACAGGGGTGGAGCTTATATGCTTTGATTTGAGAGGGTGGAAAAAAGACCTTTTCCATATGATTGTTTGGAATAGCTTTTGACAATACCATTTCTTACAAAATCATTTGAAGGCACTGATCCCTGATGTCACTTCCCAGACACTGATGTCTGTGTGGTGACATAGCTCTTCCCATGGGATTAGTTTTGAGAGAAAAATAGGTCCGACAAAAAACATATGGATGATGGCTAGGGAAAACTACACAAGCAAACTCGTATTTTGATACAGGGGTTTGCTGCCCAGTAATGAAGCCCCTAGGTATTAGGTCATTAATTCTAATACTTTGAGGCTTTTGGCCTGAGAGTGAGACTCTATTAGGATTCAGCAAGCAATTCACCATAGATACATGCAGCATAAAAACATAAATTGCATCATCTGATTAGACAAAAAAGAGAAATAATGTTAAAATATTGCCTGCCACTCTATGGAGTAGTTTTTGATCCTTAATTTTCTGCATAACACATTGAATCAAAGTTTCATATAAAACAACTTCAACAACTGCCTTCAAAATCAGCAGGTTTAAAAAAAATTTATCCGCTATGCTATGTTCAAATTTTGCAAAAAGGGCACAGAGAGGTTATAGAGGCCCCTGTGGTAAAAGGAGAACATGCCACTTAGATTAGCTTAAAATAGATTTCAGGACGATTTCTTGCAGTAAATTCGCCACATTAAACGGTTGTCAATTATCCGACGAAAGCCCAGGGGCCCAACCCCCATAATTTCTGCCACTGTTTCATAATTTACTGGCCATTATCTGGCATGAGGTTTACATGGATTCAACCCTGGTCTAATTATGGTCTGAATAACTATAATCACAGTATATACATAAACAGTATCTACAGCTCCGCAGCAGTATATACATATAGTCAACTACTCTCTTGAAAGCAGTGTTTTTCCGAACATATGGAAAGTAGCCAGGGTAACATCAGTCTTTAAGACCGGATCGAAAAGTGATTTGAACAACTACCGGCCAATATCCATACTCTCGGTATTCTCCAAGCTAATCGAGAAAATCGCACATGATCAAGTCTCCACCTTTCTGAGGGAAAAAAGCATGCTCTCCCAGGCCTGGTCGTTTGTATTTTTATAGGTGAGCTGTGAATTGCTCCCCTCATTTGCTGAGGCGAGCTAAATCATTAACACATAGAATGTACTTTAAAAACAATTGACAGATGACTTAATAAGCCCCTTTAGTATCTGTTGGTTGCTTTTAATAGCCTCAGTCAGGAGTGTGCTGTTTTACTTCTTTCAATTTGTATTTGCTTTAACCGAGACTTAGGCACCCCCTTTACTTGAAGTATTTAAAAGAACAGACTCTTTCAGTTTTATGTAAAGCTGCCACAACACAAAAACAACAATTCTCTTGCAAAACAATATTTTTATTGCACAAAATTTGAAAATGGCTTTGAAAAACAAATTTTGAAACAAACTTGAGTTATACGTATAGCACTCTTCAGAGAATTAGACGTCAGAACATAGATGGAAAACTCGCTAAAATTCCCAGTTTTGGATCGAAATAGGCCAATCAGAAAACGCGAGCACATTACTGTTGAGGTTGTCCAATCAGTGCCGCTTTCCTATTGAAAATATTACCAACGGAGTCCTAAGGTGAAAACGAACTCATTCGGTCTACACAAAAGCGATCTGTCATGTTTATATAGTAGATAGCTAGATGGAACGATGATCAGGCTTTGCCAATAATGCGAAACATGTCGCTGTTATAGTTTTTCTGGGTTTTTCAGTAAATGCTGCTGGATAGTGGAATTCCATGTTTTGGTTGTCGTTTTTGATCTGCAAGACAGAGTACCTTGTTCTTTTTGAGGGATAGTTTGGTTTCTATTGCTGGAAGGGACCTGCTGTCTTATTATATCCCCAAGCTACAATTCCTACCAAATTCTTCGACTTTCCTTCCAAAAATATTCCTGTTTTCTTGAGATTTAAAGGTTGTAATCGCTACAAACGTACCTTTCAGTTAACTATCCTTTTTCAAATAGATTGAAGTTTATGCCTATCATAACAAAAACCGCCCAACAAGCAAAAAGTAAATTGCAAATTATGCAATGATGGGAGAAATCGCTGTTACAAAAATAAACCAATTAACCCTTGTACGTTTTCAGGGTTCTCTGAATAGGAAAAGTGCAAATGAATGGAAATTTTAGGGGAGCGATTCTCCTTTCATGTTCTGTTTAGGAGAGCAATTCATAGCTCGCCTCAGGTTGCGAGGGGAGCGTGGAGGCGAGCGCGAGCTATCTGAAGATGTCAGCACGCATTTCGAAAGCTGCACAACACGTTGACCTCATTACTCAATGTTACTGACTCATGGTTCTCAAATGCCGATAAACGAGAAATAAATATTAGCATCTTCCTTGATCTAAAGAAGGCATTTGACACTGTGGATCACAAAATTCTGCTCTCTAAGTTATATATCAAAGTATGGAATAGGAGGAACCCCTCATCAGTGGTTTACATCATACCTAACTGATAGGGTACATACTGCCAAATCAATGGTTCCAGTTCACAACAAAAGAAGGTTCAGTGCGGTATTCCCCAGGGTTCCTGCCTTGGGCCCCTCCTTTTCATCATATACGTAAATAATTTTGAGCAATGCTTAGAGAAAAGCTCAGCAAATATGTATGCAGACAACACTAGCATAACATGATCTGCAAAAGACATTGAGGAACTGTGCAATGACTTAAAAACTGAGGGTAAGAACATTGCAGAGTGGATGCAGCAATAAGCTTAGTCTGAACACCAATAAAACTGAATATATGGTCATTGGTCATAAAAGACAAATTAACCATATCCAGGGGGAGGTAAATGTGGAAATAAATGGAGAAAAAATCCAACGAGCCCATGAAGTAAAATATCTTGGGGTCACTATTGATGAAAACCTATCTTCGAACAAGCAGTACAAGAGGCTCAAGTGTAAACTTAAAAGTGGTCTTTCTTCGTTGAGGAAAATTAAAAACATACTCCCACACTTGAAATTGGACCAGGTTTACAGGGCACATTTCGAGAGCCATCTAAGATACGGTGATGAATTATGGGGAAGTCTGTCCGCTACAAAGCTTGAACATCTTCAGTGCTTCAAGACAGGGCTCAAACATCAATTGAAAATGCTAAATTTGAGGACGGGTGGATCTGTAAATGGCTTTCAGTTTCGAATCTAATTAAATATGACAGGGCCATAATGACGTACAAAATGATGAATGGTCTTTGCCCTGACAGCCTTAAAGGTAAATTATTACTAGATCAGAGATATCCAGGTATTCGACAAGGAATCAGCTTGATATTGACATCCCAAGGCAAAATTTGGAATTCTCAAGGGAAATTTTCTTTCATTCTGGGGCCAAAACATGGAATGAGATTCCAAGAAACATCAGAATGAGCCCCACAATTTCCATGTTTAATAGAAACTTGAAAGGACTCCTGCAAAGTTAATAAATTCCCTAAACAAAACACGGTCCCTAGGTAGAACAGCAACACCTTTATTTTATATATATTAAAGAAGTAATTGTAATAGAAGTAGTTTATTTTATTTGTATTATAGCTGATAGGGAATTCGTGTGTAAAGATTTTTGAAATGAAATGAAAATGAAATAGTATATATTGTTGATAGAAAATTTTTTGCAGCTACTTGAAAAAGTAACTTCAGCTGTGTTAGGCCATTTTTGGAAGAACTGCGCCTGAGTCTCTGCACACAACAATGAGCCTAAATAAAAAACTGACAAAGATTGCATTATAGTATTGACAGAACGTAGTATTTGAGTCAGGCCAATCTCGAAGATTGAGATGAGTAAAATGTCCAACAACTTACTAAAAGACCGCACCATGTTGGGAATGCAATATATGAGGTGAAGTAGGGGATCACAAAAATGTTGACAATGCCAAATATGATATACAGAGACCCAATGATACACTTTCCAATCGACACGGCCAAAACAGGTCCAGGTGGAAAGCTGATAGGAAACTGAAATTGCCTTCTTGACTGAGGCTGCTGGTTGACGACAAACACGCCAGTCTCTCCAATCTGTTGATTGTAAGGCGGTGGTCGGGAAGAATATTCAGTGCTCGTGTACGCCATTATTATTCGGTTCGTTCGTGTACTTCGACGAGTGATAAAAGCTACACTTGCACAGGCACACACCTTGAACGATTCTTTGAAACTTTTGGTGCTTTTGTTCGGTCTTTGATTTGAGATTACGGAAGCGAGGGCTCTCACTTTACTTCATGTAAAAATCGTTGGAAGCTCACGAAAGATCCTCAGATTACCTCGAATTTGCATATTTAGATACGGAAAGCCATATTTCACCTGTTTCAGGCACTGGTTTCAGGGACCAAGGAAGCAGAGGTCGAAAGGCCTCTCAATAATTATCAAAATGTATTTAAAGTCATGCAGATCTGATATTTCATTGTACAGGGTGAGTTCAGGTAGGGGGGGGGGGGGGCTGCAATTTTCTTGCCCGAAAAATTATAACGCCAATTATAACGCTAATGTCCATTTTTAAACTTTCATACATTTTCAGCAATTCGCACACTTTTTGCTTATCTTTCAGCAATTCGCACACTTTTTCAAGGTGGTCAGAAATTCCTAATCTATTTGTAGAAGAAGCAGACTTTTATGATGATTTTTGTCAAAGGGATATCATTCACGTTTGCATTTCTTTATCACGGGCCAGTCGCATAAAGCAGTTTAGGGCACCTTGATTAAGCGTTTTTCAACCTTTTCTATCCACGGCACATTATTTGCGGATAGTTATTTATTTTTTCAATTTTATAGACCAATTAAGTGAAATTGGAGAATTTTCCACGGCACACTAGGCTTTACCTCAAGGCACGCTAGTGTGTCGTAACACTGTGATTGAAAACATTGCTTTAGTTTGATAACCAAGGCCCCCCGACCAAAAGGGTGCTTTTACGTCCATACCTTTAATGCTTTGCCCAAGTTCAAATAATTTTTGAAAACTTTGAAAGCTCTTCAACTGAAGCTCTAAAACTCAGTTCTCCCTAGATCACGAGAAAATAATTCTCATTTTCATCTTTTTCTATTGTGTTTGAAATGTGATCTTCTTGCTGTCCGTGAAAAAAGTCTCTTAGAAGTATTTTGCTTAGTCTCCAGATGCCTCCATTACGCCAAAGCACATGAAATGCTATAGTCACTATCACTAAATCGCGCATAGGTTTCTTCCAAAACTTTATCCCGGGGGGCCGGGGGGCATGGTTCCCCACTTTTCTGCAGAGCAAAAAAATGTAGGCAAAAGTCAAAAGAAATGTAGTATTATATTCTGTAAGTAACTGTGCCTAGCTAGTATTCTCTTAAATGTGTCCTTAGCTTTAGCTTGGTTGCTATGTCTTACCATAGGAAACATTGATGAGGAGTTATTCTCGAAACGTCGTACTAAATATTCGTTTCCTGTACAAAATCGTTATTTTATTGTATATCAAATTTTGTTCCAGACATTTGCAACATTGAATGTGGGAATTTTATCAAGGAAATCGGTCATCATGTCCAAGTTGTACAACGAGTAATAACAACTTGGCTTAGAAAATAGATGGCGAAAGCTGACCAGAAAAACTTAGTATCAGCATAAACTGACCTAGCTTCGTTTTCTCTACGGCCAAAGCTTGGTTCACAAGGCCTATTTGTTAACAAAAAGCATACAAAACACCTTACTTTAAAATCTAAAAATTTAAGCTTATCTTTCATTTTTTGTTGAAAGTTCTTCTGTTGATATTTCATTGTTAATGTTTTTGATTAAATCGTGTTTCATTTACTTTTCTCCTCAATCTTACTTTGGGTACTTTTAAATCTAAAAAAGAGTTATATTATAAAGCTATATTATAAATGTTATTCTAAAGCTTTGCAAGACCTTTCCTGCTTCAAATCAACATAACAATAGACGAGACTATGCAGATGACTCAAATAAGGAACGGTGTTTTGTAAAGAGTAGAGTAAATTGATTAAACAAAGCTTAAACATATTGCCCCAGATTTTCCTTCAGTCAAAATCCATTTCAGATACAATCACTGGTTATCCCTAAAATACAATAATTCTAAAAATTCCAACCATGGTGGCGGCCATTTCTAAGCCCTTTCCAGATTTTGGCCCTTTCACTTTCAAATACGTTTCGACGGCCCTGGTCTACGAAGACCTTACTTTACAATAAAAACAAAAAATATCGTGTCGCCTTTATCCTAAACTCTTTGCTTAATCTTTCTTTTTTGTTGTATCTTTCTTCATTTTTTATTTTTGCTTTCTTGCAGTTTCTTAATTCTATTAATCAAAATACTATTCAACTTCAATAAAACCTTAAATTGTAAACTGATATAAAAATCTCCTGGCCCAAACACATACAGAAATACCTAAGTTCGTACACTAGTGTCCAACAGGAATCTCTCAGTGTCCTTTACAACATCACTGTAAATTGAAAAAATTATATAAATGTTATCTTCTATAGTATTTCTTGTCAGTGTTATTATTGTAATTAATGTTATAGCATCAATCAAATTTAGATCTAAATAACATAAATTTCAGAACCGGGATCATAAGGAAAGGTCTGTACTCAAGATGCGTGCGGCCGTGCTGTAATAGATCTAGATGACTTTGAAAATTTTGAAGTTTTTTATTGCCTTTTTGATGTCATTTGTTCAATATCAAAAAAATCTGAAGTAGATTTGGATGACATCATCACATTGCCACACTTTAAGGCCCCACAAAACCATAATCCGGCCCTGCGAATAAGGGAACCCTCCTCCCCTAGATTTTTGTCATATATAGACTTTAAGTATGGTCCATTTTTCATGCTCTGCTTTGCGAATTTATGAAATATTCGAAACGTATCTAAGCTGCTATTCAGCTAACAGAAATATAACGAGATTTCCTGGTTTAGATTTCGAAGCAGTCTGAAACATCCTGAGCAGTCTTCTCAAATTACTTACTTTGAATTTCTTTTTAACAACATTTGAGATTAGCTTCATATTACTAGGTTACCTGCTTCTGTATCACAGAACAAAGTTAAAGCTTCATCAGACTGCTTGGCTTTCACGCGAAAGTGTAGGTCCCTTGACTCAGATAGTGCTTATTTGGTATGCTGTTTCAACGCTGTTCTCCTCTCCCGTCCCTCTCTCCCCTTTGATATCAAGCGTAGCGTTTTCTTCAATTCCATCTTAATTCTATTGAACTAGGTTAGAGCCTATTTTTATCACGAAACTCATTTCAAAGTTCTTGCTATTTTTCGCTTGGGAAAGACTAGGTTCTATCTTTCAGTCCTGTTTTCTCTTCCCCTCTCATATCTTAGGTATCCAAGGTAAGATTGGTGCATCGGCTCCCTGATGGGGAAAAGTGAACTTTTCTTGTCCATTCCCTGCCCAGAACTTTAAGCTGCTTGTACTTGAATCTATTAAGCTATATCAAAGGTTAGGAGTGGGTTCCTTTATGGCTGTGGTCCCATATTTTCTGGCAACGCCCTAGACTCTCGTCAAAATTTGGCAACGCCCAATTTCGCTTTTTAATAAGTTTAAAAATTGCAAGATTCAATTTTAACAAGATAATATATTATTTCATCATGGTTCCAAGGCAAGTAAGATAAATAAGTCAAAAAGTGCCAAACCAGGATTTGCCATTATGAATTCGATTTCTTGCCAAACAAAGGCTTTAGTAGATTTCTTTAGCTGATGACAGCAGGAAATAAGCGTACTGAATGCTGCAAGATTTGAGTGAAATTCACGCTATAAAAATTCATGCTATAAATACTAAAAAATAATAAACAAGACACTATAACAATCCCTTGAAAAGTTTAGACGTTGTAATGCTATACTCAATAGAGGACTTGGTACAAGTACCTAAGTCCAAAAGTAGAGTGTTGGGGCATTTTCAAAGCTTGATATGCATTTCATTTTATTCAGCATTACTCATTTATGTACTACCAAACTTCATGCTTCTGCCATAAAAAGCACAGCTCCACAGCTATGCGATTATACTATATCGTTAAACTTCAGAGAAGCAAGTTGCTCCACAAAACAGAAAGTTCTAACAGCCATGACTTTTGCTTACAGGACAATCAGACGGGTGTTTGGTTACTTTAACTCAGTTCTGCAAGATCATTACGATCATATCTTCAGATTATAAAAATTCTAAGGTAACCATTTTGCTGACAGTGCATTTTTTACGCTTCCGGAAATGTTACTTCCTGTTAAGCCGCGGACCAGTATGTTACGCGGCTTAAAATTATCAGAGGATACTACTCATGGAAACACTTCATGCTTGTGATTTTTAGCTTGTCTCGAAATCCTTTGCAGTTACTTAATATATAGTAAGCAGCGCGTAAAGTTGAAATCAACTAGAAGCAGCTATCTTGATGTCAGAAAAGGCGCCCCACAAGGATCCGTATCAGGTCCCGTACTATTCAATATTTTCATCGATGTTTTTTAAACGCCATCAAGGCTTCTGGGTCTATAGTCTGCCGAAGATAATACAATCTAAGCGTTATCTAACAACATTCAATTAATGATCCTCAAATTGTATATTTATATCCACAAAACACAAAAAATCTTCAGATTTCAAGATCGAAAATCCATCAAAACTACTGGCAGTGTTTTTTGGACTTAACTTGAAAAACCACCTCAAATCCCTGTGTGTAAAAGCCTCGTAGGAAAAATGAGTGAATATGATATGGTTGCGACTTGGATCTGCAAAAACAAAACTATTGTACCTATATTCCGTTGGAGCAAATCTTATAGTACATATAAGAGTTTTCAAGGTACTATTTTGTTCGCAAGAAAATATTGCCGGCAAAAGGGCTGCGCATATCCAAAACCTTCGTATTCTAATGACTGAGATGTAGAAAACACACAACTATCGTAATTCGTCCTTCAATTCAAGATTACTTCATTAAAACGGCCTTTGGACAAAAGATTTATGGCAAATTCCTGCAACAACAAGTAGCATTGATACAATCAAATTTTGAGGTGGTATTTTACGGAGCATCATGCTTGACTTGATAAAGATAAAGAGCCTAATCTACTCCTATATTCAAATAAAAACTTTAAAAATTTGAAAAATTTAAATTCCAAAATTTATGGACAATACTTGTATCAAATATAGCATACAAATTTACATGGTATGCTTACTTTCTTCTTGTAAATAGTTAGATTAATTTAGCTCAATTAACTATAATGCTAGAAGTTTGTAGAGCTATAAAAAAGAAAAATATTGGCTATTATTATTATTAGGGCCCATTGACAAATCATTGTTGGGGCTGCCACTTAAAAGTGCTAACAGGATTTTTAATCAGATTAATATTTCGATGGTAATTGCACCAGTGGAGGAAAATTTTGGTCCAGAGAGCATTGAGTACTTTTCAGAGCGCTTGAAAAGGACACATCTATTGACGACAATAACGAGATAACACAAAGCTTTCCAATCAGAAACGCGAGCACATGACTGTTGAGGTTGACCAATCAGTGCCGCTTGCCTATTCAGAATGTTACCAATGGAGTCCTAAGGTGATAACATTCTCAATAGGCAAGCGGCACTGATTGGTCAACAACAAAGCTTTCCCCAAGACATTGGTAAGCTCCAAAATAAGATACAGCATTTTTAAACCATGAAATTTAGTTCAGAAGGATATTCTCTTTTTGTGTCAGTAGCCTCATATATTTTCAAGCTGAAAACGTCAAGCTGAAAACGTCAAGCTGAAAACGTCCAGCTTAAAATGTCAAACTAAAACGTCAATCTGAAAACGTCAAGCTGAAAACGTCAAACTGAAAACGTCAAGCTGAAACGTTAAGCTAACAACGTCAACGCGTTTCAATTCAAAAGAAAAGTACATATAAAATACACAGGAAGCCTCTGATGAAGTGAATCATAATTGTATAAGATGTGTTGACTGCGAATTAGGCATAAAAGATAATTAATGACATGCATGAAAAAGTATATTAAGTATTGGTCAATCTCATGACTAGTCAGCTACATAAAATCACAACAAACGTGCGGTTAAAAAGAACCTCTTCGTGGCCTAGAAAGAAAGAAGAAAATCGTGAACAAGATTTTGGCGACACAGCAATGAATTTTATACTGCATTACTTATGGGCTAGATAATTTTACATGATAGTGAATTATATTTCTTCGCAATAGAATTGTGTGTATTTGTTCAAATTGAGTAAGCTGGGTCAGTTCCTCTTTTTCCCAAAATCAGATTATTAATATCGGTCTGTTATCCGGACAGGCCATTTATCACTGCACCATAATTGTTCGATAATACATATAAAATATACAAAAACGATGAACAACAACAGTTCGATATTACAAGGGGAATCTAAAAATCTTAATCATAAGAATGTGCGCAAAAAGTAACAGGCCAACAGCAAGTATATTATTTTGCCGCTGACGAAGGGTTTTCAGAAGGCGCTTTACGCTCGCACTTACTAACGATTCGCTTTTTCTAAATACATAAGCCAACTGAGAGCTCATAAAACAACATGCAGGAATAACTCAAACAGAAGAGAAACGATACAGTGTAAAAGGGAACGGCCTTGGGTAGAAAGAATTCAAAACTTAAAAATGGACTTAAAGAAATAAATATGATAAGTAATTAATTTGGTGTCAATTCTGCTTATTACCAAATAGATGACTTTGAGAATAAAATAAGGCTAAATGAAATACTGCTCAATATGATCTTTAATCCGGAACTTGGTAAGACTAGTGTTTTGAAACCTCTGCAATGACAGTGCTAGTGACTTTAAAAAAACATAAATCCTAGGATAATGTTTGGAGTCTCTCCACTAAGCGCAAATTTGCAACAAATACAGTAGAGACCAGTAAAGTTACCTCATCAGGGATTCTAATAAATACATGCATACTAAACGAACGTACCTCACTTTTGACAAGCATGTCTGGATAACCTCTTGCGGAGTGCTACATCTTTTGGGCTCCCATCATAGAAGATTCAGTAAAATTCGGGTTAATCTGCTGTCCATAAATAGAAAAAAACACCGTAATTAAAAGTTTTTGACGAAGTGCTATACAAATTGAGCCTTTGAAATATCAGACAGAGACTTGCAGCAATCACGCCGTTATTGATGCAAACTAGTTACAGCTATCTCTCCGGTGCAATTCATCGAGATCTCCAACATATTTCTGAAACCGGGGCTAGAAAAAGCATGAATTCAAAAGCAAAGGTTTTTAACACGAGATGCAGCTTCGATATACCTTAAATGAATTCGAAAATACCTAAATTTAGAGTGCAGAGTTACTCTGATAAGAGATTAGTTTGGACTTTTTATACCTGGGCACTTGGGTTCACTGCCTGCTTTTCCTCCGCTGTATGCTGACTGCTTCCATGGGGTTGCATTCCATCTCTAGGGTGGATTGCCGAACTCGTTGTCTGAACTTGCAAATTATTTTGGCCTGGTTTTGCTGTGTCAACCAAATAAGACGCTCCAGGCATGTTAATGATCACATTGAGTAATGCACTGCACGGGTTAGGTCCAAAAGCTTGGTGTTGCTGCGAAAGCGCCTGTTGCTGAAACAGAGGCAGTTGCTGTGGCAGTGGCTGTTGCTGGGCCAGAAGCTGTTGCTGTGCCATAAGCTGTTGGTGTGACAGAAGCCGCTGCTGTGACAGAAGCTGTTGCTGTGACAGAGGTGCTTGTTGTGAGAGAGACTGTGGCTGTGGCAGTGGCTGTTGCTGTTGTGTTTGCTGGTGTGCCCTTGGCAAATTATCACGCCCGTATTGGTTTGGCGACTGGAAATTTTGTCTTCCTAATTCAATTGCTGCAGGCTTGAATGGAAATTTTTTTCAGTTTTTGTACTTTGTAACCACTTTTAATAGCCGGTGCAACTTTCTTCTACTTAGAACTTTTTATTTTTATTAACAATAGTGCTTCGCCTTGTGGTTATCTTCAATCAAGATTATGGTCGACACTGTCTATAATAAGTATACAAATTTCAAGCGGATAAAATTTCGGACAATAGACATCCGCGAAAATATTTTCGGACCTATTTTTGGCATTTCAGACAAATTGATTTCCGATATGAATAAAAGCTTTCTTAAAAAAACCTAAGTTGTGAAGGTCTTGCATATTGGCCTAATTCGGAAACTTTTACAAAAGCATCTAAACTTGGAACAACTAGATTGGAGAACAAATATATCTTCTTTCTCGGTAACATGCTAAAGTTGCCATTTACCTTGCTTAGAACTAGAACTAATACCATAAATGGTTTATCTCCAAAATGGAAGACTAGTGGAAATGAACATATTTGTTTCGGCTTTATCTGGCTGAATCAAAGCAAGGAATGGCAAGCAAGGTATAGAAAATTGTTACCGATAAAAGATACCCTAAAATCTATAAAAAGTCTGATAATGACCGAAAGGAAGCAGAAAATTTCTGTCCGAGTGTGGATCGAAAGTAACGTGAAGGGCGTTTGATTGGTCCCTTGTTTTTACCAATCGCAGCCGCTAATTTCTCACCTAGTTGGAGGGTCCAAGATAGAAAACGAGCTCTTTCTGTCTTTTCAAGTAGAGATTCATTGTTTTGATGTAAACAGATTCGAAAACTCCTAAAATGCAAAGACGACCTTGCCTTTCAAATGACTTTGAAATTGCCATCATTATACGTTTTGGAACACTGTATTTGTGAGAAAATGTTGAACTATTGCCGAATCACATTTTATTTGGTCGGTTTGGCTTTTGCAAATACGCATGGCTGTTCTCGTTTCGGAACTGTAATTAATTAAACCATGCCCCATTATTTTTATCGGAAAAGGTAACCCTGTCTCAAGGCACTTCACGTCAGCTCAAAAATTTCCCCTTCGAACCAATCTATAATTATCTTAAACCTATGTTTTAACCACACTACCCAGTGAAGTTGAAAATAATAGTTTAGATTAGCATCAATGAATTACAATTATCAATTAGAAACACTTTTGTCGCAATCATGATTACCAAGAGCTTTTTAAGTTAGTTAAGATAGTGAAAGGCTCAGTAGCCTTTAGCTACGCCCTGATAAGGGAAAGAGAGGAGGGATTTGGAAGAAAGGGAGTAAAGAACAAGCTTGTTTACTTTTGAATAGAGACAGGTTGTAAAAGACTGGGATGCAGGGAGAGGGTACAGCATTTCAAAGTTTACAAGTTCTAGGGAGGAAGGAAGAGTTTCGGGATAGAGTTCGTGAGTTTGGCAAAGAGACTTGGAAAAGGCGAGCACTGGAAATGTCTGGTATTGCGTACATGTATCAGGGGACCTTGGGTCATAGAGTTGTTCGAAATTACAACATACCTGAATGTTATCATTCAATCGCCTTGTATCGCATTCACAGCAGCCGACACAGGCACAACAGTCTTTGATGAGGCAGGTTGAACAGCATTTTGAATAGGCCTTGCAGGAGTAAAAAACGGCAGCAATTGAGCACCCAAGCTCAATCAAGATCAACAGCATCAGGAAGCCTAATAAACCAATTGATGCCTCCACAGTGGAACTTGCAATTGTTCTGATGAAGGAACAGCCATAAGTGCCGCAGCTGGTAAAACCAGTGTCCAAAGCAATGAAGTAAACCAAGGAAATCACGTATAATACCAGCATAAGAACGGTTAGTACCAATGATGCGATACTTAGGCCACAAAATGCAGCAATCTGTTATTTGAAACAGAAAGAACAACTCTTGCAAAGAACTTTAACTTATAATTATAGGCTCCAAGTGTAGGAACATTGAGGAAAATGGTTGTGTCAAGATATTTTGGTACTTAGAACCAGCATCAAGATTTGTTATTTTACAACGAAGGCTAAAACGAAATGTTATGGTCAAAATCTATGGAAACGACCGACATAAATATCAATTCATACGAGTCATTTTCCAGATTTTTCACGTCAGTCGTCTCTATTGACAAATGAACCAAAGCTTGTTACATTCTAGGCTCGCAATGGGGTTGTTCGTATGATAAATGTACAATGGAGGGCAATGTCTAATGTTGTTAGTTATAGATAAATTATGTAAATTAGATAAGCCATTACAAATAGCATACAATGATGATTACACTTCAATTTTCAATATCAAATAGGCCTTTGGTATCGCAAATTAAAAAAAAACTATAAAGAAGACTAAAGGTTTTTCATCATACTGCCTACTACATATCATACTGAAGCACTTTGCATCCAACACTCCTCAGAGTATAAACGTCGGATATTGTTCAAAGGTAAGCAGAAGATATATATCCACATTCTGATCGAGACGCGACAGAACGGAAAGCGCATTTGATTGGTTCTCCGCTTTTGACCAACCACAACCGGCTCACTTTCATCTAGTTGTGGAGTCCCAGAGAGAAAACCAACTCTCTTTGTCCACACATGCTGCGATCCTTTGCTTTGATGTAGACATCAATTCAACTTACAGTGTCGTTTTGAAAAATACTTCAATTTTTTTTGTACAGACTTTTTGACCGCTGGTTTGGATAAAAAGCATGTATTCTAGTGTACTCAGAAGTTTTCATTATGTTATTGTTCCCTATAATGGTTTAGGACAACATAAAACAAAAATCTTTTAAGGGAGTGACTGGCGACCAGGGGGGTAAAGTTTCACCCAGAACGATAATTGCGGTCAAATCTCTTACAAGTTTTCAAACTTCATTTCTCCTTAAAATCTAAAATATAACCATAAAATATGAAAAATTGTATCTTGCCAAAAGGTATGGTGATCTGTCTTGCTGAATCTATATCTGGTATCTGAAAAATGGTATCTTGCTGAATCCATATCTGCATCCTGCCGAAAAAATTGTCTCTTACCGAATTTGAGCTCAAAAAGTCGTACAATAAAGTTGGGAGCGTTTTCCAAAACGAGGCCGCAAAATGAAGTGGCGTAATCAAACTTACCAAGCATTTCGATTTCACCTTCCTAAGAATGCAACCAATGACCCCATTTGCAAGAAACTGTGAATAAGGAAGGAATGCTCAAATATAAAAAAGATAGGCGTGAAGATCCTCTTAAGCACAACCAATGATAAATTAAACAAATTAAACTTTGATGAAATGGGAAATTCAAAGTAATTTGATTTTTCTCAAAAGTAACAGAATTGTCCAAGTAAGCATATTTCTAAAAATATCTAGAATTATACTAGGAACAATCTTTTTGACTTGCTTGATATACAACAGTTTCCTAATCATTAATAACTATTAAAGTTTGGAGTTCTTCAATCTTTTACGGTGGCTGCTTTACTTTGAAAATAAATAATACGGAAACACATATCTATTGATGACTTAAGGTCAGTAGTTCTTTTCATAGTTGAGTTCTTTCGGCCTCTGAGGTACTTATTGGAAATTCCCTGGCATGAGGTTTTCCATGGCCTTCGGCGCTTTTCAAGGATTACAGACATAATCTCTGAATTAAATGATCAGCTCTGGCAGCTCATTGGAAATGCTAAAACTCTGACAAAACTCTACCAGTAATCTTTCTCCTTCCAACCATCCAGCCAGCTTCCAAAACATCAACATTGGATGGCCAGTTCTCCGGCACAAAAATCTCTAGCTGCTTCAAGGCTTGCTCGATGCTGGCATTCAACATTCTCGCTTTAATGTTGTCAGTAAGACCTTGTAAGAGCTGGGCTTTGCTGAACGAAGTGAAAGAAGACCTGCTTTTAAAGTTTTCAAAACAAAATCATTTCCAGATGTTTTGTCAAAATAATATTTCCTTTCAGTGATGGATAACTTGATATTCTCCGATCTGTTAACTGTCTACTTCAGATAACGACTGGCCTCAATGACGCTCATATCAGATCACTGCAAAGATTTTGAAAATATTGAAACTTCTACAAACTCCTAAAGATTCGGAAATCCTAAAGAAATTCAGAAGTGCGAAAATCTTCAAGAGATCCTATCCTTAAATCTCTCAAATGTTCCATTATGAAAAAATTTTTTCAAGACATTTTTAATTTTTCTGAAACTGAATATAAAAATTTGCAGAATAGTGCTTTTAGATTATTCAAGTCAATTGGTATTACTTCAGCAAGCATAATCTACCTTCACCTAGAGCTTTTTAATCAGTTTATAGAAGACACACGAGGACCTTTGATTTCACAAAAGTAGGGTTGGTGTATTTACCCCCCATGCAGCCTTGGCTCCGAAGTTTTCTGGTTTATATCCTAGTTAATAGTTTTCTTGGTCAATATCTTAAAAAACGTAAAATTATAACTGGGTAGTGAGTAATCCCTGCTTCAGTATCATTTGAAGAGGAGGATGATGGATCAGTTACAATATAGTACATTTATACATATTAAATTGTATTTAAGAATAATTAAAATTCATGAAAAATCCCTGGATGGAATTTAAAAGAAAATCACAGTGTTGTGACTGATTGCAACGTTGAATACCGATGAGCTGGGTGCTAAACTGCTAGTAAAAAATTGTACTTTTCACTTGAATTGTTTACTTGCCTAGTTGTATGGCTTATTAAGTTGTTTACATTAAGTCCCAAAATGACAATTTCCTGAAGCAAAAAGCTTCTGTGCTCGACGGCCGCTGCTCTTGCACCGCGCGGCAATCGGGCCAGCGGGTGCTATAGCCCCTCCCCCCACCACCTTTTTGCAATGATAATACAAAATTTTGAAAAGGTCGCTTAAACGAAACTTTAAAAAGTTTAGTCTAACTGATCTAGCTAGTAGTAGTTCTTCTTGACTGGAGTCCCTTTTTTGTTCATTTTCTTGGAGTTTTATATTGTTTAATTACATGTTTTTTTAACTCGGCTTGCATGGTGTTTAATCTTCTGAGGCTAATTATATCTATTTTAATAGTAATTGATATCTTCGCTGGATCAGACCGTTAACGAATAATAAATGAAAATAAGCAATTATTTTCTAAAAGAGGCGTTTTCCAACTATCTCAAAACTTCGGTCACGCCCTTTTTAGCCCCCCCCCTACTTTTAGACTGGTGCGCGGTGCCAAACAATTGCTAGTTTGAGTATCAAACATGCTTTGAAAATAGAATATGTTTACTCGTGGCATTTTTCTTCCGTGTGCGACGAATGATAGCATTCTGCACGGGGAAGGTATTCAGATTACACAATAGCAACACCATAGGGAGGCAAACAAATTTCCGCATTGCACGGTAAGACGGGCGTTCCATTCAATGGATTTAACAAAAGACCGATAGGCTGCTACAATGAAATCTCAATTTTCTTTATACACGATGCAACCCCTCAGTGACCTCTATGCAATCTAAATTAACTATGAATACAGCGCTCGGATTAAAAAAATCAATAAAATCTAAAATGCTGTTAATTTAGGGGGTCGTGCTTGGGAGAAGAGAACTTATTTCACATGCTCTGTATATTTAGAAATGTTGTGTTTCAACCTTGTTTTTTAGTTTATTTTGTAGGAAACAAATATTCAGCAACTTAAAAAAGCAACAAATACACATCAAACGCCTGAAACGTGTCACGAGGGAACAAAATTATCAATCATGTTTGATATTCGAACCTATTGTCATGAATGATTACGAAATGGCCGCTGCACACAGGAAAATTTTGCTTCAGCAAATTGTCAGCCGTAACATTTGGCACAGAAAAAGGCTCAAGTGTGTGATTGTTTTAGCAAAGGTTCATTTGTGAGCAAAATCTATAGATAAAACTTGTTTCTTAAATTTTAATGACCAGGACCAAAGGGGGGCCTTTCTTAAAAAACTCTTATCTGAACCAGGAAGTAAAGCAAAACTAATCACAATTGAAGTGAATGAAGATGAAAAAAAGGCCATGGGTCAAACAGGTTTGATAGCAGACACTGGAGACTCAGAAGACCAAGAAAGCCTAGAGATGGCATCAGAGAGCTCTGACCAAAGGTGGAGACTTTCTGAGAAATCTCCTATCTGAACCAGGAAGTAAAGCAAAACTAATCACAACTGGGGTGGTTGAAAACAAGTCAAAGGCCATGGGCCAAAAAAGTTTTATAGCAGACACCAGAGACTCAGAAAGAAGACCAAGAAAACTTAGAGATGACATCATATAGCTCTGAAGATGAAGAAATCGAAACACGCTTTGATGAATTGGGAGAGAGGAGGGGGCTAAAATGATTTAAACTGAAAATATCAAAATTATGTTATAGAAAGATGAAGAGAATACAAAACTAAGCAGCCAATTTCCTGCATAAAAAACGAAAGAGGAAAACAATTATGTAAAATTATAACTAAATGCTACAAGAAAACTTAAAAAATGAGAAAACATTGAATAGCAAGAAAGCATTGTAGGACATTGATGAAGGAAAAAAGGGGTTAAAATACTTTTAGAAAGTGAACAGGAAAATTGTTATGTAAGTTAGAAGAAGACAACTAAACAAGAAACTGTTGAGGATAAAAAATTTAAGCAAAGTTGTTTGAATGAAGTAAAAAGCATTGAAAAGCTAAATAGGATTGAAGTGCAAATTTCAGCGTTTTATGAAATAAAAATGATAGTTGACATAAAAATAAATGTTGTTATTAATGATAAAAGAAACAAATTAGTTGAAAAGAATTTCTTGATAAGCATGAAGTTTTTTTGAGAATTTACTTATTAAATAATTGTTAAAATAATATAAAGGAAAAAAGGGAACAGAAAATTAATAAAAAACTGGGGAGGTAATTTTTCAAAGAAAACATTGAGAAACCATCTTGGCAACAACATAAATCTGATTTGTCAATTCTCTTAATATAGGTGTGCAAGTAGCAAGTACCTAAGGATAAATTTTTGGAACACTGATACATCCTCAGGTCTCTCTGGATGACATATTCATTTCCTCAATATCTCACAAGAAACTGCAGGAAATCTTCACTACTGCTGAAGAGATTGGAACAAACCTCCATGATTTTGACTTGGATAAAATTTAACAAACAGTGATGCAGTATAACAAAGATAAACAAGTTCAAAAAGAAAAAAACGTCCAGTTATAAAGAGGGAGACTCTTATAAATATCTAGGAGACTGACATATAAACAAAATTTATTATGGGTGTTATTAAAGAAATAAAATTTTGTACTAAGCCAGAAGCTTTCACTAAAAAGTTTTTAAATACGTTTTCAGCTGAGAAAGCAATTTCAAAGCTAAATGTTATGCATGCTTGTGAAACATGGACTTACATACCAAAAAAACAAATTAAAGCCTAGAAAAATTATATGCGAAAAAATGCAGAAATAATCATCAAATCTCTGTCCCATTCTACACCATATGGTGGAATATAGTTTTCTTAAAATTTCCTTGAAACCTATTGAACATAAGATTTGCAGGAAAAGGCTAATAAATTAACATAAGTTTCTTGAAACCATTGAAAGTAGATTAACCGGGGTAGTCTATGAAAAGCAAAAAGGGTGCCCCCCCCCCAAAAAACTTAAGTAGCATTAAGCAAAATACTCTTTTTGTAAAATATGACTGTTGTTACACTTATTTGTCAGGGCTGCCCTCCTCCCCCCAGACAGAAAGTTGTATCTCAGTCTTTGCATCCACGTTTACTGAAGACATCAATGGTAGTTGTGATTTTACAACCAAATTAATATTATTTATTCTCATTTTTTTGAGGTCAATGTTACAACTAGGGTCAATTAGCCGGGAATATCACTATTGTGTTCAATCTCGTTCATCTGGTTCATTCTGTTCCTATGTTTGTATGTCTGATAATTTTGGCAGCACAACTGTAAAGACTCATTGCCACAACTAGCATCCAGCGCTGTCATCTACCTCCTTGACCGATGTCTGAACTGTGACCCCGCCTTGTGGTGTCAAATGCCAAGTTCTAAGAATGCTCATTATAAATTCTTAAATTAACTACTTACCCATTTTGTTTAATTTAATTTTAGCTTAGTTGCTGCTCCATAAAAAGGCTGTAAATGAAAGATTTGAATTTGAATTCTCAGAAGATTTACACTCGAGACTTAAAACTCAACACAGAGAGCAAATAAAAACCGACAAAGATTACATGATTGTATAGAACGTATTTCAGGCCATTCTGGTAGACTGAGGCAACAACTTACCAAAAGACCGCACCATATTGGGAATGCAACATATGAGGTGAAGAAGGGAACAAAGATAATGTTGATTATGCCAAATAGGAACTGAAGAGACCCGATGATACACTTCACAATCGACACGGCCAAAACAGGTCCAGATTGAAACCTGATAGGAAACTGAAATTGCCTTCTTAGCTGGGGCTGCTGGTTAACAACAAACACGCCAGTGTCTCCAAGCTGATTGTACGGCGGATCGTTGCTTTGGTGCGCCATTGCTACCTGTTGCGTGTTCATCTTCACGAGGCGTAGAAGACATTGGGAGCGCTGTAGCAAACCCCCTAAAACGTTTAGCATTCGATGCGGCCATTATGCTAAACCTTGCAGTTCTATAGCCGCATCGCCGCACTGGCAAGGCGGAATTTCATTCTCGTCCAATTAGATGCTTTGTTTACAATTTGCTAGCCAATCAGAACCCACTAACTTCGCCTATCTGTGAAAGCATAGTCAATAGAAAAAACTCAGCCTTCTTTTTTGCATCCTTTTCTTTATCTCAAACAATAATCGATGACTGTGTTAAAATGAATTTTTCTATAATTTTATAGCTATATAGACTTTAATTCATTTTTCTCTTTTTGAATTAAATTTCTGCGACTACCGTTAAAATGTTATAAAGAGTATATTGAACGAAAGTATTTATTAATGTGTCATAGGGTTTCTTCTAATGTGGATTTCATACTTTACGCCTGAGGGCAAAGAGACAAGGAACATGTGGAACAATCGAAAACAAATCCTTTGGTGTCTTTGATGACCTGAATCGTGGATTGAAGATTGCTCCAAAACTGCCACAAGATCATGTTCAATTCAGGGCCGTCACTAAACACTTGTACTTAGGGGGGGGGGGTTAGGGGGTGCCATTCACCTTTTATCAGTTTTGCACTGAATGGTGTGAGAAAGGATCTTTTGTTGGATTCTACAAACTCGGTCTTCAGTCGTTGTACAAATTGTTTAAAGACGGGCTTTTGTAATGGATAAAGTCTTGGGAAAAAATTTATACGAGTGACAATGACCAAGAAATTGTGTGTGCTTTTGGCAATGTCGTAAAGGAGGCCTCTGGGGTCCTAAGGAAAGCTCTGCTACGGGACCTCTACTTACAGATTGCAAGAAGATCCAATCTAAAGGTGTAGGAGGGCTTAAGGAAAAATCTGCTACGGGAGTTCTACTTACAGACTGCAAGAAGATCCAATCTAAATGGTAGAGCATGTGAAAAACAATAGCAAAATGTAAACATAGGGGCCCAATTGCTATGTACGAAGAAGATTTCTGGTACATAATATGAGCTAAATAAGAAGACGGCAGCAAGAAGGATTGGGCTTTTTTTGTAAAGGTGTTTTCATTAGTAAGGCTTTCGTTGCATCACTTACAAACATTCTTCATTCATCCCTGTGTAACGATATGGGTTCTTGTCATGACGGTGAAGAACCAGTTAATAACCAAGCTCGTTGTTAGTGGAGCTATGGGCTAGGCCAACGGGCCTAAGCCCCAAATAGATAGCACACAAGAGATACTCGTTATCTGATGTTATCTCTATTGTCAAAACAGTAAGACTAAATTATTCTAACTTAGATTACATTATATTAAAACACTGACAAAGGAACACTGTGAAACATCACATAATACGATGACAGTGACGCACATTTCCCGGAAAGGGAGTTACTAACACAACAGCGCGACAAACAAACATGTGACATTAACACGCAACAGAATCAAGGAATCTAGCTTAACATAATAATAACAGTAACTGAAGTTTACAAAACCTAAAACGTTACACCTGTCGAATTCCCATACCTGCTATCCCCCCCCCCCCCCAGCCATGTCCGACACATGACTTGACTTTCATTAAAGGACTATGATAAATGTGTCGAAACACTTATTACTCATTACTATCACAACATACTTCAATTTTTTAAACAAGCAATATTGTTTCTCGTCCCAGTCTCTGCCTATTGTCTAAAATAGAAATGTCTGCTGACTTTTGTTGCGCGTTTACCACGATACCTGCGTGCAGCCCTACTGCTTCTTGCCATTCTTGTGTCACTGCATTGAATTGTTGAATAACAAGTGATTCAAGAACAACGTCAGACTCCAAAGAACCATATAATGCGACGAGAAAGGATTCTATTATTGCAAGACCACAGAACAAAATTATCAATGTCCCTGAAAAACAAAAGTACGAAAATACCTTTGTTTTTGGGACCTGCACGCACGCATTTCTGCCTCGGGCTGTCCAATACGTGCTCCGACCTACTCCCTATCATCACGCGCAGAAACAGTACCCAAAAATGTTCGAAACCGGAGAAATGGGTATAAGGCCGTGAGACTTCGCGTGTCCGCCAATTAATAGTTTCGTGTTCGTCAGACAATTACTTTTAACAAATAAGGGAGCCTATAAAACCTTTTGCAAACTCCAGAAGTCAAGATTCATAAAGTTTTTCAAGATCGAAAGATAAAGTTTTTGAAGATCAAATAATTCAGAGTTCAGTTTATTGAAGGAAAACAATTTTGGCAAGTTGATGTTTTTGACAATTCTGAGCTATTTTTCACATGTCTGTAGATTTGGTATTGTACTGTACTTTATATTTCACTGTATTACATAGGACGCACAATACAGGGTTTCTTTAAGGAAAATTTAGAGTTGCACGTTTTTCTCGGGAGGAATAATTTCTAGTTCTTATAAGTATAAACAAAATGCACCTTATACACAGGTACAGGTAGCTTATGCTCTAAAACCCTTACTTGGGAGGGCGAATGTGAAGAATCCGGTTCGGATAATCCGATTAACCTCATGTCACGTCGAGGATTGTTTTGACTGCTTCAACCAATCACAGGTGGCCTAGGGTCAGAGAACGCTCTCCTGGAAATATGACATCAAACAAAACATGGTACCTCTCCAGATTGTTCATGTCCGCTATCCCCAAGTAAACCTCTTGACACTAATAATATACATGGTCTATATATAAAGCTCCATTTTGTAGAAAATATTTCCTAATAGATTTATAATTTATTATCAATTTGCAGTAAAAGCAAGTAGTAGATTCTAACTCATTGTGAAAGCAAAAACTATATAGTAGGCAAGGGGGCAATTGCCGCACCTGCCGATGAAACATCAGGGGAGCCAAAATGAATTTTGACTTTTCAGGGGCGCCGAAGGCAACCTAGCCAAATAATAAGGAACCTGCCGTTAATTTTGGGCTTATTGCTGAAAGTTCAGATAACGATTTTGATTTGTCTGCAACTGAGAACTACTTGACGTCAGAAGCGTCATTTAAAAAAATTATTGGGAGGGTGCAAGGAGTTTTGATTTACCGAAATGCTAAGAAATACTAGGAAGAAAAAGCTGGGAGATTATTTTCCAATATGCAGAAAATGATGTTGCACAAGCTTAAGTATAACAAAACGATACTAAAATGTCAATTAGAGCCATCAATGCTTTCAGCTTGTGGATATTAATTTAAGAGAATGCTTGCAGTATAAAAACTGCTTCAAAAAGTGCATTTTCCAGCAAACTGGATGCATCAAAATTCGAAAATTTTCTTTCCCTTCGGCGGCAACCATGGTGCCGCCTGGGACAGTAGAAAGCCTCGCGACGGTCCTTGGAATGCTTTTAAGAATGTTTATAGATGTCGCCCAGGATATTTCATGGTTCTAGAGCGATGTTGTAATTATGCTTGTTCAGACAATCCTTAGAACGTCTTCCGTGCAATTCTTTTTGCCGCCTTCAATCAACTCCTGAAAAATCTAGCCACTCCTCTGCATTATTCCTTAAAGTCACTATCACTGGGGTGGGATGACATTTGTGCCCACATTTGTACTTTGACCCATGATGGACTTTGACCTCGTTGGAACAGCACGATCATGGCCTAAGTATCGAGAATTACCTGGGCCTGGGTTGCAATGCACATCAAAGCTAAGCATAATTCGCATTAAACAAGCATCCATAAGTAATTGAAAAGTTATGCAACTACCACAGCTACCATAACGGCTAATTCTAATCTTGAAAAACCTTTGTTTCCTTGGCTTTCTAGACACAAGATGGCCGACAAGGCAAGTAAAAATGCATGCCACATTCTGAGATCCAACATTATCACAGCCATCATAATTTAAAAACAAATTCTCTCCCCGAGAAACATCACTGTAGTGGATCTTGATCTTATCCAAGACTGCATTTCTAACAGGATGCACACGGACACTGAGTATGTTTTGTATCTCATCAAGTAAATTTTGTAAGAGCAGCAAACGGCATGGCCGACTTTGAACGCCATCTTCATGTGCTCTTCACCTGTCTGTCTCTGTATACCAAATATCCAAAGAGCTGCATTCAACTTATTGAAACTTCCTTGTATATAGCAAAAATGAAAATATGAATTAGGCTATATTTTCCTGACATCATAGTTCTACGACTAACTGATAATGAGTGGGTGAGCAGAAATGCATGGCCAAGTAATGTTTGCGAAAGGCCAAAAGAAAGTAATGGGGTCTTACCTATGACATCCACACCAAACCGATTTACCTTCTACAAAAGAGAATTGTTAGGGCTATTGCTTTCAAGAATTTTACATCACCATCTACACCTATTTTCTCTGAACTGAAAATTCTAAAGTTAAATGATTTATTTCACTTCAAGCTACTTATCTTTGTGTATGAATCTGTTCACCTGATTTCTCCTACCTTCTTCCATAATTTTTTTGAAACTTTGTCTACCGTTCATCAATATGATACAAGGCAGGCTCGCAAAGGTGATATTTTTATGACGCGCAAGAATACTTTGCAATATGGCTTACGATCTATTAAATATGCAGGCGCTAAATCCTGGAACGACATTCCACCCAATATTAAACAATCTACTTCAGTAGTGATTTTCCGTCGTGATCTGAAATTGCATCTGTTCTGAACTAAGTACCAATTCTGAATACCTTGATAAGATAATTCTTCCTTACATTGATCAATCGAATCATTAGAAGATTTCATAAATTGAATGATAAGCTCTCTCCTCGATTAGTCTACCTACTGAGAGAGCTCTTCCTTAAGAAATTCCTCTCCATACGAAATTCTATGTACTCTTATTGTAAAATTTGTCATTTTTTGTCATCTGTTTTAATTTGTTATTCTAGTTAATTGTATGTATTTTAGAAAGATTTTTGTATCTAGTGGAATTTTAAAATTAAAACTGAACTGAACTGAACTGAGGCCCAAAGAAAGAGCCCTGATTGACGGGAAGCTTCCTTAAAAAGGTTTTAAATGGCGATTGGATTCTGATTTAGTTGCATTGGATTTTGATTTAGAAATATGCAACAATGAAAAGTATGATTTGCAAAATCTGAAATGTTAGGAAAGAATAAACGTCAATCTTTCAATGAATGGTAGCATCATCTACGGCATATTTTCAGCTAGGGGAAGTAGGGTCCAGGGGCACACTGTAAGTCCTCGAGTTCCTCCACCTTCGTATAAGCTCACCTCAATAAGCCCTCCTCCCTAGAATTGCAGGTTTTTTAATGTGCCTTAACCCTTGGAATAAGCACCCAACCTATAATATGTGATTGATTACACATTCAGCGGAATTAAAAAGATAAATAAATGAAACATTGAAATAGAGACCCACACGAAAAAATAAATAACGAAAATATAAACATTTTGGATTAAAACATCTTTTCATGCTTTATTTTATCCGATGCAAATTTTAGATGCAAATAGTGCACTATGTTATCTTTTAGTAGAACATATTACGGTTGCAAAAAATAGGCTCTTCTCTGGCTAAATTGACGTTAAAGGGAGACCTATTGGAAAATGTCATACAATTGTTGTTTTTCTCGCTTTCTTCATCTGTTTCTCACCTTCTTTCTTTCGCCAAGTCACTCACTCAGTCACTCACTCAATCAATATTTCACTCACTCACTCACTCACTCACTCACTCACTCACTCACTCACAAACTCACTCACAAACTCACTCACTCACTGACTCTCTCACTCACTTAGTCAGACACTTACAAAGTCACTCGCTAACTAGCACACTGACCCACTCACTCACTCACTCACTCACTCACTCACTCACTCACTCACTCACTCACTCACTCACTCACTCACTCACTAACTATTACTCTGTGCATTTTTGTAACCTTTTGCTTTCTTTGCTTTCAAGGGTCAGATGCTCGTGGTATCAGCAGGATAGCTTACTCTAATAAATCAAATTTTTGCATTCAGCCGTGTCTAGAGTCTGGCGCAATGGCAACTGGCAATCAAAGAACAACCCCTTATAACTCGCGGTTTACAGACTTGGGTGTTTCTGTAATCGATCAAGCACCAGAGTCAAGAATTCAACTCCAATTTCCAATCTACTTTTCAAAAATGGGTGTCTTGTCTGTATCCGTTATAAAGTGCGTCGTTGGAAGCATTCAGGTGATATTGGGGATTATAAATATCTTTTATGTTCCCCATTTGTCATCAGAAATTGCAGCTCCAATTTGGTGTGGAGTTTTGGTATGGTACTATTTTTTACTACGTATTGGGATATGATGCTTGCTTTTCGATTGTGATAACTCCCACCCCTTCCCATCAATCCTACTCGTAATGAGACCCCTATTTGAAGAAAAATGATTGACCCGAGCTATGAAATAAAAGTTTTCTTGTGAAAATTATTCTTTTTTAAGTTTTTAAAGTTTTTAGAAAATTGTGTTTTGAGATAGCAACACGTTTATCTTAAATAAAAGCTTTACTTGACGTTTTGAAAGCCGGGGTTGAAGAGAAGGTGCCTTCAAAAAAAGTTCTTTTACATCCCAAAAAATGTTCATAAAATTTCCGTTCTTTCTTTTGTCACTTCAGTAAGATATCCAGCCAAAATAAGATCTAACGAGATGGGGAATTTTGTGAGGCTGACTAGATGTGTTAATCATTTTACAGCGTCAAACTCGTATGGAAAACTAATCATATTAAATGCAACTTTTTGACCAGCTCTCGTCTTCATCACAGTTCGTTTCCAATGGAATTATTGGCTGTGTTCTTTGGAAGAGTAGATCTAAATGCTTGGTAAGTAAAAGTAACAGTTTTTCCTTAGGCAACGAAGCTACACTACATATCATAATCAGCATGCATTCATTCACTTTATTTCAGCGAAGTTAAACAAATTTAGTAAATGTTTTCGCACTGATATACAATGTGCCCTGCTTGTGAACATTTGTAAGAAAGAGATTAAAGAATAAATGATAAATAATAAGAGAGAGATTCAGAACTCAAACGCAAGGTTGTTGATTTAGATCTATAAACTTTTATTTTCTATAATCGATTTCAATCTCTATTTGAAAGTGGTCAGTGAAGGAGCAGTTTCTATTTCATAACTCAATTGGTTCCAAACTGTATCTTTTTTTGATAGGAAGCATAATCATACTGCCAGAGCAATTATCATATACTCGTATATTCTGTATTCACGGAAAAGGTTGGCTGGCTTAGTTATTATAGCCTAATGCAAAAATTAACATAGAAAATAAATTTGAAAAATTATTGGGATTCCAAGGCCGCATTTGTGTAATTGTATATTCCCTGTGACGCACTGAATAGATTCACAAGCAAGGTGCGTCTCTTTCAATGCTATGAGAAGGCTCGTTCTTCCAGCTTAGGCCGGTAGTATTTCTCCAAAGAAGTTAATAAGAGTCCTGTTTACGTATCCATCAAATATCACAATAATAGATTCTCGACAAAAACGAATTGCTGCGGCAAGCTACTCTACCCTTATATAGAGTTTTGCAAGAAATTTCTGGAATATGATCGTACAATACCACATAGAATAGAGAATAAGCAGGTTACATCATGTTAAGCTTACTCTAGAAGTTTCTACAACTATATTTTGTTAGTCAAATTGTTCTAGCGTGTTCTACTTGCAAGCACTATTAAAATAAATTATTCAAAATTTCCCGGTTCATTACACTTTGTAAATCAAGATTTCATTGGGTGAGATGTACAAAGACAGGCCTGTCGAAGCCGGGGGGCTGGGGGACCGGAGCCCCCAAATAATTGTCAAACTGTAGTATATTTCCTTTATAACAGTGTACTAAATGAGAAGGAATACAATGGACAGCCCCCCAATATGAATTTCGTTCCGACGGAACTGAAAATTCAAGATTGCCAGTAAATTTAGAGTGAGTTATTATTGGCCAAGTGATAATATTCTAATTATTAATCAATTTAAAGATTCTCTTTTTGGCTTACATAAGAAAATAGATAAAGTTAAGATCAAAACTGCAGGCATGAATATTGGTGACCAGTGCAGAAGCCCATAGTTTTCATTTTTGAAAGGGAGGATAGCCACAACGTTGTCAAATATATTCAACGTTGTCAACGTTCGCTCAAACGTTGTCACATAAACTCAAATGATCAAGGCTATAAAGACTTATCTGATGACGTCATAAAAGTAAAACAAGAATATAAATTCAACAAGAAAGTTTCTTAGTTTTTATTATTGCCCAAGGAAGCCTTTGTAAAGTCAAGAGCTTGAAAGCTCCCCGGCCAAGCGACTCAATTTTTCACTTGATCTTCTACTCGACGAGAAATTGAGTGAAAAATCGAATCGTTTGGCCACTTTGTCGAATGAGTCGAGTGAGCGCATGGGCAATAACCTGTTTTTGCGCGGGAATTATTTTTGCAGCGAGGAATACATTGCTTGATGTTCAACGATAGTGAATCAGAGTCGCTAAACACGTAGCAATAAGGAAATGTTGCTCCTGAGGGCAGGGGAATGTTGCTCTCTCTGTTTTCAAATTTTGAAGAATTCTCGGAAAAATCATTGTTTTGTCGGAAAATTCTCAAACTTGAGCTGTGGATGGTAAAACGGGAAGTGAAACAAACTTTTAGCGACATAAATTACCTGAATAAAAGGACTCTCCGTATTATCGAATGGCCGCTCTTGTAAAGAGGATACTAGATTTCCACAAAAACAAAATGATGTCTAAGGATTTACCGATTTCTACCATAGAGTGATTTGCTGCTCAGATCTTGTCAATTAAAATCTGAGTCTTCAAAGGCCAAATTTGGTTACGGAAATTTTGGTCAATATTGGTCATAAGATTATATCTTTATTTAATATTGAAAAGCGGGACAGAGACAATTTTGTGCCTATCAAAAGATTGAAAATTGTTTCCCAAAATATTTATGCAGTTATGTTGCATAAGGTAAACCATCTGAAAACGAGAACAAGGAAGTCGATCAATGCCATCGCTTTCAACCAGAGGATATTCATTTTAAGAATAAAAAATTATATTATTAAAGATTAAGAAATTAAGAAAATTACACTTTTTCTAAACTTATTATGTGTGCAAGTTTTCTGTATAAATCAAACAACTTCAATCAACATGGACTTTCTAGCCTATGGTCTATTGTGTAAATTTTTCACTCATACGAGTGTATTTCCCAACAGAAGGAATTCTTTTCTGAAATATTCAACAAGAGACTAGAATCTTTGATTTTTACCATGAAGAGAACTAATTTGTAAACTACATTTATCACTTTACTCTTAGCACATTAAGCACGTTTATGAAAGAGAAACTTTGCAATTTTTTTGACAGACTATCAAAATTTAGAAATTGCAAAGAAACATAACTTTAATTGGTGTATCAAATCTCTTTCTGCCTACAGATAAGAGCATTTTGTGGCCTCAGCGTGGTGTCTTTGGTGTTCTCAACAGCGATGTTGATTGGCTGTTCGCTTTCTCTCAACTACTTTGCAGATGATTACAATTATGAATGGTGCAGTTATAATTATCATACTATGGGTTATAATAGCTGCTACAAAAGTAGACTTTTGCCGGTCTCAATCGTGAGGACCTCTATTGGTTTGTTAGGCTTCCTGATGGCGTTGATCTTGATTGAGCTTGGATGCTCTATTGCTGCTGTTTTTTACTCCTGCAAGGCCTACTCAAAATGCTGTTCAACCTGCCTCATCAAGGACTGTTGTGTCTGTGTCGGCTGCTGCGAATGCGATACCATGCCACTAGACCAGGTAAGCTCGTTTTTTTTAAATTCAGGATTTCCATGCTTTATGAACAAAGACGGTATGTTCGAATTACTGAATAATTGTCAAAGCCTTCTTCGTACAACCAAACAACAATAAAAAGAATATGCTATTATCCTGATCTTCAAGATTTTGATTTCACCCTATACAGAACACCAATTAAGTTGGTTTGCAAGACACATTTCGATCGGTTTTTAATGGAATCAGTTTTTATATTAAAAATAAATTCATGGGAGCTTATTATTACTAAACTGTAGGAAGGGTGAAATTGATAAGGGGGGGGGGGGGCACTACTTCTTGAAAATGATCAGAACAAAAGTTATTGTTCTTTGATACACAAGGATTGTACGATCTTGGAAGGTGCTCACGCGGAGCAGTTAAATCTCTTTAAGTCTTTGGGTCGCAAAATTAAACCAAAATTGAAGTGGCAAAAAGCGAGCTGCAATAGGCTTCAGTATGGAAAATAGCTTGTTTTAAGGACTAGTTTTCTCGTGGCTCACAACTATTTCAGTGCCTTTTTCTGATGCAGGTAGTTAGAGGAGATATAAATCAACAACACATACAATTTTTTGGGGTTTTTAAATCGGATTTTAAAAAATATGGCTCTTTTAGTATACGCAGTTACGGGGGGAATATAGCAGTGGCCTGTCGTGTTTTTATGAGTTGAAAAAGTATGTGCTTGCAATTTTCATCATCATATAAATTAGAAAAAACTTTTTGAGTCTATTATCTAATAATATAGATCATTTTAAATATGCAATTCTTGAATTTTTCTGTCTGTCGTTTAGAACCTAATATGGCATGAGTAGCAAAGTGCGAATTTTTTAAAATTTAGTTTGTCAAATTGACTTTGTAGAAATGAAATTTGACATGAATTAAATTTCTTAGAGGGGGAGATTTGGGGATAGGATAAAACAACATGTTCCTTCCAACATAAGAAACAAAACTGCCCCTCAAAGAGAACAGCCTCCTCGATCTTGTAGGTCTAGAAACATTGTTAAAACAAGTGATTCTGCCATCGGTCAACATCTTTTAGACAACCCAGATTGTGCAAAACTCTATAATGACGACATGTTTCGGATAATTGGCAGAGCCCGGTCGTCTAGCAGTTTTGGAATCGATCTACATACAACGAAAAAGCCGCCATTGTGTAGACAGAAAGAGTTCGTTTTCTCTCTTAAACTCCAGTGGTAATTTTTCTTTAGGCACGCGGCACTGATTGGTCAACTATACCGGCCTTGTGCTTGCTTTCTTTTGATTGGCCTATTTCGATCCACAACTGGGTATATATTTTCCATCGTGTTCTTTCGGACCCTTATTCTGACGTTTTATGCTCTGAGGAGTGTCAGACGAAAAAGCTTTTAGTTTGCTCTGAGCTTTACCCTGTAAAAATATCTCTTTTATTATTATTATTATTATTACTACAGCGAACTCAAGAAACGTCCTTCGTAGCTACACAAAGAGCAAACCCATGCAGCACATTACTCAATGTGGTCATTAGCCTGCCAGGAGCATCTTATTTGGTCGACACCGTCAGATCAGGCCAAAACGAATCGCAAGCTCAGACAGTCCGGATGACAATCCATCCTAGTGATTCGATGCAGACGAATGGAAGCAACGAGCAAACAGATGCACCCGGTTCGTTTACTGGTGTTATTTAATGGGAGCTGCATATTGGCCCATTAGAAAGCAACTTTACAACTTTAGTTAAAATAATTTTCTCGAATCAATTAGCCTATTAACTTTAAAGCTCTTACTTCAAAAGAAAGAAATGTTATCATTACAGGATTTTATTATCATTAGTATAACGACGTCAGGGATGCAAATTAAAATAATTTTTTTGGGAAGGCGGGATGGGTGTCACTACAAGTTTGACCGATTTGCGTACAAAATGAATCGACTCTTTAGAACCAATCCAAGCAGATAAACACAATTAAAATATATTGAGAATAGAGTGAATGTTCAGAGACCTAGTCAAGTGGTAGAATCAGCAATTCACTCTATTTGGAACTGTAATGGTCATTAGACTTTTGACGAGAAGCTAAGGACACCAAATGAAATGTGTTACTTTTGTTTCAATAAATTCGTTCTTTGGGAAAAGTTCTCTTTTGTGGAAGACATAGCACACTGGGACGCAGGCATGGCCCGAAGATCCACTCTTCAAGGATGGTCTAGGGGCATGCTCTTCGCTGGCTCTGCTGGCCTCCTAGAGACTTTATAACAAATTAGGTTGTTTAATAGTTTCACCCTAGTAAAGTCCTACTGTTATCTCAAGTCACTTACTTGAAGGAACTATCACAGGTTCATTAAAACAACAAATAGTTCCAAAGAAAAGTGTGCGCTGAGCTAAAACGGTATGAAACCTACGATGTTCTTTAAGTAAAATGAATTTGACAGATTACGTTGATTTCTAAACATTGTCTGCATATTTCTAATGAGTAAATGTTTAAAGAATAACTGGAAATCTACAATTGTTGGTTAGGACCGACTCTCTCCATCAGGACCGACACTCCTTCATAGGGTTTTTATTCTCTCTTGCCTATAATGCTCTCACCCGTGTCAGCAAATTTATTAAAGAAAGAGGCAGCAATTACTGACTTTACTAGTATGGACTCTGATTCAATAACACAGACGGTGAAATATCAGGAAAGCATCTAGCCACTCCCTATAGCTCCTCAAAAAAATAGGTAACGGCTGACCCTCCCCCCCCCCAGCCCTATTTCAGTATCTAAAGTTACATCTATAGAATCTGCCACAATTGCTAATCATTTCTTATATTAAACTTATATGAGAATCTTTAATTAACCACTTTTGGTAGCCTTCTATGTTAATTACATTTATCAATAAGGAAATATTGTAAATTATTATAATATGTAATTTCAATCAGAATTGTAAATTAAAAGGAGTTCAATACAGTTGTCATTCAGTAGGGGCTCTTTGTATCAAAATATTGACGCTGTTGTAAAGTCGCGACTTTTATCACCGTTTTTTAATCAGTTTATTTGTATTTTTCCCCAATTTGCAATTAAATGTATTGCAATCTTAACTTTGTGATTTAGCTGTTCGGAAACAACGTAGAATTTCAGGAGCCCATTGACATTTGGTGATAGGGATTCATCGTGGAAGTTGGACGACATTACACTACGGGTAGGGTCTCATTTTGGAAAAAGTAATGCAATTATAGTAAATAATAGGAGCCTTTGCTCTTGCAATTGATGTTAAAACCTAACTTCTTGACAATTTAACTTTCCCCTTACCATTCCTTGATGTATTAATTAAGGGTGACAAAGCTGCCACAGAACGTTGTTGTGAAGGTTTTCCTTTATGCTCAATATGGCAACAGAAATAGGGGAGAATGACAACTGGCCTGCCCCTGCCTGCGATGCCCTATAGTCAGGCTGGCCAAAATACTCTTAAGGCTCTTACATCTAAGAGCAATACTTTCCTGTGCCCCTTTGAATGGCTGAGTTTTGTTGTTTACGAGGGAAATAAGTTGAGCCATAGAGACTGTAAAAAACCATCACATTTTGTGATGACAGCAAAAAGGGGATCCTTTTGAGTAACAGGTAAACATTTTTACAGTAGATCAAGTACGGTAACATCTGACGAACCCCTCTCTCCATTCAAATTTGGGGTATGTGAGCTTTGATAGCAGTGATGTCAACATGAAGTTTAGGGAGGAGAAGGTACGATATTTCTAAACCGTATGTCCGGGGTCTTAGTCACACTCTTTTATTATAAGAACCAGTAAATTTAATTTAAGGCTGACTGTTCTTAATTTTTTCGAAAATCTGAGGCTGTATTGTTCTTAATTTGTTCTTAAATTAAGAGGGTGTAAGCAGTGCTATTGCTAGCTTTTTCGCTCTAAGGAGGTGTTCAGGCCTCATTTGCCAACAAAGTGAGTGAGGCAGCCTTAATTTGCTGACAAATTTGAATATTCACATAAAAAAGCACCCACACATCGCTAAAAATCCTCGATTTTTAGAAAAAAAGTTGTTCAAAATTGCATTTTGTAGAAGCTCAGCCTCAGCTTGTTCTTAATTTGTTCTTAACTTTTGACCAGTTTTGAGGCTCATGTTCTTATAAAATTGTTCTTATAAAAAAAAGAGTGTACCTCATTATCATCAAATGTAGGTGTAGGTCAGTAGTGAGAACATCACAATTATCTCAAAGCCTGATTCAAAAATGTAGCTGGGTAACATGCAAACACTCCGGGGTGTCTCGCCTGGTATATATTTACCCTCCCTGGGTGCCTTGCCTAGCATTATTCTTGGAACAGGCTTAGAGAAAATTGTGAATGACCACAGAGTTGTTATGAACATCCATGCCCCCTGTGGTATCGTTACCGTACCGTGGTTTGTAGTAGCGTATTGTAAATTTCTATGAGCATGAAAAAATTGTTTTAAATCAAGCAATATTGTTTCTCGTGGCATTCGCCATTGCCAAAAATCTTCTGGCCACAAACTCAAATTTGTTTTGTTATTGCTTTAGATTGTATTGAATTCATTATTACCTTTTCTAAAATAGAAATTGCTGTTGACTTTCTTTCACGTCACCAACAATGCCTGCATGCAGTTTTACTGCTTCTCTCAACTCTTACGTCATCGCATTGAATTGTTGAACAATTAGGGATTCAAGAACAACGCCAAACTGCAAAGAACAATAGTATGCGACGGAAAAGGTCCTTTTGTTGCAAGACCACAGAACAATAGTTTTTGTGAACTGCACGCACGCATTTTTGCCTCAGGCTGTCCAATACGTGTTCCGACATACTCCCTATCATCACGCGCAGAAACAGTACCCATAACCGTTCGAAACCGGAGAAATGGGTATAAGGCCGTGAGACTTCGCGTGTCCGCCAATTAATAGTTTCGTGTTCGTCAGACAATTACTTTTAACAAATAAGGGAGCCTATAAAACCTTTTGCAAACTCCAGAAGTCAAGATTCATAAAGTTTTTCGAGATCGACAGATAAAGTTTTCAAAGATCAAATAATTCAGAGTTCAGTTTATTGAAGGAAAACAATTTCGGCAAGTTGATGTTTTTGAAAATACTGAGCTATTTTTCACATGTTTTTAGATTTTGTATTGTGCTGTATTTTGAATTTGATTTAAGGAAAATTTAGAGTTACTTGAAAGTAGAGCACTTTTTTCTCGGTACAAGGAGTTTGATTTACTGAAATGATAAGAAATGCTAGGAAGAAAAAGCCGGAAGATTATTTTCCAATCAGCAGAAAATTATGCCGCACAAGCTAAAGTAAAACAAAACGATACCAGAAAATTGATTATAACCATCAATGCTTTCAGCTTGTGGATATTCATTTCCATTTAAACTGTTTTTCATTGATTACTTTCATATACGCAAAAACGAGACTTCAAACATGAAAAAGAGGCTGCCCCCGCTGCCCCCGTGCTTCCGGCGCCCCTGATGGCAAAGTAATTTTTCCGAAAGGCCAAAAGAAAATAATGAAGCCCAAAGAAAGAACCCTGATTGATGGGATGATTCCTTCAAAAGGTTTTAAATGGCGATTTGCTTCTATTCTGCACTAACTGCATTGGATTCTGATTTAGAAATAATGCAACAGTTAGAAATATGATTTGCAAAATCTGAAATGTTAGGAAAGAATAAACGTCACCCCATGTCAGCATCATCTACCGCATATTTTGAGTTAGGAGAAGTAGGGTCCCGGGGCACACTGCGAGTCCTCGAATTCCCCCTACCTTTGTATGAGCTCTCCTCAATAAGCCTCCCTCCCTAGAAGTGCCAGTTTTTTAATATGTCTTCATCCTTAGCATAAGCCCCCAACCTATAATATGTGATTGATATCACATTTAGCGGTGAATGAAAAAGCTAAGTAAACGAAACGTTGAAACAGAGAGCCCAAAAACAATGAAAAGATGAATATTTTGGATTAAAACGTCTTTTCATGCTTTAATTTATCCGATGCAAATTTTAAAAGTTTCTGTAGTCTTTTCTATAGTTTCAGTGTAACAACAATCTCAAGGAGCTATCATTTATTATCAAATAATTAAAATGCTCTTCAACGTTTCAGATAAAAAGCTCTTCAACCAAGTAAATTTCCAGCGACCTTTAGATAAATGGGTTAAAATAAAATTCTGCAAAGTTACTCATTTATACACCCTTGGAGATAGGACTGCATTCAGTAGAAAAAACTGTTTTAACTGAATAAGGCCAATTTTTCTTGCTTATTTTTTCGGGTTTCACGTACAATAGTGCACTATGGTACCTTTGCATATATCAGAGTTGCAAAAAATAGGTTCTTCTCTGGGTAAATTGACTTTTAAGGTAGACCTATTGGAAAATGTCCGGCAACTGTTGTTTTTCTCACTTTCTTAATCTGTTTCTCACAAACTCAGTCACTCAGTCACTGACTCACTCACTGACTCACTCACTGACTCACTCACTCACTCACTCACTCAGTCACTCACTCACTCACTCAGTCACTCACTCACTCACTCAATCACTCACTCACTCACTCACTCACTCACTCACTCACTCACTCACTCACTCACTCACTCACTCACTCACTCACTCACTCACTCACTCACTCACTCACTCACTGAGTCACATACTTACTAAGTCACTCGCTAACTAGTACACTGACTCTCTCACTTACTCATTCATTCACTTACTGACTATTACTGCATTTTTGTAACTTTTGTTTTCCTTTGTTTTCAAGGATCAGATGCTCGTGTTCTCAGAAGGATGGCATACTCTGATGTATCATATCCCCGCATTCAGCCGTGGCCGTGTCTAGAATCGGGCGCAATGTCAACTGGTAATCAAGATCCACCCCCTTATAACTCGCAGTTTACAGACTTGGGTGTTTCTGTAATCGATCAAGCACCAGAGTCAAGATTTCAACCCCAATTTCCAATCTACTTTTCAAAAAAAGGTGTCTTATCTGTTTCCATTATAAAGTGCGTCGTTGGAAGCATTCAGTTGATACTGGGGATTATAAACATTATTCATGTTCCCCATTGGACATCAGAAGTTGCAGCTCCAATATGGTGTGGAGTTTTGGTACGCTACTATTCTTTACCACATATTGGGATATGATGCTTGCATTTTGACTGTGATAGCCCCCCCCCCCCCCCCATCAATCCTACTCGTAATGAGACCCCTATTTGAAGAAAAGCGATTTACCTAAGATATCCATGAAGAATGAGATTCCTTGTTATCACGGTCACAAAACCAACCGCTATGCGTAAGAGTTTTCTTATGAAGAAGGGTTTTCTTGTTGAAAACTTTTAGAAAATTGCATTTTTTTAGATAGTAACGCTTTTACCTCAAAGAATAGTTTTTTTCGACGTTTTGAAAACAGGGGTGAAGAAAAGGGACCTTCACTGAAAGCTCTTTACATCCCAAACAAAAAACTCAAAATAGCTGTGGCATGAATGATGTAGGTTAAAGTCTTTCTTGTGAATTAGCATTTGCATTAAAAATTAACTTCCGTCCCTTTAAATTACCATTTCAGTAAAATATCTAGCCAAAATAAGATTTTACTAGGCCTAGCAGCCATATCCGGTGACGCAATGGGAAATTTTGTGAGGCTGACTAGATGTGTTAATCATTTTACAGCGTCAAACTCGTATGGAAAACAAATCATACTAAATGCAACATTTTAAACAGCTCTTCTCTTCATTCGTAGTTCGTTGTCAATGGAATTATTGGCTGTGTTCTTTGGAAGAGAAGATCTAAATGCTTAGTAAGTGAATGTAACAAAAGGAAACGCAGCTACACTACGTATCATAATCAGCATGCATTCATTCACTTCATTTCAGCAAAGTTAAACAAATTTAGTAAATGTTTTCGTACTGATTTACAATGTTCTTTTAAACATAACTAGTCTAATTACACATGAAGATAGAAAATACATAAAAAGTGAGGGACTCAGATATCATACGGATGTGCTGGACGTTGATCTAGATATACTGTAAACTTCTTTTAAATTTTTAATCGTTTTCAATCTCTTTTTGAAAGTAGCCAGTGAAGGAGCAATTTCTATTTCATAACTCAATTGGTTCCAAACAGTATATTTTTTTGATAGGAAGCATAATCATACTGCCAGAGCAATTATCATTTATTCGTATATTATGTTTTCACGGAAAAGGTTGGCTTAGTTACTACAGCCCAATGCAAAATTTGCATAGAAAAATGCCAAGGCCACATTGGTGTAAATGTATTTTCCCTGTGAGACACTATGAGAAGGTACGTTCTTCCAGCTTAGGTTGGTTGTATTTCTCCAAAGAAGTCAATAAGAGGCCTGTTTACGTATCCATCAAATATCACAATAATAGGTTCTCAACTAAGACGAATTGCTGCAGCAAGCTACTCTACCCTTAAATAGTGTTTGAAAGAAATTTCTGGAATATGATCGTACAATATCACATATAATAGAGAATAAGCAGGTTAAAGCATGTTTCGTAAGGCTTACTCTAAAATTGTTATGATACCTCTTTGTTAGCAGGGTCTTGACGTTAGATTTCACCGGTAAAATACAATTGAATGATATGTCTGACATAGCTTTCTGCACCTCTTCTGGCCCGTGGGTCTGTTGTCTGCCTACTCTAAGGTTGCAACCCTCTATTTATACGGGTTTCTATTCCGACCAAAGACGTTACCGAAAGAGACCATAAAAATTCCAAAACTAAGGGATGATAGAACTCAGGAAACTCCTCCTACAGTAGAAAGAAATATTCAAATTTAACAAAATTGATTTTACCAAGATAGAGTAAGAGGAACCGTACAAAACCATTATAGAAATCTGAAAGCAACGGCTCATTCGCATCAACAAGACTTGCTCTTGTCAAAAGTGGTCTTGTTTAGGACAACAGAGCCCGTTCCACCGGGAATCGGGATGCGAAAAGGGAGGTCAATCGACGAGTTTTAGTTAGGCTTTCTTAGCTCTCTTATTTTGTTTTAATTTTACGTAAACAATTTAATATATCGTAAACAACATTATTGGAACTGAATAAGCGATAATCAGATTATTTGCGTAATCGAAAGTCTTTAGCTTGTTTGCAGCAAGAAGTCATAAAAATACCGTTCTTTGTAACAAATTATTCTAGCGTGTTCAGATCAAGTTCAGATCAAAACAGCAGGCAAGGATTGGTGACCAATGCGGAAGCCCACAGTTTTCATTTTTGAAAGGGAGGATAGCCATAACGTTGTCAAATATACTTAACCTTGTCAACGTTCGCTTAAACGTTGTCACATTATCAAGGCTATAAAGACTTATCTGATGACGCCATAAAAGTAAAACAAGAATATAAATTCAAGAAGAAAGTTTCTTAGCTTTTATTTCTGCCCAAGGAAGCCATTACACAATAGCTGTTTCTCATGCTTATATAGATAGATTCCAAAACTGCTAGATGGAACGACGATCGGGCGTTACCAATAATCCGGAAAATGTCGTCATTATAGTTATTTGCACAATCTGGGTTTTCCAGTAAATGCTGCTTGATAGCAGAATCGCAGATTTTAGTTGTACTTTTAGATTTGCAAGACCAAGGTGGCTATTCTCTTTGGGGATGAGTTTTTTTGCTAATACTAGACGGAACATGAACAATCTATCCTCCACTCTTTGGATAGTGCATCCTACGTAGCCAGAATCGCACTGGCACGTAAATTCATAAATATCGGAACTCTTTTGGGAACGCAATCCTTTTGAGTGGATGGAAGGGCCTTTTTTCGTACTATAAACAACAAGTGGATCCACAACTGGGTATATATGTTTCCTAGCGTAGAGATTTCGATGTATTTTCTGACGTTTTAACCCTGAAGAGTGTCAAACGAAAAGATTTAGTTAACTCAAATGTTTGCTTTTTTCAAAGCCATTTTTAAGTTTTGTACCACCAAATATTGTAAGTATAACTTTAATTAGTGTATTAAATCTTTTCCTGTTGACAGATGGGAGCATTTTGTGGCCTCAGCGTTGCGTCTTTCGTACTGTCAACAGTGATGTTGGTTGGCTGTTCGCTTTCTCTTGACTACTTTGCAGATGATGGCAATTTCACACCTGGATGGACCATTTGTGATGTTGGTGATTATTCTCGCGGTTACTGCTACCCGTTAATACTTTTGCCACGCTCAGTCGTGGAGACCTCTCTTGGTTTGTTAGGCTTCCTGATGGCGTTGATCGTTATCGAGCTTGGGTCCTCAATTTCTGCCATCTTTTACTCGTGCAAGGCCTACTCTTCTATCGGCTGCTGCGAATTGATTCCTAACCAGGCAAGTTCAGCTATTTTTAAAATTCAGGAATTCCATGCTTGATGAAAAGAGACGGTATGTTTGAATTACTGTATAATTGTATAACTGATTTCACATTGTACGAAACACTAGACTTTCCCAACGTCTGTTTTTTGTTGGAATGAGTTCTTGAATTAAAGCTGAATTATGAAAGCTAATTATTGTGCTGTAAGAAGGATATAATTTTTGAGGGCACTGTTGTTTAAAGATAATCGGAACAAAACGGGTTGTTTCTCGATACGAATATGCCAAAGGATTATAAGATCTTAGGAGGATCTCACGCTAAGCAATTAGATTTTAAGGGAAAAGCAAATCAATGAAATTGAAGGCAAAGGTTTATTTGCGTCACAAAATAGCAAGGAGTCAATAAAACGCCCATTTTCTCCTCTAATGTTACATTTATCCTACACCTGGACCAAATGAATTTTAGTATGTCATGCCTCTCTTAAAATGAAATTTAAGATAGAATTTCCGCGGTTTTTAGATAAAATGGAAGAAACATTTCTTCAGTACAGCGACTATTTTGAAAGAAATTAGATGTGCATCTATACATAATAATGATAAGGCATTAATATTTTCTGATAATAATATTTTTTGCCTTATTGATTTAAAGATAATAGGACTTGTTATAAATTACTTTTAGTATCGTAAAACACTTTTTTCGTAAATAAATCCAGCAAGGGTAACACAAGCTTTTAGTTGAAAAGTTTTTGCCAGGTGAGTCTATCTTTTGCTAGATCACAAACTGCTTTTCATTCGATTTTATAAATATCCCGTAGGATTGATTTTATTTTTGAGAGCCAAGTTAGTTTTGGGCGGCCTCTTGGTCTTGTAAATTTTTGGCTAGCTTCGCAGGGGTTTGTTCTGGTAAACGAAGTGCATGCCCTAACCATCTAAGTTGACGTTTTTCGATTACTTTGGCCCATGGAATTTCATTAATTGTTGGCAGACTTCTTGCAACTTTTGCATTAATATTCGCATGCATAGTCACATTTGCATCTTGTGATGGTAAAAATTTCAATAATTTGTTATAAAGACTTATTAAAATCATCATGTAGCGACGGCAACAGCCTAGACTGCAACAGCAACAACTACAGCAGCAACAACAGCGAACTCAAGAAACGTCCTTCGCAGCTACACAAGGAGCAAACCCGTGCAGCGCAATACTCAATGTGATCATTAGCCTGCCAGGAGCGTCTTATTTGGTCGACACCGTCAGATCGGGCCAAAACGAATCGCAAGCTCAGACAGTCCGGGTGACAATCCATCCTTGTGATTCGATGCAGACGAATGGAAGCAACGAGCAAACAGATGCACCTGGTTCCTTTAATAACGTTAGTTAATGGGAACTGCAAATTGCTCCATTAAAAAGCAATTTTATAACTTTATTTAAAATAATTTTTTTTGAATCAATTAGCCTATTAACTACAAAGATCTTACTTCAAAAGAAAGAAATGTTATCATTACAGGATTTTATTATCATTAGTATAACGAAGTCAGGGACGCAAATTAAAATAATTTTTTGGGAAGAGGGGATGGGTGTCACTACAAGTTTGACCTATTTGCGTACAAAATGAATCGACTCTTTAGAACCAATTCAAGCAGATAAACACCATTAAAATATATTGAGAATGTGTTTGAACCTTGTGAGATGAACCATGTCGTTGACTTGATTTAGCGGTGATGAAATAACATAGAATTTTAGAGGCCCATTGACTTATGGTGAAAGGGATCCAACACAGCAGTTGGGCGATGTTACCCAACGGATAGGGTCCCATTTTTGGAAAACTTAGTGAAATTATTGTACATAATAGGAACCTTTTCTCTTACAATTGGTGTTAAAACCTTACTTCTAAGCAAAATTAACTTTTCTCTTACCATTCTTTGACGGTATTAAGCCTGAGAAGAAAGTTTTTGTGAAGGTTTACTTTTGTACCCAATATTACAACAAAAATAGGGGGAAAAAGCAACATTGACAGCTGACCTACCCCTGCCAATTGCAGATGTTCTTTAGAATGGTCCTAGTTGGGATCCAGGGGCGAACCCTAACAATTCCAAACATGCTATTTTCTGTTGGTAAGTATTGACAATATATGATGTAACCTCGTTCAATTAAAAAATAGTTAGACGGGACCATACTTCGATACATGATGGAGATGAATATTTTTAATGGCCCTTTTGAGGCTACCAACACTTCAAGGAAGACGTAGTCAATAATTAATTTTCATGACAATTTTACATCGCTGCTTTGTTTAAATAACCAATGAATTTCTGAGATAAATGCCATTTATGTTTAAAAAAAGCAAAGAAATTCATGGAAGAAAACTCGCTTTTCTAATGAAAGTTAAAATGCTGAGGGAATCGAGAAGGAAAAACGACGGATTAAAATGACAAAGCTTCATAATCATGGTCATGAAAACAATGGTTTCAGATAATGTTGCAAATTAATTTCGGCATCGATTTACAAGTATTCACTACAGGCCGTATCCGTTGCATTGATTATCAGTTTTGCAATATATATTCTACTGGATACTGTCATTTAAATTAAAACAGGGGCGTTGTGGCCAGGCAGGACACCGGGAAATTTCCCGGTGGGCCCCTTTCAAGTGAGTTTGTAAAACCCAGGACTTCTGTGGAAGAGATGCGTGGAATATGAACAGGGCCCCCGAGAGGGGGACAAGAAGGGGCAAACTGCGCCAGGGCTTCGAGTTCAAGGGGCCTCTTAAAGCAAGGAATTCAAATTTAGGAACCGAATTTTAACGAAACGCAACAAGGTATGCCTAAAATGGCAAACGACTGCAAAAAACATTCTGAAATGTACTTCAAGCTTATTTAAAGGGCATGGCCTCAAAAACTTTTTCTGCTCACTTCGCTCGCAGTGCCAAAACTACCTTGTCACGTTTGTGTTTGTATCAGGTGTTCACTACAGCATTGGATTTGTTCTACATTTTTGCAGTCTTAAAGAGACCATGGCTGGAGAAAAGAGGACACACTTCAACAAATATAGCAAACGAATCTTTAAAGATGATCTTTTTTATTTTTCATAGGTGCATGGTTTTCAGGTGCCCTTTTTGGCGACCTGTGGTTTGTGATTGGAGATTTCATATAAATGAATGGGCCCCCTTGTGATCATTTTTTCTCCCGGCCCTTCTCTAGGAGCCGCAACGCCCCTGAATTAAAAGTAAGCTTTGAAGAAACATTTAGGTAAAGATCAACAAAACCAGGCAACTCGAAACCCGTCAGCAAATTAATGTGATCTGAATGATGCCATCATCAAACGTACGTCTACGATAGAGTAGTTTGTATATATTGATAACATGCAGCTACAATGCCAATAGCAGGGCCCACGCTACGAGGGTGGGGGCAAGGGACCATGGCCTCCCCATTTTTTCGATAAATAAAAGGCTAAAAGTTAAAGTATTCATATAGATAAACCAACAAAGATATTGAACAAATGTCCACAAGTAAAGCAGCGTCAGCTTAATGATTGCCACAATTGGGGCAATTGATGGCCCCTCAAGTTTAGGGTTAGTGGCACGGGCCCTGAATAAATAAATTGGTTAAAAGAAAGAGGTGAATTTCATCAGGCGGATGGCATGTGGGATGGTCGTCGATTTAGTTTCTTGATGACCATAACACTAAGGGCTGTATCAGACACGAAATGATCTACAGGATCGTAAATTGAAATTACGGTTCATCCATAACAATTACTTTGACATTACATGTCTTCGACTTTCTATCTACAATTATAAATCCAAATACCAATTTATATTTCTGATTACATACCCCATCTGAACCCTTGCTGTAAATGTCATTCACTTTAGGTAGGTGCTTGTCTTGGCTCGACGAGAATTTCGTTGATTGCGCAATACTCCGGCTGAGTGATGGCAAATACAACAGCATTAGCTATGTCTTCCGGTTCTAATATCTTTGGAGTTTTATCGCTCATGTCGTATTCACTTTTTGCCTAACAAATGAAAAGAAAAGAAATAAGAAACTTCATATGATGTATCTCCTTTAGGATAGGAGCAATAGGAACAATTCCTTTACAAAAGTGTCCCAAATAAATTTATCCCTTCAAGGGCACTGCATTTTTGGGCTCTTTAAACTACTGACAAAATTCAAGGGTCATCGGGAGAAACCTCGTGTCCCGAAGTTAAACTGGGGATGCATACCAGGAGCAAAAATTCCTGTACATGTAGGAAAGCATCAAGGCCACCATCCTTTTTGTCTCAAAGTCTTGGGGTGTTACCCCTGACTATCTCAACACATTGCCAATCTGACGTTTGGTTATGAAAATGAGAAAAAACACTGAAGAGCTTAAACTCACTATTTTGTTACAACAGTGTGAAATAATCAATGATATGTTAATACTCTTTTGCAATTATTATCCATTCAAGAGGTGACATGATAGGATGCTTTTGATTAAAGACATACAATGTTGCAAAGTATGACTTTTACATTGAACTCTGATTTCGCCCAATATCCGCCAATCTGGAACGGTTCTCTGTCTGCACACCAGAGAAAAGCACAAAAACGGTCACAGAGTACACGTCCAAATACCGAACATTCTTCCGCGTATGATTTAGCACACTAAAGATGTCGAGATGGCTGGCTAACTAGCGATTTGCTTGATTCCCCAGAGTCACTAAGCAGAAATTTCTATTGAAAGATATTTGATTGATTGATTGATTGATTGATTGATTGATTGATTGATTGATTGATTGATTGATTGATTGATTGATTGATTGATTGAGTGATTTGATCGTATTAAGGTCGCTTCAAGGAAAAAGGTACCAACCTCCGCGTCAGTTGTATGATGAATAAGCTCTGTGCGCACATCACCTGAAAGAATTCAACAGCCAATAAACAAGCAGTCGGTTATTATGGTCAATGTTTTTTTAAGAAAATACAGAGACACAATCAAATCAAAGAACAAATCGAAAATGTTCAACTTTCAAAAACAGAAAGCCGTTTGGTGAACGTACTGTTTTTGAATGTCAAAATATATTCTGCGCATGCTTGTACCGTATATCCTTTCCGTCCATACCGTAAAGAGGAAGTCCACCTTAAACCAATGACATCTTAAACCAGTAGGTAAACAATAACATATTTTTGTGGAAGTCGGTTTGAAAAATATAAGCAAGTAGATAAAAACCAATCACCTGGTTGGATTGTTGTTACTTTAATTCCAGAATCCGCGGTCTCGAGACGAAGGCCTTGAGAAAAAGCTTCTACGAAAAATTTGCTGGCTGAGTAGACAGAGAGACCAGGAAAAACCTAAAAGAAAATTGCTTTTAAATTCTACAACATACGACTATAAGAATGAATTAAAACAAAATTATAACATACAGTGAATATTGAACTTGAAACCTGTTGGTATAAAAAGCTATGACGTGAAACATGCATCGAGCACTACATGACAGACCCTTAAAACTATCATTTTCGTTAAAAGCAATCTAATAAGGAGGCTGTGTTGAAAGCGAGACTGAAAGGTAAACTTACAAATGGGATATTGGTATTATTGGACATTATAAACATTAGCAAAATTATCCGCTGTAGAGGTGATTTGTCGATTGTGTTAGGAATTTAAGTAGAAGAGTTTTAAAGTAAGATTTTTAACAACACACACGTCTGAGATAATTTGGAAGATAAAAAGAAGATCAAATAAAATCATAATTTTACGGTAACTATAAATTAATCATAAAAGTCCATAACAATTTAAAAACATGAAAAAAAGAAGAGTCAGGAAACAATGAAAATATACCGTAAATAATGTGTTAAAATGAAAAAAAAGAAAATAAAAATAACAAGGCCATCATAAAAAAATGAAATAAAAAGGCAAATGTGAAAGCTATGAAATTACCAACAAAAACCAATTAATCACAAAGTAGTTATTTAGCGCTTGATTGTTGCAATAGTTTTAAAAAATGAGTAGCATTATCCAGCATCATTTTAAGGACTTAAAAAATTGAAAGCAGAGAACTGGCTCACTTTTCTTCCTGCATCTGAGGATATATTTACAACGTGTCCGGATTCTCGCTGTAGCATACCGGGCAGAACTGCAGCAACAGTGTTGAGTATACCCTGAAAAGCAAATAAAACTTGATTTGTATCCGCCCTAGTGGAAAAACGTAAATCAAATATATAACATGCACAGAAACTGCTTAGCTAAATGACGTATGGATAAGTTAAACTAAATACGAATACTGTGAAATACAAATAATGTTTAGAAATGCAAGGAATAATGTTAAAGTTCATATTCATCATCATATTTATTATAGTGGCTACAGATTTGAATATGTTTTCACAAAGAACACACGATTTCTGCTGCAAGTTACCTACAATCCCGGACAAAAATGTTGAGACAAAATGCAATTTAGTGGAAGCACGTTGGTGAAAGCACCTTAGTGGAAGCATAATGGTGGAAGCACCTTAGTGGAAGAACCTTGGTGAAAGCATTTTAGTGGGAGATCATAGTGGAAGCATAAGTCCAAAATTAATTAAACAGTAAAATTCTCTTAAGAACGGCGTGACTTGACAAAAGTCTGACCTAGTAAAACAGAATTATCCGGTCTATAGCGGGATTTAAATGAAGTTAATTGGTTGGTAATCTTCATATAAATGCAATAATTCCAATATAACACAGCGCCATAACCACAAACATAACCAGTGCATTGTGGTGACATTATAATCTAAAGATGATCTACACAGCTTAAGAAGTACAGCATGCTTCAAGCAGAGTTTCTGCATTATTAAGCCGGAAAGATTACGTGAATTGATCTTAATTATTTTAATTTGTAAACGGGCGGAGCGGGTTAGGTACCTGTAATATTAATCTGAAACCCGCGAGTAAAGTATTCATGCTCTAAATGCGGTAACCAGTAGCGTATAAAATAGAAATATTGAGGCAATAAAAATGAAATCCGTGAAAGACCGAGCTCGAATTGAAGAAAGCTTGATATACAAAAGCGGGAAGCATATAGTTTGATCAACATACATGTTATTCACTGCAACTCTAGCTGGATATGTTGTGTGGTTATAGGATAGCCTAGGCACACTCGAATGAACAGTCGAGAATTAGACAGTGGAAGTACACTCTGCGAACAACATATTTGCTTGCCTGAATTTGGCTTGGAAACATTGCTGTTGAAATTTCGACATCAAGTTTTGCCTGCGAAGTATATTGATAAAGGATCGCGAGAGAAATTGTGCCATCATATGAGTATCTTGACTCGTGACTTTGTCCAGGCTTGTCATTCAATTACAAGAATTGTGGCAAATATCTTTACTGCTTAGAAAGAACGGTTGTTTTTCATCGATGCATTAGAAGAACTACCAGCGGAATTTGGAATTTCCATTTGGTGTTTAAAGAGCCAAATACATACACACTGAAAGTATCAACGTTGGGATTGGCTATTAGCATCAACAATATGAATAATCGTAGCTTTCAAGAAGATCAGGGTCAGTTGCCAGTTTATCTGATGGTCATCATAAACATAATTTTGGTTTTCGTTGTTATTGGCAACAGCATAGGGATCTATTTGCTGAAATCATTGAAAGATAGAAAAACCAATCAAATGATAATAATAATGAACTTGAGCATTGTCGATATAATACTGGCACTCATTTGGTTCAGCAATGTGATCCTATCCATAGCTGACCCTAGCCTCGCAAACGATGATAAGATTGACGGCATTTTGTGGTGTGTAAGAGCCGGTGTCTATTTGACGTGGTATGCAACGATATTTTTAATAACATTCGATCGCTTTCTAGGCTGCAATTTTCCAATCAAACACAAAGTGTTCATTAGAACTAAGGTCATCTACATGTGTTTAGCGACGTCTTGGACAATCACCATGCTGTTCGTTGTGATCACTTGCTTTTTCAACACCAAATCATTGCAACACCGTTTTGATCTTTATATTTGGGTGACGATAGATTCTTGTTTTATCATACTTTTTATCGCTACATATGCTTCAATTTTCCTTTATCTGAAACGCAAAAGAGGGGCAGGCTCGACCAATAACAATGATGTGGACAAGTTCATGCACACCGTTGCAGCCCTCACGATGGCTTTTTTCTGCTTCGAGATTGTTCCTACGTTACTTAAACCCCTCCACATGAAAGGGTCTGCGACCTTCGAGAAAGTTCGGTCGATATTATATACCTTGAATCTTTTATTTGACCCCGTACTTTATGTGTTTTTGCAACCACAGGTCCGCAAGCACGCCTTTGCTTCGCTTCATCAAATGCATTTGCGACTGAAATCTATGTGTGTAAGGTCATCGGAAGACGAAGAGTACCCTGTTGCTAATTTATAGAACAAATCACACTCAAAATTTATCCCAATGAATTGCTAAAAGCGAACTTTCACGTATTACGCCAACAATCTTTGATTCTCACGAAGTGAACGTTTGATGTCCTAAGTATAGTGCAAAAAGGAAAGGCAATGAGAGGTGCTTTTGCTTGCACACAGAAAGAGTGATTGAAAACTTGCCTACCTTGATGCAAAGCAATAAAGAGTTGGATACAATTTTAAGCTCGTTCAACAAAAGATTGGTTTGTCAAGGTTAACCATTTTACAAAAAAATAAGGAGCTTCTGCAAGCATTTATCAATGGAAAGTATTCAAAATATCAACGCTCACCCTAAATATAGAGGCAACATCAACAAAACTCGGTGGCCGTATAGCAGATGTGTAATGCAACAACGTTTGCAGAAAGCTGTGGCATGACTGCTCGCCGTGGATATCCTCGCTAAATAAACTTTTCCGAAATTCGAAAAAGTTACAATGAAGTCTTTAGGCAAAATGTAATTTTTTAGAAAAGAATCTTAATGCACGGGGCAAAGAACAGTGAGCAATACTTCGTTCAAAGTTGAACAGACACTTACGTAGTTACATCTCAAAGTATAATTTTTGTTGAAGGACTTTGGTTATTAGCTTGACAGGAAACTTAACATAACATTTTTTTGTCAGACCCTTTGGGAATCAGACCATTAGAAATCATTACTATCAGCAACAATTTAATTAACCGAAAATAGCTAATTATTTCTGTCAATCAAGAATATGTTGGTATAAAAAGGTAGCGAGAAAACGCCTTTTACGTTTTTCTACTTTTAGAGTAACCAGCGTTGTAAATTAATTGAGAAAAAGAATTGTATGGTAACAGACTTAAAAATGAAAATAAAAAAAAATGAAAGTGAAAGTTCGGGAAATGAAAATTTTCACCTGTTTGTTGAAAATAGTATGTAAACTTTTAACTGAACAACATTCTAGAACTTTAACTGAAAAATGGTTATATTACTGACAGGTTTGTGACACTCAATGTCTATAGCTACCAATCAACTCTGCTAAAATTAAAATACAAACAGCAGATAAAAATAAAATGTTGTACCTTGCAGTTCACATCGACTGTTCTCTCCCATTCTTCAACGTGAAAGTTCTTCATCATAGTGTAATACATCACCCCAGCACAACAAACCACAATATCAACGGGGCCAAGGGTTTGTTCTGTCTGTGCCACGACATCTAACATCTGCAAGGCAACCAATCGATTCAAACATCTTTAGCCAAAGTAATTTCTGGCAACCATTTAGAAATTCTCATTGAAAAATGTTGAGAGCCTGTTTCTACAATCTAAAATCTTTAAAACTGTTTTTACATTAATGATAATGAAAGTAAAATTTTTGAGTGAAAAAAATTGTGCTCTGTTATTCATGCAAAAATATTTACCGGAAGCAATGTACAAAGGAAAACATATCCAAAAAAGCGATCAGTTATCAACTTGTCTATAGGATTTTTATTATTCAAATGCCCTTGTATCGAGCAAGAAGCCAACGTTTGCTATTTGATACAAAACTAATATACATCCTGCTGTCCAAAGAAGGGTTTAAAAAAGGTGCAAAGCTTAAAAGTAATTGGAACGGATTGTGCATCGAATCTTGATAATACAAAACATGTTAAGACTCACGTGTTTGCTGTTAACCACGTCTGCTTTCACTGCAATTGCCACGTTTCCATCTTGAACTATTTCATTGCGAACTTCTTCCAATCTACAATTAACAGAATGAATTATTTAGCATGCATTAAAAAGGCGACATGCATCTCGTAATCTTGCACGTACTGCAAAACCCCGTATAAAAGGGAACTAAACGCTGAATTTTCGCCAAAAAGGGACCTTCAATAGAAAAACCATTATTTAAAAGTATATAAGTCATTTCAGTTTGCTAAAGAAAATCACAGATTCTTTTATGCAGGGTTTTACTGCACAACAAGAAATAAATACAGTTTTCCTAAGAGCTCATTTGCAAAAGCTTTGCTTGTGCATTGAAAGCATCAATTTACAATTTGCGAATAACAATGTGTTATCTTTGCCGACTGAAGACAGTTTCTGTTCAATCTCCCATAAACCCCGATCTCTCATGAGATCCCAAAAGCCTAACAACATAAGCGCCCACTCCCAACAGCATAAAAGGAGTCTTACTGAGAAAGAAGGGCAAAGCTAATAGCATCGATACGTTTTCATACGAATTGCATAAGGTCTTAGAACATTTAACTTTAAGCATTATCTTAAGCTTTCAACACCACTGCTGTTGTTATTTACGAAAAGCCTTTCTCGCAACTAGAAAGACTAAAGCTATTCCTTGTCCCTTTTAATGTAGTTCTTGATATAATATTGTCAAAAGCAAATGTTTTGTCAAAGAACCCAATTTCACCAAATTGATATAATATATAAATGATGAGGTGAAGAAACAAAAGCGGCAGAATTGAGAACAACTTAATGTCTGAATGGAATTTGCCAGTTCAAAGAGACATGGCACGAATAAAGACTTTACCGGTCCAGTCGCCTAGCTGCCATGGCTACCGAGGCCCCCAAGTCAGCTAACTTTCGTGCTATAGCAGCACCAATTCCACTCGAGGCTCCAGTTACTATAGCTACTTTTCCAGTAAGACGCTTTGGTTCTGAAATATAAACAACAAAAAATAGGACTTTGTTCTTTAGACTGTAGGTCTTGACGCTAAAGAAACAATGAAGAAAAAATAAGTTTTATAGGGTTAACTTTGACAAAAACTTACATTTTTACCTGAAAAAGGCCCTGCAGCAAGTGTGCCAGGGGGTAATAACACATCTTCGGTAAGGCATATAAAAATGTTGGATTTTTCACTTTATATCCCTCATACGTTAAAGAAAAAGGCACACTGGATACAACAATGAAATGATGAAATGAAAACAAAGGATTTACAAATACATTCTTACTGGTTTTCCAGCAGAAGAAAGGAAAATAAATATTGAGAAATTTACGCTCCTGTGAATTCAGTTAACCAAAATAGTAAGGTATCATTGAGTCATTTAGCAATAGTAGCTGTAATGGCTTTAGGTCTAATTTCTTGTTCTTGAACAAAAAAATCGTATATAACCCAGAGGCACAGCCATTTAGTGTCCTGAAAGAGTAAAAATCTCCTAGAAAAACTGCAATGCCTGCCAAAATTGCTTGGAACATCCGGCTATTTACGCTGCATTTGATATCTTTCATTCCTTTCATGAAAAAAAATTACTACTTCTGCCCCCTTCCCCCTAAAACAATGTTGATAATTTAGAGACATATCATAAAAGAAGCGCAAAAGAAAGTGCTTCCCAAAATCCTAACCCGCTTGATAGTAAACCAACATTGTTCTGTAGGGAAGAGGGGGACGACTGATTTTGACCTCGGAAATTGACTTCAGTGTTCCAAGACTTTTGGCAGGCATTGTATATGATGAACGAGTAGCTGACTTCAATATTAGTGTGGTGTCATACTTGAAGAGCTGTTCTGTCATATCGTTTTACAATATCTCGAGATTACGTTGTTTGTCTATGAAAGTACAGTATGAGAAATATACCGGAGCAGCTTGCCCTAACAAAAATGCCATAATATGATGGTCAACGAGCTAGATAAATCATTAAATAAGTGCAGCCTCGCAAAAACCAGTCAAATAAATTCTAGCAAAGGCCTGATGTTTTTCATCAATCTTACCAATCTGTTGTTTTTTTGGCAGCGGTATCACATTTCTCTCAGCAAGGCACCTCATGTAATGCCTCATCGTGGTCAATGTTGTGGTTGGATATGTCATCTCCAGTGTTTCTAAAACCTTGATGAACCGTTCGTTTTTATAAGTGCTCAGGTTTGCGAAGAATTTTTCATTCCTAAAAAATGAGAATGAATCTAAAAGCGTGATAAAAATAAAAACATTTACAGAAGATAACACTTTAATCAACATATGCTTAGATAAGAGAGGAGAGCAGAAGATACGCTTCTTCCGTACAAAGAACGAAAAATCATATAAGCCTATTAAAATCAATCTTGTATAACATTTTGTTGTTAGCAAAATTACAATTCTAACTAAGATGGCTTTGAAAAAGGCAAACATTTTACATCATATTGGCTAAAAACTTTTTCGTCTGACACTCCTCAGAGCATAAAACGTCAGAAAAGGGTCCGAAAGAACAAAATAGAAAATATATACCCAGTTGTGGATCGAAATAGGCCAATCAGAAAGACGCGAGCACATGACCGGTATAGTTGACCAATCAGTGCTGCGTTCCTAAAGAAAAATTACTACTGGAGTCCATGAGGAAAAACGAACTCTTTCTGCCTACACAATGGCGGCTTTTTCGTTTGTATGTAGATCGATTACAAAACTGCTAGATGGAAAGACGACCGGGCTCTGCCAATTATCCGAAACATGTCGTCATTATAGAGTTTAGCACAATCTGCGTTGTCAAAAAGATGTTGACCGATGGCAGAATCACTTGTTTTAACAGTGTTTCGACCTTCATCGAGGAGGCTGTTATTTTTGAGGGGCAGTTTTGATGCTATAAATGTCTTGAAATATCAATTAAGCTGTGCATCTACATTAAAGGAATTGCAATCAGTAAATGAGTATAACTGTAATTAATAGATGCCAATTAACTTGATAAACTGAAAGAGATAGCTTACTCAGTCATTGAATCTATGATCTGTGATAACAAACCAACAGAGCTGGCTTTGTTCTTTACATTGTAGCTTTTGACGCTAAGGAAACAAAAGGCCTCTTGTAAATTAGTTCAATTGGCATTGTACGATAGATCAAAATAAAAACCGACATTATATATACTTGATACTTAATGCAAATAAGTGTCATAAACTTATTAAATAATATTGCCATCATACGATATTTAGTTTGAAAATGTAATGCCGAATTTCACTGGCATAATAGTTGGGTTACTTAATTTGGCTTAATTTAGAAAAATTGTATAGAAGTTTGGAATGAGATTAAGAGATACGTTAATCTAGGATATAATCTGAAGCAAGAAATGAAAAGAAACAAGCTTTATAAAAAAGTTGCATATCAGAATGCTAAGCTAAAATGGCAAAAATTTGCGAATGCGTTGAGCGCCTGTGAATAGCAGAATGGTTTGAGTTTTAGAAAAGATAGACAAGAATGAGAAGAGTTACGCAAAAACAACTCGCCTTTGCTTCCATTCCTCAAATGGTAAAATTTTCAGTGGATAACCATGCGTTGAAATCCATTCCAACAGCAATCTGTAGATTAAAAACGAATAACATGCAGCAACTGTAAACGTGTGTGTCGAAATAAAATAGGGCGACTTTTTGGAAGCATCAAAGGGTTGGGAAATGTTTTGCACTCGACTTTCAAAGTAATAGAAAAAGTCAATCGTTTAGCAACCTACTTGGAATCGATAGGATTTGCATTGATAATATGAAAGACCTTTCCCAATGACCACGATATTTTCTGAAACAAAAAACAAAGACGGTTTTTATCCAACAACAAGTAATAAGGACTAATGAGCTACAGGAAAGGTGCGTGTGATTAGAAAATGAAAAGAAATGAAAAGAGAGGTCTTCGAAGAGTATTCACTACCTTATAGATCATAAAAAGTTTGAAGATTATACGAGCAAGATTCGTTACAAAGTCACAAGAGGGCTAAAGCATTATACGTTAAAAAGGTTATCAACCACTCCACTGAAAAAAGCCCCATCATACAGTATAAGTATAGAACAAATTTGAAATACATATTTACAAGAAACGTCATACCTGCGTAAGCTTGACAATAGCTTTGCTGACAAAATCAACTGGTGTCATTTCTATCAGCCAGTCAACATTAGGAGCCTTCCCAACAGCCAAGCAGCCAACAAGCATTAAGAAGTTGAAATCAGCTGGATTCCAGTATGCATTTTTCGATTCTCCAGAAAGATTTCCTAGCATAGAAGTAGAAAAGCACTTTAAACATAGAAGTCACGCGTTTATTGATTGGCCAATTTTTGATTGACAGGTTGTCCAAGCTAAGTTATGTTGATTTCCTTTGAATTATATTCTAAAAGGTGAATTTTTTTAAGTGTCGGCATACTTACATCTCCAAGACGCCATGAAGACTAATGGTAATCTTCGCATGAATATGAAATACCTACATCTCAAAGCCTAAATAAGGAGTAGGAAAAAATATATTCTCAGAAACAATGAACACTTTTACTTACCCAGTCTGTAAATAGCAACAGGTAAACCACGCCTACCAGCCCTTGAAATCAGCTGCTCTGCCACCCATTTTGTCTGAGAGTATCTAGTGCAACAAAATTCACGTGTTTAACCACTAAGGAAGAAGAAAATTTTGATGGATACAAACGGTCACATTGCACCCTATCAACTTGCCTTATCAAAAAGTAAATCAAGCGTAATCAAATATGCTCACCCGTCAGCAAGATCTTGGTGAAACTTTGTCATATCTTCCTCTTCAGCGCAGTCTTTCAACTTTGACGGAAAAACGGCATTTGTGCTATAAAAAGATGGAAGAGAGAGAGAGCTCTCTTGTTTATCCAAAAACTTTCATTTCGGATCAGCTTCTGCTCTATAACACTCATATGCTTCTGTTCAATAAATTTCAGACAACATTACACACAGTGTCTACTGATATCCTTGAATATTTGTAGATGTTCAATGATTCTCAAAAAATATCTCAATTAGTTGCTGTTCGTGTCTTTTTCCAACCATTTGCGAGTATTGGCAGTCAATAATTAAGACGAAATATGCGCTATCAATGTTGAGTTTTATCACCACCAGTGCACAATCTCTGTCAAAAGTCTTAGTATACTACATTTAATTCTGAAAAAGTTTCTACTGCACCCCATTCTCCCCCCTCCGAACAATGTTGCTATATATGTAATGCTAAGAGGTTCGATGTTGTCCAATAGATTCCTGTCATATAGTCATGATATTTAGGGGAGAGGTATCGGCACTTAAGCAAAAGCACTCAAGCAACTGGGCGTTTCAAGGAATATCGGCAGGAATTGTAGCTTGGAGAAAACGAAGTTCTTTTTTCAATTCTTTTCGAGATTTCTGAACAGGAAATAGAAAATTGTCCAGCTCGAAAATGGTTTCGGATTCAATCGTTGACCTTTATTATCAATCAACAAAGCAAATTTTGCTTTAGTACAATGCATTGCTCTTAAAAATTATTGACAAGGGTATCCGTACAATAATCAAGATATTATAGAAAACAATATATACAATTAATAATATTCATTTAAAACATGATATTGAAACTGACTAGATTTAAAAAAACAGTAAAGAAATACTGCTAGACATATCTCATCGTTTGAATGTCTGTATATCAAAGGGCCTACCTGATATAATGAACTGGTTTGATCTTACTCGTGCAGGCAAACATTAGAATATTTTGGGTTCCAAGAACATTTGGCCCGTGGAGCGCCTTGAAGGTAACAGAAGATAAACAAATAAATGCTAATTAGAAAACTGCAATAAAAGACAATCATTAAATACTGTTTATAAATATATAGTAAGCTGTGAACAAATTGCAAATACGTAGATGGACCGAGAATTATGAAACCTCACTGCAACATTACTGCGAATATTAGAAATATAATGCAGACATTGCTTTGGCAGCATAATAATTGCGGTTGATCAAGACTTCTTTACTTTCACAGTTTTAATTTCGCAAAGTGTGCAACATTATGGTCTATATTTTCAAATAATGGTAAAATTTGTCAATCTTTACGTTTTATTCCACGTCAGGATTCAATATAAATGAAAACTGGCTGTTTCATTGAAAGAAAACTTCAAATGAGGTAAGCCATTATGCCTTTTCCCCTCAGATGTAATTGCCTTTCACATACATAATACATAGCTGGCCTTTGCTCAAAGCATGCATAAATCATTGCCAATCCATAGATTATCCACATAACAATTACTAGTTCTATAGGACGTGATACAGCTAACACTTGTGCCACTTGTATGCATACATCTGATAATTTGAATAGGAAGATTTATCCCTGACTCTTTTTCACTGTTGTAGAATATACTAAAAACAACCTTACCTTATATGGATAAATAAGATTGACAGCAGCAGCAGCATGGATAACAAAGTCAATCTAGAGAGTACAAGAATTCAATTAAACTATAATAAATTCAAGCTTTTAAATACAGGCTACATGATTAAACATACTTGCAATTAATAAAGCTTAGGGCAAATAAAAAGAACTCAGATGAGCTATCGAGCTATTTGCCCTAAAAAGATTTTTCAATAACGAGATACTAGCGTTTTGTTAACGATAACAAAGCGACGTGGTTGTTGTAACACATCGTTTTTCTACTTTATCAAAATACTACCTTCCTACTTCATACAAAAGTTGAAAACTAGATTCTCACATTTTTTAGTTGTATATTTTGTAGATATTTATATTATATGTCAGAAAAACTGGGATACCTCGACTGCAAAATGAGCATAATCTTCCTCCGAAAGACCAAAATTGATCAAACTGACATCGGCTAGAAACACGAGTAACATTTCATGAGAAAAATAAGTCATGGACCTTTTGAAGCAATTTGATAATCAAATAACTTTTCAGAAACGCCTCTTTAATGTGCAGTTGCAGTTATTTCTTGTCCATGTCTAGATACTGTACCCTGAAGTCAGCAGAATACCACAATGAATAGACAAAGTAATTTACACTTTATTGACATCTGAAAAAAACAGGCCTGATAAAATATAATGACATTCACTACAATTGTTTAAGCAAAAAAAACAAATAAGAACTGAATTTTGGTTAGTCAAATACATATGATGATCAGTGGTGAGAATAAGGCAACTTTCAATTGTTGTTCTCGTCAAAAATGAGTGCTATCCTTTGTAAAGGACTGAGACAAAATCCCGCAATCTTTATGGGAACGACAGACAAGATCCCAGGCAGCCCAGGCAAAAAACTATTTAAGCAACAATCTTTGCCAAAACCTCTTGAAAAAAACGCAATGCTGCGCTCTTTCTATCTCATTGGAAAACTCAACTTCCAATACCGCACAACCCCCATTCGCTTCCTAAATATTGTTGACAAGCAAATTTATATTCTTATTTAATTGAAACAAAACTTGGCACATCGGAAAGCATTTTTATGAAAGATTAACATGTTTTATGAAGAATTAAAAAAGATTCAACATGGTTTCGGGGGAAGTGGGGTTGTGGGCTATGTTTAAGAAAGTTATTCAACTGTTTTGGCAAGGATTGGAAAACAAAGTCGAAAACGAGCAAACAAGATTACACACAAAATAGAACGGCTTGATTGGCCTTCCAATAGTGCATACAAACCGAGAAGGTTATCAGCCCAGGTAAAATAACCAGGTCCCAAGAGACACCAAAACATACCTTTAACAGCTGTGACTCGTTTCTGAAACAGTTGTGCAAGGCGCTTTTGTTCATCACTCTGTTTTTCAGGGCTTGAAGACAATATCCCATATTTTTGAAGATTATTAATCAGCCTGTTTTCAACTGGGGCATCTGGCAGGTCTCTTACTAGGCAATATATATGAACCTGAAAGATAATGTACTTGAAAATATATACATAGCTTTAGTATATGTATAGCCAGAGTTATTTAAGGCTGTTATTTGAGGGCATTAAGAGAAAAGCTGTTGCATGGGTAATATTGAGAAGGACAAAAACAAGTTGATAACCATTCTTAGCATAAAAATCATTGGCCATTGTCCTTTAGTGATGGCTAAACCCAACGTAAAAAACCCTATTAATAAATGTGATGCATTTAAATTCCAAGAATATGGATAATATGTGATCATATATCGACTATGGGTACCAAGATAGATTAATATAGAATAGAGCATATGGAAAAAGAACAGTTTCTTCCTTCATTCACATTTCCGGGGGGAGGTGTAGCCTGAATATGCTCCAAGTCTAGTTCTCTGATCTGTCGGATAACACACTTTATTATCTGATCCCGAAAAAGGGAAGAAGAAAAAAATGAAAAGGAAGACAAAGATCTCTCTTCCTCGTCCTCTCTATTTCTCTTTTTTCAACTTTCCCTTTTCCTATCATCTGTTTACATTTTAGGAAGAAAGATCGAAAACATCACGAAAATTCTTCCACTTTTTTTAAGCAACATTACAAAGAGCGAGAGATTGCAAAACGATTTACCCTTGTGTTTTCAAGCAGATCCTTCAAAATGAAAGCACCAAGGTATCCTGTTGCTCCAGTCAAGAGAACCCTGCCATTTTCCCATCTATGTTCATACTGACAAGAACGCCAAAATGCCCGTAGCATAATGTCCATACTGAAAATGACAATTTTATTCATAGTTCAACTGTATGATATGACAACAGAGATGTTGCTAGCAGGGAGAGTCTCAAACAATTGACCATTAAAAAATCCATGTAGGAATCTGAATACATATTCAAAGTTTTGTATGGATCTCTCTATAGAATAAAGTGCTTATCTATAAAAAACGGCCTTCTGGTTGGGACTTAACATCCCGATTTCTATATAAAGTTTCTGATAGTACCACACCAAATTAAAGAAAGATCAAATTGCCAAATTTACCAAAGGAAATACCCTGCATGCGTAAAGTATATTTTATTCGAACCCTTAATCAGTGATACGATAAACAGGGAAAACTTTACATATGTCATTTGATACTAAAATCATAAAATGATTCAGTAACTGTGACTATTTAGGTAAGCATGGAACAGTAAAAATTGGTAGTAGCTTGAAACAGGAAATTTATGTCCTTACTTACTTTATAAAACTTTGGTCGTGATTTTCGACTTCATCAGCCAAATTAAGCTTGTCCTCCACAATTGTCCTTAAATTCAAGAAACGTTACAAATAGATAAATGCTTGATGAATTTAGAACTTAAAATTTAAGTGAAAATGCAATAAGAATAACGGGGTATTTTAGGGCGTAAAAATATATTTATGGCTTTACTGAAAATGTTAGCAACTCAATTACATACATCTTCACAGCAAAATGTAAAATGAAAACAAAAAAAGCATACACCGTTAAAAATATCATCACATGTTCGCAGGTTTATCATTGATAAAACGATATCTGGAATATTAGTTTGAATCTTTGCCTAGCATGGCTTTGAGAAGTTTGATATAGAAATGAGATTGTGATAAGTAGATCTTTCAAAAACTGCATAGTGAATTTTTTTCGATTCAATAGACATAAAATACATTTTGAAGAGTGTCACACAAAAGGTATCGGCCGAGAGGTTCCTTGACCAACTAGTCCCCTCTTTTACTATTATGTGCCTAGATAACGAAATGAGAGTGATAAAACTAGAAAACATCTCATTATAATGACACGAGCAAGTAACTATACACTTTTCTTCTCTTCCTGGACAATTACCTGTTCGAATCACCTTTACCAGAATACTGATCAACAAGACCACTGAAATCAGCTACTGTATTGTGCTTAAATAGCTGAGACATTGTAATTTCCACTGACATCTCCTCCTTGACATGAGACAGCATGCGAGCAGCCAACAGTGAGTGCCTGTCCGAGATGAATGAGAACATTTGAAAATTAACACCACTGGTTAATTTAGCACAAAAGATGCACACACAGAGAGATTGGAGCATTGGGGTCTGAGAATATAATACCTTATCACACAATAACCCTGGATAGACCTTTGACATTGTTTTAGACCATTAGGCGGGAGATATTGTTTACATATGTAGAACATAATTGTGTATAGTAGATTTCATGGCCTCGAATAAACACGGAACTAATCCGACTATACGGTCTCAAACTTACATCAATCAGAAATCATCATCATCATCACAGAAACAATACACAATGTAATCGATTTGAAAGATGCTATAATTTCTGGAGATTGAATTCTAAGTGCAACAAAACATCAACGTGTTTCACAATATTTTCAAATTTCAGATGACACTAACCCTCCCAGATCAAAAAAGTTCTCTTGAATATCCAGTGACTTTAACTGAAGAACTTTTTTCCAAATCTCACTAATTCTCCTCTCAGTTTCGGTGGCTGGTGCAGTTTCGTCACTTTCTTCTTGCTCCTTAATCCGATCAAATGCTGGGAGAACCTTCTTATCCAGTTTACCAGCAGCAGAAATTGGCACGCTGCAACGCAAATTGTCGTTTCAGACAGGTTCCGTATACTAACAACGGCTACAGGTACATTTATATAGATTTTTTTACAATGTTACTATTCACCAAATTCTTCTCTGTTTTAATTCATTGTCACTAGCAAGCTGTACGCTTTTATGGACAAAGTCAGACTAACAAATTGTGAAGTAAATAAGGAATACAAACACGTTTCAGCGTATTCTATCTCGTAACTATAAGCAGTAGAAAAAAGCGTAAGTCGTCCCCGTGTAACAGGATAAAGTTGTATGGCATGTTCTTAAGAGTAGTGTAGTTAAATCTTCATCACATACTCTGGGGTAAAAAAAAACACAAAAAAACATAAATCGCATAACGATTAAACATATACTTTTCGTATACCGTAGAAGCTCTATTAAGTCCCTCCCTCCCCCCCGGAGGGGCTTATCTGTTTTTGTCATTCCTAGAGGTGGAGTTTAAAAGAGAGGGGGCTTATCAAAGAGAGGGGTAATTATTAAAAATTGAATGTAAAAAAGTTGTAAAAATGTGCTTATTCATTTCTTGTTATAAAAATGTCACACAAATGTTCTCATAAACTTCGCTAGCAGCCTCGAAAGTTTCTGAAAATCAATCATTATAATGTCCTTATCTTCCTCAGAGTCACCAGAATAAATTTATATCCCCTGGGACGACTTCTAAACAAATTTTGACTGACTTCCCAGGCGTAAAGTAAATATTTACACGGGCCGTATTTAACGCACACATTCTTATCGCTATCAGACCGCCAAGAGACTCACTCAATGCACATGTTTTCTTTGTTTGACATCAGGGGCTTAAAGAGGAGGGGGGGGGGCTTAATAGAGGAGGGTGGCTTGCTTGACAAAGGAGGCTTAATAGGAAGGGGCTTAAAAGAGAGGGGGCTTTATAGAGCTTTTACGGTAGTTTCTCATACATGTATTCACCTTATTCACAAGATGTTAAAAATAAAAAGAGTACTCACAAAGAGGAATGAGGGCAATTGAAGAGCACAAAACAATTTATTTTTAATTCCTTACAAGCTATAATTAATCTTGGCATTAAAAGCTCAAGAATGTCAATCTAGAATGCAAGATCTACATCTACTATTCCCTAAGATAGAAAAGTTCATGCAAATATTTATGTGTCATAGACAGTCAATTTTTGATAGCTGTTATCATCTAAATAAAAAAGCAAATTCTCTCACCTTGTCAACAAAACAAAATAAGACGGGATCATATGGAAAGGTAATCTTGCTTTCAAAGCTGCACGGATGTCTTTTTTTGAAGCCTACGAACAGAATAAGTCAAACTGTAAACCGAGGTAATAGACTGAATTTAAAAATCTTGAAATTGGCAAAACACAATATAAAGTAAAAATTTTACCAAAGAGACATCTCATTCTTGCTATTTTCAAGAGGAAGTACCTTAAGAAGGTATGAAAATGGGCATGGTTGTGACTTTTCAAGGTTTTATGTCATTGATCACATTGATATACATATTTGCTGTGTAATGACCGCTAATTCTTCTTTATCGCCCAAGGAAAAAAACTATCAAATTAACGAATTCACTTACGACGTTTCAAGCATAGCCCGTTATCAAAATTAATTAATTTTCACAGTACAATTCACTTAAATTTCGATTTTTATTCGATTACATTGTACAGCACGCAAGCTACTAAATTCAAGGAAAAAATATAGCCGTGATAGGAGTCATAAAAAAACAAGCTCGTAGAAAGTGATCTCTGCAATCTCTAAAATCTCTGCTTATTCTAATAAAGGAGGTGAAGCCACCGGGCACTGATGTTCATGACAAATTTGCCTTTTCTGGGGCTCTTTCGGTTCATTTGACTGGAAACAACAAAAATTTAGATACCTGTCCATTAGGTACAATATAAGCCACGAGGTACTTGTCAGTGCCCTCTTCACCATGGGCAAGTACAGTGCAAGCATTTACCAACGGCAAATCCATGAGGGCTGCTTCAACAGCCTAGAAATAGAAACAGAAACGTGAAATAACAAAAACAAAAAGCTAGGGAATTGTGCAGTTCGTAACGCAAGATACCAAACTGAAGTATAGAAAGAGAAAAATCGTGCATATTTATAACAAGGAATGACAAGAATATAAGGTAAGTTTGAAAATCGATAAATGATGACAAAAATCATGGAATAAAAAGGAATTTTTTTGGAATTTATCGAAAAATAAACTATAAAACGGTAAATGAGATAAAGTACTCCCCTACTTTATCAATATTCAAGAAAAAAATCTCAGAATTTACATCGTTTAATTCTACTTGTAATCTTTGCAAGGAATATGTTAACAACATCGGTTATATTTGATTTATATTATATTTAGCGCTGGTAATTTAAATTAGTTGGTTTTAATTAGCTTGTATGTATAGCTAGAGATTGTACCAACTTTATATAAAGAAAGAAAAAAAGAAAAAAAAAATCTGACAAAGGGGTGAAAGCTTGAGTCAATATCATTAAAAAATCCGTAGACATAATAGAAAGTAGTTTCAAAGCAGACCTGTAATTCGATGCTATAGCCTCTTATTTTAACCATGGAATCACATCTTCCACAAATCTCTAGCTCTCCTGACGACAGCATGTAGCCCCAGTCTCCAGTACGATACAAAGTAGACCCAGCGTCAGCAGAAAGCTCTTCTGGAGTTATTATGAAACGAGCTGCTGTAAGATCTGGTCGTTTCAGGTATCCACGTGCAAGGGTTGGGCCACCAACGTATATCTTTAAGAAGAATATTTCATACTTTAAAAAAAGCCCTTGAGTTTAAACAAATGTACTAAAAAAATCAGCTGAACAGAAGGCAACCGAACTAGTAACATATCAATTTGGCAACATATTAATTTGAAAAACCACCACAGGTTTGCTGGGGAAATTGCTGACACAGGCACAGTTGATAAAGACACTGGGCACTGTACTTCTTTATCCTCCCAATTTCAGCATATCACAAGACATGGCAATGGAATTGATTCATTGTTATAACAGAAAGCCTCTAAAACCCCTAAATAACTATCCATGCTCATTTGATCTTTTGCTTGAAGTCTTTGAAAAGAAAACCCATAATTAATAGAAAGTGATTTTTATCAGAATAAATTTTTACCTCTCCTGGCATACCAATTGGCATCTGCCTCATGTGTTCATCAAAAATAATAACTTTAACACCATCAAAGACTTTTCCAACAGGACAAAATTTTCTCCTTTTGCCATCTTTCATTGAAGAATACTAAAAAATCAAATCTTTGGCACTGAAAAATATGAAAATAAATGTTGAAAGGGGAAACATGACATGTTTAAGTACATTTTTATTGACATACCCCAAAGTATAAACATTAGACAATGACAGTGATGTAAGCAGAAATTTTGATCCAGATGTGCATCATGAGTTATTACAACAAAATTACACGGAAGATGAGTAGCAAGTACACTATGGACAAAAATTGTACCTTTTCAAGTTCCCCTGCTGACAGATCTGACACTGCGACATCATGGCACTCAGAGATACTGTACAAATTTATCAACTTGACATTAGGAAGAAGTTTAACAAAACGATCTCTCAATGCCATCGTAACCACCTCTCCACATAGTACCACAACCTTCATTGTTTCAAGACATTCAGTGATGTTAGCATCTTTGGTATCAAGCAATGTCTCTGTAGGGAATATGAATACAAGATTTACGAACCATGATAGCCTATTGCACAATTTATCGGTGTGATCAAGACTCTAGCTTTAGGATAAATTACAACAAACTTTGGGTTACCAACACTTTAGATGATCATTGAAGGTTACAAAGTAATGTTTTCACTATAATTCCACACTTAATTATCATTGGTTGCACTATTGAAACCTATGTGCTCATAATTGAATGTAATTGACACTGGGAATAGAAAAAAGTTCAACTATAAACTATGATACACACTATAGTTTGAAAATAAATATATTAAGATTTAGAATAATAACAAGATACTTTATTGAATGTTCAAATGCAATTTTTTTGGTTAAAGCATATGTCAGAAGAATGTTGTCTGGCAATCAACTAATATCAGGTACAATGTAATGCAAAAGCTGGAAACCTGATGCAAAATATACTGGTTTCACCAAAGAAGGATAATTGAAAGAAGGTTAAAAAATACAAGCAATGTAAGAATTTTTATTACTTGCAACCTAAATATGAATCTCAAGCAAGGAAATAACAGAACATTTAATAACTACTGAACTCACCGAGTAAAGATGGTGTAAATAGCACCCTTGTAATCTTATTTTCTTTCAAAAACTTCAAAAGCAAAACGGGATCATAGATGACTGAGTCTGGAATGACATAGAGTGTGGCACCTTTCAAGAGTGGTCGCATCAGCTCCCATGTAAAAAATACATTACAAGCAATTCTCTCATTCTCTTCATATGGATAATGTTTATGTCTCCAAGCATATGAAAATACAGCACCTCTATGTGGACACATAATACCTGTAAAAGAATAATATGTGGACACATAATACCTGTAATTGCTTCTAGCTACAGCTAGTATCAGACAACCTAAATACTTATGAAAACTATCAAAACTTTTTCGATTCTGCATACATAAAGCATTTAAGCATTTGAGCACTTGCAGACTTAACTTGTCATCATTAGATGTCAAAGACATATATAAATAATGACTAAATATGGTAAATCACAAAACATAGACATTGGACATTAGTGTGATATTGGCATATTGGCATATCACAAAACATATTAGTGTGATATTGGCATATCAAATTATTCATATACCATATACTACTTTATTTCTACCGCATATCATACTGTGTTGATAGCAATATTGCTTTCACTAATTTCTAGCAATATAGATTTATGTGTGTTTGTTCATCAATAGATGTTATTCTACCTGATATGTGTAGGTTTCAATCACTGAGGTTAGTCTACTAATAAAAGGCTTATTTCTTATGTCACTGTTTCTTAAAAATTGTGTCTTAGGGTGGCTATAGGAACCATAACAAACCTTTTGGCTTTCCTGTAGTTCCTGAAGAGTACACAACGTATGCTAAATCATTTAGATGAGATTGAACAAATGATATATCTTTATCATATGATTTATTCTCATCTGTCAGCTTCTCTTTCCATCCTTCTTTGATGACAATAACTGGGGCATCAGTTTCTAACCATTCTTTGTGCTCTGGTGTTGTTATGATTGCGACAGGTGTTGAGTCATCAATCACAGATTGAAGAAGTGGCTTTGGGTATGATAACTCTATGGGCAAATAGCCACCTCCCGCCTTCAGGATGGACACATAAGCTATGACAAACTCAATTGATCTTTCCATATAAATTCCAATAACAGAATCTTTTGTACAGCCTTTATGTTTTAGATTTTCAGCAAGAGTATCTGTAGCTTCCTTAAGATCTTTATATGTCATTTCCTGTCCACTATGAGACACAACTGCAATTTGGTCAGGCGTCCTTTTTGCCTGCTCTTCAAATTGAACATGAAGACAAAGGCTATTTTCATCCATTCTATAGAAAGAAAAGATTGACATGTGGCAAAAAATGTTCTCAAACAAATACTGGAGATGAACTTACAAAAATTTTATGAGTTTTCATCAGCATTACAAAGGTATGAAACTTAGCCAATCATCAACATTGTGAAGAATAACAATTTATGCTATCCAAAAAGGGATTATGGCTACCTCAAAGCTAAGTCACAGTTAAGATAAGCTGTAATCCAATATTAGGTTACAAGAATGATAAATACAGCCTTGGTAAAATCAGTTTAGCTCTTTTTGCCAAGATTCTGGGTGCAAAAAGTGATTCAAGTAAAGGGGCAAGTAGTAAGTAAGTAGGTTTCCAGTAGTAGGATTTGGCCTCTCAATTGACAATCCATATTCATTTGGACTTTGACAAGTTAGGCTTTGAAAGAGTAAAGGGGACACCTTTGATTCATTCCTCCTACATGTTATATCAAAGAGACAAATGGGACTTTCACAGAGCATATGAGATTCTATTGGGTAAAACCTCATATTCAAAATTGATCAGCAGTTTATAAGATTGTCGACATATCATTTTTGTAGCAGTTAACAAAATTAGGCTGTCAATAGCTGGACTTAATGGGTGAATCTTTTGTTACTGCTCACTGGGTCTACATACAAAAGGATAATTTGCTTTTTGAAAATTCCAAAAAATGACATACTAACTAGAATACTTGTAGAAAACTTGTTGGAAATGTTTGCTTTGGCTTCCAAAAGAACTTAAGGTGCTACATAATACTTTTTGATAATATGCATAAAACACATTAAATTGTTTTAAATTGAGTCCCAAATTTGAAATTTTTAACATATTCCAGCTGAACTTATGCTGCTCTTTATTTCCCCTTTAGCTGCTCTATTTAAATGGGAAGAAAATTATTTGTTGATGACCCCTAACTTGCCAGTGATCCTGAACATGTGCTTATGCTTAAGATTTATAGATCTTGAGAACAAAGAATCTTAACTTTTTAGCATGACGTGTATTATACTGTTATCAACACTTGTCAACACATGGTCAAAGTTCTATCTGAAGTTCTATTAAACTTTTATAAAAATTAACAACACAGTTTCTTGATTCATTTCTTTTACAATTTTCATAATAGCAACAGCCCCTGAAATTTGAAATGACATGGCATCTAAAGTCTTCCGGTTTCCTATTGCTATCTTTCATCGCTTATGAGTACAAAGCTTTCGTGCGAAAAGAACCACGAACGACCAACCATGTCACCCCTGCCGCTAGGACTGAGGCTTCAACGTCAAGAAATTTATAGCAAAAATGTTTTCTGTCCTTACTTAAACAATGAATTTTCCGTTGGTAATGCAGCTATTAAATCCAAAATAACTTATCTATTACTGTAAACCATACGTGTGCAATCAATTCAAAATAATTAATCTCACACTGTACCTCCTGATTGACAACTGGCCTAGCCAGAAAAGAATAACTTTCAAAATGAAGGTCTTCGGTTCGCTGTCAGATTCTTTCTTCTGTTGAAATGCTCAGTTCTTAATCAGTAACTTCTATATGCGAGCAGATGGGTTAACTGCTAATTATTTATTCATACAGGTTTTATAAAAGGACTTTAAACTTAGCAGCTAATGATCTTTGTCCAACTGTTCTTTGTCCTGGGTCACACCACATGGCCACATGATTGTAGATAAAGTGCAATATTTTGCGCGCGTAATGCTTATGTCAGCATTTGACTTCTTACTGTTGAAAAAGTGAACGTTGACACTAAGGCAAAAGTGGAAACATGGTGCCAAAGTTTCGTTTTCACATTTTGCTACAAATATATTTGTTAGAAATCCTGCATTCAACGTCTGAATAAATGTCAGATATTGTAAAGAAGTACAAAACATATCAAACTAAATATCATGGCAAGGGCTCCCATCTTTATACTATCCTGCAATACCATCAAGTTCCTGTTGAATAATTCCTTGAGGGCCCTTGAGCTTGACTGCCAGTTGCTGTGCACTTTACTTTGTCGATTAGCCGCAAGTTCATATTGTCTAACTTTAGATAATGTGCACTTTATGCTTAAAATAGTATATTTTACATTGATACAAAGTTCTTTATAAAAGAAACGGACTAATAATTAAACAGTTTTCTGGAGTTGTGATATCGTATTTTCTGACGAATTTTGCAAATGAGAGTAAGTCTATAAGGAGTTTTCAAAAAAACTGAGGATATTTTCTGACTACTTCAAAAAAAGCCACATAAAGCACTGCCGTTTATTACCATGGGCACCTGAAAAGCAATTGGCATCGTGTAAACGCAGCCTGAGTTGGGAAGAGAAAAGGGCAAGTTTGTCACTGATGACATACCGTAAAATTTTCTAACCAAGTCTAGTTGGTCGTCGGCAGTGCTGAGGAGAAAGGGGGGTCAGGGGGGGTCACTGACCCGGGGGCCCATGACTTTATGGGCCCACAGATAATAACTTGGTCAAAAGTTGATAAGTAGCAATTCAGCTTCTCCACTATCAAAACCTTTCAATGATAGAAACAATAGTCGCAAATAAAATAAAATAAAAAAAAAGCCTTTAAAATAAAATAAGGTAGAAGCAGCAATAGTATTAACCTCATTTATGTAACTTTAACAGAGCTAGTAGCGTTTGGTAATTGTCTAGATAGTTAACAAAACAATTTTCAAGACTTTGCATCTGTAAAAAGGTTAATTATGGAGCTATAGTCAAGTTTTTCGGCAATTTCATTTTCCATGGACATTGAAACCAGTGAGCTAAGCCTATTTTGGTCAATGTTAAAGCGAAGATAATACTTAATGAATTTGAGCTTATTGGACGATATTTCGCCTGATTCAACACTAGAAGGCAAAGTCAGAAACAAACTTAATGCAATGAAAAGATTGGGAAATAAGCGTTGCAAATTCAAATGCTTATGCTTGTTCACAGATAGAACTGAACTTTTTTAACTTTGAGGATATTTTAGGATATCTTCTTTGGCTCTACTAACCGCCAAGAGCCCTAATAACCAGTAAATTCAGTTGTTTAATCAATTCTTCATACTACAGTCATACTGTTATTTCTAGTCACTTGCAGTCTTGGATGCATAAGATAGCAAGAAAAAATGCTAAAATAAAGTTCATGCAAAGCCAAAACTAAGCAAAATCCACTCATTCGATGTTCTTAAGAAAAAATCGTTATAAATACTAGAGATTGACTACATGTTTCTAAAGAGTAGATATTTTAGGTGTCTTTTCAAGGGGTACTCATCGAGTGTGAAAAAGCAGGAGCTGTAGTGGGCCGAATTCTCTTTACGGTTGCCTTCACGTGGCTTTTCATAATTTTTCCTTATAGTTAGATCTAATATAGTTACTTCGTCTTGCATCAAAAACATAATATCTATCAATTTTTAGCATTGTTTATTGGCGCCATATTGAATTAAAAAGTATGGTCAGAAACAAATTTTTTTAAAATTATGAGAGATCGGCTACTTGCTTCTCTCAAGTATACACCAATTCGACAAACTTCATAATGTACGACCTTTTTATGTTCAGATTTGGCTTTATCGTCATTATTGGCTGGATACAATTTTTTCATATTGTTTGTGCTTGTTATGTAGATTCAATGCAGAAATGAGGCTGTAAGTTGAATTGGTGTGTTGCGTGCTTCGTCTAATCTGTTTAGAATATTTGTTTAGAATAGAATATGTCTAGCCTTGGATAAAAAAAATGAAAAATGAACAATATCTGTTCAAAGTTTTGAAGAATTAGAGGAAAGATTTTATCAGCAAATTAATTTTGCATCTTAAATGGTTTAAAAAACTGTTGTTTAGTGTTCTTAGAAAGAATTCATAGTATAAAGATGTGGAACAATTAATGTAGATAAAAACATTTTTATGATGCCATTTGATGTTCCCGTCTATTTTGTTGAGATAAGCCAAAACTATTTGCGGTAGATTCCATGCTATTGGCATTTTTACTAATCGTGAAGCATGAAAGGCCGCCTCTTCTTTTGCGGGCGCCTCCTTTGAGAAAATGCCTCAAAAAAGTTTGAGAATTTTAAAAGAGCAACCCAGGCGTAATATGGTATCTTAACAGCTCTACATATCAAAAGTCACTTGAGTCAATGCTGTTATCAAATAGCTAATTCTAACACAACATTAAAAGATGTATTCAGTTATTTTGTCATTTCATATCTCATACTGGGAACCAAAGTTATTTCATATTTCAAAACCAAAAAATCTAAATAGTTATATTTTCTCTCCGAAAACTTTAATTATTTCATATTTCAATTTTCCCAAATAGGCGCTCTTTTGCTATCGCGGCCGCGTCTTCGCGCTTAATTTCATTGCGGATTGCGGCATTTGGTTGATTTTTGCACGGTTTTGCCCCCCCCCCTATAATAGGCCCCCTTTAAATTACCAAAGAAGTAATAGCCACCATCGCAATTTCAGCAACCAAAATAGCCGCAATTTTAGCAACCATCGTCTCAAAAATTTTCCTCGGACCACTTGCTTTCTATCTTTCGTTTTGACACGGGGCCTATAAATCCTGTCCGCGGCCCTGGTCGTCGAGGGCGGAGGAGAATCGTAATAATGTATTGTTTATATTTTTAGCACGGTTATAATCCACACATGGATTTTTGCCCTCAAAGATTCTTATCATATGTACAATTTTGACTAAAATTTCCGTTCAAGTTAATGGTAAGAACCCATTGGTGGCACGCTTCTACAAATTGAATGTTTGTATCATTAAGATGTGTCATTTTTGTCCTAACAAAAAGGGAAACATAAATACATGCATAGATCTATAAGTACCTTTTCACGCGAAAATTCGCGTTAATGGTAAGTGGATTTAAAGTTTCTCTTGTACCTTGCTCAAACTAGGAAAAGTTTTTTTTAAAAACTTGGGAAAAGACAAAAAACTTGGCAATTTTTTGTAATTTTAAAAAGCGACATTAAAAATTAAAGTGGGATGAAATGAACGATTAAAAGGCTTTTTTTAACGCTAGCAATTTAATAAGGGATGAGAAATTTACGCAGTCATGAAATTAACGTGGGTTTAATTGACGCGGATGTTTTTCGATTCGCGTTAATTAAGGAATTTTTCAATTCGCGTTAATCTATGTATCGCGGTATTTTTATGTAATAAGGTAAACAAGTAGAGATCTTCATAAAATTTGAATCGAAGTCTAGAAAATGTCTCATGCCCTCTTAAATTTGAAAAATGTCACAAGTCTTAATACTTCGTAGTTAAAGCCTCGATAAGAATGGTTCGAGTTCTTATTATGAAGGGAAAAAATCAGTTTGTTACTCAAGTTTTTATTGTCTTTAAAAAACCAATCCAGCAATCTTTCAACGTTTATTCCACCAATTTCCTTTTCGTGCTTATTGCAAACACTACATTATTGAAATGGTTGGCAGCACTGGTTATATGTATTACAGACTTAATTTGTTTCAAATTGCACGAAAATTTCTCTTTGCCGAAGCTTATGACAGTGCGACTCTCATGTGCAGACGAATCAGATTGCTCAGCGGTTGCCGATTCATCGGAAACATTCCTTACTCACCCTAGTTACCTCTCCCGTAATGCTAATTATGTCCCGCTGAAGTTTCGTCAAAAAGCATGAGAATTTACATACTTTTTACAATGTTTTCAACTGCAAGAATTCTCACTGACACAGTTAAGCCAGCTTTATTTTGTTGTTTTATTGTTTGATATTTGTCATTGTGAGTGTTTTCACTTTCTGCATTTTGCTTTTGGGTGTCTTTTAAGGCTCACATTAGTTTACAAAGGGGTCAAGAGTCCAAAATGGACAAGGTATATAAACAGAAACTCTGTCTTTGTTAAAATAGTGGTGTTTAGGAATGGTGTTCTACTAACTTACCTTGAATAAGGCCTTTTAGTCAGAAGGTTGCAACAAATATCGAGGCACATGGTTTCTAAAGTGCAACTAAGCTGTTGACATTATGCAGCTTTTAAATCTAAGCATTCTTCATTTACCCTGCATCTAATCAATCAACATCTTATATTTTTCTACTTGATTCTTAACCAATGATAGCCTAGTGACAAATAAAATAGTAAGAAAAATACAAAGTTTTCTTTTTTATTAATGACTGTTTATAAAGCAGCAAAAAGGTGCCTTTTTAAATTCATTCTTCTTGAATCACAAAAAGGCTGGTAGACAAAACAAACATAACTTACAAAACCTGAACACATTTGAAGCTGGACATTTTCATTATTAATTCATAGCTCATTACAAAACTCTACATATAAATAAAAAAAAAAGACAATTAGAACTGAAATTAGAAAAGTGCGTGTAATCATTTTTTACCAACTATAGTTTTATCCCTTTATTGGCTTTCGAAAAGCAGTTTGCTGTCAGCTTCCATCAGTTTCAAAGCATTATTCAAACGCTTGGCTCTCATCCTACACCAAATCATGTGGTTTTCCATGCCAAGAATCTGTGCAGCAGCAAGAGCAGCTCCTTCTGTATCCAAAATGGTTGTGCATCCAAGACCAGAAGGGAGACGTAAGGATGACCATACATCATGTGCTCCCCAGTCTGCTTTGATTGGTGGACAATTGATGACAGGGTAGGCAGTATTACCAGAAAGGACAGGGCCTAGGCCATTGCTTCGACCTGCAATTGCTATAAAGACTGTTGGGATTTGATGACCTTCATACCACCTCAAGATCCTGAGAGTCTCTTCTGTACCTTTATGAGCTGAACTGACACGGATCTCTGCAGGTATGCCAAAACACTGTAAGTGCTTCTCAATCTTCTTCCCATGTTCTAAATCACTTGCTGACCCCATCATGATCACAACTCTTGCAAATGGCCTAGTAATCAACTGTTGGGCTTGGTCGCTTACCCATTGGTAGTTCTTCTTTATTTCTGCCATTGCCTCTGTTGTAACCTCTTTTAAGTTGCGGTACACCTGCTTGTCCCTCATGAGCCTTTTGTCTCCTGCCTGCCACAGTCGCCAAGAATCATTATCAATGACATCAGCAACAATTATTTCCTTTGTTTCAACATCGACACCAAATTCAATTTTCATATCAACGAGGGCACAATTTCTGCTATTCCAAGCCTTTTCAAGTATCTCAAAAATTGCTTTGGCACTGTCACCCATATGGTCAAGTTCATGTCTTCCAATTGTTACTCCTCCGTGTGTCAAACTAGCTTCAAGGCACTGCTCTCTGGACCATTGTGGATCATGATTTGCATCATCTTTGAAGAAGGTCTCGAGAAGAGGAGGTGAAAACCTAAATCCCTCTTTTACACCAGGATTTCTTTTTAGAAATGAGCCAGTAGCAATTCTTCTGCAAACAACCTCAAGTGGTATCATCTCACAATGCTTGCTTATAAATGATGTATCAGTGTGGCGTTTTATGAAATGTGTTTTAACACCAACTGCATTGAGGTACTCAAAGATGGCACTTGTGGTTGAAGTACTCAAAGCAGCCTTGCCTTCCATTTTATCCATACGAGCTCCATCCCCACAAGAGATCTTGTCCTTGGACTGCAACAGTACACAACTCTTAGTGGTATATTCAGGCAGCTCATAAACTACTTTTGTCTTTCCCTCTATGACAACTTTACCAAGTTTAAGTTCTAAAATTGAAGACAATAAGAATAATGATTTATAAACTTATTAATATTAGCTAATCTTGTATTAAAATGGAAGTTAACGAAACATATTTACAAAATACAAATTTCCCTGATGATCCTTAATTCTCATATATCACCAGATTATGTCATGGCTAATTGCCTGGATCTAAACACTGTTCCATTGGTAAATGAAAGGAAATGCCAAATTCAGGTTTCCATTTTGAAAAAAATGGCTCACATCAAATATCACTGTTGATGCAAACACAGTGCTTCTGATATTTTATTTTCTTGCAGACTTTTGTCATAGCTGTCTTGATTCAGAAAAGTATAAAAAATCACACCCATTATTTCATAACAACTCATCATTAAAATTCAGGAAAAAATTGCTTACGAAATGGGTTGAGCATGTCTCCTTACAATTAAGATGAGCTGGTGCATGATTCTCGCACTATCATGCACCAGCTCATCTTAATTGTAAGGAGATCATCTAAAGCTGGTGCATGGTTCTTGCAAGATCTAAGGGCCACAAAAAACAGAGGGCCAGGAAGGCCATATCTGAGTAACATGTGATTTTAATACCTGACATTTTTCGGAAGTTAAGAAACAACCCTACCCAAATAAAAAAAAGCTAAGAAATATTTATAATTGGCAGTTGTAAATTTCCAAGTTGACACTCGAAACAGTCTTGACATTTAACATCACTGTATATTGCAACACTACACTTGACATGCAGTTTGTATTCATTCTCAGTAAATTGCACACTCAAGAAGTTTCCATTTAAAAATTTGTTTTGACTTCAACTTTACATTGATGAAGTTCATTGAGCCTAACTGTTTACAGACCTCAACAAAGTTAGTAATTCTAAGAAAACAAAATCCCTTGATCACTTTGTTAGTTTATCTCTGAATGTGAGTTAACTATTTACTTTACCTTGAAAGCATGTTTAAAAAATTCATTACCTAAGAAATTTAACATGTAAGAAACTTTTGATAGCAAAATGAACGGAAAATTTAAAAAAATGCCTACCAGCACTGGACCTTAGTTCCTTACAAAAAATTATGTGTATGCATTTTAGGCTAATCTGAATGTTTCTGCACACAAGGGGCCTTGCCTTCCCGTTTTACCCCAGGCCTTCCAAGCCTCTCAGTGGCCCTGCTCCCATCAAAGAGTCACCAGACACTGTGCAACCTTTTAAGGACACGCCCTTTAGAACACCACAAAATTGTCCTTTTAGAAAATACTTGCTTATATCCACTTGTTATTTATAAATAGTCTGATTTAGAGAAGAAATCAGTTAAAATAAAAATAGATATAATTAGGTTGGGGATAACTAAACATCCAGCAAGCTAGAAAAATACAACAAATCAAACGAGACAAAAGAACAAAATGGACAAAAAAGGGCTGCTACTACTTTTGGTCCATTAGAGAAAACTTTCCAAAGTTAAGTTAGAGTCCCCGGGGGGGGGGGGGGGGGGAGGACTTGGATACCAAAACGACGGGGGTGTGCACTCCTAAGATTGTTTTGGTGAACCAGCTAAAAATGACACCTGGCTTTAGAATTTCTGGAAAAAAGAACAAAGGAAAACAAAAGCTTTGGTGCCAGTTGCCATGGTTGCCAGAACACCACAAAAACAATAGGCGGGAAACCTCTTTGCTGTTATTTTTTAATAGAAAAAATACGAAAATCAGGCAACCGGCTTTAGATTATATCCTTTGAACAGATACCCGGCCTTAGAATAAATTGCCGAAAATGATACCCGGAAAGACGTGCACATCCTGTCAGCAAAATATACTAAGTAGCCCTCCCCCCCCCCCCGGGGGTTAGAGTAACATTTTCAAAAAAATTTCTAACCTACAGCCCCTGCGAGTTACATCATCTTTTAATCAAAATGCTAGTTTTATAAATGAAAGTTCCAAGGCAAATAATTATCCTTGCAGAAAATCGGAAAACAGTTCTGTTACGACTTAAAAGCTTAGGACAAAAAGTCCTGAACTGAAAAAAGGCCCTTGGGCCTAAAGATCAATCGAGGCAAAAAGCACCATAACGAGTAAAGGCCTAGCGGAACTTAACTGCGTAGACGAATTCTGCATTTTTTTAAATTGAGTGATAAGCGTTAAATTGAAGAAAATTTCAAAATAGAGTAATTTTAAACAAATCATACCTTCAGAGCTCGCCATCGTGTCAGAATCGTCTTATTTGGACCCTTGCCAACAAGACCGCGTGGTATGGTAGACACGCGTGAAGGAAATCAATTACCCAGAATGCAGTGTAACCTTCCGTGCGTGCCACCACATGTTTTGTTTTTCTTGGAAAAGGATTAGAAAGCCCTCGCTTTGGCGGGAAGCTCTCTTTTTCCTTTATGATATACGAAGGCCAGAAAAGAAATCAATGCACAAAGTTCAATACCATAAAATCCAGAAACGTGTTAACAATTTAGTGAACATATGTTTAAATTATCTAATTCAAGCCACACCTAGTTACATCCCATACACGAGTAACTTTCCTTGAGAAGCCTGTTATGACAGGGTGTTCTAGACCAGTACCCTGCTACTTACTTCGTGAAAGGTTTTTGGTACAAATTACTTTATGAGGATATCAACAGGGTTTTCATAAAGCTTTTAGTTTAGAAAAAATGTTTTCTAGAAAGACTGAACATGATTTCTTACGGAATTGAACCATTTCTTCAGTGAACCATTTCTTAGCGCTTTTTTTCTAGTGAATGAATGGAAGATATTTTCCGGTGGTACTTTTTGTCGTAAAAGTTTAAATGATTTAAATGACCAAAGAATGAGATAAAAAAGAAAGTCTCATTACTCATGTCAAAGAAAAACTTGGAGGTTTTCTGATGTCCTGTTTCCCTGTGCATAACCGGGATTTTCTTCTTCAGTTTCTCACGTGCCGGGTCATGGTTGATGAAGAGCAGTTAGAGTGAACAACGAAAAGCTATTGCTAGAAATCGGTCAAAGATGGAGGAAGATGACGTACTGAGAGATTCATGTGCTGTTTTTGGTTGTGTAGCATCTCCTGAGGCAGTTGCCAATTTCAGTTTGACGAATCTCATGTATCTCGGCCTAATGGCTTTGCAGCATAGGTAAGTCCCTAAAAGCAGAGCTCTGCTAAAGTGGAGAGAGAAAAACCTGTGTTTTATACCTATGTATTTGTTACTATATACGTTTTTAGGACACTGAGAAGCTGAACTTATAGAGCAGTGACCTTATCATTCCTCATGATATGCCCACACCTCGTGATTCTTACGCTTGGAATTTGAGGGAGCTGGCGACTCTCCAAGTGAAAGTTTGGTCATGCATGTTAGGTACTCAAACCAGGGACGCCGGAACGACAAAGCGGCAAGGGGGGGGCAGGCTTGAGTAAAAGGGCATTTGTAAGATAATTCAAAGCTTCTAAAAATTCCTACGTTACTGTCATTTTATTTCGATCTTCTGTAGGTATCTTGAACAATTTTTAAGAAGTTCAGAATTTCAAATGAATATATCTGATTATTACAAAATTGGCCGATTTCAACGGCATTTTATTGAAAAGGGCACTCTTCCCCCTTGCCTATCAAAAAGCAACTTGGGTGGTTCCCTGCACCCCCTTTTTCTTGTGTCCTGGACTCAAACCCCAGGCTCTTGTATCTGTCAGCTGTAGTCTGTCTTTGATACACAGAATCTGTTTCCTGAGGCACCATCACACAAATGGAAGATGGCGCAAATCAAATAATAACCCAAGGGAGGGGGGGGGGGAAGTTTGCGATTTGTCAGGAAGGTCAGACCAACTTGCTTAGGAAATGAAAGGACTCTTCAAAACTTATCTAAGAAGATACTCAAAACAAAAATGTATGAAGTGATTGCCTTCCTACATAAGCCTTGTCGTTCTGTAACCTATAAAGATAATATAAGAATGTATGAAAAACAAACCTTGAGTTTCAACTTCTTCTACTTCATTTTTACTGGGCTGAATAGATAAATTATCTACTTAGGGTGCATTTATATCATTAGCTAAGGCTTCAAAAGCACTTATTCTTGTTTCTATATGTTAACAAATTTTCCAGCACTGAAGGCAATATTGTACAAAAAATCTGAATTTTTTTCTACAAATATGCAAAAATTCAAAATGAGCATGATGGAAATTTTTTCATGTTTGTTTATTGAAATGTGTAACAAGCTTCCTACTTTGACCTTGCCCACTTTTTTGTTTTTGTTTAATTTCCTTTTCATGTACAAAAAATACCAGAGCAATTTCAGAATTGAGAAAGAAACAGCTACTTTGTAGCCAATCTATTTAAATGCACTGCTCTCATGAATTTACTGCATATCCCAAAATATATTTTGGTTTTAATTTATCAGATAATTGCACCGATAATTCAAAAATACTAAAATAAGGTCTCCTTGAGGTAGAATTATGAAAGTGTACAAATGTTCCAGGTATACTGACTAATTTAATCTTACCTTTTTAGTGTTGAAGATCAATCAATAAAAAAATCAGTGTGCAGCAAAAATCTCTGTAAAACTGACATAGTTAAGGTTTACTTACACAGTAAAATTTTGTATAAAAAGTCATCTGATCAAGCTTCCATTTCATCCTGCACAATCAATAACTTTTGTGTCTGTGGTAAACCCAAACTTCTGCACATTGCAACTCCCAGAAGGAGTGGATCACCATCAAAGTGTGGCATGGTTGATTGATGGGAGAATATTGAGGGCTGCCCTTTTGACTACTACTTCCAGGTGCATAGTCCTTTACACAGGGACAGCAAATATTTTTGCTCTATTTTTAAAGAGTATATGTATTTACAGAAATGCAAAAAAACTCAAGTTGTTGTAAAATGTGGAATCCATTTTCTTTTGAACAATTTCTGCACAATTTCTGCACAAGGGAGTTGTTCTGCGCAATATCTCCATGTTTTGCACTGATTTGTAGGAAAAGTAACAGGAAAGCTCCACAAATTTTTGGGACTGATTCTTTCCAAAAATTTGTCTGGGCAATTTTTACGCTTGTCAGTGGAGCATTCTCTCTGGCCTATGATGCTTTCACCTGGTCCCAGAGCCCTAGAAAGGACCAACTTTTCACAATTATAGCAAGTCAGATATCAAATGATTGGGATGTCACAAACCTCTCGCATACACTGCCCTGATTTGAACCTGGGAGGAAGTGTTGAATATATCTAACATATTCTATATATACCAATAATTCAAGTAAAAAGAATTGTAGAGTCACAAAAATAACTGGGATATTATTAAAAACTTGTAAAGAGCCTCATCATCACTGCCCAGTTATAACAAAGGAAAAGAAGTCTGGGGGACTAGTTGCTACCTCTTTAGGGGGAACTTCCAATAAATTGCTGAGTTCAGACTGTGATTTATTACAAAAAAATCAACAATATTTATCTTGTCCAAATCAACAACAGTCAATGCAAAGCAAAGGAATTTGCCAAAGAAACACAATGGAATTACAAAGAATTGTAGATTAAAGTACAAGTCCCCATACAATTCCTTTGACAATCATGCATGGAAATACACTAGATAGTTTTCTAGAAAAAGGTTATTGTACAAAATATGTTGTCATGATGATAAATAGCATTGGAATGTTGAGTTGTTTGGCCTGAGAAAATAGATTTGGCCTGAGCTGAAAATTTGGCCTTTTTCAACTTTGAACTTTTCATTTCTGGACAGACCCTTAATTTTGTGTTGCCTTCTAATGATAACCTATCCAATACCAGTGGCCTCACTTTTGTGCCGAGGTGTGGGGTGAAACTAGGGGTGATAACTTTTCTGCGAAGTTGTTTCCCGCAGTGATAAGACAAATAGAAGGCTCATTCAGAACATTTTCAGCAAAGATATAATTGGTGTTTGCATTTTCTATTTGCTTTATAATGTATTCTGTTATCATGGGAGTTTAACCTTTTCTTTCACTAAAGCAAGGCACTTCATTCTCCTTTGTATAGCAGGAATAGCCATAAACACAAGCAAGTCCTGTTAGAAAAGGGCAGTTGCACCCATTTTCAATTGTTCCCAACCTTTAATTCTCCGTATAAAGAAACCGTGCTCTTAGTTGAAAGGATAGTACATTTTATTGACTTTTTCAGAAAGCTGAATATTCATAAAAACGTCTTCTGCCAAATGGGAATGAGTCTTTGTGCACCAAACATTAGGTTATGTTGTGATTTTCAGAAGTCAGTGTTTTGAAAGCTTTCAGTGATATAGATCCAAAAACTCAATAATCCTACACAAAGGTTGTTCTAAGAAAGATAAAGTTAATTTTCAAATCGTTGCACTTTTTGCTAAGACCTTTGGTGTGAAAAATACTTTGAGGTATTTGTCAAGTCCAATGATTCCTTCTATTTCTCTTAAGCTTGTTTTTCAAGTAGAAAAATGGTTTCTTATTTCATTAATGAATACCAACATTAAAATGCTATTAAATGTTCTAGGGGACAGGAAAGTACTGGTATGGTGACATCAAATGGTAATGAGATGTTTGTAAAGAAAGGGATGGGACTTGTTGCAAATGTTTATGGACCAGAGTCAATGAAGCATCTTGCTGGCCATATGGCAATAGGACACAACAGGTATTCCACAGCTGGTAAATCAGAAATTGTCAATTGTCAGCCGTTTGTTGTCAATACCATCCATGGTAAAATAGCTGTTGCACATAATGGTGAACTTGTCAATGCACAATCATTGAGAAAAAGAATCCTTAGGCACGGTGTTGGCTTGTCAACTGATTCAGACAGCGAACTTATTACACAACTAATGGTCAGTGAGCCACCTTGTGGTGAACCTAGTGGACCACAATGGGGAGAAAGGATCAAGCACTTGATGACAGTAGCAAAATGCTCGTATTCAATTGTCATCTTGACGAACGATGGTCTTTATGGTGTTCGTGACCCATATGGTAACCGTCCTCTCTGCATTGGAAAGCTAGATCTATCAGTGCCAAATGAAACCGAAAATGGCAAAAAGAAAATAACAGAGTCATCAATATACATCCTTTCATCAGAATCCTGTGCTTTTCATTCCATAAGAGCTAAACTTGTCCGTGATGTTAAGCCAGGAGAAATTATCAAACTCTCAGAAAATGGTATAGAATCTTTAGGTATTGTCCAAAGACAACATGAAGACTCATTACCTGCATTTTGCATATTTGAGTATGTTTATTTTGCACGAGCAGATACAGTTTTTGAAAATCAGCTTGTTTATGAAGCAAGGAAAAACTGTGGTCGACGGTTAGCTATAGAGGCTCCAGTTAATGCGGACATTGTGAGCACAGTTCCTGAGTCTGCAACGCCAGCAGCATTTGGCTATTCAGAACAGTCAGGGATACCATATTCACAGGTTTTTGTCAAAAATCGCTATGTAGGTCGCACTTTTATTCAACCAAGCAACCATCTTCGAAAGCTGGGGGTGACAACAAAGTTCGGCCCGCTTACGCAGAACTTTAAGGACAAACGAGTTGTCCTTCTAGATGATTCTATAGTGAGGGGCAATACAATGGGGCCAATTATTCAACTGCTTATGGAGTCAGGAGCCAAAGAGGTACAGAAAACTCTATTTCTATTGATTCAGCTACCCCCAAGAGTTTGTTTCAACACTCCAAAACTGCTTTGAAGATTGATTTAGAAGGGTAGTTCATTACAGAAAAAACTCCTAACTATTTACTTCCATGTATTCTAAAAAAATATTAAAACGGGGTATAAATTAGCCACAAAGCTTCAAACAACTGTGCAAGCGAAAAGAAATGATTTTTATGAATAAAACAAGAGCAAAGACATCAACATTACTAGTTTTTAAAAGAAAGCTGTCCTAAAAAACGCCGCGTCGTTTTCTTTAAATAATGACCCCCAAGTATTTTATCAGATGACACTTGAAATGTTGTTACAACTGAAAAACAGAAAAATAGTGAACTAGCGGAGTCAAAATAAACAGCATGAAGGAGGGCAAGCGGTTACTTAACACCTGACAATAGCCGATTTCGAACATCGTAAAAAGTTAGATGCAGATTAGAACGAGCAACCCTTAAGATGAAAATAAAATGGAGTAATTATCAATTTATTGTTGACAGTATACAAATTAACTGCTTTTCAGTCCTTTCTAGCCTTGTGCTATACCGTAAAACATTGTTTTTAATCGTTTCAGGTTCATGTAAGAATAGCCTCTCCACCAGTAAAGCATCCCTGCTTTATGGGCATAAACATACCAACAAAATCTGAACTAATTGCTAACCGGATGAACGCAGAGGAACTTGCAAAGCATCTTGGGGCGACAAGTCTGGTTTATTTAAGTACAGATGGGTTGAAAAAGGCCATTCAACAAGGCATCAAAGGAGGAAAGGAACAAAATGTTGGACACTGCACTGCATGTCTTACAGGAACATATCCTGTTGAGCTTGAGTGGTGACGCTCTTCCAATGGAACGCTCGTGCTTCCGTTCCAAAGATTGCTTAGAGTCGTAAAAGCTGGGTTAGGAGTCTCCCGATGTAGGCAGGAGTTTCCCGATTTAGGCGAGAGTCTCCCGATTTAGGCAGAAGTCTCCCGATTTAGGCGGGAGTCTCCCGATTTCAAATCTCACCTCCCGCTTTCAGGAATTTTTTCATAAATCTGTAATAAAATTCAATTACGAAAAACATGTTGTGCAAATCAAGATAATATACATGAGTGTACGTGAAGTTTGTCACCGTATTTACCGTATACATTACACTTCTGACGTTTAATCTATAGCTGGTAAAATGTATCTTGTTTGAGAGACGAACGAGGGAAATATCAGCAGAATTTTTTCCGTGAGAAAAGATAAATTTTGTTTAGGGATTTTTATAGAAGAAACACAACTTCCCATTATGCTAACCAAAAATATATACTTTCTCAGAAAATCAAATGATTTAAAACAGTTTTTCCCGTAAATTATGCCACAAAAGAAAAAACCAACTATAATATTAGAGACAAAAATATGCTTGACTCCTTACTATAACATAAATTTTTCTAATGAATTGCCTCGCAAATGTGTAAATCTGCGTGTATGAATTACAACAAAGAACAACTTGAGCATTAGAACCGGTGCATTCGAATGTTGTTGTCATCTTAATTTTCTTTTGACATTTTTATAGAAAGTTGATACTTATTAAAAAATAGTTTCAATCAACTGTTGTACTCAATATAGTAAGATAAAGTGAAGAAATTCATCATAAATTTAGATGTAAGAGAGTTTATCACCTAATTATTTTTGTAGAAATTTTTTACAAATTTAGTCTGGTATTAATTTTTGCGGAATGACTAAATTTAAATTCTTCACAGGAATGTATTAAAAATCTCCCCATTTTCAATATTCCTAGGTTGAAACGCCTGATATCTACAGTGTTTTGAAGGTACTGACGTTTTCCCCACCAAGATATACCTTTAGAATACCGCCAAGAAATATCTTAAGAATGGAGGCTTAACAACAGAGAAATGTGTAGGTAGGACTGGGTTAGCAGTAGCATAATGCATTTAACTAATGTATTTCAATTGATCTAAATAGAAACCAACCAAATGATGCATCGTTACCCTGTCCCACTAAACTTTTTAAGAATGTTTTGGAGCACCAAGATCTATATTATACATTTTATAGCATTTTCAGTCAATTTTTTTATTCATATTTTCCATAGTATTTTGTGTAAAGCAAATATTTCTTAGTCTCTATTTATTACTTTTTAAATTATTATGGGTACATCTTCCAGTTTGAAATTAGATTGTTAGGAGAAAAGTTTTTAAAACACCAATGTAGTGTTTTGTCTTAGTCCCTGTCTTAAAAAACTCCATCTTCGCAAAACTGATGAACAACTCTGCATTAGATCATATGGGTTCCACATTTCGGAAGTATAAGGGTTCACATGCTAAGTTAAGATGAAGTAGCACCTCAAACTCAAATGCGAAGAAAGAGATCTAGCCAAAGAAACCAATGTCATGAAAATTAAGTCTTTGTATAAAAAAATAAAACAGCAGCAAGTGTTGATATCTGAAAACATTTGCTCCATCTTCAACCCTTGCTAAAAGGGGAATATCACAAAGATTGACAAAACAGGACACCAGATGGTGGACATGTTCTTTTGGATCACATGGTCCTGGTTGAATGGTTTTGATGATGTAACCCATTAATTATTTAATTGGCCCAAAACTTTAGAAAACCTTCTTCGCTTTTTAAAGTACCATTCCTTATGAAAAAAGTAGGTTCAAGATTCCCGTCACGAACCTTGTTTTGTTGTATGTTTTAGAGTAAATGTGAAAATGTGTGGTGACAAATTGAATCCATGGTAGCCATGAAATATTGATGTGTAAGCAATCACTTGAAGTTATCAGGATAAAGGATTGAGCAGTCACTTGAAGCAAGATAAAATTGGCGTGGTTCATACAAATTGGTATACAAAACACGAAAGTTGGCTAAGAAAAGGTGGCTAGAGACCGTACTAAAACATGCTAAAAATGCAAAAGCAGCGGCCCATTCGCCTCGGCAAGGCTTGCTCTTGTCAAAGGTGGTCTTATTTCGGACAACAGAGCCCGTTCCACCGAGAATCGGGATGCGAAAAGGGAGGTAAATCGAGGAGTTTTGGTTAGACTATTTTAGTTCTATTATTTTATTTTGCTTGAAGAAATGAAGCGCATAAAAGTAATTCGTATTACGAGATTGTTCACGCAAGAAATCCAAGAGAACAATGATAAAGATACACTGAAAACTGTGACTGACCACAAAGATATATTCAAATTATAAAAGATGAACAGTAAATAGTTTCTTTACCAAACTGAATGTCTATCAAGGACAAAACAAAGTGAGGGGTATTAAAGGTATTGGAAACGCCTAAGCATCTACCGTGGAAAGTACAAATATAATACATAATACTATATTTTAAACCCTATAGAAAAGAACGACAACGACAAAAATATTTGTCATGCTAAAGCAACATTAAATGGTAAGAATGAAGTGCACATTGAAATAACTCAACGGTCCAGCTTGTGCCTCCTATTTGCAGATATATATTTACTTTCTAGACCTCTAACTTGCCGTAAAAAGTTATTCTTCAAAAAAAGTATTGCATTAGTAGAGGTTTAATGCCAAGGAAATTTCTATAAGAATCTAAGACCTTTTTGATATACGTAAGCAAAATGGCGATGACTTAAACAATGAATATGTGAAAAATAGGATATAACGCGTAAAATGTCACTCTAAAAATTTTAGTTGGACTTGGCATTATCAACGTAATTTAGTCTTAATAAAACAAGATAAAAAACGATAAGTCACCCTAGAAAATTAGTAAAAGAATTTTAAAAACTTCAAAAATTAAAATATCTTTTCATAAAACTTTTCTGTGCATTGCATATAAACATCTCTAACACTCATAATCCACACTATTTACAACAGTATTTTTCTCGGGAAGTGTTTCATTAATAATAATAACTATGAAAATCTCTCTCTGTGCAGAAAATCGTACAATAAGCAAATAGCCAGTTAACGTATCGTTTTTAAGATTTCTGTATAGCCAGTAAATTTCTCATTCTGAATAGTCACTGGCCCTTGTCTACTAGGTTCATGTATATATAAGTCGTAAATGTTCTTTGTCAGTTTTGCTGTTTTGTGACGTAAACCCGTACTTTAGCAAACTGAATAAAGATCTTGTGAAAAACGGCCAGCATAATTGCCGTATTCTCGAAATCCCTTTCGATTGGTATCTTGTTAGTCTACCTAAATTTTCTTACAAAACCTAGCGTAAAAAAATAAACTTCATAACATGCCAATTTTTGCTGTTCCTAAGCAGTCCCCTATAAAGAACGGAAGATCGAAGAACATCTTTCGAATTAATCAGTCTAACTATAAAAACTTTGTCCTTGTAACCTACACCACGCATACCTTAGTTTGTTTGTCTCAGATCACTATCGGTCACTGTCACTTTCATCTGTCTCTTTTGCTATTGTTGTTGACGTCAATTTTCAAATAGTTTGACAGCTTTTCCAGCTCAGGATCCTTTTGAATTTGAGAAAAACAGAACTCGATTAGAACCAGTGTAAAACATGTAAAGCAAAAACTGGAGAAACTCATAAGAACGAATAGCCAAAGTGTGTCTGGGTCCTTAAAACAATTGGTGCCGTGACCTCATCCTTTTAGACAAGAAACGAGCCCCTTTGTGAAATACTGCCTACAGGCTGCATATAATTCACATTAGAATTCATTTACAGCATGTGAATAAAACATGGTAACTTGCTTTCATTGGGGCATCAAATAATGGAACTTCGATGTCTCATATATTTTCTTTCTTACACTTTCTGTACCTTTGAAAATTACACATTCTGGGTTATTTCATGTTCTTTTTAATTTGTCCTAAAAATTCAAAATCCGGAAGTAATCGACGGGACCACGAAAATACATAAATTATCGAGTAGCAATTATAGATATTGAGATGCGATGAAAACACTCACAAGCTAAAAATGGTAAAGTCTCAAGTTAGATCTCGAGGAAATGGTCCCAGTATCATTGCGGCAGAAGTCATCGACGTCTCCAGTTATTAATGAAGATATAGAAACATATCAATGAAAAAGCTCAATTGCATTCAGGTTCTGGGTCAAACGATAGCGAGATTTTTTGATGATCAATTATGATCTCACCTCTGCAAATTGATTAGCAAAATATGTGCCAAGACTGGTTTGTATATAGACATGTCACATGGAAAAGGCAGTTGGAACGGAGATACAGTTAGGTTGGCAGAAAAAGACTAATTATAAGTCTTTGTATACTAACTATACGTAGAAAAGTGGTGAAAACGTAGGCAACAGAAGAAAAAACGAGTTATAGGGACGAACGTAAAGATGAACTACACTCAACGAAAAAAAACAACGTGGTTAATATCTACACAGAAAATGAATAAGAATGTCAATGGGAGGATATAAACGATTAATATCAGCATGGGGAAAATCTGAATATCAATTGGCAAAGTTGTTAGTTCTGTGAAACATTCAATTGTGGAGCAATAACTTCCTGATTTTTGACACCTATATTAGAATGGGAGGATTTGACACCCACGGACGTTGGGGGCGGGTGGGAGTCACTTTGATGCAAGGTTATAAAAAGGATATCTTTATTAATTTTTACAAACAGTTCTAGTTTGTTCAAACTTGCAAACATGCAGATAAATTAATATATTGACAGTGCCTGATCTCTTTATCAGAATCTTAATATTCTTTACCAATTTTCTTAATCACATTTAATTAAGCAGACACCACCTCTTGCTCTCCTATAAAAACGGTCTAAACGAAATCCTAACAAAAATGATTATCCAAAAAGATAATTATTAAAGCTGCTCACGATGTTGTACCTCCTCGCAGAAAATTTAATGTTGGCATAGAATGCATCTTGCCACTGCAGTTAGAATTTCGATGTTACTTTAAAACAGCATGATACAAATGTATTGTCTAAATTAAAAATACTATTGTTGTGAACGTAAATGTCTATGATAAATGATACTATGTATTTTACTGCATTTTACCCTAGGGCTGGCACTGAGACCACACGATAGTATGTCTTACAGTCGTTGAATTCTGGTTAAGAAAATCTGTGCCTTTTACACGTTTCAGCAGGTAAGTTAGGTTGACGTTACTTAGTAAAAGCATTAGTAATAAAGATTGGTTAGTAATGTCTTCGGGATATTACCGACTAGTTTTGAGTGACTTTAGTTTGCAGAGGTTTGAGCGACTGCATGTCATGTAAACAAGAGGAATTGGACAGAACAATTTAGAGTTCTTAATCAGGATTGACGTCAAAAAACTTTTTGGAATTTTTGAACTTTGACCACATACCATGAAATATTTCTGAATATGCAAATTCGTAAATATGTCACATCGTATCAAAAATCTGTTGAGATATGGCCAATAAAAGCTTTGCTATTGGTTACTGTTATTTTGGCTCGATTCAGAAAGTTATTAACAGAGAACCAAACTACAGAGGTCTAGTGTTTAGGGACAATTCTGGGAAGTAGTGCTCAGGGTGGCAAAATTGGTTATCCGTCAGGAATACGATTAGCCTCGTGTCATACACGTCGAGAGGTTTTTTGACATCATTTATAAACCAAAGGTCGTCTAGGGTCAGGGAACGCTCTCCTACGAATAAAACATCCAGCACACATGATATCCTATTCAGATTCTTCATGTCCCCCTTCCAGGCGTTCTTTTTTCAGACGTTTCGGTCAAAGCCCATATCTATGAGTGTTTTTGTGTGATATTCTACCAAACGTCAAGCACTAAAACGGCTTTTTAAACTTCAGCATCAACCATGTACTACTAGATAGGCTTCAATACACATTGTACTTTCTAGACTAACTTTTCAGCTAAAATTTCTATATATTAAATATGAAAATATCTACAATTCTATACATCTTAAAGTTTCCCCAACCCTCCCATATTTTCTACTTACTGATGGAAATAAATCAGAACACATTTTACAGTCATTATCAAGTAAGGCCTAAAAATATTCTTTATCTGTGTCTGTTGGCACTGTCTTATATTTCTTAGTTGAAAGCATGTTTCCCAATACAATGTCCTCCAGGGATTCTTGTGAGCTGTTAGTCTTGTTAGAATCATTAGAACGAGACAAGTCACTCCCTTCAGCAAGAGGCTGTTTGTAAAGATCCTTGAACAAACGAAGCAACATTACACACAATACAATAACAGGACCAGCTTTTGACACTGCTAGGAGAGCAAAACACAATTACTGGAACATATAATAAGGGGTTAGTGGTAAAAATGGTTAGAAGTAGAAAAACTGCACACACAAATTTCGATACACAACACAGCAATACGAAAATGGAATTTAATGATTTGAGAGTTTTTACAATTGTTAATGATTTTTAATGATTTGACCACATGATTACATCTTTCAAGGGATTTGTCTAGACTTTTCTGCCACGAAAAGGAAGTCTTTCTTTCATTTGATCTTTCATTTGCCATTTGCTTGCTTGACTGTTTTGGTAGTATGGTTCCAATTTCAAAAAATTACTGAGTATATTCTTCTAGCTACAGTAGAAAGCCACATAAAGAACCTAGGTTTTCTCTGACACCCTGACCAAGGGGCAAAGGGGCAGGCTTAAGTAAAAGGGCCTTTGTAATATAATTCCCAGCTTCTACTAAGTCCTTCTACTAACTGCCGTTTTATTTCGATCTTCTGTGGGTATCTTGAAAATTGGCTAACTTTTGGCATAAGGAATTATTTGAGAATTGTCATTATGAATTAAGCACTGCAATTAGAATTTCACATGAATCTCTCTCATTATAACAATAGGCCAGTTTCAAGGGCACTTTGATGAAATGGGCACTCTGATCCCTCTTTGGCCCTCCTTTCAAAAGAATCAAGGATCTTTCAGAACAGTTTTTATGCGGTTTTTACTGCAACTATCTTGTCGAGTTGAATTGAAATCTAGATACAAATGGTTAAGGGTAACACAAGCACGTTTCTAATAAGCAGAATGTTTGAAAATCTGCCAACTTGTGTTGACCAAAGCTGAAGAACACTTACGGATAGCATGGTATCCTCAGTTACTAGCAAAACTTAGCCAATGCAATATATAAACACATACCTTCCAGTAATCTGCAAAATTCTGACAAGACTCACATCAAGACACGAAGTGACCGAAGACATGAATCCCAAGATCAATGCAAAAAATCATAGAGCTTTTGTATGGAAAGTCCCTATGTTACGCAAAAGATGTTTGGATCTATTATTAAAGAGCTTTACTTTAAAAAAATCGTATTAGCCGTTGGAGGTACTTTGCAAATTTATTCAAATAATAACAAGTTTATGGCAGAAGTTGAAAGGTTGTCTCTTGTCATGTCAAAAATAATACTTAAATATTATCTTATTGTTACCAAACAAGAAAGCTTTAATTTGAAAGAATATACGATTAATTTTATATCAGTAGTTATTCTGAAAGGCTATCCCTTGAAATTTCAAAACTGGTGATAAATCGTTGTTCAGGCAGTAAAGTTTTAGTCTGAAAGAACGCATGCTTCACCGTTATTTTTAAGCATTAAAAAACGTGTTCCTCATTTGGTTGCAATTGCCTGTATCTAAAATTTATTTTGTTCACAAATATACTGTAACTCAAGAGAAACCTATTAATGTTTCGTTATATAAAATTTGATCTGGATATATATTCGTTCTAAACATGTATTCTAGATAATGTTCAGGGTGATTTACAAGTTTCAGCTTTAATTGTCGAACTGCCAGAACGTAAAATTGCATCGAGAAGATCATTCTGATTACATAACTTAGCTCCTTCTTAAAAATCAAAGTCATTCATTCATAAAGAGCAATTTAAAATATCTCGCGACCATATGATCATATGTACAGGGGCTCTATATCAGGCAACGGCGAATCCATCGTTGCACGAATATCCGCCGCTCACCGTTGGTACGTGTGACTCTACAAAACAGGCCATAAGCTGATAACGATGGTATCGCAGCCAAGATAGTTGTTTCAAACGCAATGACGTTTCTTTGTAGCCACTTCTAGCGGCAGTAACAAAATAGCGCGTGTTACATGGCTACGAAACTGTGAACGGTACACTTTGGCAACGTCCTTTCAGGCACAGGGACAGCAGTGAAATGGGGAACTCGTGCAACGATGGACGAACAGTGTGCTTTACCGGTACATAAACAAACTACATACAAGGATAACAATAAACGAAAAACCAGATTAGGCCTAAATTCGATGAAATTTTCTTTAACTCGGTTTTAGAAAACACACAGATGAAAACAAATTGTACCAGAAAACTTCAATATCATGATAAAACGAAACTCTGTTTAAACGATACTCTCTTGCAACTTGACAAGACATGTATAAAAATCAATTTCATATGTATAACACATATTTACACAATTTGAACGCAACTATCAATAAAGATTAAATATACATGGCAGATAGCAAAAATACCACCGTAATACTACGATATCTGAACCCAAATTAACTTTAGATTAGCTCAAAAATTGGGAAATCCACTCTTGATTATGGGAGGTAGCAAACAAATCGAAAATGGCTATTGCTTAAAAGAACAATGTTTCCTTTGCAACAAAACCAGTGATATCTGTAAATTTTCACCAAAAATTCAGGATTAAGTTATTCACAAAATGAAGTAAATTTTAGAAAGTTAAGTCGAACGTAAGACAATTTCATTTACAAAAAAATATAAAACAATGAAGATTGACAAAGCATTAACAATAAATTTTACTGTGACAATACAAAATAAATAAGTCGGAACATAAAAATAATACTGCATAAATTAATAGTTAAATTTTCTTTGATATAATTAAAGAACAAACACCTATGATTAAAAGTAAATTCATTAACCTTCTCATAGAGAGACAGCAAATAATAAAAAAAATTCACAACTATGCTAGCAAATACACCATTAAATTTTTACAAAATAACACAAAAATGCACTAAATTGGGCCTAACAAAAATTTCAGAATTACTTGAAGAGATTGAATTATTTGTTTTGTAGCTTCGATGTTGGCAGTAAAAGTAATATCGGTTGTAAATTGAAATATGTATATGATTTATTATAAATTTTTTCAAAGACTTTTTATTTTCAATCAAATAAAGACAAAGCAGATTTTAATTGGAGTGTAAATCGCTCTCTAAAAAATTTTGCTTTAGGGAAACAAGTTGACCATTTTAAGAAAACTGATCGAATTATCAAATAGCTTGTTGGTATACGTTAACTTTGTGCAAGTTCTTTACACCCTAATTAAAAATTTATTTCGAAATATATTAATATCTTTAATTATTGGATTTTTAGAGTTTGCTTAAATTATGACAAAAAGCAACTTTATAAAAATACTAGCGTCATTGCATCTAAGGTCTTTGACCAAACAAAATTTTGTAAAACATGAAATATTCTAACTATCCCAGAAAATCCAAACCTCACAAAAACTGGAACAATATCTTAATTTTAAACTATTGCTAGAAGATAAAATATTGGGTTACTGATCAATACTGGTCGGGCTATTTCCATTTCTTGGCGACTTCATGTTAATAGAGAGGTATTCAGTTTCACTGAATGAGTCCTGCTCTAACAACAAACGGTTACCATAGGATAAATCACGTGAGTTCGAACCCGAAGACAACGTTGTATCCGATTCTATTTGTTCTTCCAAGTCACCTCCATGGAGGACAGGCATGCTGCAAGAATGTGGAAAACTTTCTCTTGATGCATTATCAGCTGCTTCTCCGTGAGCATTAAACATCGCTAATGTTTCTATTTCTTCCGCAAGTTGCTTCACTTTCGTGAGCAAAGAGCGGCCTAGGCCATATGGCTGCTTGGATACTTCGTTCGAAGAACTTGCTTTCTTTTTCTCCCCGTCAATCGTTACCGAAACAGTTGTTGAAGTCTCGACTGATTTGTCCACAGTTTTGCCAAGATGTATTTTGATGTTCTCAGTTTTGTTGTACTTTTTAACAATAGATATATCAGCATCTCTAGAAGAATCCACATCGGAATTGTCGGGCGCTGTTTCCAAAGTTGATGTCCTTGCAGCATTATCCACGGTGTCTTTGCTTCTTTTTGTACAGTTCTGTTGCTGCAAATCTTGCGAGGATGTTATGGCCTTTGGCAGGCGCTTCCTTACAACAGAACCTTTCCTCGCATGGCCAGCAGATTTTTCCGACAAAGGCCGCTCGCGTTGTTCAGGTTTGACATGTTCTTCTATAGGGACAGAGCCTCTCCTTTGGCCTCTTGGTTTAACGGTCAGTGTTTCAACAGCAGCGGATGCGAGACTTCGATTCGGATATGAAGCTCTGTATCTCGATTTCTTCGCATCGCTAACAGAGGTTCTCCTATGTACAGTACTTGCTTCAGTATCATGCATATAGGAAGGAATAGCGGAGGGTTTGTTCTTCACACTGTCATCGACACTTATGCACTTTGCCAGTGGCGTTCGTTTTTTGACTCCAGGAGCAAAGGTTGTGATTATCCCATGCTTAGGAGAAGAGGGAAGCGATTGTGTATGGGGAATACTATCTAACACAGGAGCGCTTAGTCTTTTTGTACAATATGTCTCTTTGGCTGAAGATGGCCTGTTGCGTAGAGTCACACTTTGCGGCTTTAAATCATTATTTGATGTCTCACAGTTCACCTTTTGGTGAGCAAGACTGACTGTACTAAATTGATCAGCTCTTGGTCTGTAAGTACTATTTCTCCTAGTGTCTTTAGATTTTAAATTTTGCCCTTTAATGTCTGAAGTTTTGTTTGAAGATGAAATAGATTTCCTTATTTCTGCAATATGTTGACTAGGGGTGGTTGATTTTGCCCTGGGTATGCGGCTGCTTAAAGAAGCCCTTCGAACCGGACTAGATGGAAAAGAAGCTGGAACCTCATCATCGTACGAGTCCGACCGATCAAACGAAAGGGACTCCTCGAACGAGGCTGAGCGTTTCCTTGAAGCTGTATTCGGCTTCTCCTCTAGAACAGGATCTTCTTCCCATGAAAATTTACGCTGAATTTCAGCACACGAGCGGGTCCCGTTGCCCTGATTTTGCTTACGCTTAATAACGTTTGATAAATAGATTACCGTCTGGATGGCCAAGGCAACTCCACGCAGTCTTCTTCTATGGGTGAAATTCTTTTCAATTTCAGTTGATAATTTCTCTTGTAAATTTTTGCTTTTTGCAGTATGGCCCTGGAAAGGAAATAAATTATCACATGCTACTGAAAACCAAGTTGCAGCATGTGGTACCAAGATTTGTATCAATTAGGTTGACAGTAGGTCGAGCAAGATTGTTGTATGAGCATCAGCAGAACAGCACATCACGCTTTAAAAAAGTTCGAAATTTGAATTCTGGTCCTAATTAAAATTCTGGCCCTAATTTATATTCTGGTCCTAATTTGAATTATGGTCCTAATTTGAATCATGGTCCTAATTTGAATTATGTTCCTAATTCCTCGATAGACGCGAAGCCAGTATGCAGAAGGATTGTAGAAATAGAGGGGCTATTCACTCTTACAAATAGCGCACGAGATTGCCACGTAAACAAAAAAGGATTTCCAGGAATTTTCAGACAAAACAATAGGATTTCAACTTAAAGTGTACGGGATTCTCATTGAGTTATTTGCCCCTAGGCAGAAATCTTAAAGCTTTTATTAAAAATCAGTGTCAGGAACACCAGGCACAAGATACAGGGTATCATTTATCAGGAAATTTGTATAAGGTATTATTAAAATTCTCGTTAATAACCTAGAATATTTCAATACTATTCTTTTTAGTAAAGGAAATATCATAATAAAGAAAGACGTACTTTGATCCAAGGATGTTCAAGTATATCTGCTGCATCGTATCGTTTTTTGACGTCAACGACCAGCAAACGTTGTATCAAATCCTGTGTACATTGAAAACAGAATATGAACAAGCAGAAAATTATAGCTTAAAACACCATATATATAGAATAAACCGCTACATTTAAATATATAGATAAACAATATTGATTTGTTGGAGATCTCTACATAACAGTTGGCCGCAAAGGATATATACTTTTAGCAGTATTCTTTGCCTGTATACTTCTTTAATTTCAAAATAATGTAAAATTGTGAGGAATTCGCAAAAGACCAAGACAGATGAATAGGAAATTTGGAAAAGATCAATTTTGCAACAACAACATCACTAGATAGAGCTTCGTAAACCACGCGTACCTACGGCTAACATTCTGTAATTTCAAATGTTAATATTTTGTACATTAATTTTTTCAAATTCAAAGGTTGACAAAAGTCAAAAAGTAAAACGCAAAATCAATAGGAAACATCTGCCTAATTATAGACGTCTTTTTGCTTTTAAAAGGTAGTTACCTTAGCAGACTCAGAAACATCATCCCAAAATGGTTGCAGAAATTCATAATCCCCTCGTAAAATTTTATCGAACAATTCTTCTTGGTCCTGCTTGTGGCTAGGTGTAAAACAAAATATTGAAAAACATTTGAGAATGTAACAGGGAATAGACAAACACGCTTTCTACGCCTGGCAAAGTTGAATCTATAAAAACTTTATCGTTTGCCTTGAGCAAACCATTAACATTTAAATATTTTCTTTTTAGTTTTCATTATAAAATGTAAATTGCTGTTGCATCTTGATCGCAATCCAATAAGCTAATTAAAAATTGATCATCAAATATTTCTTTTGGACATCTTAGTTTGTTGGAAAGATTTAATGAGAAAACCTGGTCATTAAAAATAGGTCACTAACAACTTCTTTTAACAGGCATTTTGCTCATATAGGAAATCACAAGATTTCCCGACATTGTCAAAATCCTTTTGCCACCGTCTCAATAATTCTGCAACAAATGGCGCTCTCTTAATCAACGACTTTTGTGCATGATGCATTATCAATACAACATCGCTTTATCGAATTACAGTCTACTATACATTGGAACTGTATAAGATTCAATAACATAAACATTAACAGATTCTTCCGAAAAATAGCAATTTTATCATCTCCTCACCAAGAAAAAATTGCATTGTCTCATCAGAACGAAAAAAAATTTACCTTCTAAATGGTGGAAAGCCACAGAGCAAAATATATGTGATGACCCCAACTGCCCATATATCAACTTTGAGTCCATAACTACAAAGAAAACGTAAAGAGTAGATAAAAAAGCCTTACCCTAACCCATGAGCATTTAAAGTACGAAAGAATTAGACATTCTGCTCAGTTAAAAACAACTCTAGATTACAACACTCCGTTTATAATTGGTTAAGGTTAGGAATGATGGCTAAAGTTCGCATTAGTTTGTATTTATTTATTGTATGTATTTTTATTAGAGGAAAAACTACTCATAAAAAACTTAAATGTGAGTCAAGAATTACGTCTTATTGATTCAAACTACGAGGTGCGAAATTATATGTGATAATGTTAAAACACAATCAATATCTGAATTTATGAAATCTTCTTTCCTTTAAATAGAACATTTATTTCAACTTAAATTTTTTTGAAGTTGCTTACGAGACATAAATTAACAATTCTATGACTAAGAATACAGCTCGTTCCATTTCTTTTATTCTGCATTAGAACTTTCATAATTTTTTACATTTATAGCGCCAGCCAAAATTACCTGGGACACCCAGAAATTCTCGTCTTCGATTCATAGCAAACCATATTCGTTCCCAGGGGGAGATGGGAGATGGCTAAAATTGCCATTGAAAACTGGCTTTCGCATTTTTAAGACTTTTGACACGAATTGTATGATATAATATAAGTCGAACTAAAATTTGGGCTTTTAATATTATCGAAATAAAATGGTCAATAAAAAGAGCTTACCCTGACTCATCTAATATTTCCGGCGCTACGTAGGTTGGTGTACCGCAAACCAAAAACATCGGGGACTTAACTTCTATTGACAATCCAAAATCAGCTAGCTTTAATGAAGTGGTACCATCTGATCGATTTACTACCTACAAAAAGCAAAAGATTTTTTTTACAAATTAAAAAAACAAATATTAAGACTGGTTTAAAAGATGTGCTTTAACAAAGAAAAATTACTCCACCCTGAACGAAATTTGAAGAAACATGAAATTTGGGGAGGTCGTTGCTAAAGACTTGGTAAGGTAAGAACAAAGAAAAGAAAAGTTTGAATTACAGCATATAAGGGTTGAATGCCGTGCTGTAGGCAGCAATGCAATATGGTAATAGCATTGGCCGGGAATTTGTCATGCAAGTTTCAATCAAAAATAGAAAATAATAAAAACTTTGCAGTGTGATTCAATCTTTCTGTATATGTTTTACACTACAAAATAGATATTGAAAATTAGATGAACAGGCTACTTTTGTCAACCAAAGATAGAAAATAAAAATGAATAGCTTCAAGGGGACCTTATTTATCATTCCGTTCAACAGAACACTGCAAATTGAAAAAATAGCAGCCAGAAGATTTAAGTAAAAGTCGTCATCGTTGTTAAAAGGAAAAAGTTGAAATTAGGGAGAATGAAAGGGCCTTTTTGATTAGTTTGTATTTAGACGTTACAAAATATAATAAAAGCTTTGAAAACAAAAACTGTGCTGTTAATTGATAAGATACTGCTTTTACCAAATATTTATCAACTAACCAAAAGATTTTCTGGTTTTATATCTCTATGTACAATCCGCAAAGAGTGAAGATACTGAACTGCCGAAGTCAGGTCCCTGATCATGTGGCTTGCGTCCTTTTCAGTGAACCTTGTTGCTTCCACGATGGCGTCGAAAAGGTCACCTCCCTGTTTGAAGACGATGCACAAGATAGGATTATCGCTTATAGAAAATCATAAAAAATACTATTTAAGGTACACACTAAGAAAATAAGACTTGTTTGTGTTTCTTTGGTTCATTTGAAGTTGTTGTTTCCAGTGCCAGTCACTAATTGAATAGCTTATAAAAATATAAAAAGTGTAGACCCTTCATTTGTTTCTCTCATGCACTTAGATTGGCTGTGCCTGGTGAAACACAACACTCGTATAATTCAGAAGTCATCATCAGACATCAAGGAAACGAAAATTTTGTTCCCTAAACAGAATCCACTAATCAATTATAAGCCGAGAAATCTGACCTAAATTCACAATAACACATTCTTAAAGACAAAAGAAATATCAGTTTCACGCAAAAACTACAGCATAAAATGGGTTGATAAGAGGCTATATAAACACCAATCTAGGCTCTGCTAGAAGCAAAAACATCATTTGATAATATCCAAATAAAGAAAAACAAATTATAACATACTTCGGTATAATCCTTCTGATTCAAGCCTCCGGAACCTCAAACATTACTCTCGTTCCCTTAAATATTTCCCTTAAGAAGTTCAACCCCGAATAAATTGACTTTATCGAACCACTTTCATTGTTCACTTGGGATTTTATTTCGCATTGAAGCTAAAGGTAAGAATATAAAAATTCTAACCGGGACAAGCTCCATGACAAGGAGAATCTCCTTTGGTGTTTCAAATTCTTCAACCAGCTGGACTATATGTCGATGTTTTACTTTCCTCAATATAAGTATTTCATTTTCTATCATATGTTCCTGCAAGAATAAAAAACATCGGATATTATATATATTGTATTAATCTGAAGTAAGCAGGTAATATCTATTGGCTTTGAAAAATACCTAGATGTACCAAACAGAACTTCGCAATAAAGGGAGTATGACTTGATACCATACTGTCGTGTATACAATAAAATAAATTGAAGATTTCATCAATACTCACTTTTCCTCTGACTTTTGCTTTGTTGATAACTTTCAAGGCAAAACTTAATCCACTTTTCCTGCACAAAAAACCATTAAATGCCATTGACACCGACTGTAGTCAACTTAGAAGAGGTAAGGACATTTTAAAAGAATATGGAATAAGAGAGAATAGATAGAATAGAAAAGATAGAGAAAGAATAAGCTAGACTAAACTACGCTAAGAAATCAGACTTTAGTGAAGCGAAAACTCTACCAGCATAAAAAAAAGACAAGAATTCCAATTGACTTGATTTGTTCATTTGTTCATGTCTATTTCACAGTTTTATTGAGTGTACATTTACAAACACAAAAACAGTTATTTCATACTTTTGAAAGGGAATAAGACCCCTTTCATGATTTTGGAAGACTGAGCACAATACATTTTGGACTGTTTGAATATCTAACTGATTGAAAACCCAAAAACCGAGGTAGAACTCACTGGTTCAGGAGCAGTGAGCCCCAAAACTTGCTGCTGGAATTTCCAATTTTAGTCTGTGCTGCTACCGCCTCACTGCCTATTTCCTCAAGTCTTGGGAATTTGAATTTAAGACAAAATGGCAATCGACAACCATCTTGCAAAAAATGGTTTAAAAACATTTACGCTATATTCCACTACTTAATAATCAGAAACGTTACGTAAAATCAGTTGTCCTACAAGCATAAGTTGGCTGAGACTGAAGCAAGGAACGTGTATTGTCATATTCTTGAATTCTGATTGGTCTCCCATATCGTCATTCACGGCCCTGCGAAGGCCTATCACATGCGTCTATCGATCAGATTGTAAATGCATAAAGTTAGCAATTTGTCAGTAACGTAGTCAGGCATGCATGCTTCAACAAGATGTGTTGCTTTCAAATCTGAATAATGATTTACACCTCACCTATGACGACACTCTCGTACAACAGCAAAGTTTCCATCACCAATTATCTTGCCGATTTTATAAAAGCCATGGATGGAAGGTCTTTCACGCTTCGTTAGCATTCTGTTTTTAAAGTCTTCTTGTAGACCTAAAAGATAAAAGAATTCAGTGAAGGAATAATTCAACTAGAAGGATTAATTCAAGTCATTTTTAAGTCTTTTTGAGCATGAGCGAATAGAGAAATTTTGGGTTGGAAAATTGACGAAAATTGTTTATTGGAGCATGTTCATTTAAGACATTCGAGAAATCACCAAAAACTGATGAGATGAGAATTTTTTCCAGCCAAGATGGCGGCGGGTGAAGGCGAGATCTCAGCAGGTTAAAACGAATTCTTGGTATCTGAAAGCGAGACTTTCGCTAGCCAGGAAGTACGGCATTTGTAAAGATGTGGCGTAACTAATACAAGATAGGGAAAGTATAATTTCACTTGTACATGCAACATAAATGGTGAAGCAACATCCGTTATTGATATAAACGTACAATACTGGAAAATTCCGAATATGAGCCCAGGGCGTATAACGGTTCAAACGCCGTTATTCTTTTTTTTTTGGGGGGGGGGCTTAACTTTTTTAGGGCGCAATATTCGGAGATGGGACTGCAATCAAAATTCTGATAAAGTCAGAAGAAAATAAAAAATAAGTATTGTCAGGCCTGAATGAAAAAGATGTAAAAAGATGGCTCCCATTCCTAAAATTGTGTTTTAAGGTGTGTCAAAATGCTTTGGTACACAACAGAAATATTTTTCTAATTTCGTAAACTGGGTCGAGTCGTTAAAATTTTCAGATTTGTGTACAAGTAAAATTCACTAAATCGAGAATTTCAGCATTGATACTGATAGCGATCAAAACTTAAATTTAAAGGCCAGAAGAGATGCTAAAATGTTAACACGACGACTTTCAGGTCAAATATTCAAAATTCATTAAAGGTGGATCAAAAGAAAAGTTTGGCAAACAGATGGTAATTAACTAACACAACAAAGATTTCAACCAAGCTGCAAAAATCGATGCAATATTACTTCAATTGTACTTTTTGCTCGGTAAATATTTAGCGACAGTTGAAATTTATCATTAATCTTTTACAGAAAGCATTTAAAATTGGGCCAAGCCCTTATCCTCAAGCCGCGTTAGGCCTAGGCCTATAGAAAAACTAGATATAAAACAGTCGAATTCTTCAAGGCTATTACCTGGCTGAGAACAAAATGGAGAGGTTCAGCGAATGAAACACTTCTGACATGAAAATGACCAGATAAGAATAAATAATTACAGACAACGAAATGATAAATTCTTATTGACCTCACCAACGTGGTTAAGTCATGTGGCCAACATCAACTTCTCTAGCAAACCCATTGAACAACAACTGGGTGAAGCAAGCGAAAACAGTCTGTTGGGAATGATAGTGTCAAACACTCACGACCGGAGCTGGAAACAAAATTTCAGCTCCATTTGAATATTTGAATATGAGACCGTTAGAAAGCAAATCCTTCCTCGGCTTTTGAAACCTGTTCAAATATTTTCACACAACCTTACATTCGTTGGCTGGACAACGAGCACTCCAAACTGCTGCGATGAATTATTAATGATCGAACAATGATCTCTGGTGTTATCATTAAAATAAATCCACGGACATGCTGCTGTAGCTCGGTTATCACACTTTCAAGCCAGGCGCGTCCAGCACCCAAACGATCCGATTGCGGGCTTCAAAGCAGTACCATTGGGATTAATAGTAATAAAACCACGTGCTTTAACAAGCAATGAAAAACGCCACCTTCTCTAGTCTAGCGGTTCTTCTCCCTAATCACCAACCGACTTGATTCTAATTGTAAGCGCCTACAGTTAACTGTTTCCCAAGGTCATTCGGCGTCATCCTCGAGTACCTTCTTATTTGTACGAATTGGCGTTTACCGGATTACTTCTAAAAACACTTTCTCATTTTTCTTTGTTTTCCCTTTTTGTATTTTAACATTATCAAGGGGACGCTTTTTTAACGGGGGCGTTAAAAAGAACGGGGTGTATACGGCGTGTTTCACTTTGGTACGTTTTAGTTTACATTGCGAAAAAACTGCTATTTGCCGTTATAAACTTTGCCCCTACAGTAGTATTTGGCCACTATTATATTCATTGTAATTGAAGTTTTTGGCAGTCTTCCTTTATCTCTAAAGCTACGCAAATAGGTATTGTGTTTTGAGGAGGCAAAACATGATTATTTACGGAATGGATTCATGGTTTAAAGTTTTTGGAAATATTCGTAAGGATGACAGGAAACTATTTTACTTACAAAATGCTACACCGTTTGGTGCAAAATGGGTCAACAGTGCTTGAACATTTTAAGAAAATTATCTGGAGTTTAACGCCTCATCCTTCAAGTGAGAACATTTTGTCCTCCTGAAAAGATCTGAATTACATGAAGCGAAAGAATTTACACCTTATCGGTGTTCTGTTTCTTTTGAATATCGAGCATACCGGCAAGCTTGTCGACTAGATTTTGTTGGGAAGTGGTCAACTTGGGGGTATCAAGTATTTAAATATTGAAATAGTCTCTCAGGTAAAAATTGAAATTGAAAAGTAAAAATGTTCCGGCTAGTGCAGACTTTAAAATCCTTTATTTTATGTCTGTATACTACTAAAGATAGAATCGATAAGCAAATTTCCAATCCTGAATATCTTCATCAATGTAGTATCAACTCACATGAATTCAGATCCAGGTATAAAGATGAGAGTTAAGACTACCTGAGAGCAGACGTTGCTTTTTGACTGACAACGTACTATTAAAAAATCGAACTTCTTTCTTGCCTTCCTTGTGTTCTTAGCCTCGTTTCTTTGCGTCTGAGCTATTTTCAGGGCGCTAAATGTGCAGTCAAAATTTGGGAACTATGAAGGATTTTTTCATACTACCATGTGATAAAAGAGGGTCAAAAGTAAGGGAAGTGAGCAACTAGATTTTGAGTTAGGTCTCTTATAAAAAAGCGCGTAATATATTCAGTGTACATGGCTTGTAAACTCACACTTGTCTCCGATCTTGTCTTTCATTGCTCTGCAAAATTCGCTGCTTTCATTTAACGATCTCAGAGTTAGATGAGACCTAAAGTGCGTCTATTAAGCACGGGACAGTCGTTGAAGGGGGCAATGTATAAATCATGCATGAGTATATTCTAACGGAATACCTTGGTCCTTCCGAAAAAGAAAGCGCGGTGTGCATTTATTGATGATTCTGAACCAAACCACACGCTACAATGGCAACTAAATATGAAAAAGCCACGACTGACTTAGGAAATAAAGATGGAGGAGCTGAAAAATAATTTGGATCGAGAACATAAAATCGCAGTATCAACACTACCCCCACTTCAACAATACAAACTAAAGTGAGCCTCATTTTTTCCAGTTTCAAGGAAATACTGAAACACAATTTCAGTCTCGTTATTTATATGACACTGAACAGCATTTAGATGTAAAAATATATTTTCTAATGGCTTAACGAGGAAGAATTTTTAATTTACTTTACTTATAATTCTTGTAAAACTCTTCTTAAATGTCTTTATGTTTACCCCCTACTCATCTCTCTCTTCGGCCATGCAACGAAATACTAAAATAAACCGCCAATAAGTATGTACAAAAATTTTCTCCAAATGATATCAGATCCAGGTGCAACAAGAATACTGCTTTAGAACAGTAAGAAACGGCCATTTCACGGAAAAGTGGAAATCGCAAAATAGAAAGTATTAACGTAATCGTTTAGTCCATGCAATGCCTCTAGGTTGGCAATATTCGTAACTCATGTGATATTCGATTACAAGAGACGAACCAATCCAACACTTGTTGATATAATAGTGGCCAGTATCTGCTTAACCCTTTGCTATGTGCAGAACTGAATAGTTGTTGATACAAACATTACAACGAAAAAAGTAATAAACTCACATTGGAAATCTGACTAACAAACAGTCGAAGTCTTGATGAAAAGGTTACTGCAGCTTTCATTAATTTTACATGTTCTGCTGTTTACGTGCATAGCAGATAATGTGCTTATTGACGAAGGTTGAAACAAAAGATATAAAAACAAGGAAAGTGTCGGTGTTGGCACCTTAGCTTCTTGTAAAACCAGCAACCGAAGAGTCCACACAAAACTGATGTGCAAACTTTTGTTGAAACAAACAAACGTTCTAATTCTAGATCAATATGGAAGATTTATTCATTCTCGGATGTGTCTCGACAATCGACAAATGACGCAGGCTGATCCTGAATATTCGTAATGTGTCTGACTTACCGTGTTGATGTGTCATATATCCCACAAAAACCACTCGACACAACCAGTTTGTTAATTGTTAAAATTTTAGAATTTTAAGGATTTGAACTATCGGAGACGATAAACAGGCTGTGTATGTTCACACGTGAATGGAACGCACAGATTGCAGAAAAGGGCTAATCCTTCCTCCAGCCTCTTGACTCTGGAGCGGAACGGACCGGTTTCAAAAAATGACAGCACTGAAAATTTGGCTTAAGATGAATACGTAACAGAATAGGATAAATTTCGTGAACATGTTGATGTAGCCAAACGAAAGCAAGACACCCAACCAAGGCAAAAAAGGAGCGTAGCTACAAGGAGGTGGCTGTAAGTGGTTGTGCTCCCCTTAATTTTTCACGAGTTAGCTCGGTTGGTCCCAAAAATCGTTGGCTTTTTTAGGAGGTAAACTTTTCTCCATCATTGTCTTAATCGGTAAAATGAGCACTTGATGACCAGTATTCCTTTTATTTGGAAAGTCAAGCTACACCAATGACAAAATGCTCTGCAAATTAAAAGGGCTTGTTTGCAAGATTTTTTGCCAAACAAAATGAATGCAGAAATATGGAAGGTGGGAATATAACTGTTTATGAGCTTGATTTCTTTGGCAGTTCTTTAGTAGGAGCTAGCAGTTCTTTGGCAGCAAGATGTTTCATTTGTATTTAAAGAATCATACCACTGTGAGTCAATTGTTAAGACGTTTTTAGACTCTTTCACCCAGTTTTTGAATCTATGCATTGTGATGAAAAATTTCACGAATTTTCAAAATGAAAATAATCGTCAGCCGAATCACAACGCCCGCCAACCCAAATAAAATTTTAACAAACCATTTTATAACATAAAACATTAACTGGCTGTAATCATACTAATATATAAGCTATTTTTCCAAAAAGGACTCACTGTTCGAATACTTAGAAAGCCGATTTAGGTTGGAATTTTATTGTGAAAATGTGAAAAAATATCACCTTGTCGACAAGAAATATTCCATTGACATGACGTGGTTTTCCCTTATACAAACAAATTATTAATTGCCAAGTAAGTTTTAGAAGGAAGTTTTATGGTTTGAGAATTCCTTTAGAAGCGTTTAATTTTACACAATAATAATGTGAAAACTAGCGTTTTGATTAATGATTGAAATTGAATGTCTTTAATAAACAGATTTTAGAGACATAAAATTAGAGACCTTTATGTGTTAATATTGAAAAAAATAACGAAGGGTATCTGTTACTAACGAATTTTGCAACTTAGACAATAATATGATTTTACTTCAACATTACATAAAGTTTCATAACATACAATGAATTTATCTTGAGTTATGTCTCCTAATCCAAACTCAATGTTATGAATAACTTAATAACCATTTTAAAGGTTTATCAATAACGTTTAGCTTTAGATTATCTCATTTATTCAAGGAGATTAATAATTTCAAAGATAAATTGTAATTTTTAATTTAAGTTTATGTCACATGACATATTAAAGGAAGGTACGCAAACGAACTTTAACAAATTCAATTCAATTAAAATGGTCTTAATTTAACTAAGAGATATGCAGATGGCTATAAATTCTAGCTTTAACTTCAAAGCCCTTTTTTGAAGAAAGCATTTAGAGCTTTCTTACAGATTAAAACCACGCTATACATATAGTTTTGAGATAATATTACTTATAAGAATTTAAGCAACATATTCATTATTGTTTAAAAATAATTGATATATTTATCATGTATACAAGAAAACAAATTCTATATTAGATGGATACAACCACCCAATCCGGAATTTACCCTGTATATTTTTTAAAACCTTTAGGTATTTGATTTATCTTAAATCTTAATATATTTCATTTTTACAGTTTACAGCCGACAGAAGCCAGGATAAAAGTCTTCCTTGAAGATTGGCTCTATCTACGAGACGCATTACATCAGATTGTTTATGTATTTCAAATTCGTCAATTTGAAAGATTCTTTGTGGATCTGGCATTTACGGGATCTCTCTACATGGCTGCCGTGCTGGTCCCGCTATACTCTGGGCTTTTAGGAGAGTAAAGGCCTGCATCAAGAAAAGAGTGTATGCATTTTTAAATGTTATTGTCAACTTGTTTAAAATGGAATTTCCATTTCTGTTTCAGGGGCGCAGTGAAAATGGCAGATGGTTTTACATAGTTTTCAAAACTTCAAAAATTTCATTATCATTTTGACTAGCCCACTTTCAGGTTTTAAAAATCTTGGTAGAAAAATTCTAGCTTTGCACAGCCTAAAATAAAGGCCTCACTGCACCCCTGGGCGACTTATTATTAATTTGATTGAATTTATACTTTTAAATCACTAAAATCACATAGATTCATTTGATGTTTATGATATTATCGAGGATAATTCTTCACAAAAAAAGCGTCCACTATTACTACTGGACTTTACAACAACCGTGATCAATGCCATCATTCCTTTTGCTCAACACCTTTTCGTGTTTAGATTCGATCACAGAATCATGATCGTCATCAAATGAAAATTCGAGCCTATTCTTTTCGAGGAGAGGCGATCTTGGCACGGGGGAAAGAGCATGAGTATTCATAGCCTGATCACTCTCAGGCTTTTCTAGATATCCTATGAATTGTTCTTCGAGTTTCTCGAGAGCATCCTGCAAGTCGTTCGTAAGCCTTTTCAAATCTTTATTCTCTTGCTCGAGATGCAGCCTCGTAAATCGCTCTTGCAAATCATTAGCATCAAGAGTGGCGAACTCAGACTCAGGCAGACTAAGTGTTCTCTGGAGCTTTCTCCGACCCAGCGAACTAACAGAAAGGCGATCCTCTTCTACAGAATAGTTCATGGAGTTATTTTGAATTGGAAGAAAACGAGACGGTGTAATAGGCCTACTGCTGCCCGGCGTCTCGAACGGAGTTGTCGTCTCGCTAAAGGCTAAAGTTGATCGACTTTGATTCAGTGATGATAACACTGATTGATTAAGAGAATCAGCTGATTTAACTGATTCGTAATCACTTAGCCAAACTGTGCTATACATATCCAAGGGCGGATTCGCTAGTTTGTTCTTCTTCCTACCACCACGGATCACCTTTTTGGCTGCAAGAAATTTATTGGGAATTCAAATTACACTTATATTTTTGCTTTATTTTAACTTTAGACAGTTTTACTTATTTTAGTTTTTGTAATTGTTTTGTAATTGTAATTGTAATTGTAATTGTTTTGTAATTTAAGTGCTACATTTTATCATTTTTACGAGTTTAAGCTCATCTTTTAAACTTTTTTCTTTATTTGATTTTCATCTTTAATGTTAAAAATCTCGTTTTCTGTCGATTCAGCTGGAGAATATTGAATTCACTTTAAGTTTTAAAAAAACCTTAGTTAATTTGGGTGATAAATTTGGAGATATTCTGCTTAACTATTTTTTAGTATTTTTTGAATTTGCGATGACTCTAATTATATTGACCAGTTTTTTGTCCTTCTTACGGCTTACTGCCTTCTACCTACTTTGATGCTTGTTCTGTTGCGATGGTTTATTTGACGATTAGCCACAAGCAGATGATCTAAACCATACTAAGGATGGTGAGCACGTGTGGATTAAAGTGTGGTTTCACAATCAGACTTCAGAATAACAACTGATTCTTTGCACGTGCATCAAAACGAAAACCACCACAAAGCCAAAATTTTTTCCAACGAATTAATCTTTGCTCGGTGATCTTAAAATCAAATTCTCACAATATTTTCTGGGCCTAAAGAAAAAATGAAGTTCTTTCATGTCTTTAACCTTCTGAACATCATCTCGACAATTTGAGGTTAAGTTTGTGATACAATGCAACTTTGATTAAATATATCGTTCGTCCAACCACTGCATAACATTAAAAGCAGTTGCATTTTCCAGTATACGTTCACACATCTAGACAGGTCGGTTGAACAGGCGCCGCATAGGTGTGACAAAACTATGTTCAAAGACGATAACTTTCAAATCCTCGAATTAGAGCAGCAAAATAGAGGTCTTATCGACGATTTCCTGCTTGGAAAACAACAAATTGAGATATCAAAACTTTCTTGGTCCATAAAATGGACAACAACATATAGTTTGGGTATGAATTTAAGAGCAAAAGATAGTAAAAAGGGGAAAACCTACCAGAGTCAGATGATTCCCTTTCAAAGACCGCAGTTGGATACCTATATGAAAAGGAAATTGCTTAATACAAAAAACATTTGTTTATCAGGGCTTAATTAACAACAGATTAAAAAGTTTAAACGTCTGAATGGTCAAACAACAGTGCATTTGACATAGTGACTTGTTCAGTCTAGGATAAAGCTGATTTGGAAATGTAGCTCGAAATCTTGAATAAAACTGTTTATGCATTTGAAAAGTTTTTTAGCTGATAGATTCTTTAAAAAATTGCTTTGCTTTCAGATGTTAGCTAAATGGGTAAAATGCCTGCCAAAAGAATTCCGAAAGTACAAATGATTTTGAAAAGTTTAATCCATTTTTTTCTTCGAACTACATTGATTTGTAAGTCTCAGCTTTTCCGTTGAGTCTCGCAGCTACAAACATGCTTAATATGGCCCTATTGGGTTGTTATAAGGGCAATGTTTTCATTAATTGTTTACTATAAAAATCGTCACTATAGCTACAGGATATTTCAAGAGCTTCTGACAGGCGTTTAAATGTTTCTACAATGATAATTAATATTGTAAACGATCAGAACGCATGTATCCAAAAAGACAGAATAGAACTTTGTGGCCGAATGCGATGAAATGACTCTTAGCACAAAAGACAATAGCACGTTGGACCCAATTTCCATCAAAAGTACCCAAGGTTACATCAAATATACTATATTGCCTTGAAGGAAGTAATGTATTTACAAGACACATGCAGGAGCGGAAAAGCGTTGAGTTAAGCTATAATCATACGGGCAAAAATAAAACATAATTTTGCGGGACACAGAGAGCTTTGTCTCATTGTTAGTAGTAGAGGAGAATTCTAAACGACATATACAAAGGCATCAAAGAATGGAACTCACAATTCTTCCTTTCCAGCATCACCGTTCATCTGAAAATAAGTTTCCACATCATGAAACTAATGATGAAATTTGGTTACAAAAATATAATAACGTAGGTTAACACAAGATTTAATTATTTTGGAAGATGAATAAACCCACCCAAATGCTTCAAAGACTGATCATTAACACTAGAATCGATTCGTTGCAAAAATTAATCTAATAATCACTAGTACTGCAAAAAATCACGAAATATGCATTTTTTATTTTTCATACATTCTAAGTCACACCAGAATTACATAAAAAGACAGAGTTTAGCTTATATCGCCATGATATATACGGTGGATTCTATAATAAATCACAAAAAGGCTTAAAGAAGTATTTTTATCGAGGTCTGATTCCCAACTTATACCTCTATTCGAAATATGTTTCATAAAATAGGCATCGTGCCAGTTAACAGGGACGTAACAGAGACTTCAATATTTAATGATAGCAAGAAGGCCTTAATCTGCCTACCCTCGGAATCAATGAGTTTTTCTTCAGTTTACTTTCAAGACTACTAATATGCAATATTTAAAACAGCTTTCAAACAAATAGATAGAAATATATTTTTACAAACTTATATTAAATTGCAAGAAAATAACTGATATAGAGTGAATGATGAATACACGGTAGTGCAACCTGCTCAATACGGTCAACCAAAATTTTCGTTATCGCTATCATTTCTATACGCAAGTAACAAAAACACTTAACAGTTTAAGCAGTTAGATATTCATCTGGAAGTTGAACACAGTTCCGTAGTCCACAACTCCTCAACGCATCATGGTTACAGGGCCCGCGTCACGAATTTGAAAGTGGGGGCTAAGGCCAGCAAAAGAAGGGGGCCAAGGCTTCTTTCCCCTTTTACTGTAGCTATAAAACTACTTGCTTCGCAAAAAAGTTGAGGGCATGGCCACCTCGCCCCCCCCCCTCGGTGGTGCGGGCTCTGGGTAAGAAACAGTCAAACTATTATATCAAAGAGCTGACCTTTTTGCTTCCGTTGACTTTCCCACGAGGAGCTACGAAAAATCAATACAGCAATGATTGAGGGTCAAAATGATAAAAAGGCTCTAAGGCCGTTAGAGTAAGAAATAGTGTCAAAATATCTGCAACATTGGATGTATCTTCGTTATGAATGAAAATGAAAAGAAAATATATAGATATATACATATGAGAGTTGAAACGTACATATTTGTTTAAAATCATTACAAAAAATTGAGAGGTTAAAAATCATATTCAAGCAATCAGAATACTCACATTTGGGGACTGAATTCATGAGCTAAAACAGAAACAAAAAATATCTATCATTATAGGGAATATTCGTTGAATAAATAAGAAATGGAAGGATTCTTCCAAGAAAATAGATGTTTAATCAATAAATACCGGGGAAATGGCAGACTTGGCTTTTTGACTGTCAGTTTAGATGCTGTTCTAATGAAATTTTATCAGAGTTAATTTTACGAGGGATGTTATTTGGGGGAGCTTTTCTTTTTAAATTGAAGGTATTCATTTGTTGATATTTTTCCTCTAGTAAGAAATTGATGACCATCAAAAGAAAAAAACACAACATAGGGTTTATCTAGAAATCGATGCTTTCTGATTCGACATAATTAAAAAGCAAAAATAATGAAATATTTTAAGAGCAAAATTTGTAATCAAAAAATAGCAATTTGGGTGGTGTCCAACATCGTAGACAAACTTGCCAAAATGGGAATACATGTACGCTTTCGATAGGTAAATGAGAAAAACCATTTTTTCAAATTTCGTTTCTGTGAAAAAAATCCTGGCAAAACACAAAACTATTCTAAATTGAAAGTCTACCTTAAACAAATGAATTAAATTGTCATTTAATACCTTTGATCCTGGGCCAATACTTTTCGGTCTTGGACTTTTCCCCTTTCCTTTTAAAAGAAACATGTTAGAAAAATCACAGTCACGCACAATCGTATTTACATAGGCTTTGATGAATGAAAAAAATTAATATTTGGGGTTTGAAAATTATGTTAATTGTCTAAAATCTTTACAAGAGATAAAATTGTAATAAGACAAAGCTATTCAATTCAAAAAAGGTCAATTGATTAAATTCAGAATTAAACCGAAAATCATATCATTTAGCTTTTTCACAGATACCTAATAGTTAACTACCCAACCAGACTTCCTTAAAGAGTTAACTCCCCCACACAATGACATTCCTTTCAAATATAAGCTTACCTTTCATGTTTTCGTTTTCGTCTCTGAATTTTCCCAAGCTTGATCGTAGTGAGTTGGATCGCTTGAGGTTACTGGGCCTTTTTAACTCTCTGTACGGGGTGATTCGATAGCCTGTAAACGACAGATATGGGATGATAACAAACATACGAAAGAAGGCTGCTATGAGTCTATCGTTCTCTAGTTCAGAAAAAGCATCACTGCGACATTGTTACCGATGGACTATAGAAAAATGAAGGAATAAAATAGCTTATGCTGAAATCTGATGCCGAGAGAGAACCACGTCTAGAGAAACCGGAAAAATTTTCCTCCCTTCTCACAATATGAGGATCATCTTTCTTTTTTTGTCCTTCAACAGAGGTACTTGCAATTTGAGTCTAGGTCACGCATAAAGAGGAAGGCTTCTGGAAGTAAACGTAATAGATTTGCCACACATTTAACACGCCTATCTCCCATTCATTGAAATAAAGGTTGTCACAAGACCCTGCTAAAGATGTGGCTAAAAATTGCTTTTGTGACATTATTAGAAAAAATATATACATTATTTATAAATCATATATACCAAAAACTCAAAAAGAAATGAACAGGTCCACCACGTAACGCTGGATCATGTTCTTGCAAGTACAGTGCACTGCACTTGATTGAAAATTTTTTGATTTGCTTTATAGGGCACTGAATCAACGTTTGCAGAGCAAAGTCCGTCGTGTTTTCGGGTATTTGATATAACCTTGGCTTGGCAATAAAACAAACCGCCCTTTGTTTGAAAGCAGTTTTCACTGAAAGCCCTTGGGTGTTAATAAGACGTTACATTAAAAGCCGAGAGGCAAAGTTCCTTAGCAAGCTCAAGCCATGTTTATAAGCTTAAATCTGAACAGAAACTTTGTCATCAAGCACTAGAATATTACTAATACTAACATTTTCTAAATGCTTGCTGGGTTCTTCTGAAGGTTCGACTGAAATCTACCTAATCCTTTATTTTCACTCCGTGTAGAATGAAATAACAAATAAAGCCAATAAACTCATGCTTTACAACACCAGGGAGAACTGCACGTGTATTTTGCGGAGGAAAAATGGAAACAAACCAATTGACGGACGCAAAATACTTTAAAACTATGGAATTATATGCATTTATTCTTAGCAATCCGCCTTATCTTGTCTTTACACCAGGGGTGTAGAGCTAGGGGGGGCTCAGGGGGGCTGAGCTCCCATTGTTCATGCCGAAAATTGGCAAATTTCTACTTTTGCTATTGTTTTTTGCAGCATTTTGTGCAGGAGCCCCCTTGTCATTTTGATAGCACTACACCACTGCTTTACACCAATGCTTAAGATTTCATCTTTGTGCTTTTGCCTACCCTTCATGATTGAGGCATTCTGACTAAAATGGGCAAATAACAACAAACCCACTTTTGAAACTGGAATGTTTTGATCTTAAAATTCAATCTAGCTTAAAATCACCGCTTTAAAGAAATATAAGGCGATAGCAGACATTCCTGTCCGGATAAGAGTCCCAGTGGTATTTTTTAAACATTTCTTAGATCTTTAATCCACTGAATAAGATACTCTAGATTCCTTTGATACCACAACTTCGTAGAAAGTTGCCCCGAAATTTTCAACGGCATTGTCATCTGCGCAAACGATGCAAAAACGCAAACAGAATAAGAAAATCAAAGGCAGAATCTCTAATCTGTTCATATAATCAATAAAAGATCAAATGCAGAGAAATTGAATGATTATGATTAAGCAGCGGGGCTTTTAATCAGTGCTATTCTAAAGCTTCACAAGGGCAACGTACACCAAATTTCAGGCACGCAATTGTGAATAAACGCTAAAATGGTTTGACAAGTTAAAAAAGAAGGTATTGACAATCGACTTTAGTGTATCTGCTTACAAAGCAAATAATTATAGTGGCACTCTGCAGTTAAGTAGGGTCAATAGACATAGGAAGCAGTCCAAAAGAGGGGGCAAATTTAGGAAAAAAGGGGCACCTGCATGAGTTGCAAAAAGATTCATTTCTGTTTCAGAAAATTGTGCCCCTTCTGGCCACAAGGTTGCTACCTTTATAGTAGAGCAAGAACGCGGTCTAGTCCTATACCCCCTCAATATCTTCGCAATACCTACAAAAATCATATCAAGGTGATGTTATTTGTTCTGGTAAGTCAGAACTAAAAGGTGTTTCCTCCGCAAGCATATTAAGTGCTAGCTTGATAGCTTATAATAATATCTAGAGGACTACACTCATTTGCAAATAAAATTATCAACGAACTGTTATATATTTTGCAGACTGGTGAATACAATCGCAAAGCGACAGTTTGCATTTTCGCTGACTACGGCTAAAGCTGTCCAACGTAAAACTGTTACTTTTATTGTCTTTTTTACTTACTAAATCTCAGCATATTACAGTTATTAGCATTTCAACGTCAAGAAAAACTTTGTCGGTATGTCAACGAATTAAAATGACACATATTTTGCCTTTTTTCTATATCCATTTAAAATGAGATGCACACTGCACATTTAAAATCATTCAAAATCACAGTATAAGCGCGCACTTCTTCTGAGACGCATTCCAGCCCTTTAAGAGTACTCTGAGAAGTATTTTAAGAAGATCAATCGTCAAAGATCAGATCATAAAAGTATCAAAGTCATTTAATCATACCTAGACCAGCTAGATAAATCTATGAATAAAATTTGTGAAGATGAGCATATGAGCAAATACTACGTATAGCATATAGAGTGCATCTAAGCTTTCTGGTCTAGCTACTTCTTGCTCAACTAAAAGAGTATTACTCAATCGGAAAGCTGTGGATGTGACTTCTTCTCAGAGCTATTGTATTTGTTCCTTCGTTAATGGCTGCAACAATAGATTGCTTTACTTCCTCAAATCGCTCCTCTGCCGCCCTGATTTCAGCTTCCGTAGCTGCATCAACAGCTCTTGAGTTATTCTTTTTGGCTGTTGACTCTTCAAAACGAATTTTTTCGCGTCTTACTGATTTTTGTGCTTTCTTTATCTGTGATGGCCTAGCAGGTTGGAATGTTTCTTCACGTGGGTTTGGCTTCTTAATTGCTGGGGTGTCTTCAGTTTCGGGCATCGGCTCTTTGTTAGATGGTTGAGCATATGATGACTTTATTGACTTCTCTCTTACTGGCTGTTCGACATCGCAAGGGCTTCTGTCTGATATATCAGGACTAGGCTGGGCGACTTTTCTAACGCTAACACCAGTTTTGGTTTTTGGTCTTTTAGTCTGTTCTGGAGTATCTACAGTTTCATTCACTCTTTTTGCTGCTGGAAGTTTATGTTCATCAACTGCTTTTTGCATAGCATTAATGGCCGTAACGGCAAGATACACTGCCTGGTATGTTCGCCTTCTTATTGACGGTACGTAATCATATGCAATATTCCAATCATAGCTCCAAGGGCCTATAAGATAAGTTCTTTCTGTCTCTAAACTATTCTACACTACATCTATCTGCAGCTGAACTGAAGTTAACAAGGTCAACAGTCTTTAAATAAGACTCAAACGGATCTAAATATCACTATCAACCACCTACAAACGACGAAACTACCGGACGAAATAAGATAGCATTTTTGTTGCAGTCCAAAATAACTTTGCTTCCCTCTAGCTTTTAAAATAAACTTTACTTCGATATAGAAACTAGAAAAATATTTCTGCCTAAAGTAGCAAACTATAAACTAAACCATTTAAATTTTTATTAACAAAAAAGCTAATGCTGACAATTTAATTCAAATACCTAGATTCATACTTGCAAAAGACGTTTTGCCATTCTAGATCATTTTAACACCTACTTAGCATTCAAATTTCAACCTATCTAAATAAAATAAACTGACACGTTCTGCAATAAAAGTATATTTAGTGGATTTAAAAGTTTATATGCCTTTGGCAGCGTCTTTCTCGGCGATCGGGAGCTAACAGGGGGTGGGGTGGGGTGGGGTTGAATTAGACGAGTTACACAGCATGCCAACACTTAATTTATGTTCAGTGCAAATTTTGAAAGGGGTGATACACAGATTTAGATCCTTTGGATCGGCTTCAATTTTTGGAATAAAAAAAACAAATCCATATTAACATTTTTAAGCGACGAGTTTTACCTTAACGCGTTTTCATGCAAAAGTTTTCAATAGCAATTATATTTGAAAGGAAAGCGTCTTCAAGATAAGCTAAAAACCAAAAATATGCTTGATGTTTAGAATAAAAACGAACGCCGCAGATTAATAAGTTTATCTTATGTTGGTTGTGACGTAAATAACGGACAGCTGACGTGAGAATGAATCAGTGTGATTTGCACTAGACGATGACATGTCTATCGGCAGTTGTATAGAATATGGCGTTTCTTGTTCAAATCTCTTCGATAAGACACTGAGACTTCCTTTGGTTATCAGAAGACCTATTCGATATGTTCTGGAATCATTTTAGGTTGTATCTTGTTTAGATTTTAATAAACAAAGCATAAGGTTAACCCATCTATGAGGATTTTACGAGAATAATAATATTTCCAAGATTATGGGATATGACAAGATATGATTCTTTCAGGTTTGAAATATCTTGAGGTTTTGTTTTTAGGAAAACCTGATTGGAAAATAGCCTTTAAATGCTGTGCTTAAATAAGAGGGGCGGGCGCTTGATATTTTCATTGAGGTTGTTTCTGGTGCTTTTACGTTAGTAAGGTAATGGGAATATAATTTTAGCAAAGCAACGCAAAACTGAGAGCAATTATGCAATGCTTTGAGGGGGAGGGGGGGGGGTAAAGAAATAGAAAAAAACATTAGAAAGGGGTATAAAGGTTCATGGCTTCGGCAGGAAATGTATACTTGATAAGAGTATTGAAAGTAAATCAAGTTATTTTAGAATAATCGGACCTGTGTTGCTTATACAGATACCAGGAAATTAATACCTCGATCAATAATCGATATCGCTAGCAAATAGCAGTCTTCAGTCAATATTAGTTTCAAACCATAGGCAATACTATCAGGAAATCCGATATTACTGTCAAGGCACCGGTAGTATAACAATGTATTTTGTATTGCTGTGTTTTAATTAGTATCACAACCAGGCTCTCAATTTTGCTGTCCTGCACTCGGCTTTTTACCTTTATGTATACCTGATAATTTAAACTTGGCTAATTCCATCAATTTATTTCTAACAGGCGCCGCGCCAAAGGTGGGCCACAACTGATAACCAGACCCTATGGCCAATCAACTTTCTACTCGATTGCTCTCTACATTGAAGTATATTCGCGTATATTCACAACCAATGAAAAAATTTAGTGTGTGTTTACTTACTTTTTGTGTCCAGCTCAATCCCTTCTTCGGGAAACTTTTCATTCGAAGCAAATGCAATGAATACGGTGTCATCATCGAACAAATCCCGCAGATCACGGACCTATGAGAGAGGAAACATTTCAAATTAATTTCCTCATAGTATTATATCCTGTTATGCGGAACACGTGGGAGTGGTGATATCGATATAGATGATATCAATTTTATCCTTGACAGTCACTATCAATGAAAATACTTTTGTGACCAATGAAATTTCGGGAATTCTTTATGCACAATAGGAAGTAGACTTATACAAAACCTGTGTGTAATTATGCATAGCCAACAACATAAAAGATCATTTTAGGATGACTTTTCTTATCAGAACTTCTCATTCTGACAAAGCCAATTTCTCTCCTAATCACAAACAATTATAACTTGCTTGCATAGACAGTGAAAAACTTGTGTCCATTCAGAAGCCCAAGAATTCAATTTATAATCAGTTTGCCACCAGAATTGGAATTAAAAAAATCCATGGATGATCAAACCAAAAGCTACCTTAAAATATCTGAATTATAATTGGACAGTTCTTAAGCTCCTTAGCAAATATACAGCCTTCCTTCTATTTAGACAAGCACCTCCTTTTTACTTGTATCTTGAAAAACCAAGACCAAAAATTATTCCAGCCTTGCACATTAAAATCCCTGATTATATTACTACATTCAGAAAAAGCCATATTTTTCGAGGTCATAGGAAGAAGTACAAAATCTCTAGACTGAGCATTTCAATTCAATATGTACAGAACAGCTGGAACCTGGTGAGCAAGAGAATATTGGGACTTTTATGCAACAACTATTCAAGAGAGGAAGCATATGGGTTATGCATTGCCCACTGGAATCAACAATATGTTTATGCTTGAATATCCTGACTTGTGGCCATACCACAAAGCATTTGAATCTAATCCATTGTAGTGATTCGAAAAATACACTTATGATTTTCTTTCAATGAGGCTTTTGCTAATCCAGGACTTAGGCTTTGAAGATTATATTAGGAAACAAAAGGGAATTTTGTTATTCATAAAATTTTATCATGCATTTCAAAAGCTATTGAAATCTTTAAGTTACCCAAAGAGATGAAAAAATATTTGATAAGCTTCAAAAAATTCAGAAACTAAGTCACACTGATAGGATGTTGACTTGATCATAACCATATGAAGCTTACTTTGGTTTTATCTATTAAGAAAATACACACAAATTCATAGATCTTAAATAATTAACAACGATTGACTTCTGGTGAACTCAACTTACAAGCTTCCCATCTACAGCATACAGTTTGTCTACTTTTCCAAGGCACCCTCTTGCTGATAAGTGATCTAGTACTTGATCATAGCTTACAGCTGTCTTTTGGTTTAACAGCATGGTGACTTTTTGCTGTGGTGGTTTCCCATTTTTGATAACTGTGACAAGTTTGGGTTTGATAAAGTCACGATGGTTGCCAATGTTTACTAGTGCATCTCTCTGAGTGTTTGCTTCCAGGCTTGTGAGGGCATTGGTGGACCTAAGGGGCAAACAAATTTGTTTTGCTTTTCTTACAAAGTGGTAGAAAATATTGTTTTTCAATGTCTTTAAAAGTCATTCAACATGTACAGGCTTATTTTTACAACAGAAATGCCAAGCTGAAACATAACATAGGACATTTAAAATTAAGAATTAATAAATGATTGTTTCATTACTTTGTTACTATACTATAAATATAACTATAACTGTGCTAAAGGCTAAGAGCCTGTCACAGATCTTTGGAGTGAGTTCACTCTGGACAGACCATTGTACTGACAGCCACTCATTATCACCTGAATGTTCAGTCAAAATAAAAAGTATCTAATTGTTTTGAAAAGGAACAAATTTGGGTGTAGAAAGGGCTTGTAGAGGTAAGGAGCCTTAAAATGTCTATCAACAGCAGCCTGGTCTAAACAACCATTCTTTGTCTGCAGGTATTTTCCCATTGTAATCGGAAGATTAAAAGACCAACTGCTCCGATTCTCCTTCATAAATTTTTCATGAGTGTCAATAATAATTTTCGGTATCCTAAAGGTTAATGGGTATCCTGGAAATGTTTAAGGATAGGGTAAATAATGAATAACCAATTTACTTTTCCCAATCGATGTTTGACAATGAAAATGATTCTTGAATTCCTACTAATGAACTGTCATATCAATTACCACCTTCGACCCAGCTTTTGGCACATTTAGAAAGCGCTACACACTTTCTCGTTAAAACGACAACAGAAAAATGTCACTTTCATTGAATTTACATTTGCAATACGACAGAGGACAACAACTCTCTTATATTGCCTTCTTGAATTCCTTGGAAGGATTACTATATTTCTCACCTTGAAACATGCCTCTGTCTGTTCATCGACCAATTGTTGCTACTTTGCTTTCCGTACCCCTCGTCTAATGGACGAAATGTGTTTCCAGAGCAACAAACGTATGGTATACCATATTGTAGTTGAGATATATCCGTTATCAGGCTGCCATCCTCAGCGTTGAAAATGAAACGAACGGCACCTGTGGCTAAATCCAATTTTACTGAAAGTTCTGCTAACAGAGAATCGAACTCCTTGTATCTTTCTGGCGAAACAGCCAATTTCAATCCACCAAAATATTTATCACCATTTCTGTAAAAACGGATTTGTTTTGCACTAATGCTCTGATTACGCCGTATGAGAGAGGTTCTGCTGTTCGATCGCATGGAACTCGAGCGGGATAAGTTTGATGTTGAGGTCGGCGTATATCGCCCTGAGTCTCTTGAAACATCCATGTTATAGCCGTTTTGGGTTTTTTACTTCTATTGGAGCAGTTCCCTTTTCTAATAAACAGACGGGATACCTTCAAAATTGTTTTTGAAAGCGCATTGCAAGAATTGGTCAGGCAGTCCGACTTACCGATAATGCTGTACTGGTTTACAAGTAAACTTCTTCAAATCTTTGAAATCGGGCAGTGTTTTCAACTCACAAGTATATGTCGTTCACTGTTGTGACATGTGTGGAATAAATAAAGACAATTCCTCAAACTGGCCTAGGCAGCAGTCTTTGCATTCCCTTCCACGGTGTTTTCTCTGGTGGGAGCATGACACGAACAAAGACCGTAATCGCTATAATTTCTTCCAATTGAAGAACCAGCAAATTGGTAAAACAACCCACCTGCAAAATGCCAAACCACCGACTAAAGGGCACAACCACAAGACAGGCAGGAGCGACTTGTAGTACGAATCAAATTATTTCGAATCAGAAGTCAAATCAATCTGAAATTTTGTAGTAGGGGATTGGAAACTACCGGAAGTGATCATGTGTTCCTCGGCAACCTGTAGTGGTGTTGTGGTCGTTGTTACAACAACTGAAAGTTCAGATTGTCCATTACAAAACTAAAAGTAAATATAGACGAACATGTTAATTCCCTTTTTTTTAAATTTTACTAAGTAGTAAAAAAATTTCAGGAATTAGATAATCATTTTGATGGCAACTGAATAAATTACACAAAAACATGTACGTTAAGAAGGATGTCAAAAACATAATTTCTATTGTAAAAAGGTTAATAAGCTTTTGGTACGGAAGGCAGTGTCATTGCCACGGGGTGTCGGGGAACGACTAGCCTGTGCTCCAGACCCCAGGCTAGGAACAACATGTCCACCCCAGTTTTCCCAGAAGTCGATTCTCTAGTCTAATTCTTCGAAATCCTCTGAAAACCTTTGGAGAAAGTGGGGGGAGGGGGGAGTTGGGCTGATCTGATCAATCCCGATTTTCGCACTGGGAAAAAAGCCACCGTTACGAAAGGTGCTGCTTAAGAAAGTTGCTTGTTCAAAATTTTCAAAATAGATCAAAAAATTAAAAAAAGGATTTTCCAAGAGTCTGAAAAGCGTGGCCGAGAAAGTTTATTTTTGTCCACCCCAGCTTGTTCGAGAACTAAACCTGATTTTGGACGGGGATTTGCTATTTGGTTAAAAAACCTTAGACACATAATTCTGCACATGTCTGAAAAAAATCACCCATTCTTCCGCAAAAACTTTGAAAACTATACCCATAATTCCCCAAGTCAAAGAACATTTTTCAAGTTTCAATGCTGACACAAAATGAGTTGCTCTAGATTTGATGTTAATGACTTGTTTATCTTAAATTCTGATTTGCTCATTATCCAAGCAAATAACAATAAAAAATGCAAGCAAACGTTCAACGTTTATTATGCTTTTGAAATTAATGAAAATAATGATCTATACTCAAACCGTCTAAGTTACTTGATCAAAAATTTTGAGTTATTTTGATCACTAAATGACAGTTTTAGAAATTGTTCACCTGATATCACTTTTAATAACCTAAAGCCTGATATCTCAGCCAAAATGATCTTCTCGGTAATATATTTAAAGTCAGAACAGAGGCGCACATATTAAGTTTCAAGTTTAATTGAATCGCCTTATGCCTTTAAGTTCGGTCTTACTTTGAGGCATATTTTTGAATCCATCGAATATATTTTCCAGAAATTTTCTGAAGCACCGATCCAATATTCCCCTGACTTTTTACGCACAAAACAGTAAGGTAGTCTTTCAAATTTATTTTGATTCAGAATCCTAGGAATTACGCAAAACTTCTGTTTTAAAAACCTGTAAGTGTAGGCCTTTGGTTTCTAAAAATTCGTTTTCTTTCGGACGCTCCTTTAACAAGCATTTTAAAGTGACAAGCGATTTTGGGATTCACAGTAATATCAAAAGCTTCCAATCTTGTGAGGATTTCTTCTCAATTTGGTTTTTTTTTCAGCCCTCCCCAACTTTAGATCTCGTGCCCACGAAAGAAATGGCCGTCACTAGCTGTTGTGCTCAAAGTATGCTTGTTAAAAAGTGTGAAAAAAGTGCTTGAATTAAAACATATTCTTTTTTTTAAATACTTCTGATTCTATTTTTCAAATACTTCTGAAACATATTTCAGGCTGCTGCTAAATAAGCCCCTTGGCTTTTATTAATTTGGATGTGTGTTCTTTTATATATGTGGGAGGCAAGTTTCTGAAAATTAAAACTTCTCATAATGTGTAGTCCTTCAGGAAGGAGAAGTTCTAGAAATGAGGCACATCTCATACCAAAGAATCAGTTGCTCCCCTTTATGTTTTGAGAATAAATTTTAATTGATTTTACATGTAGATTAAAAGCAAAAAGAAAGAAAAGTTGAGTAGATTTCAACGACTGAAATATAAAGTCTTTCGAAAGGTTATCAAATATTATTCGATTGTTCTTCAACAGGCACCATTTTGCCACCCGAGAGAATACATCACTAATTTTCTAAGGTCTCGATTGCGAAAATCTGGGTCGACTAGAGGCTAGCAAAATTACCCACAATGCAGTATCTCGTGACGTAGCCTTCGGGGGTATTGAAGACAACTTGTATCTTTCTTTACAAAGCTTCCTGTGCTGGTGCTGGTCATGAAATAAACTGAACCTGAAGAAACAAGGACACCTTCAAATCAGTTGACGACATTCGCTCTTCATCAAGGACAAGACTTAACGTTTCTTCTAGATTCATAACTGAAAATGGGTTGTAAGTAGCCGATGGTTTTCATCTTGCTATCATATTTTAATCGGTAACGATCGCTGAACAACTTTAAAGCTTACGTGTCATTTAGGCCACTTAGGCCCTTTTCATTTCGAACATTGTTGTAATTTTTACATCTTTCTTTCAGTCAAATTTCTTGAAATATTGAAGCCTTTTATATCTGTGTTGCCTGAGGTTTCCAAGCCTGAAAGAAAGGTGAGATTATTTCGAATTTAATTGCGCCAACGTTTAGAAAATTTTGAGGGATTGTTCTTTGTGTCCTTTAGACGAGACCTTTTTTTCTAACTGGATTCAAATTAATGATAAAAAAGGCAACCGCGATTGAACTGCTTGAAAAGCAGTTCACAAAAAGCTCGATTTTCTTTTTAAGTGTATTTGCAAATTTTTTTCTTGGGATGTTTTTAACTTGCTTCATAAATGTCCGTATCAGTCAAATGTTTGTGTACAAAGCCTGATTTGGTTTTCGCCATAAAACCCAAAAGCCTACATACAAAACAAAGCAGAATATAGCCATTTTTATCTTTTTATTCAGAGAGGCTAGACGAATATATGTTAACATGAAAGATCATGTTTGTTATCAAAAAATTTCTTCTGTATCTTCTGAAATGAGTAATATAGTATCATTCTAGAAAGAAGCATTCCCTAGCAAAGTATAAAAGTTATTCTGATGAAATGGGTTTTTTTCTGGTAAACACCATCCTATTCTGCCAGATCAGTATTAAAATCTGAACTGAACTTAGGTTTATAAAAACACTACTTTATCTTGTTTATCATATCAAGGAAATGGCTTGAATAGGAAAATTGATAATGTTACCCAGTTTTTAAACATGTTTATCTTTCTTTTCAGATTCAATTTAGGGAGAAAGTATTATGGACAGCAATCACATTATTCATTTTCTTAGTGTGTTGTCAGGTGAGATTTGAACATTATTTTCAATGTTGAAAAAAATATATATTTATCTGATAGCTTTAATTATTATTTATTTTTTATACAAAGTCATTTTGCTTTCCTTATTCAAAAATCAATGTTTAGAATTCCATTGCCTTATATTGATGTTATATGTCTCTTTATAATTCTTCTTCTCATTAAAATACAGATCCCATTGTTTGGTATCATGTCCTCTGACTCTGCTGATCCATTTTACTGGATGCGAGTTATCATGGCTTCAAACAGGGGTAGGTCAAATTTTTGTCTAATTGCTACTAAAATGTTATATATACATGCAGCAGATTTGCTTGTAACTGAAATGTGAGAAACATATAAGAAAACATGTAAGAAAGATGTTTTAAGTTTATATATTTATAAAGACATTATATAGACTATATATATATTGTCTGTGTTCTTGGCTGTTACCCTGTATTTCTTATTCAGTTTCATTCTCATGTTGTTCAGCCCCCTATAAATATGCCTGTATGTTTAAAGCTGTTTATTTCTATTCCCAAATTTCTAAGGTCATCAAAGCAGTCCAGCAAAGTAGTTTGCTATGTATCTACATACCCAAAAAATATCATGATCTGTATATATGTAATCAGACTTTTTATTAATTGCATTGCATCTTAGGAACACTTATGGAGTTGGGTATCTCACCAATTGTTACATCAGGACTCATCATGCAGGTAACCTCTATTTTTAGCAAGTATATATATATATATATGTATATTTCAAAAATTAATCAGATGATTTTAAATGAACTCAACAGCCATCATCAATTTTTTGTTAATTGATCTTTTTGCTTCATGTTGATAGCTTCTTGCTGGTGCCAAAATCATTGAAGTTGGTGATACTCCCAGAGACAGAGCACTTTTCAACGGAGCACAAAAATGTAAGCAGTCTTTAGCAACCAAACTGTATTCTATGCATCTATCCTTTATTCTTACCAAATTAAATGTTTTTGGATTTGCTTTGAAGTGGCAAAATGTAAAAGTATACACATTTTATTTAAACTACTGATGACAGTTTAACAAATGTATATAAACATTTGACTTTGGTTTTATTTGGAAGGTATTTTTAATGCACTTTGGAGGTAAGTCAAAGCGAAAGGACACTTTGTGTCTCCAATTGAGGAAGGTTTACTCTGTATAAATATATTGTCAATGTGGTTAGTTTTTTAAAAACTGTGCCTTCTCTCATCTAGTATTTGGTATGATAATCACAATTGGTCAATCCATTGTTTATGTGATGACTGGAATGTATGGTGACCCATCTGATCTTGGTGCTGGCATTTGTCTTTTGATCATTATTCAGGTATTTATATATTTTGCTTGGAGCAAAACAAAACATTTATGAAAATCACTGTCACCAGTTGTTCTCTGCTGCCATTGCTATCATTGCCATCAATCGGCAATTATTTTCAGTCTTTAATATGGATGTGGTTTAAAAAACAAGTTATTTAAGAAGCTGCTTAAACCAGGCCAAGCTGTTTAAAAACTTTTCAACTTTAGAACAAATTGTTTTATCCCTTATGCTGGCTTGATTAAAATCAAATGTTTATATATTGTTTTCTGAGGACTTGTTGCTATGCAATGTTTTGTTTAGAAGTTTGTATAAATGTTATATTAAGAAGATGCTAAAGTAGTCATCTTCTTGAATCTTGAAAACAACTTTGACAAATGGATGAACAATTATATATAAATGTTAAATTGTGTTATTCCTTAGTTGTTCTGTGCTGGCTTGATTGTCTTGTTACTTGATGAGCTTCTCCAGAAAGGCTATGGACTTGGATCAGGGTAAGTTATTGCATTCTGATAGTAAATAATATTGTTTGCCATATGGAAAACGACCTTGCTAGAGCAGTATACATTGATATTATTATTGGTACTTCTATCTGATACAAAGAAATTACTTATATTTGCATCTCTCTTGTTTTTAGTATTTCCCTTTTTATCGCAACCAACATCTGTGAAACCATTGTATGGAAGGCTTTTAGCCCTGCAACTGTCAATACTGGAAGAGGTAAATTATAAAATATATGTTTGTTTTTTCTTTGCTTCTGAAGTTATTGGCTAAAAGGAAACATATTCCTCTTCATCAGACATATTATATGTATGGTATTCCTCTTCCTCTCTTCCATTAACTATTTGTAGAAATAAATCACTGCTTATGTCCTTTTGTCTTAGAATGTGTCCAATTAAAAACATTTTTCTTCTGTGTTAAGTTGCTAGTAACCTCTCATTTACAACCATCTTTTCTAGAACCCATTGATTGGTTTTCTTTTTTGGTTCAACTGATGCGCAGTTAACAACTGTAGCACCATAATTCAAAAGCTTCAATCTTTTTCTTGTCAATATTTTGCATACAGATATCAATATATATATATATAAGTCAAATTATTCATTATGACCTCCTATTTTTAATTATCTATATATTCAAAATTTTAAAATACCATTAGAAATCTTAGATATTATTTACGCAACCTTTTTATTTCTAAATTTTCAGGAACTGAATTTGAAGGTGCTATCATTGCTTTGTTCCATCTTCTTGCAACACGTACTGATAAAGTTAGAGGACTCAGAGAGGCTTTCTACAGACAAAATCTTCCAAATTTGATGAACCTTCTTGCAACAATATTCATCTTTGGTGTTGTCATATATTTCCAGGTAGATTGGCATATATGTTGATATGATTTTATTTTATCAAGGTGACATGATGTTTTAACTATTCTTTCAATTGCCATAATATCAAGTAGAGGAAGTTGATAAGTATGGCATCAAGTCAAAACTAGTCAGCACAAACAGCTTTGTTTCAAAGTTCAGACATAATCAAATAGTCATTTTCATACTAAATGATGATGTCTGGAAAATGCATTGCGATTTCCTTACTAAACCTTACTTTTCATTCTTTGTAGGGATTCAGAGTTGATCTTCCAATCAAATCAGCCCGCTACAGAGGACAATACAGCTCATACCCCATCAAGCTCTTTTACACTTCCAATATCCCTATCATTCTGCAGGTAAAACATTTTGTTGTGTTATATATTTGTCTGAATGGATACACATCTAGATATTTTGAAATGAGAAATTACCTAAGATTTTTGTACTTTAAATGGTCTCCATCCAAGTATATAATATTTATTTCTATACATGCAGGTCTATCTCTCAAACTATGTTGTGTTTAGTTTTCTGTAGTCTGGTTTTTCTCTTTTTTAATGCAACACAATTCAAGTTTTTCAAAAGAGCATAAAAGGTTGTGTTTTGTTTGTTTTGATGCAAGGCTTAATTTAGGTTATCCTGTAATTAATTTGAAAAAACATCAGCAATCTCAGTATCTGGAGTTGTACATAAAGGCCAAGAAGAGGTGCTTCTAGTTTGAGTTTTGACTAAGTTGAAGGTTTACTGAAGAAAGCTACTTTTTAAGACTGATTAAACATTATGTCAAGTTACAACATTCTGAATCTAATTTTTTGTCTAAATAACCAAATCTGCTTTTTAGAGTGCCTTGGTTTCAAACATTTACATCATCTCACAAATGTTGTCTGCAAAGTTTGCTGGAAACTTCTTGGTCAACCTTCTCGGAACTTGGGAGGTAATTCTATTTAATTGTCCAAAAGATTGTTGCACACTTACAATGTTTTCAAAGGAAGATTGTATACCTAAACAACCTAAGCATAGTTTAACTATTTCAAATGGTATCATAAGTTAGTTTGAAATGTGCAATAGAAAATACTTTGGTCCATTGACCGATTTAAAACTCAAACTCAAACTTTTGTAAAAAAATACATTTTAATCTTTCATATTATGATGTGTGCCAATAATGATACAAAACTACAAAGTTTTCTGATGCTTGTAGGATGGTGGTGGCCCATCAAGATCATACCCAACTGGAGGAATGTGTTATTATCTGTCACCACCTGAAACACTTGGTCAGATAGCGACAGATCCTGTACATGCGATGGTCTATATTTTTTTCATGTTGGGATCATGTGCATTCTTTTCCAAGACATGGATTGATGTGTCTGGATCCTCTGCCAAAGATGTGAGTAAAATTGCACGTCTTGTGTTTTGTATTACTGTATCAAGGAATCAAGGAGTCTTGTGGAACAAAAACAATGCTTGAGTTATAAAAAGTCTCATGGCAGAAGAACTCTGTTTTGCTCATAGAAGAAAACATTGTCTCCTAGAGAAAGGATGCAAGAGTTTTAAAAAGTCTTTGATTTGCTATATCAAAAACATTAAAATATATATATATATATATAAAAAATTTTGTAACATCTGTTATGCACCTTGTTACTCTTCATTTTCAGTATCTGTCAGAGTGGGAAACTTCAATTTTGTAATTACTTTGTACTGGTTCACCTTAGTAGTTAGTGCTATGACTTTCAAAGAACAGGAATGAATCTTACAGACAAAGTCAGCATCACAAGATTTACGGACATTTGATATTTTTTCAAAATTACTAACCTAACAATAATGAGTGACAGAATTGTTGCAGCTTGATGTCAAGAATAACTCAATTTATTCCTGGTAGTTATGTTTTATTGCTGAACTTTCAGGTTGCAAAGCAGCTAAAAGAACAGCAAATGGTTATGCGTGGTCACAGAGAGAAGTCTATGATCCATGAGCTTAACAGGTTTGTGTCTTTAGGACAAAATTGCTTTAGCTGACCATAACCCCACCTCCTTTTCAATTTCAGTAAAATGCACCTGGACCTAATTGTCTACTTTTTAACCTAGATATTTCAATTCTATGTAGAGACTCCTACCAAATTATTGATGAGAATGATTTAATGGTTTCATATTAAGGATATTTTTTAAATAAAGAGACAGCTGATATTTAAATCAAAGCTAATAGGACATTTCTGCAACATTTCTATTGGCTCTTGTTTGCAATTATTGCATAAGCAATGTTCTTGTTAAGTTAGAGATCAAATTGTTAAAAAGAATACATGTTTCAGTAGAATTAAGCTCTTTCCCTTAGTAAACACTTTTGCTACCAAATGCTGAATTTTATCCTAATGGTACGGGATACCTGTGAAATGTAAATTGAAATGTAACAGGTGTGTGCTTTTGAAAAGGGCTATTATTTCACCTGTGCAAATGTTTGTTTTTTGTGCAAGAGGTTAATTTTTTTTTAACAAGATATTTCCTTTTGCTCAAATTACTTTTATTTCAAGGAATAAAGAAAATCTAACATGAAATAAGTCATCTTCTTGTCAGATATTTTGAAGTATCGAGTCAACTGTTGTGATTTTGGTGTCTTCCTGCTCCAATATTTATTTGGTGTCTTATATATTTGATTTGTTATTTATGAATGAATGAGATTTTACTTGATTAATTCATCCCATAAAAACCTCTCATACTTTTGAACTTACACTAAATTAACAAACTATAACTTGGTTGGCAGTTACAGAGATCTCTTATCAGCTTGATATGAAAAATGGATGTTTGTTACACAAATATTTGTAATTTAGCCCCACGGTAGGCCAACCATTTCTTATTTCCTAATCAGATGTGACCATTTTTGAATCTTGGATTGTGCAGAAGTATTTGATTTTTTCCAATTATCAAAAGTGAAAGGTTTTTATATTTAATCTTTTCAGATACATTCCAACTGCTGCTGCTTTTGGTGGACTCTGCATAGGAGCACTTTCAGTTATTGCAGATTTCATGGGTATGTATTATTGCAGATTTCATGGACAAACTTATCATCAATTATCATCATCCGTCATCATCGTCATCATCATCATAAATCATAGATCATTGCATCTGTACCTATATCATTATCTACACAACTACAATCCTTCTCTACATATGTAAAATATTGTTCTCAGGAAAATAATGTATTTCAGTAAATACAAGACTCAGCCCACTTCATGCCACTTTCATTATTTATTTATTTTTGATTGAACAAAACAATTGGTTTTGCTATAACAAACTTTGAGAATGTCATTTTAACCAATTGACTGTTTCTTCTCTTAGGTGCCATTGGTTCAGGTACTGGTATACTTTTGGCTGTCACTATCATCTACCAATACTTTGAGATCTTTGTAAAGGAACAGAGTGAAATGGGTGGAATGAGCACTTTGCTCTTCTAAAAGAAAAAGGACAATGGACAACTAATAGATTTTATGCTAAGAAGTAAAAGAGGATGTGTTTTGAATGTTTTGACATTATAATTATCATTACTTGTGCAAGTAATGTCCAACTAAAAAGGAAGGGAGTGTAGATCTAGATTTTTCTCAATAAGGTTCTTTACAAGGGATAGGCCATCATTATTTGGTACAAAATTTATGTAACATTCTGGGCTACTGTTAAAGGCCACTTATGTTTTTTGGAGGGGTGTAAATCTTGAGAATTGTTCCATCATTAAGCCATCTGCAAACATCCTTGTTTTATCCTTATGCATCTTTATAATAAAATCAATCACTGTATTATTTTCATATTTGCTTTGAAATCATTTTGTTGTTGATTTCGTAAATAAACAGAGTTGCCAGGAGGAATGGGTTTCAGTCAATAATGTATAATTTCTGGTAGAGAATGACTAGGTACTTTGTATTGTATGATGCTATCTTACTAGATGAAAGCAACTCAACTGTTTTTTTTTCTTTTACTTTGCTCTTAAAATGTCGCTCAATTAAATGTCCATCGTTGCTTACAAAGTAAGACTTTGAGTTTCTTCACTTGCTAATCCCTTGGATAGAAACCAGAAAGTGAAATTTCAGCAGTTCAGTGTATATGATATTCCAGCCGTCAGCTTACAACTGATACCCAATTTCTGTGAACGAAGGGGATTTGTTAGTTAGAGAAGATTTCATATATGATTGTAAATCAGGCTGAAATGGCAGCATTTGAAGGGAATGGAATTCAGTTGCAATGGTCAATTTCCATCTTTGTTATTATCATCATGTCTGAAATTGAAGAATTTGATTTTCCGCGAAAATATATATAAAAAAGAATGAGAAAGTTAAGAGCGTAAAAATGGAGAACTTATACCGGTTTTCAAGGTCGAATTTTTTCCTCACGAGACAATGGTGATGTAATAGAAAATGATGTAAGTTATGGATTATATTTTCATGTGACTTGCATGGAAACAAAATTAAGTAATACTTTAAGCTAACTAAAAGCTAAACTTCATTGTAAAACTAAAACTGTACCCTATGCCTAAAATTTTAACTCCAAAAAGTTGCTTGAATTAAGATTTAAATGCAGCGGTTGGTCAGTCAACCATTGACTGGTGTCTTTTTGCTGGCCGTACACATTTTAGCAAAACAGTGGGATGCGTATATTGTGTGGCCATTACTGAAGAAATACACTTTTTGGTCGGACGTTAAGAACAAATTAAGAACATACTGAGGCTAAGCTACTGTAAAAAGCAATTTTGAACAACGCTTCATCTCATAAAACGAGGATTTTTAGCCATGTGTGAGTGCTTTTCGATGAATTTCCAAAATGAAGGTTGTCGCACTCATTTGTTGGCAAATGAAGCCTGGACACTTGCCTAGAGCGAAAAATCTAGCAAATACACTGCTTACACCCTATTACTTTAAGAACAAATTAGGAACAATTCATTCATTAAGAACAATTTTTGATCGTGTTTGTGTGTTTTTTAATTATGGTTTATAAACTTAACGAGTTACCTAAGTATAAGAACAATTCAGCCTCTGATTTTTAAAGAATTAAGAATCAGAAAAAATTAAGAAAAGTCAGCCTGGACTTAAATTTACTGGTTCTTATAAAAAAGAGTGTAATCTAAACTTACATTTAGATCCAAAAGGCAGCTTTAAAATGCTTTTAATAGTGGATAGACATGATGAAAACACTCTACGGCAGAGTAAATGATTTTTTATCTAACGAATGCGACAATTTTACTATAAATTAATACAGTTGGTCAAATGGGTCAATTCCCGTATATTTTGAACAGTACCATTCTATCAGATAGGCAGAAAATCGAAGGGCATATCCCGTATCTTTTCAGATAGAAATATACTTCATGATATCATTAAAAACTGTATAGCACATTAAGTGTAGCTGCAAAAAAGCACGGGGCGATCGCCCTCTGGTTGTAGCCTACAGGTACAGCGAGGGCAGTATGTGCCCTTTAGTAAATTCGAATGTTCATAATCCCATTCAGAATAATCTCCCCTAGTGTCAACAAAAAGTTAATCAAGTAAAATATGTAATCAAACATGTTCTTTTTTGCAAGTATTTGGTGCCTATTAACACGTTTGTCCTCATCCCCCCCCCCCCCGCCTTGCCCCTGAGTCTTTGTTTTAATATATTTTATGGAATAAATTCCTATACAAACTAAACTTTCACTTGCATACTACTGACGTCGAACTTATGAAGATTGGTACCCTAGTACTAGATATTGCCCTCGCTGCACATGCAGGCTAAAACCTGAGGGCGGTCGCCCCCGTACTACGTGCTTATTTGCAGTTATAAACAACACTTTTATGTGTTACAGTACGTGATGATGAATTATCTCATGGTTTTTCACAAGAAGCAAATTTTTGTGGTCAGGCTCGTTCTGAAATTTTGGGCCATTTCAGCCTCACAGGACAAAAGTTTCACTAGCAATGATGAATTATATCACGTTTTTATACAAGAAGCACATTTTTTGTTGTCACTAGCAGCAGGGGCGCAGTGGGAGTTAACTTTTTGGGGGGGCAAAGCTGAAAATTTTCCGATAAAACTATGATTTTTCCGACAAATTTTTTCTCAATATATTCCTTGAAGATTACCCTTGCTGCATATACTGCAACACTTGATACTACAATATCACGAATGGATCTGGAAATCGTTAACGAATGGATCGTTCGTTATACACCTTCAAGTTCAACAATAGCCTTTATTCTAACAAAACTTACCAAATATAAATCGCTATAAACAAAACTGCAACTAGTTATAAATTTACACCCTACAAGTCTTCTCGCTATACTAGACAATAAACTGTCAAGTCAGTGTTTATAGCTGTTTATAGCAAAAAGTTTTTTTGGCAAATTTTAAATCCCATCATAATTACTTTGCATTTATTTATGCTAAACCTTAAATAGATATAACGCGTCCAAAAGAATAGTTTTCTTTTAACTGAAATTTATATAAACTGTTACTCAAGCAGCATCTTTCTCAAAAGAGGTGTGGCAGCATACAAATCGATGATGTCACCATAGTCTATCGATTGTAAAATATCACTTTCGACGTTGATTGTTATCAGAGAGGAAAGGCGGTCTTGTCCCACCTTTGACCGTAGCCGATTTTTTTACAATCCTCAGCTTTGAAAAAGCTCTTTCATACTTTGTTGAACCTATTGGCAAAGTGACGAGAACCTTGTAAAGAAGGACCAGCTGTGGAAAGGCACTTTGCAGGTTATACTTATCATCAACTGAAGAACTGAATGGAACTGAAAAGTTTTCTCTTTCTCCTGCAGCCGGGAGAGAGTTGCAACTTTCCAAAATTTACGGTAATTATTGACGAAAGAGCTGTACTCATCTCTTAATTTTTCGTCATCCAGGCCGTTATTCTTCGCAACCTTTTTGAATTACACTGCACACAACTGCCTTTCAATTGTTTTTTGAAAACATTCAGGGTTGAGCAAAGCAAAATCTGTCAAAATTGCCTTATGAGACGTGAATCTTGTATTCATTGAGCTGATAGCTGTATCTACTATCACGATGATTTACGGATTCCCTATTTCCCTTCTAATTCATCTATGCAATTTTCCCCTGGCATCTTTTTCTTTGTGCGTATTCGTCGCTCGACAAAACTTTCCTGTGCTGAGTCATGGCGAAAATATTAACTTTTTGCGTCTTCTACAACACCAGCGAATTCATTTCGAAATGAACTGAGTTGAATTTTAACTGTCGGAAATGGGAGTTTATAAAAAAACTGAGACCAGAGCGTTAATTTCCTTTACAAATTTCAGCAATGCGATAATTCCGATAAATACTCTAATGAAAATAAGTAAGAAGGGTTGAGCATGCCCTATTTTACGACAGGTTTAAAAAAACATGCGACCTTTCGGACAGGATCGATGAAAACCTTACATTTTGTCTAATATTTCAAAATTTCCGACAAACGTTGGATTTTCCGACAATCCGACAAAAATTTGGCCAGGGGGGGGGGGCGGCTGCCCCCCCTGCCCCCCAGCCACTGCGCCCCTGAATAGCAGTAAAAGCTGGTACAAACAGTTTCTGCCTTTAATTCTGTTTGCTTTTCCTCATAGATAATATACTAACATATCTAGTCAACAATTATGAAGGAGCTTTCGCAAAAAACGCATTGCAAGCTATCGATCCATCTGCAGAATCATTTTTATGCTCTATTACATAAGTTTCTATAATAGTTTAATCAAACGCTTTGAAAGTAAGTGTTACTTGTTTACTCGAGTTGCATGTTTGAAGTAAAAAGCTCTCTCTAAAATACAACCACAATGTATTATCAATAAACATTAATAAAATACGTCCAAAATAATCAAAATATGCATAACAGAAGCTGTCAGAGCATTGTAGTTTGCGGATGTTTTGCCTCGTAAGGGAGGGAGGGGGCATCAGGTGTAAAAGTGGCCTCCTTTTCTTCTTTTTGCTAATACTTAACAAGATTGTGCGTTGTTTATCGCTTTGGTATACCAAAAGGCGGAGTGTTTTGGGAAACATGCAAAATACAAACTATTTTTATTTTGGCAGCAAGTTTAATCTATTTTCAGCATATCTATTGACTGGGTGAAAATTACATAATGATGTGAGAACTTCCAGCGCGCTTCACCTTTAAAAACAACGTTTTTGAATGTGCCTTTTATTACAAAATTGGTGTGTACCTTCACTAAAGTTCAAACCAGTTCTGATTCTTGGTGAAATAAGGGATTGCTTTATAGCAAGAAAACCATCAATAACCTCTCGCCATCTTCATCTTCACATTTCAATCACTTTGATTTGTTTTTTAAACTTAACTATTTATCCATGAACTGGGGAATCACTTGTAGCACGTACCCAGTAGCTGGCGAAAATACGCAAAAATTGACTTTAAGTTAAAAATTTCGCCTGTGAAATTTTGTGTTTCTCCTTGTAATGTGGAATAGTTGATGTGGCTTGTAATGGGGAAAAGAGCATAGTCAATTTACTTTGGGGCCTAGTCAAGGCGCATTTTCATTTGCTTTGGCATTTCTACTGCGGTAAAATGTCTTTTCCCTCTATAATATTCGATTAAAACACTATCCGTGGTCAAAGTGACCTTAGTTGTATCAAGAGAGCTCTTGAATTCCAAGTGCATGAATAAGACATGTTTAAAATTCAAGAAAAAATACAAAAATGTAACTTAATGGCTAGGAGATTCTAACTTTAAGGAGACAGATAATATTTCTAAAAAGCCTGCCAAAATATGCTGGCAAAAGACAACATTTCACGATTTTCTTACACTATTTATTATTTAGAAGGAATTTTCGTACGTTATTCGAATTAGACATTGTAGTGGGTGTATTGTCAGGCGATTCAAAATTTGATAATTAAGACTAACTACTTTGCTCATTATACCACATTTCCTTCCGCTGAAGACAAAGTCGTGGATTATAACAACATTTTGCAATTATTTCTATGTTCATAATTCATTTTTAAAACAGTCATTAGGACAGCCCTTTTATAATAGCAAAAGATCCTTAATATCCGCAACAAAAAGTAATTTTCAGTTTAGAGACATAGAGAACATTATTGGGGAGAGGTTGGGGATAAATGCAAAACAGAATTCCCCCAAATATCTGTTTGCAGCTCTCCACTACATCCCTCTTAAAAATGCATTTTTGAGTGCTTGTTAAAGTACACGAGTGAACTTAAGGACGATTGTCAATTGCTAATTGCGAATATGGGAGGGGTGTATCATAACGCCAAAGTGTGGGTCACACCTGGCTTTATACTAGTCTTAGTTACGTCCTAGTCCTGTTAATGTGAATCATGTCCCAAGTTAATCTTTCAACTGTGATTTTTGTAGTCTGCATTTTATGCATTGATTCACAGCACCACCAAATGCAGGGTACAACAAAATACAAGGGAATATGATTGTCGCGAGGCCAAACAGCGTCCACCTTTTGCAATTTGTTGAAGGAACTCCACTGCAGGTTATCATTTCATGGAACCAACTTGAATAGCCGACATCGTCTTTGAAGCAATGGTAACAAAAGGCATCGAAGCAAACAATGCAAGTGCAGCAGTTTATTGTATCTTTCAGTCTGTTAAGGCATCGAAAACACCTGTCTTTGTTTTGGGTGCCTTTTTGTGAACAGTGTGTCCTTTCTGAGCGGTCTTTCAATTCTGCATCGAGAGACACTGGCTGGCTTGTAATTGCTTCTTGCTCATTAACTCCAGAGTCAAATATTGCATTTGAAAAACTACCACGCTGTAAGATAGATGATTTTGCCACTTTTGAACTTTTGCTTGTAAGGAAACGTCCGATTAAGGAATGCTCTTGAGACGAAATTCTTCTTCTCAACTCACGTTCAGTAATGGATGAGCTCCGTCGATGGCGGGGCTTGGTGTCTTTCGAACGCATTGACTTGGGTTTTGCTTTTTCAGCGTGGATGTGCTCGTCCTGAGGTCTAGGGTGACCTTGGTATGATCCATCATGATTTATAATAGACTTTCGATATTCGGGATTGCCATTCTCATGTGGATCTTGCATGACCGGGAACAATTTTCCAACACCATAGCTTGTTACAGCACTTGAACCGCATCCGAGTAGTTCGTCGTTATAGGAAGCAAGATACCCTTTTACATCTCGTAATTTGGGTTTACCCCATTTTGACAAGTACGGTGGCTCCGATCTTGTTCGCGTAACAAGTGTTTTCCCTTGGATACCTGTTACGGACCCAAGCTCCACGTAAGGGTTGCGACAGACTTGGCCAACTTGTGCGTTTTCGAGGTCAAACCGCATAATTTTCTTGTTTCGATCCTGCTAAGGCCTCAAAGATGTCAAACAAAGTTTGTTTCTATCGAAAAAGCGAACTGATGAAGTCAAGAATTTATGATGCTTTTACGTTAACTCTGCTTGGCCGTTAACTCTTCGCTTGTAGCATAAGGTTCTTGGAAAAATAAAGATCCTTTATTTAAACTCCATAAGGAAGCATATTGTTCAGCTTTCCTCTGCACTCAACCAATTATCCAGCAACCATTATCCTAAAATACAAACAAGGAAAACGATGCAGAACGTCTGATAATTGAAACCTTTAGACATACTCTGGTGTAAACAAATACTCAGCGATCCTTCTTACGTCTTCAAATACCCTCTGCTAATGTTCACGTTTATAGAATGACGCCCACGCATCAGGAACAATTGTTACACAATGGAACGGTCAGCCTCCTGTTCAGTGCCCTGTCCCTGCCCACAATAACAGATATACTAATAGAGATAGGATAATAAACATCTTGGTGAAATTTCTTCAATCAAATTGCAACAACAGCGTACTGAATATTCTTCTTGCGATATGATTAATAATTGATTGTTATTTTCAAAGTTGCGCACCAATGCGTAAATGCTATATTCAAAAGAATGACACAAACATAGAAATCCTGAAGTGTCCGTCTCCACGTGTCCGTAGGGACGGATTGGAGCGGCAATGTTTCGGGATGTGCGTTATATAATATTGGATTTTGGTGCTACAACATTCTGGTGACAGGAAATTGCTGGAAACGCCCATTTTAACTTCGAGGTCAAGAAGATAAGATAATTTTTGCATTATTTTGTTACTAGTGTCCACCAAAAATGCATTTTATCGAATCCTCAAAAATTTTAACTGAAGGACACAAAACTATTAGGGGGTGTCGAATCCCCTACACCCGGCGGTGAATTCGTCCCTGCGTATTCGGAAATTTTGGAAAACGCAGATTGTCCCTCCGTTTTCAAAATAAGAATATCAGTCCAATTTCTTTCTTCTGAATTGGTAAATCGAGCAGTAAGTCAATATATTTCTGCATATTCCGTTGCCCCTTTGATACATGGTCTTTTATAACCAATTATATGAAAATTACATCAGATGATTAGTATTTTGGAATGTACACAAACATACGTTGTGTCTCTAAAAAGTTTTACCTCTCTTGATTTATCTATAAGTAATAAATTTATGTTCCAGACGGGTCTAGATTGCAATACACTGCAACCTGTTCAAAGTAGTCCATATAGGTTTCCTTAAGTGTACACATGATGCTTTGCGACTGTCGCGCTAATTTCAAGAAAAGATAGTTTCATGGTTCATGTTTAAGGGACATGATATTGTTAAAGAATTACGACATAAAGTTTGCAATTCATGACAAATTTTTCAGATGCTTCGATGTTTTGTCGTCATTTAATTTGCATTTTGCGGTTCATATTTCTTCCTCAGTGCTTTTACCAACGACCAATGTAGATAAATGACCTAGATTTTTTATATAATTGACGAAAAAGAACTTCGTTGTATGGAAAACTTGATTAAAGGCCAAAGCAACTCCTACGAGATCTTTCCGGTGTGGTTGATGGAGGTTTGTGGAGTTTCATTAACCTGCCATATTGCATTCCCATTACGTGAGAGAAAATTTACGTCAATATTGCAGTTAGGAAGTTGAATGTTGTCGAAACAGTCACACTTTGAGTATTTCGTTGTGGAATCGACCAGCTGTTGTCGTGAGAACAAGTAAACCGGATTCAGATGCATTTCATATCTCGTAGTAAGTTTAGTATTAATTCAAGAATTTATTAACATGGAAAACTTCTAGTCTCAAGATCATTGAAATTGTCATTAAGAATCGACTTCATATTAAATACGCAGAACTAAATTTTGCTATACCCATTAAAGAAATTCAAAAGATTTTACAACAACAACCACAATTCCCAACAGAATTTTAAACGATGCTACAACAACAACCACAATGCAAAGCATTTCTTATCTCCATAAAAACACAATATAACAAATGAGACTAAAAATGTTATGCAATAGAAAACCCCTATTTTTTCTTGTTGGGGAGACGGTTCTACATTCCTACTGCTTGTGGACTTAATTCTACCCGTTTGTCTGAAACAATGAGGAACTGCATTATATAGGCACGCGCAGTAGGGCGCGAGCAAAATTTAGTTGAATGGCGCTTCATAGCAAATTTTTTTCAAACTTAAACAAATAACCGCCCTAAAAATTACCGGCCAAAAAATATCCGCCCAAAATAACAAAAAATTTCTGGTTGGCTATGTCTGGTTGGCTATATTTTTAAACAGGCATGTAAAAACTTTTTAATGGACAAGATTAAAATGGACAGTTTTAACTATGGATGGATTTTGTAATTGTTAATATTTTCTTCATTTGCATTGAAATTTTTATACTTACAGTACATATTTTAATTTTTTTAGCCTTTTACCTTTTTTGTACACCAGGCTGAAAACAAGTATTTTACTTAGACCTGTTATGTACATTAAAGATATGATACATACATACATACATACATACGTATATACATATAACGTTGGAAAGGTTTCATAAACCACAGTGCAACGATTTAAGACGAGAGGACAGCTGTTCCTAATAAGCCTTAAACGGAAATATCTACGAAAGAAATGGGTGTATAAAAATAAACAAATAACCACGCCTTTATTTTTCTTTCTATAATTTTCCGATTCTGGATGCATTTGCAAAGACGGTAATACACCAATTCGACTTACGACCTCGTTTTGGAAATTTCTCTAAACTTAATTATACGACTTTTTTAAGCGCAGATTTGGTTTTATCGCCATAATTTTAGGCGGGATACCATTTTTCATATTGTTTCAGCTTGTATTTTAGATTTCACGGAGAAATGAAGTTTGAAAACTTGTAAAGGATTTGACCGCAAAAATCGTTCCGGGGGAAACTTTACCCCCCTAGTCGCCAATCACGGTCAAATCCCTTATAAAGTTTTTATCTTCATGTCGTCATAAAATCAATATCGTGAGCAATATGACAATGAAAACTTACAATTAGACTAAAATCATTGCTCTCAATCTGAATCTGAGGTCAAAAATTTTATACAAATAAATTTTGAAGAATTTTTCAAAACGAGGCCGTAAGTCAAATTGGTGTATGGAAAAACAATCATAATGGCGTTGATACAACGGCTATCCGTTTTCGATATGACATAATTATCAAATTGTAGCTATTTCAGAAATTCACAAGAATAGCAATTTTCGTAAAAAGAGGCCACTGGACAGATCTAATGCGTTGGATAAACACTCTATGAGAAAATCATACAACTTTTGAGGAAATCTCATCGTTTGTTTGAAGTTCTTTGGCTTCATGGAATTTTCGTATGCTTTTTTCGATAATGAATTGCCCCTCGGGTTAGGGAGCTGTTGCATTTTGTTATCTTTTTTATTACTTGGGACAAGTGTGGTCAGTCGAGGGGAGAGAGTCAAGAATCGAACATACACGGAGCGGTCACGCAGGGAGTTGTGGCCACATTTGAACTCAACGAACGGTTTTTTTAGCAATTACGAATCATACATTGTACTATCGAGTTGTGTAAGTCACCCAATTGGCTTATTTTACGATATATATATTCACACTAACTATAACCTCGTTTTAAATGTTGAACGTCTTTGGTCGTAATACGCCGAACCCCGTATACTACTTACAGACATTAAACTTCTACAGTTCGTGCCTTGTAGTGGCGTCTGCACGATAGTCAAATATTCAACAGGAGCTTTGCTCTGTGACCAGAATGGCGAAAAGCTTAGGCTTTGATATGAGTAAATTTTTCCAAAAATCGTACAATAAAAGTTGGTTCTTTGAGCAGATTCTTGTTTTATCCAAAAACCATAAAGAATTATAGAGATTTCATAGAAAATATCAAAGTATTTAGAGAGAAATGATGAAAAGAATCAAAATTAAAAATCGAGCAGTCAAAAATCACATCAACAGAAAAAAATCTGAAAGCATCAGATAAAATCCCATTTAAAGCAAGAAGAAAAGTCAGATTTATAAGAAGTGATACGAGATATTGAAAAAGCAATGACATAATAGATTTTTTAGGTTCCACTGGAACATCCAGGGATGTAAGATACACTACTTTGCAAGAGGGTAGAGCAGCATACGATAGGATATGCTGAGCCCTACTGTAACGTGTTTGGTTTTCCTGTTGATTAGTTTTATATTATTTCACCACATTCTGCCTTATGTTTGGATTCCGCTTATGCAATTCATTTTAGCATATGAGTGTTTGGTTTTAGTTTCCTAGTAATGTTTTCGTGTATTTACTGCCTGTGTACTTACTGCCTAGCTCGCCTGTGTATTTACTGACTTAGTTACACTACCCTCACTTCCTTTCTCCTTCTTTCTTTGTTCACTTTCTTGGACCTCGGTTTACTGACTGGCACATGAGTCAGAAACGTGGCCATCTCGGTTCAGTAACCAACCGTAGGTGCCATTTTCTTCTTTTAGAAAACCTGTGTCCAGCTTTGGCAATGGCCGCCAGCGCTGATAGATCTTGGAGGCTATGGGGCAGAACCGCGATTTTTTCCAGATGATCCTTGCAGTAATTTTCTTGCAACAGATTTAACCATTTTAATATTTTGTAGACATACGCCTGCTACATTTGATAAATTCCATTCTTGAAATGGATTTCATTACTTTTTAAGGCCCTCTAGACCTTAAGGCCCTGTGGCAATTCGCCCTTGGCTCCCCACTCTGCGGCCCTACTGACCGCCCAGTATAACTGGCACATCTGGGCCCTGGGCTATTGCCCTCTATTCTTACTCGATCTTGTGATTAAAGAAAAGCTGATATAAGAGGCTTTTTACAATAGTTGTTTTGAAATAAAGCAACAATAATTTTTTGCTTCAATTCATGTCTGTGCAAAGGAAAAAATGTTAAATGCAGCTGTGTAAAGAATTTGTTCTTGAATGAGTTTTAAGGAAAATTAATTGATTGGTTTTCAAATGTAGCTTGTACAATATTATACAATAACTGTCCTCAATTTCTTTGTCTATGCATAATCATTTTTGCAAATATAATCTTGATATTAAATTGCCAAAGCTACACTGCATAAGCCTAAAAAACCAATAACGTGGAAAACAGCTTAGACATATCCCCTGTCATTTGAGAATTTTGCTGAATTTGACAACATTTTCCGATTTCTACCAACCAGTAAGCTCTGAAGTAAGAAGCGTGCTCGATGACCGAAAATGATCTGAAAATAAGGCTGAATTTCCACGGAACCGCTTGAAACGGTTCTGTTTGGAACCGTATCAAAGTCGGTACGATTAGGCCTTGCGCTTCCACGAGGCCTGTTCCCTCTGGAACTGATTCTGGCAAAAGTGCCAATGCCCCAATTTCTTTTCTTCGAGCTTTGTTCATTTAGACCTATAATCGAAAAGCAATCAGCATGGCAAACCAAGTTAAAGCTTTTAGCTGTGTGGAAGGAAAAACAGCTCCCCTACTTAGATAACCCTCGACTACAAAACTGCAAAGTTTGATGAGGGAAAAGACTGGGAGACAATTCTTTATTGCAAAAGATTTGACTGCACTGTTTATAGAACAGTACCCAGTTATAGAGAAAAAAGAGAGGATTTTCCAAGATTCTCGTTTTCTATCCGTACCCAATAGGATCCGTTCCACCCGTTTCCGCGAGTACTGTTCCAATCGGGGTCTAATTCGAAAGTATTTACTTAGGCTCGGTGAGCAGTTCCAATTGAAACTGTTCCTTGCGGTCCCTTGGAAACGCAATATGCTATGATGATCGCTTGGAAAAGTTGGAACGTGAATGCATATGCTATGATGACCCATTTCCTTTGATCTATATCGTGCAATGCTATAAAACATTATTTGAAATTAAAATGAAGATTGGGGAAGCTTTTTTCGATTCAAAAATGGATAATTTCAAACTTTACTTCGCCAAATTGTAGGCATGAGCTATAAACACAGATCTTCCATGGTATTATAACAAAGATTTGACATGAACAATGTATTAATCGTGCTTATACATCGTCATTAGGGGTTCTCTGAAATTATAACTTCTCACTTTATGTTGATGACTTTTTCAGCGGCTTTGTATATAATCATTGTTTGACAAACATCGGAATTCTCTCTGCAAGATTTCTGGTAATTTTTGGATGATTTTCAAAACAATAAGTGTTCCCGGGCGATTCTCTTTGATATCAGATCACCTGTCAAGACTCTAATAAAAACTAGCTGTCTGCAACAATTGCAAAGATTATAATAGGTGTCTTGGAACAAGGACGCTCAACTGGCAGCTGCAGAAAAATTGTTCGGTGAAGAAATCCAAAAAGGTATCTGTAGAACGTTCGTTAACTAACTTCCTTGAAAGAAGCATCGTATAAGAGAGGCGGTCATGCCGAAATACTCAAACATAAACCTCGTCGCCTTGCTAGTATCAAATGTAACGCTGTTAGTCGTAAACATAACGATGAACACATTCTTGTGCCGTGGAATTTACAAACTTGGCCTTCATAAAAGCACTGGATATCGCTTCATTTTGAGTTCTTCGATAGGTGATATCTGTATTGGCTCAATTGTGCAACCAATGCTGGTAACGTATTTTGCTGTTAACCTTTTGAGGCCTAATGGGACCGAAAACCTTCGTGATTCATTCGAACCAGTCTATGTTGCTTTTGGTCATTTCTCTGGATCAATGCTACTTGCTATAGCTTTCGACCGATATCTTCACTTGAAATATTTGAATTTTTACAATGCCCACATGACAAAAAGAAAATCTTACTTTTTGATATGTAGCATCGTTGGTCTAAGTGTTACAATGGGAATTTTGTACCTATTTGTAACTCTTAGAGGCTATGTTTCTTACATTACTCTTTTCATGACAGCAGTTTACTCAATCAAGTTCACTCTCATCATAGTCCTATACAAAAAGATGTTTGTAGCTGTTCGAAATCGTGTTGAGACTTCACAGCTAGCAAGTCGATGCCGCCCCGATCTGCAACTTATGAAAAGCATTATCGCTGTCATTCTTTCAATGATGGTTTGTTACTTGCCTTTCATCTCATATAACGTTTACGTCAAAAGCAAATACAGTTATATAAATGAGAGACAATCGACCACTCGTGCTTGGTTGTATCAGTTTGTTTTATTGAAATCGTGCATAAATGCCATCGTATTCATCGCATTTAATCGACAAATGAGGCGTCAATTCATGTCAGTATTTTTCAGAAGACTGCAAAATGCGTAGTGATACTGCTGCATATTTGATTCGAATTTTCTGGGACAAGAAGTACAGAAATTGGAAGTACAGCCAACGTAATGGGCATTCGCTTTCTATTTTACGATAGACAAACCGGGAGAATTAAATTACCAAGACTTAAAAAATTTCCTTCAAGGAAGCATTTTCCGCATCATTTGTTTTACAACAGGTCAGATTCTGATGTTAATATTTATCGATTTTCACTTCAACCTACGCTATCATTGTCAATATTTTTGTGAATTGGTATGAGTGTTTAAAAAGGTTTGAATGGGGTGGATGCGAATTTATTTACACTTTCCGGACAGTAGCGCGACTCTACGTACGTTTGAAAGCAAAGAACTACAAAACTTTCATTATTTACATAAACATTCTAAGGAAGGAACATGTCAATTTTATTTTTGCAATGAGCGTTTGATCATCTGCTATTCTAAGGAGAATCGTTAGTGCTAATGAAGGGATATTACTGAAATACTTTGAACTTGGTCTTATACCTATATCTGACAGTATGTAGTTCCTAACAAATTTGTACGTATTGGATGACTTTATCAATTCAGCGTGTTATTAATGGCGTATAATAATGATATAGAATATAAACATACGTTGTGTGAAGTCTAGGTGTATTGCATGCCTAATGTTACGTTATACTGCTACGTGATGCATTTCTTCTAAACAGAACACAAAATTTGAATCTCCCATTACATTACGCGTTTTAATAACCTGGACACTGATTTTAGCACCAATGTTGATTGCCACGAGCCTTGATATGTCCTTAGTCTTTCTTTTTCATACTCTTGGAAGCTTCACACGTCCCATTAACTTTTCTGGCATATTCACCAAATAATATTCCATAGCCTTTCCATTTCCATACCTTATTCGTTAAATGCTTAGAACTGCGAGTCAAAAATCTTTGATGCCCCTGATTGGATATAATTTTACGTAGACGATCTCGCTTTAGGTAGAAGTAATTCCACGTAACTGACATAGCTGGTCAGTTACGTGGAATTCCAATCAATGAAATTCTTAGAATAATACATGCTATAAGCTATGGCAACAGAAACAATTTATCTTGTATCTTGTTTCCCCTACATAAAAAAAATCAAAATACCATGAACAAGTAGAACTAGATGAAAGAAGCCCACATACAAAAACGTTTTGAAATAGCAAAACTATAAAATTGCGGTTTGAAAAACAGGCCGATGACAAAAAGGTTACGGAGCAAAAACTCATGCACGGTCTTTTCAATCCTCACAGCTTCTGAAGATAGCAATTGACTCATTTCACACTAGCGACAGTTTTGGAGAGTGGGCGTTCTGTTCAATTCAGCTCCTCGCATTGTCAACTGCCAACGTCCTTTCCTTGCTGAAACGATGTTTTCATTAAAACATGCTAATTGAAAACTGTGTTTGTCGGTAGTCAACAGAGGATCAATATTCTCTTGATAGCATAGCTATATGACGTTGCTAGGAAGTTTTACCGTCATTAAACAGAAGGATTTTTATAAACAAGGATGAAAACCTAAAAATTTTGCACTTTCGCAAGCTCAGCCTCTTGGTAAGAGCGATTCCCAGCTGGGATGATGTAATGTATCTTTCAAGCCGAAAACCCACTCTGGAAAATGATCCGTGGGTCGGATCAAATTTTGTGTTGTGCACGCGGTTTGGATGCAAAAATGGCCACATGACTCATCCGCTACGGATCGAAACGGATCGAAAAAAAAGTTGAAATCATTTCAACTTTTTCTTGAATTGTTCCGGTACAGTAGTTTTCTTTTGATCAAAATCAAATTAGAACCCTTTAAACAATAGAGCACTTGCGTCATAAGGTGAGAATCCCGTGGAGATAATGTCAACGTGCATTCCAATCTCAAACGATCCGCGGATCGAAAGAACAACACGATCTGATCCGATCCGCGGATCAGTTTCCGGATTGGGTTTTCGGCTTTATATAAATTTTGAGAGAATTTGGGGGTCATTATTACATTATTACAAAAGAGGTACAATAGTGTATTGTCTTAAACAAACACTGTGAATTGAGATAGGAAGGACGGATAAGCGCAAAATAATTTCAGCAAAAAATAAGCATGTCGAGTCCTCAAAATTTTTCAGCCCAAGCGAAACCTTCTGACGAAGAAACCAACCAACCAAGCTCAAGATTGCCGATTTCTACTGCTTGGAAGCATCTACAACTATACCCAGCAGCAAAAGAAGTGTCGCAACAGCGATGTACACCAACACAGCAAATATTGGCACCTGCATCACCATTATCCGATGTTGCAAGTCCTCCTCCAGCACAAACCCCAACGCCAAGGCCCGTGGAGGAACAAGATGACTATAAAAAACTCTCTGAGGCAGTTGTTGTAACTGTACAAAATTATCCATGTGTCTGGAATACCAAGCTTCGATCGTACAAATACATAAATATGAAAGAGCAGGCTTGGAAGGAAATAGGTTCGAAAATTGGAATGCCGATTGATAAAGTAAAAAACGAGTGGGGAAAGCTAAGGGAGAACTATCGAAAATGTTTAAAAAAAAGGGAATATAAACTTAGATCAGGAGCTGGAGGGGGCAAGCTTCCCTCATGCAGTTTTTTCGAGCAACTCTCTTTTCTAAGAGACACGCTAGTGAATAGAGAAGCTGAAAGCAACATTGTAATCCCAAACGAACAAAATTCTCAAGAAGATGAGACACAAGATGTTATGGAGTTCAATCCTCCAAGTGTAAAAAAAAGGAAGAGCGAAGAGGCATCGAAACTGTCAATTTTGGACACCGCCCTGGTGCAAACTTTGCAGAGGGTAAACCGACCAAAAGACGCTAAAGATGCTGATGAACTTTTCTGTTTGAGTTTGGTAGACAGCCTTAAGGCTTTGCCAAAACAAAAAAACGCTCTAGCAAAAATTAAAATACAACAAGTTTTGTACGAACTGCAATTCGAAAATTAAGCTTGTTTAACTTTGAATAAAGTTTGTAAAACTTGTGTTTTTCAAATCATATATACCGTTTACATTTTCAATTTCAAATCATATATACCGTTTACATTTTTTCCCTATCTATCTGCTGGCTAAAGACATTAAAAGATATAAACTGTTTACTGGTCAAATCTGTCGAATGTTCGATGAATATGATCCCATTGCCAGGAAACTGCACCTATTCAGAGTTAAAATAATCAGTAAAATTATTTCTGACAAGCTTTGCGTCGTCCATATAGTCATTTTAACCCAGGCACCGCGGAGCGTTGAGAAAAGTGGGGGTCTAAAAAAAGTGGAGGGGTGGCTAAAACCGTATAAAAAGAGGCTTTTCTGGTAGTTTGATACTTAATATTTGGCATTTTTTGCAAAAAGCGGGGCTAAAGCCCCCCCAGCCCCCCCTGCTACGGGGTGCCTGAAACCTACTCTTGAAACTGGTACTTAACCTTGATATCCGTAGATGTCTTGACGCCAGTCACCTCTTCAACATCTGTATCTGCTAACCCCATAGGACAGTAGCCATTATCAGCAATCAAAAAATTATGCAAGGCAACAACTGCCTTAGTAAAGGGGGTTACTTTTTTGGGCGAACTTATAATAGGCCTTCGGAATATACGAAACCTCGAAGCCATTATCCCAAAAGCTTTTTCTATCACTCGCCCGGCTCTCGACAGACGATAGTTAAAGATTCGTTTCCTTTCATCTAGAACTCCACAGGCATAGGGTTTTATCATGTTTACTCTCAAAGGGAAAGCCTCATCCCCAAAAATAACAAAGAGTAACTCGATAGTACTGCTTGGGAGAGCTCGTGAGAGTGGCATGTTCAATAAATTATTTGTTAAAGAATGACCAATGCCACTTGCAGAAAAAACACTGCCATCGCTCTCCCTACCAGTATCTCCAATTGAAACCAAAGTAAATTCATATTTGTGAATACAAACTGCTAGCAATACGATGCTATGGGTCTTTTTATAGTTATAAAAGGAGGAGCCAGATCTTGGGGGTGCTTGGGTGACAACATGTTTGCCGTTAATCGCAGTTGCAGTTGGGAAAGTCCCAATCAATCTCAAAACCTTCGGAAATCTTGAGCCATTCATCATGTGTGTCCGGTGCCTTTATAACCCCTCCCCCTTGCATGCTCTCCCATATAGCTTTGCAAGTCTCTTTTATTATCCGTGAAACTGTTGTAATACCAACACGCAGCGCAACACGATAGCTACCTGCAAATGTCACATGCGAATCACGAGTCACAAGATAACTTTAGATTGGGCATACAGCTGTAAATTTGCAACATGCTTTTTCAAAATCCCGGCACGAAATGATTTTTATGTCATTACGTTTATCTTAGAAGATCATCTATAAAAAGGTATAATTATGATGTTTATAACAAAAAAACCATATAAGTTTGAGCCCTTGTATTGTATTACTAAAATGTAAGACATAGCACAAAATTTGCTTTTAATATTGACTCATCAAACCGAGCTCATTTATCAAAATAAAGAATTTCTATATTTCATTTTGTCTGATTAATCTTTTTTCTCTGGAAATGCTTAAACAATTTTTATTTCTATAGAGAAGAACACTTCTGTCTCACAAAAATGCTATTTTCGAGTTTCTGTGTGTTTTGTCTCATTAAATTCAATGTCGTATAAAAATTTTTCAAACTGTAACAATCTCCCCAAACTATATTATGAATAACTACCAATAAAAAAACAATATATATCAAAAAAACTCAAAAAGTATATATCTCAAAGAAACTATACTACTTAAACCTGGCTTCCAAATAACTTTAAAGCATCGGCGAAACATCGGCGAAACATCGGCGATGCATCGCCGACAGGCCGACGACGAATGAAGTTCTAATGGAAACACTCTCACAAGGTTGTCGCTGACCTGTAGGCGATGCCCTGGGAAAGCTGAATCTAGTTCAACTTTTTCTTTTGGGGACCTCGGTGATGACTTAAAATTTATTGGAAAAGTACATCGCTGACATGTCAGCGATATCTTGCGGACACATGACCTGCACTAGCCAATGAAAATCATTATTAATCGCCATGGTAACTAGTTACACGCAGTTTGTTGTCAGTGCGGAGGATGGCGCAGCAACAGGATAATATCGATGATGAAACTCTTATGAATGAGATTCAAAACTATCCAGTTTTCTACGATAAAATCTTAGGGAATACAAAGACTACCCCCCCCCTCCGACTTGGAAGAGCTTTCTCCGTCGTGCAGCTTCCGTGCATGAAACAATATGTGGAACTGGCCAGATACCTGGCGTTAGTGATACATTTTCCTAATCAAGAACCTGTTTTCGTTTTGAATGACGCTTTTCCTCCAACCTTCTTCACATAGGAGTAAAAAACAAAGTTTGAGTACACATTGTGTTTGAAGCAAGAAACGCTTGTTGACTGCAGCTACCATTTTGATAATTTACCCGCCAAAAGGTCCCCTAGGAGAGGAGGCAGAGATGATTCGATTTTGCTGAAGATAATCCAATTCAGCTTGTCAGGAGAAAACAGTTCAAATAAGCCTTTAAAAAGTGTCTGCAGAAATTATTTCAGCCTTTGCATTGCATGTATTTCATATTCACTCAAAATTTAAGCTCCAGCGCAAGCAAGTGAGCATCCTTACCTAAAATCTATCAAAAATATTTTGAGACCAGTGATGATTTCAAAGCAACTTTGTCGAAAGTAATCTACCAGAATGGTACTTAATCCCCTTTCTCTGTCCAGCGATGTTGTTGAGATCTTGTTACTGTATACGATCTTTGCATGCGCGATTCACGACTATTTCACAATATCTCAACAAAAAACAATGCTTTGAGGGGGCGGAGGTGGAAAGTGCAAGATTTACTCAAAATATGGAAAGGTCTACAAAATCATTTCTAGTAGAATACGCCAAACAGACGTTGGCGTTATTGTGCGGCATTAGTGACTGGTCGTATTTAGTCGTTGTGATTTGGTCATATCAGTCAGAAGAGATACGATCACTGTGTTTCAAATGTTATTACCTCTTACTAAAGTTTTGAAGTTTCTGAGATTTTAGTTGGGCCCCAATTACAATGAAACCCCTTCTAGAAGAGTTCTTTTTCATCTTTCCGAAAAGGGTCAAAGAAAGACGTATGAAAGTTGCGAGCGTCCTCATGAAAAAACAGTCTAAGACGTCTAAAACAGTCTAAAACAGTAAAAGACGTTTAAAATAGGGGGTCCTCACGAAAAACAATCCTTCCTTAGTACCTTCCTTAAAACTCTTATTATGAAATTTTAAGTAAAACAAAATAATTCACAATTAACAAAAGACCAGGCCAAGTAGAATTCAAAGAAATTCCCATCATGGCGAAAATTCCCCTGGTTAGTTATAAATTTTTCAAATTTATAAGATTTTTCAAAATTAGAAGAATTTTCTTTCCAGAAAAATTCGATTTACTGTATTTAAGTTAACTTCGGCCCTTACAACGGTAGAGCGCTGCCAGTGCTAATAGAAAAAACTGATCAATCCTCTAATAAATTCCTAAAAAAAACATTAAAATTCCACAATATTCCTTATCTGTAAATCTTGAAACTCCAGAAAACCCTTGATCGAGCGTGTGTCGTTTTGATTATGGTTTTGAAACTCAATAAAAGTACCAAGTTACCTTAATATAATTTGTTCCATAACACACGGGATCTCATAAAATCGTTAGCACAAAATGCCAGTGACCAAAAACATCAAGTAAAACGGTTATGGAAATTGAAACTGAAGTGGCAAAATATGTTACGATAAAAATAAAAGTAAAAAAAGGCCAAAATTTGACCAAATTTCTTCCCTCAATTGAGAAATATCAATAATATCTTCATAAAAAACTAACCAAGTAGAAAGCATCATCCCTCGATGTATGTTATAGCGATTTCTGTAGCATGACCTCGCGGCTTCGTTTTAACGAACTTTCTACGGCTTGGTTATAAACGAACTTCTGATGGCCTTTTTACATAGATGATCTTCTGATGGCTTCAAGGAGATCAATGTCTTGATGCAGTCTCTGGCAGAATACTTATGTGAAGGAAAGTGAATTGCTTTTGCTTTTAACCATAGTAACGCAGGTACTCTCACACCTGTTGTTCTTGGCTCGGATAGGAAATTTTTAAGAACCTGACAGAATATTCCATTTGCGCATGTCGTATCTTCCTTTACAATTGTAAGCAAGGCCGTATGAAAAAACTCTGCACAATGCCATCTGTTTTCTTTTAGTATCTAACATTTACCTCCCATTTTGCAGGAGATAAAACTTGCACGAGGATATAAATAATTCAACAAGCAGTTTTCTCGAATTTCATCCAATAAAAAAGAACCTTTATCTATATTATAAATCATAAATTTCTTATCAATCATTACATAAAGTCACGTTATTCCACTATTAACAAAGGATCTTCGGAAGTCTTCACAAAGGATCTTTTAAAATACTGTGCTCTATGCCAATTTGAACAACGCACAGGGATATAAAAATGCCTCCTATTTCCTCAGCAACCCAATTCTCAACAAACACGAGACCTGACGACATGATAAGTGACGAAAAAATATTTCCTTCCGTACATTTTTCAATTCAATACTCAGGCCAAAAAAAGACTGATCGTTTAAAATTAATGACGTGTCACAGGTGCTTGGCAAAACATCATTTAACCTATGTGAGAATTGAAAAATTACACAAAGGCTATATGTTGCTAACTATTTTAGGCAGATTCCTTTCATCGGAAAACCAAAACATTTAGAAAAATGTAGGTTGACCTTGCAAATTTTTTTTCTTTTGAAACACACAGTTGACCAAATCACTCGCCTGAAGAACCAGCTCAACCTAATACTGAATACCTGAATTACCGATTCCTCGCTAGTAAAAAATTCATTGTCATCACATGGTGAAGTTTACAACGAGCCTTTTACTTGCTAATGTGATATGGAATACAAGGCAAGCTTAGCCTCTTATAGGAATTGCAAATGGCTGCGGGAATGTGCTTGCCAGAAGATTTTTATGACTCGTTATTGTTATCCTAACGATGAAAGCTTTGTCAGGCAGTGAGCTGGATCTTTTGGAGACATTTTCATTCCATACCTTATCCTTCAATGTCTCCATTCAAGGAAGGAAACTGCAAAAGGCAAAGTAAACTCTTACAATATTTTCCCAGAAATTAGACATAATTGGCAGAAACATCCCTCAGTTTTAAGTATAAAGACCTCTTTGAAACATAATTAGCAGTAAGAGCACGGGAAAATATGTCAAGCTAGCAAGCCTTGAATCTGGCAAATAATTTCTGTGAGAACTTGAAACCCATATCACGATAATGTAAGCTTCAAAAACGTAAATTTCTATTTGCAATTCAAACCTGCAGCATTGTAAAACGCATGAAATAAGTTTTGTCAACTTGAAACAAAACTGGCTCCAACTATTGTATGCTCTAACATTAAACTTTAGACATCAATTATGATGGTCTGGAAGTGTTTAAAAGGAATAATAAATAAATCTGACGTCATGAACACTTCTATCAGCTGCCACTTGTGTGTCGAAGCGGGACAATTTAAATTACAATTATGTTTTGAACGCAAAACCCAACATGGTAATATTTACAGCTTTATTTTACGTATTTGAATTCACAGTGTAGATTTCGTACAAAGAAAACAAAATGATTTAAAAATATAGAATACGTCTTATCCCCTCGATGAACCCTTCCAGATCAAATCTCCGTCCTTCTTCTTAATACCAAATGTATCTGACCTGTCCAGGTGTTTAAAAATAACCTGCTTAACCTTAGTTTCATAGGGTAAGTGCTTTTGCAAGCTTTTGTACGAGCTCTGTTTATGCTTTTTGTACATGCTTTTGTGGCAAGGTACATTTTGTCCGTTTCACTTGTTTGCTATTTTGTCTGTATATTTTTTACCATGGCGGTTAGTGGGTGGTGGTACCCACTCAGTAGTCTGTTGTAAAGAAAACAGGATACAATTACCATTAGGGCACAGAGGGCTCCAGGCGACACTATACGGAGTTTGAAGTATGCCACGGTACGCGTAGTATGATGACGTCATGTCTATTTCTGCTACGGCCAGCAAAGAATCTTGCGTTTGTAGCTTTGAATTTCAATTTTTGACAGTGATAAAATCATTATTATTATAATTCCTTCTATGATTAAAGTTGGGTATTCACAATGGCTAGAACAAAAGCATGGCCAAGTATGTACAAAGCGCATTTAAAATATAAAAGAAATAAACGAATATTATAAAAACACTATCTCTTATATAAACATTTTAAAAATTTTGCTTCCAGTGTTTTTTGGAAAACTCCCAAAAAGACTGGAGTCTTAATTTTTGTTGATTTCTTTGTCCATACTCTAAGGGCCCTTTCCTGTATCCTGTTTAATTTTTTGTCTATATTCCTGAAGCGGAACGTAAAATCAAAGAACAGTAGCTCAACTGTGACATTACAAAAGTTTTCATCATCTTTTCTATATTCTAGTTTCATAAAAATCGAAATTCGAGATAAAACACGCAGTTTTTGGCTTGCTTTTAGGCAAAGCGATTGCATATGAGTTTAAAGCTAAGTTTTGTATCTAGCGTTTATTCAAAGCAATGTTTCTGAATCACTCTTCCTATTACAGCCTCTCCAATATGTAATTTCATTTAGAAATTTTTCACATCAAATGTCATAAGATGAAACTTTTCCACATTCTGTTTCAAGTAATTTTCAGGATACCAAGTTGATGAATGAATGGCAAATTTTAGACCTTAGAGTCGCGTATGTAAATTTTTGTATCTTCTGCTTAGTTGCAATTTTTCGGTTCTATTCACCAGGAGAAATATATTCAAAATTATGTTAAATAGGAGAGGTCCTAAAATAGACCCTTGTGGAACTCTTTTTTGAACTTTTTCCATGCGCTAAACGAACCATCAATTTTCACTCGCTGTCTCCTTTGCGAAAAAAAGCTATGAAAAAGGGCATATTTGCTAAATCCATTGACATGAAATTATCGCTATTAATAATTCGTGGTCTTTGCAGTCAAAATCTTCGGAGAGATCTATCAATAAAGCACCTGCATAGCCTCTTCTATCCAAGGTCATTTTACAGGTTTTCAAAGTCTTAAGAAAGTATGCTTTGTGAAATAGCCTTTTCTGAAGGCGCAAAGCAGAGACGACAAAAAATGTATGGCAAATTGCACTAACTGGTCACACAAAAGTCGTTCAAATTTTTTGTGGCAGATGATAAGACAGTAATTGGCTTATAACTATTTCTACATAAAGCAACATTCCTTTTGAAAAACGAAAATACATCTCCATCTTTAAGCTCGCTAGGAAAGCAACTTTCTGCTAAACACCAATTGAAAGAGTTCGTCAGATAAGTTAAAAAATAAACATAAACGATTTTAGCTAGGAAACTCTCTAATGGAGTCGCTTTCTTGGGATCTAGCAGGTTTAGTCGAGTTCTTGCATTCTTTACTGGTACGGGTGTAAATTTAAACATCTGAGAAGTTTCTTTTTTTCTTTCAACGCATGGATTTAAATTGAATTTGATCACCAGGATATCATTTGAATCGTCAATACTATCAGTTGACAACAAATTCAAATCAGCTTAGAAATATCAGCTTTATCAAAAGAGCTCGTAATGTTAACAAAGTAATGGTAAAAATTTCAGCAACAGCCTTATCATCAGTTATAACTTTGTCATGTTCCAGCAGAAGACATCTGAACTACACCACAAAAACAGGGTTTTCACCTTTCCAAAACTCCCGGCTGTCACCGAGATTTTAAGTCCAAGATTTCGGTAAAAATTGCGTTTAGTTTCCCGTAGAAGTTAAACACACCTGCTTTTTTGCTTATTGAAAGTCGTGTTGTTTTCTTCAGTCCTTCTTCAGTCTTCAGTCTTCGTTAGTGCTTGTGTCACAAAATGTCAGTCCTTTGCTCTGACCTTTTTTTCTTGTTAGGGGCATTTGTTCATTTGGCGCATTTTTAAGCACAGAGCAAAGATCTCAACATGTTACTGCCATTAAATTTTACTTTGACACACTTTTGTTCACACTTATGTCGTTTGATACACCATTTAGAGTTAGAGACAAGGAACATACTTTCCATTGAAAATCAATTTTGTACAACATGTCTTATACATCAGTGAGAAGATTACTCGATTATCAACAGCAAATAGCTTTCACAAATTCTTACTCTGAGAAGACTCACCAAAGTGGAATGAAATGTCTTGAAAAGGACTCGATGGAGAAAACAAATAATAACCATTTTTATTATTCTATCTTTAGGTTATTCATGTGGATGTTACCTCTATTCATTAGAATCTGGAATGTAATTTCATTTCCAATTTTAATCGGTTTCTTATCTTTCACGATTGCAAATGATTGGTGCCAATGGGTCTACCAATAAAAAATAAGTAATGCATAAATTAGCATTAAAAGGAAGCATCAAAATACGGCACAAACTAGATTATTACGATGGTGAATATGCAAGAGCAAACATCTTTGAGCACTGGCCAAACTTACCGAGCATTCCAACGAACATCGGAAAATTACCAAGATTATGATCAGGGCAAAAGTTTTGATTAAAGATATAACTAAAGTATAAAAACTTGATCTAGACGAGAGAGAAATAAAGCCAGTGAAGATAGGGCTAAAAAATCTCTATCCAAAATAAAAACAAGTACAATGATTTAACAGGAAACAAATTGAAGAAAAATAAAAAAAGAACGGTATACGTTCACACAAGGTATACGTACCTCTGAACACGGCTTTGTTGATAATGAATGTTCCTTATAAAGACAGATCGTAAACCAGTAAGCAGCTGCAGAAAGACATCCATTGGCCACTGCTGTCACCTTCGTTTCAGCTTTTAGCGGGGCCTTGAGGAGATTTACTTCCTGAAAATATCAAATTAAAAAGGATTACGTTATACTCTTCCAACAATGATTTATATAGAGAATTTTTCGTAAATCTTGCGCAAGAATTTAACAAACAGGAATAGCTTTTAGCATTTTTGCAAATGCTTTCAGCAATTTAACTAAATGAAATCAACTTAAGAGATTCTAAATGAATACGCAGGATGTTTTGTTAAAAACTCTTCTGATACATGATAATATAGTTAGCAAATAAATTTAGTACGAGAATGAAAATATAATAGTTTGACGGTTAAAAATTTCAACAATCAAACTATTATATTTTCATGTGGTACTAAATTTTTTTGCTAACTATATTATCGTTATTCTGGATGAAGTACCACACGCAACGTACATATTTAATTGGATTCTTCTGATACAGTACGTATCAAACAATTTATACACATTCAAAAAGATTATTTACTAAAGCTTCGAGGCGCCGTCTGTTAATTTCATGAATAAACCGTAACATAGGCATTATCTAACATCTTGCAAACGCGTTTATACGGCTCTCTCAAACGTCACTCTCGAAACTCGAACGTCACTCTGAAAATCACTCTTATCCATGAAAATCAAGAACTTACGTCATCAGTTTTTCCTGACGTCAGATCAACAAAAAACATGTCGAATTCATCTGTTAGTCTCTTGTGAACTAGATCTGTCATATTTACATCTGGATGTGTCGAAACCTTTAAAGGTAAACAGAATGCATTTACTGAACATTTTACGCAATAAAATAGCCACGTCCAACAAAAATGCAGCACATAAGCGAGGCTATTAGGGACAATATCTTCGAGAATTTCAAACTTGAGAAATGATGAAAACGAAAGTAATTTTTTTTCAACAAAGTTGTCAAATACTGATTCGAAAATAGTATCTTTGCAATGCAAATCGTTAAGATTCTTTAAAAAAATTGTTCATTCGAAAACGCTGTGCTTTATCAAACTCATAGATAAATGTAGTACATCTCAAAACACGATAAAAAGTGAAAACTAGAAATAAAAGAGATGTTGACTGGGTATTTAAAGATGTTTTCAAAGCAGTGGGCAGAAAAAGCCTACGAATAGCAAAAAGTGCAAAATGTAAATACTTAAATGTCATTTAGAGCTTCATTCTCTTCGAGGCAGCAGGCAGTTTAAGATTGATTGCCATTGAAGTAATCAAAACTTCGAAAAGTTCTCACACGAAGTAATCACAATTGTTTGATTAAAACAAGGTCAAATAACATGATTCCGAGCAACATGCTGATTGCGCAAATATAGGCCTACTCCATCAGCCAAAAAGAGCGATTAAACATGAAACCCAAGCTCTTGAATCGATCTCTGATAAAGCATCAGGCGATACTTCAAGTTTTGTTGGGATGGATATCCTTTTTGCTTTTATTCTTCTTGAAAATGTTAAAATCGCTATAGAAAAGATCATTTTTTTGTAAAAGGCTTTGAAATAGAATTGTGTACTGGTTATGAGTGCAGAATACATGCTCCCGTCGATTCAAATCAAAGCCCAATCAAGATCTAGCAGTTTTGGAATCTATCTACATGAACATGAGAAACCGCTTTTGTGTAGAAAGAAGGAGTTCGTTTTCACCTAAGGACTCCATTGATAACATTTTCGGCACTGATTGGGCCACCTCAACAGTCATGTGCTCGCTTTTCTGATTGGCCTATCTCGATCCACAACTGGGTATGCAGATTTTTCGATCTATGTTCTGATGGTTTATACTCTGAAGAGTCTCAGACGAAAAGCTTCAGTATGACTCAAAATGTTTGCTTTTTAAAAACCATTTATTTCACAAAAATTTTAAATTCTATATCACAAAAAGATTTTTTTATATTTGCTTGACTGAGCTTTGAAAATATTTCACCTTTACCCTTGGAATTAAAAAGCATACTTGTCGATAGAATCCGCACTTTTTGATTATGGCTAGCTTTTTCCAAAATATAACTAAGATGTCATAGGAAAGTTCAATCAAAATATTTTTGCTGACGGGTTTAGCAGCAGAGAGAGACAGTACAGTTAATATCAATGTTGCAACGCAAGCAAAAATAAGAAGAAAAAGCAAACGTTGGCAGTTTTTCAGATTCAATATTCAAATCGAGTCCTGAGAGGAAGATTATTTGCTCATATTTTGTTAGACAGCAAAGAGCCGCAAAATAAATATTCAATGCAGCCATAAGAGGCAATAAAAAATTTATTTTTGAACTCGTCTGAAAATGAGGATGTAGGTTGAATTGAGGATATAGGTTGAATTGAGGATATAGGTTGTGTCGAATGAAATGTTGCCTACATTTGAACCGGGCTTAACTGTATGGACATTATTAATGTCTTACCTGGTATTCTTCCATATGCTTTCCAATATCGAATCCTATTGTCACGTCTGTGCTACTTAGAAAATTGTCATTGTCAATGGCCGATGAATGCACTAGACAGCCGTGCACATGGAGCCCTTCTGGAATTAATACACCGTTCGTCTTTAGAAGAAATATTCTACAAAGAAGAAAGGCGATAAAAGAGTTGAGAAAACTGGAAGCCTTCTTCAATAGAAAGCGGAAAAACAGTTTTCATTTCATGTTTGAAATGATTTCATCACCAAGCACCGCAACAATCTTCGAAGCATTTTGATTCAATTCCAGACTTTCCATTCTTCATAATTTTTGCATTACTTACTGTCCTGCATCAAAGTCTGCAACGACGTAAAGCTTAGACAGGTCTAACACTTTTTATATTAAGAAACCTGGAACATAGCTTTGCTTCAGAAAAATACCAACCATGCAGATGGCCTAATAAGGTTAAAATACTTGAATCATTACAGTATTCACCATATTTATGAAAAGGAAACTTGTATCGTAACTTCAAACAAAGGAAAATCTATAAAGAGATATTTCTCCATCTAACACACAAGCTTGGTAAAATACAAGATTATTACAATCCATCAGATTTAGCATTGTTTCAGAGTGAATACAACGCAATATCTCTTGCCGAACCCTGTTGCACTGTGACGTACTACCCTCAGACTCGCTCCCAGACCTTTGGCTGGTCAGTAATGGCTACGAAAAGTAGTGATAATGTAGACACCCATTAGTGATAATGTAGACACCTACAGCTGGTTTATGCGTGATACGTTGGGGTCTGTTTGATTATTCGAAGATTAAACCAAGTAAACACACATAACATACTTCATTATAAATATAAAACAGTTGCTGTAGTTAACTTTTCCAACCAATTAAAGTTTTACGAAAAATTAAAAAAATTCAACAAATCAGACTACTGTGTAACTCTGAGCTGCAGCTAATCGTGAATCTTCTTATTAGGCATGAAATTCGGAGTTACAAGATAGAACCATCCTGGTCCATACATCAAAGTGTGTCCGTAGTTCGCACAGGTAGATAAAATTATTCGAAAAACTCTTCATTGCTACTGAGATCTCAAGTGTGGCGTCACAAGAAAAATCTATTTTCTTCAGAATTTCTAAATTTTGACCACATAACCTAAAAGAACACCACGAACTACTTCAAAATCAGTTAAATACAAAATCAGGTAAATGAAAGGGTAATGGAGTTTGCTACCGGTTTTCCATTATTTTGGCGCTGCTAATAAAGGTATGAACAGAGACCAAATTACAAGTGTTCATGTGGCCATATCTCAGTCAATTTGTAACACATTAAGCTGATTTTGTAAATTTAGAGGTACTTCATGAAAAATAAATTGCTTCACGTCATCAATCAAGAAGTCTGTTCTAATCGTTCTCAATCTAAGAGAGTGATTTGCATAGTTCTGGCTTTGTATTTAAAATCTTCTGTTCTTAAAAATAGCGTGAAATTTATTGTTTTGCTGAAACAGTACCTTGCCATGATAATGTCGTCGAAGTAGCGTTGGTAGATGAGCCCACTTTCCTCGATTATCTCAGTGACAATGATGTCATATTTCTTGCCATCCATGACAACTACAAGAAATGTTCGATTTTAGCATCGGTTTGAATCAAATTAAATTTGAGATTCTTGAAATATTGGGCAGAAACGTATAAATGGGGAAAGCTATAAATAGAAGGTAAATGGTTTGTACTGCCTTTCAAATAATGTTTGCCACGCACGTATAGTAGCCCTTAGTTGGTATTCGTGTTAGCAATGTGCTATTTCGTCGTTCAATCAAAAGTCAAAGATAGGGAAAGCATAATTTCGATGATGGCAACAGAAATGATTGTGAAAAGTTTTATGATGGAATAAAACTTAAAAGACAATTTTGAAATAAGCAAACATTATTTGTATACTAAAACTTTCTGCATGACACTACTTAGAGTAAGAAACATCAGAATAGAGTTTTAAAATCATCCTTAACCCACAAAAAGCCTTTTTCTAGAGCCTTTTGTGTTTTATTCTTTCATATTTTTCTTAAGAATCACTAAAACTACAGCTCATTCGTTGGAAATAGTAAAAAATTCCAGTTCTCAAAGTATTCACCTTCTGGTAAAGATGATCTCAAAAACCTCATCCGATCTAGCTGCATACCATTCTCTTCTGCTATTTTTACCAAAAATACTTCCGCTTCTTGATTCGAAACGACCACATCTAACTGTATTTTCTCTGCAAAACAAAACAAGAAGGTAATACAGGGGGAAATAGACAAAAACCTGTTGCAATACAAAAGTGTCATATTCTTAATAACAGTCACTTTCTGACCCTCCTCTCCTCTGCTAAATGATCCTCTGCTAAATGAAAACAGAACGACACCACTTCTTTCAGTTAGAAAGACAAATGAACCGCAAGTCAAGTAGGGAAAATATAAAGTAAGCAAAAGTTGCAATTTGTGGATTGCAAGATTACCAGAAATCTTTATGAGAAAACTGGAGATGATTTTTGAAATTGCAAGAATTTTTAGATTATTCGTTTGAATGAAAAGAGGGCTCTCAAATAAAAGAAAACACTTTTACCTGATTTTGGTACAAAGAGCGGCAACAAAGACACGTCCTCAAATAAAAATAACACATTTACAGTGGTATCAAGTTCATTGATCTTATTACTGATTGCATCAGATATAGCATTTCGATAGGTCTGGCAATAGTTTAAATCGTTTATCCTGGATACCCTCCTCCTGTTCACTGGAATACGTGCCATTAACCTGTCAGTATCATGTAGAATCGCGCTTTCTTGGAAATGCGACACTTGCAAAATTTCACAAGTGCAGTTAGTAATTGTCTGATGACATAGTTTTGAATTTGTATTGAAATTGGTAGCTGAAGTGTCAAGTTTTGCTCTGTTATTTTCAGTTTTACCGTTTCTACTTAAATGCTGAAATCCTTCAGTACACGGTCTTGTTAGCGGTGAATTTGGCACATTTGTCTCCCCGCCATTTCTACTTTCTTCAGTAAGAAACATTTCACTATGGTTATCCGCAGGGAAATAGGCATGATTTCCTGAAAGTTCAGTCAACGTCATTCTAGGAAATGCATCGGTGTACTTTATCAACAAAGGCACACTCTGCTTCTTGCTGCAACAAGGACCGTGGATTTTCCTGGTGATAATTTGCAAATATTGATCACTACAACAGCACATCACCTCAATGGATGAACCTAAAAATGAACGGTTAGCACAATCACGTCTCAGGAATACATAATATTTTGTACAAAAGCGTTCACATGACACAACGATTGTATTGAAGACCCCCTTAGGATGTCCTGTAGCTGCAATTATGCTGCCGAAAATCAACAGTTTCCAATAAAATGATACCAAAACCAAGCTAGTTGAAACGTTTCTCAAAACAAGAATAACTCGGACAGCACATAAGCTCTAAAAAAGTTATAATAAGGGAGGAGAATTCTGTTGACATTTTTGAAAATTTTGTGTTATGCTGTACCAAGACTTATGGCAAGCATTTTAAATACAAACATATATGATTTGTAACGATTACATTTTGTTCTGAGATAAATTTTACAGATAGAGTTTTACGTGAAAAATCTTCTGTGACTTTTATTGACACAAAAATTAATTGAGATTTGCTGATGAAGACGCAGCGATGGATCATGAAAGTGAGCAGTAGGTTATAGCTCAAGAAAGGACTGGTATAGCGGTTTAGATAGCTTATAGACTAATGAGTATTTAACGACGTCACCAAATACCAAGGTTGAATGAGATTTTGCGATAAATGTAAAAAGTATTCGTCAATCAAGAACTCTATTTTCTTCCTTTCAAAACCTACCTGTGTAGACAACTATCTTAGAAAGAACTATTACTGTGTCAATCCGCTATCACTTTCATTCAAACCCTACAAATCTTTTGGTATAGCCCTATGTAGAATCGATTACAGGGTAATTTTGCCTGCTGTCACTTCACCAGACCAAGACGTTTTTTAAGAAGCATTTTCAGATAAACAGAAGAGCTTCATTTCAATGATATACATTACATATAAAATGATATAGCTTATAAGATAAAATGACAATAAATTTTTTAACTTACCACTCAGGATATTGTAGTCCTTCATTTCAAAATTATTCTCATGATGGATGTTGAAAATCGCCTGCTCCCAACAAGACTCTTCGCTCGGTGATGAACTTATGCTGATTTCGTCATCAAGATGCAACTCGAACCAGACTGCAACAGCATCTAAAGTACCGTTATCGATAACCGGGATGTTTATTATGCGAACATACTCTGTAAGTTTGGTGATTTCCTGGGCGAAAAAAGGCAATTTTTCCAGGCGCTTGCGCTCACATAATACTTAAGAAGAGGACAACCAAACTGATCAAGCGCCACAAAAAGTACAGATTAAGTAAAGAGATTAAGAAAGAGGTCACTGAGACACCTTAACAGAAAATACTATAGGCTATCTGACTCTCTCTGTTACATGGCTCTAAAAGCTTATACCGTAGATAGGTTTAGGAAGGCACTGATAGCGGTTGATATCAAATTAGACAAAAGTATAGGAAGGCACTGGTATCAGCTGATATTAAACTAGACAGAAATATTGGAAATCGCTGATATCGGCTGGTATCTGTTTAAACAAATGTATTGGAAGGCACTGATGTAGACAAATATTGAAAGGCACTGATATTAGCTGATATGAAATTAGACAAAAGTATAGGAAGGCACTGGTATCAGCTGATATTAAACTAGACAGAAATAGCATAGCGGTCAAATCTTTGATTGGCTGATAGCTCTGTTCGCTACCATATTCTAAGCCAATCAGCACACAGGATTTTCACAACAAAATCGCTTCGCAGCTAGAATTAGGCCCATTTTCGCCATTTCAGCATGTTTTTACCACATTGTCTACAAAAAACATTGCACGCCTCTACAAAGCAAATTTCCACTTTATTTTTTGTCCAGTTCATCATCATGCGTTGCTATTTAACCTATATTGGCGCCACTGTTCGATCGCAAAGAATAATATAAAAAAACACCTCGCAAATGAACGATAAATTTCGTGTCGAGATTCAGGTAAATTACGTTTTTACCTCTCCCCACCCAAAACGCTTTAAAATTTCACATTTAGACAAAATCAATTTTATACTTACCTTAAATCTAGGAATGGTTCATAATCCCGTCAAAGATGCACTCACTGTTCAGCCTTAGATTCGTGGTGATCGCCAATGTAATTATAACAACGGCACGAAGGCTTTCATATTAACCCTCGAAATCAATAGATGTATCTTTGTCCTCTGGAATCAAAATTGATTTCATAAAAGTGAAAAAATTTCAGCAATAGCCCAAAGTAATTTCAATCATGACGAAAACGCAAATATCAGCTCATATCAGCGCAAAAATTGACGAAAACGCACCCTCGAAATTTTCCCGCCGTTTTCAAATTTTATTAGATCCCAGTCTTACCGCGTGAGTGTATACGCCATTTTCATCACATAAAATTAGTAATAATGGTCAATTGTCTTTGGACAATCATGATTGAAATTACTTTGGGCTATTGCTGAAATTTTTTCACTTTTATGAAATCAATTTTGATTCCAGAGGACAAAGATACATCTATTGATTTCGAGGGTTAATATGAAAGCCTTCGTGCCGTTGTTATAATTACATTGGCGATCACCACGAATCTAAGGCTGAACAGTGATTGCATCTTTGACGGGATTATGAACCATTCCTAGATTTAAGGTAAGTATAAAATTGATTTTGTCTAAATGTGAAATTCTAAAGCGTTTTGGGTGGGGAGAGGTAAAAACGTAATTCACCTGAATCTCGACACGAAATTGATCGTTCATTTGCGAGGTGTTTTTTTATATTATTCTTTGCGATCGAACAGTGGCGCCAATATAGGTTAAATAGCAACGCATGATGATGAACTGGACAAAAAATAAAGTGGAAATTTGCTTTGTAGAGGCGTGCAATGTTTTTTGTAGACAATGTGGAAAAAACACGCTGAAATGGCGAAAATGGGCCTAATTCTAGCTGCGAAGCGATTTTGTTGTGAAAATCATGGTGCTGATTGGCTTTGAACATGGTAGCGAACAGAGCTCTCAGCCAATCAAAGATTTGACCGCTATGCTGACAGAAATATTAGAAATCGCTGATATCAGCTGGTATCAGTTTAGACAAATATATTGGAAGGCACTGATAACAGCTTATATAAAATACGACAAATATTGTAAGGCACTGATACTAGATGATATGAAATTATACTGACGTATTGGAAGGCACTGAGATCAGCCATCAAGACACTGATATCAAATTAGACGGAGGATTTGAAGGCACTGAAATCAGCTTATATCAGATTAAACAAAAGTATAGGAAGGCACTGATATCAGCTCATATCAAGCTAGACAGAAATACTGGAAGGCACAGATGTCAGCTGATATCAAATAAGATGGAAGCATAGAAAGGGAATGATATCAGCTGATATCAAACGAAACCAAGGACAAATGTCTTTGCTAAATTACATTATGATGTCGAAAATATACATGTCCAGGCATAAAATAAGACTACAAGTGGTCTCCATAGTATCTAGGTGTGAGCTTCCTCAGCTGGCAACTGTTAATTAGGTTACTGGTATATTTGCATTTTATGAGTTTTTGCAAACAACAGCCTGTGGAAAAAAGTTGAGAGCCTCATATGCTTTCACAAAGAGGCCTAGAGTCGATCCAAAAGAAAAGACAATGCACATAACAATGGCAAACATGTTTGTACATCTTTTCAAACACTTTAGGTACTTAGAAATTACCCAGGCAGCCTGTCCTTTATATAAGATAGACCAATAACTTAATAAAGCAACAGTATCAGCGTCAGCTTTAGCACTGTCAAAATTCCAAAGAAATTGCTTATTGAAAGCGAAGAAGTCTGTATCAATCAGGCATGTAAAAGCTAGGGGCAGGATATGTGGGGGGAGGGGGTTGTTAAACACACCCCTAACTTTTGAAATACTTGGAATAAGTTGAAAAATTTGAAAGTAATCAAAAGGTGTAAGCTGTAGTTCTAATGCTTGAATACGTTAGAGAATAATAAAACATAACACTAATGATAAGATTTCCCAGATTTCTGCCAATTCAGAAAGGAAATGACAGAATGAATTGCAAAGGCTCTGTAAGTAAAGGCTCAAGTACAAAGTTACAATTGGCTCATTGTCAGTCAGAGATTTCACACCCTTCAACCTTCCAACAATATCCATCAATTTATGTCTCTGGTATAAACAGTTACTTGGTCTGAAAGATCTGCAGATTATCAATATCAAATATGTAAAACAATATATGTAACTGCTGCCAATGCGAAATAGAAAATAAATACACTCAAAAAGCATACAGGTCAAGGTAAGCTAATATGATAAACAAACATCAAGGCAGAAAACTATAAACTCTTGCAATCACTTTTTGGCTCATTCAGTTTTGCGCATTCACAAAATCAGTAAAAACTATACAAAGGTACTTAACCAACACATCTCTTTTTGTAGACTGTAACATTTCTTCAAGAGTTATATCCTTTATTAATACTTATACAACCCATTCATATGATGGCAAATTTTAACACAATCAACAGCAGTTAAACGTTATAGCGAAGAGTAAGAAAATCAAATTATAACACAATCATGGATACACATGACTTTGCATGTGCATACTTAAAAGCATAAATCACCAGAATTATCAATGTGAATGAAAACAAAAGGACACAAAAACTCTACTTACTTCTAGATTGCTAAAATTGATTTCCAACAACTCTATTGGCTTGCTTAAACATCTGTATCCATTTTTTAAATATTTCAAATTTTCAGTTGTATAAGGTTGTTCTGTTGCATCTTCGGGATCTCTTCTTCCTAGCAGTGTAACTGAACTCAGTTTTATACCAAGAATTGATTTCTCAGATCTGAAAATTGATATATTAAAATTTCAGTTGCTAAATACTTCTGGATGCTGTCGAGCTTTAGTGCAGTAATGAAATTTTGTTCGCATTGTTCATCTAATACCAGCACAAAAGCAAATCTTAATGCTGAGATCATCTGGTGGAATATATGCAAGCAACACAAGCCTTTCCAACCTTTTAAAGTAAGGGTGTATATTTTGATAAAAGAGATGTAGGTAATTAACTGGAGAAGAGGACACCATCTGCTAAAGGTTTGTAGATAAGGTAGAAAGCACAAAACTTTTCACAGTTTTGATAAAGAGGCAGAAGAGCAAATTGGGCAAGCACAGATCAATGAGCAAAGAAATTGATGTTAGGTTTCATTCAGTATCCTAAAAATAGCGGTAGCAATGTCAAGGTCATTGAGATCAAAAGATTTCAAGCTGTGACAAAAAATCTTGTTATTTGTGACAAAAAAGATTTCAAGCTGTGACGATAAAATTATTATTGCTTTACTGAGGAAGGTTTGCAAAGTATTGACTTATTGGTTGTTGGAAGGGAAATTCCTATCAGGACTCTGATATTTTTATAATAATACACTGAATATTATGAAGCTTACAGCATGATAATGATGAAATATAATGGAATTGACAAATCTAGAAGGAATGAAAATATTTTGTTTTTTCCCTGTCATCAAGCGAATATGGCTTTGATGCAGTTGAAATGCAAAATTTAAGAATATTAATTAAAATACTGGTTGGTTTGTTACAAAACAGGCTGATTTGTAACACAACCAAAAATTGATATATCTCAGTAAAATCGTTTTTGTTTGTTTTTTGCATTTTTAACAAAACAAAAAAGCTTTTTCTTGCTACCATTGATATTCTGAATGCGAATGCTACTTATTATAACTGAGATGATATCATTACTATTGCAGCCTGTACAAACAATAACTTGGCCATAAGAATCAATTTTGTCAGTTTGTGCAAAACCTTAAAGGAGAGGTGCAAAAGCTACATACAAGAGGTACATACTATACAAAAAGAAGCATTGTTGCTGCCAACCAGATCTTCACACAAAGGTATTTCCTATTAAACCACACAAAATACATTAGTTACTTATCTTGCATTTAATGATAATTGTCATTTTCATGAAATTCCTACCTGGAATGTTTTCTTATCTCTGAACTTTCAATAAGTGTTGCAAAAACTTTTGCACTTTTAGGAATCACTATTGGGTTAGTTGACTCTGTTTTCTGCTAAGAAAATAAATATTGAAAACAGATACCTGAAAAAAGGGAAACAATTCAAACCACTCTAGTGCAAAATTAATGTTAAAATATTTCTGCCTAATTTGACATCAGCTTATATCAGTGCCTTGTAATACTTATGTCTAATTTGATAGAAGCTGATTATAGCTCCCTCCAGTATATCTGTCTAAGAAAAAGATATGTACTTAAGTTTGAAAATTGTCAAATCCTCTTGCTGATCAAAATCATACCTCACTTGCCATTACTAATGGTAAGCTTTAGGTCTATGAAATATCATGATCAAAATGTGATAAATAATTCAAGCTCATTCATAGCAGTTATTTTAGATAATAAATTGTCAAAACAGGTAAGCTTTGTGATGCCATTCAAATTGTCATTCAAACCTTGTTTGATGGTACAGCCAGCAGTTCTGTCAATGCATGCTTCAATGTCGGAATAACACCCTCTCCAAATAAACCAGCATCAAAAATTTCCATTACAGCAAGGTCAGGCCTTGAAGATTATGAATCAGATGAAACTATAAGGTTGTTATGAACAAAAATAAAGGTGTTTTGTTAACAACACTTGGTTTTTATGTTATCAGCACATATCACTTTCACACATATATCACATGTTAACAACACACATCACAATAAATAGAGACTGGTTGAGGTCTTCAACAAATGAACTGCTCAAGTTCTAGTGTTGAAGTTTTGACAAGCAAATCTGACAGTAACAACAAAGCGTAAAGAAAGCAAAGAAAGAAAGCAGAGGGAAAAGAAAGATTGAAGTAAAAAAGTGGCCAGAGAAAAGATGAATTTGTCAAGATGAACAACTGAAAAATATTACACAAAGCAAACTTCACTAATATCACAAAATGATTTCAAAGGGTATGTTTGTTTATCTCTAATTGAATTTCATTATTTATCTGAGACACCAATACTGATGGTAGTCACAGTGCAGTTATGTAAAAATACAAAAAGAAATAGGAATACAAAACTTTGAAAGTAAGTATTTACCTTTTCACATCTGCACTGAAAGTGTGGTCAGTTGACATTTTGTTTAACAACATAATCCGGTCATAGAATGGACTGGCTGATATAACATCACTTGCAATTTGAAACAGGAATGGGGAAACCTCAAAGGCTAGTACACTTTTTGAGCCACAAGAGGCAGCAAATAGGCTGAAAAAATCAAAAAGAGATTAACCAACTTGTCTTTGTTTTCATGTTATTTGCAGTGTATGGAAGATTTTGATAGGATTTGTTGTCTCCACAGTAAAGGATTGATGAATACCAAAACCTCCTTTTACCAATAATATTAGCTGATATCCCATTCTGGAGACAAGCACCATAACACCACAAATCTGTGCACAAATAGTCACTCAAGCAATAGAAATGAAATTGGAGTGAACTGTGGTATATGGCACAATAGAGTCAACATTGGCCAGGCAGGCATTGACTGATCTAATGAAAAAGATGACAAAAGTAGAAGAAGAAGAGGAAATCTGCAGACAGTAACCTTTAGATTGGCTGAGGTAGCTTTTCCTATGGACTACTTGATCACACCATAAAATACAGTTAAAATATATTAAAATACAGACCAGGAGAGGAGAGCTATGTGTATTACTTTCTTGATTGCCCACGAACTTGCCAATTCCTATACTTACAGATTTCCTGTTGGGGGGGGGATGGCTTTTTGACAATCTATTTTTGTACAAGTTGGAAATTTGAGGATTAGACTGTTATGAAAGGTATTTTCACTACTTTCCACTCAGCAAAGATTGCTCATAACAGCAACGTTTATACTTTAAAAAAGATGAAAGACAGTGCAAAAAATGATATATTCTTAGCCTACTACTCTTCCTACAAGAAGTATTCTTAGATTTGTGGCGATGGAGTTGCAACTGCATATTTCTGTTTGCCATCTTTGATGCACACAGCATTCGGTTTTTATGCCGGTAATGGTAAAACATCCAATATAGGCCTAAATCTAGCTGCAAGGCATGTTTGCTGTCAAATTCCTGAATTCTGATTGGCTAATGGGATATGGAGAATTCTGGCATGGGGACTCTATAGGTAAAGTTTGATAAAATGATCAAAGTTAGGTTCTGCATATCAAAAAACTGAAAATAACTTTGAAGAAACTTTTTAAAAGATAGCTAATTTTCAAAAATGTTTTCTTATATGAGAATTCTAATTTCATGTCTACAAATTACTTGCCTTTTTATATTACTTTACTTTTAGCTTGTGAAGCGTTTAGGTCAATTAAAGGAGGGAATCACAACAATAACAAAAAGTAATATGATAATATAAAATAGTATTCGAAAGAAGAATTATAATATTGATGAATTTGACAAATAAACCAAATCATGTGACCTAAAATCTGCCTACATACCTCAAGATACCAGAGCCAGCCCCAATATCTAGTACATCATTACAGCCTTTCGTCGTGATAGATTTTCTCAATGCTTCGAAATAAGATGCATTTCTTTTGGCATCATTTAGCATTCTGTAATGCCACCGAGGAATACAAGTGTTGATAATCTGCTCGTAATCCTCTTGCAAATCAAGAAATTCATTATCACTTGATGGTGTACATTCAACAATAATTTTGAAGAGCTCCAATGCCTCAAATGATAAGTCATACTTCAAAAAAATCTTTGATGTTGCTTTTAAAATTTCTATTTTCCATTCGAAGAAAACATCTATTGAAGTTTCCATGCATTTTTTCACGTCATCAATACTGTCTTTAGTGCACAATACATCAAACCACAGCTCCAAGACATACAGAAAGTCTTCCTTGCTTGGCGCTTTTATATTAACATCAAACGCCCCACCGTATTCCCGCGACAGTTTTCCCGCAAAAAGGAACTGGGCGAAGCATTTTCCCACATCCATTTCTTTAAAATGTAATTTTTCGTTGCGCTTGCTAAGAAAACACTGTTTGGTATCGAAATCGGAACAGAAACATTCTGTATGTTGCTAACACTTATTTTACTTAGAATCACTGATCCGCATCCCTTATTAATCAGCCTCGTAGGCGATTGGCGGGCAAATTGAAACAATGTTGTTGTGGCTGTGCTGCTTACTCTGTTACTTTGAACTCCCGCAAGCTTTAGTCTCGGTTAGCGAATCAAAGCTTAAGTCTTGTTTTCACATTTTTATTCTACCCAAATGCTACATTTTCTATTCCTGCTTCCCCCAAACCAATAGACAGGAACGCTAGAACAACCTGCTCTTATAGTCCAGAGGCTGGAGGGGGCTATTGTCACCCGAGCGGACAATTTACCACACCAACTTTTTCTGATGTAGTTTTGGGGAAGATTATAAATTTGAATGTTGATCAAGTGTTTGAGGGAGCGTTTCCGAGAAACAGGGGGTCAAACCCTTAAAATTTGGGAGTAATTGGTCTGTCAGGCACTGGTTGCTTTTGATGATTTTAAAGGTGAACTGACACGCAAAACTATTTTTTGATATATTGTAGAAAACGATGCATGGAATCTTAATTTCAAGTTTTCGGTTAATTATTATTGTCCGTTTTGACGCAATTCCGCTCTAAATGTCATGAAATTATCGTCGAGTGTTCGACCATTGTCGGCATTTCATGTGACCCAGTGCATGTGACGTCACAAACACCATGTTTTTATTCCTTGAATGGAAATCACGCACGGACTGGACAGTTCAGTTCATCTTGTTCAGTTACTATTCGAGGAGATCTACGTAGCCTTTGATCCAAAATAATGAAAAATCGAGGCTAATGAAATATACGAAGGATATGTGCTGGCTGGTACTGCGTTATGTTAGGAGGGAATTTAAGTTTGGAAGGAATAGGCACTTTTAGCTGCTCGAAGAAATTCTCAATTCTGAAGTCAATCATGCGGACGAATGTGAGAATCTTTTCATTTTATCATGAATCTAGCTTCTTTTTCGAATAAATTCAATATATTATTACTTCGATAGATTATTTCTACATCCATATAAATCATGAAAGTTATTTTATTTTGGGTTTGCAAACTCATCGGTTCACCCGAGTTACAGGGGTGCAGCGGCCTGGGAGTTGAAAATTTTACTAAGATGTTTTCCTGCAAATAGCGATTCGATCGTACCAGGTTCTTAACCCCTGAAAATCTTTCATGTGGTTGAATAAAAAATATGCCAAAAAAGAGTGACTTAAATTCGAAATCTTTACTGCGAATATTGAAGTTAACCTGGATCAAAGACCGAAATTAACTTTGGGGGGGGGGGGGTGATGGCTGATAAATTAGTCTAACAGCAGCCGTATTTAACAAAATAAAAGTATTTTACTTAAGTTTCCAGAAAATGAAAATCCTGTCGATGTATTTATCGCTACCATTATACGATATGTTGGCCCACCACACACTGGGTCCTCCAAGACGGAGGAAGGGCCTCAAACGCGTTGGATAATACGATATTCTTGCAAATCTTATTATGAAAGGTTTGTAAAGGAGTCATAATCTGTTTTCCAATTAGGTTGTCGAAATGGAGCCAAAACCTACTCAATTAATGTATCGGTGCTCATCCGAAAAGTCATAAAAGTATGCCCTTTCAGACTGTCGTGTTGATCAAGTGATGTGAACATGGTGTTTGTGACGTCACGATTATGCGGAAGGCTCGGGCGAACTCGTCCGTGCTCGGAAAATGCTCGGTGGCTAACTTTGACGCTCAATAACTCGAAAACTGTGTTGAATATTTAGAAAATAGTAATGTATCAGGTATTTATGCTCGATTCACCTTTAATGGCAGTTAAGAACATATTACTTATAATTAGCTCTATATCAGTGAATTTGGTCATTTTAAAACCGGTTCCTATTTTTGGGGGCCTATGAACTTTTAAAATTTTATCTTGTTGGAAGGAAACCTACCAAACTGCATTTTTCAAACATTTTTCAAGGAAAATGCAACTAGAATGTGTTCTAAATGAAGCTGCTAGACGTGTATTCTAAAAGGGCTCCAAACGCTTTATGCTGTTTTCCAGTAAAGAAAGAAAAACAGAAGCTAAAAGATAATATTCTTCACCGTTTTCTTCATCAATGAAAATCAGTTTATAGTTTATAGAAAATAAATTCGAAAATATTTGTGTCTCGAGAATCAGTTTGTAAAAAATTACTATGTTTTGTGGGCCCATTTCAACTGAGTCAAAGTCAACTAACTTTGCTGTTCTCCATTTATTTGACATCAGTTAAATAAACGGACAGACATCAGGGGATTTTGTGTATAAAGAATTTAAAAAAAATGAATAATAAATAATTAAAAATAGGTTGATTGCGTAAGGATTGTAGCGCTTTATTTTGGAAGGGTTTCTCAAAAAATTATTATCACTAAGTTAAAAAGTCGTGTTCGCCAGCCTAAATTTGTTTTGTCTGAAAGCGAAATCGATCTTCGAACTGTCCAGGTACTTTCGTGGAGGAAGTGTAGTAAGAAAATTGTGGGCACTGTCCTTATGTGTCTCTCCAAATCACTTGAGTGTTTCTCACATAAAATCTTACTAGCAAAATTTGAAGCTTATGGACTTAGTAGAGATGCGTTATTATTAATCCAAGACTACCTGCAAAGGTGATTTCAACTGGTAAAAATTAATGCTAACTTTAGCGAAAGAAAAGAAAAAATAGGTGTTCCCCAAGGCTCTGTCCTTGGTCCCCTTCTTCTAAGCATTTCCATTAACGACATGTTCATAAACCTAGATCACAGCAAAATATGCAACTATGCTGATGATAATACCATATGGTTTGAAGGTACTTATAAGGAAGACATATCAGCTAAACTAGGTCAAGAAATGAATGTCATAAACCAATGGTTTACATGTTTTATAGACAATGCTATGCAGCTCAGTGGAGACAAATGCAAACTTATGATGATTTCAGCAATACCAAACGATGTTGAAAAATGTAGCATTTGTGCAAACAGGCAAATAGTAAAAGAAGAAGACAAAGTGAAATTATTGGACGCAACAATAGACAACCAATCAACATTTGATTACCATATCAAAATTATGTGTAAAGAAGCAGGAAAAAAGATAAATGCATTTGCAATTATAGCACCTTATTTAAACAAAGATAAAAGAAAACTTTTAATGAACAATTTTTTTGACATTCTTCAACTATTGTTCCTTGTTATGGATGTATTATAATAGGAAAACAATAAACTTTTTCACAACCTTAATGAAAGAGCATTGCAAATAGCCTATAACGAATTTTCATCTAGTTTTGAACAACTACTGCTCTAAGACAATACGGTTACCATCCATACAAGGAATTTAAAGCAACTTGCAACAGAAATTAACAGAGCAACAGAGCCTGATTTCACGCGGGAAATTTTGAGAATCACCCATTCTCTTCTAAATTTGAGTGTATTGCTTTTACCAAGTCAATATATTGGGAGATTTATCAACTTTCTTGTTAAAGATTTATCAAACATTCAACACTAACTATAGATTTTAATTAGCAATCTAAAATAGACATTCGGGACATTGTTTCATACAATAAATTAAATTGCTGTTGACTCGATTGTAAATCATTATTTTGATACACTAGACGCACATATTCAAAATTGTTATCGGTAACTTCAATACTGTTGTTTTTTTAAGATTACGGTAAACGTTTTCTGGAAGAAAACATCCATTTTCGATTATTTCACACTCAAGTAGCCATAATTTCAAGGCACACAATGAAATTAACCGAAATTTTGAAATTGGAAAAAATCCCATGGAAACGAAGGTTTCCATAATTTCTTTATCAAAACTTTTAGTTGAGGTCTTAAAATCCCTTGGCCTGTTAAACCGATTATCGTTGCTTTGCGGTTGTGGTCGCATGTCTAATTTACAATGTCGCATGGCACATCCATCTATCCCATGTACGGCTGTGTTTTTTAAGCAGACTTATTGATCTTAAAGCTTCAAGTGACTTGACCCGCATTACACTATGCACGAGTGTACCTTGCAAGTGCGATCAGTAAAATCCCGTTTTCTCCGGACTTACAATTCCGCTACATAAAGGTACGAAAAAGCTATTTTGTACCCAAGGAACCATTCTAATGGCTCAAAAATTTGCACACGGCCAGGACAGATGTCTGGTAAGCAAATAGTGTCTTAAAATTTTTGTATTTCCTCTGGTCTGTCCTTTATAGCCAAATACAGCTATGAGAGGGAATTGTTTGCCAGTTTTTGACAGGGTGTAGTTTCAAGAGGAGGAGGAATTTGAAAAATCTGAGGCATACTTAGGTAGCTTAGGATCTGCGCTTTTTGCTGATATAAATCAGATTTTGATATCTCAAATGCAAGGGTACATAATAGCATTTGAAGGTGGTACACTAGTTTAAGCAATCGATTTCTTGGAAAGCATTGTTTTACAATATTTGCCAATTATTTTGGTATGGTTGGAATCACCACATTCTTGCGCTTTGAATGGTGTATAGCTTAATCTTATTCCGTTAATAGTTTGGCTTTTAGAGAGAGAAAACCAAATATCGTGTCTAAAACGTTTACCGTAACCTTAAACGGAGCTCAGTCTTTTCCACATACGGGCTTGTTCAATAAGGGTTCTTTCAAAAAAAGACATTTTCAATATAGTCAGATTTGGGATGTTTTATACGACTGTGAGGCCGCTTGAAGACGATTTGTGGCAATCATCAATTGCCTCTTTACTTGGTCCCAGTCCTTATCAATGCCATTCACTGCTCTGAAGATAGCCTCAGAAATAGCAGTAAATTTTGTTCTAGTTGTCAACAGATCCCACCTTGTTGAATAAACGACATTTTTTAGGTCATCCCTTCCCATGGTCCCAGTCTGGTGGATAAGCTGTCTTTGGAAATTCTGCAGGCGATCGTTCACCATTCGAACTTTCATATCTTCATTTTTGTTTACCTTCTTGACTCTTGCATCAAAATCCTTAGCTGCCAATGTCAAGTTCCATGCAGAATTAACCAATAAGTCACATGATATGTTTTGTGGGCTAATATAGCCATCATGGCGATTTTTAAATGCAACTGCATAATTGTAAATTGCATTAGCCGCTCTGGTGAGGTTGAATCGCAGAATCGTCGAATCAGCCAGATTCAAAGTTGTTTTCATCCACAACTTTCCAATCAAAAGATGGTAACCGAAATCTGGATCTATAAACTTTTTGAGCCAATCAAATGTATCGAACGTTGAATGGTACATTGGATTTCCAAGTGGATACCTTGTTCCTCTTGTCTTTGCATATGTATACTTTAAATCGACAGATGAGACACCGATGGTGTGGTAAAATGGTTTATAGTCACTTCCAGTAATAAGAACAATTGTTCTTGGTTCATTTTTTTCAGATGGACTTGGGCTTTTTCGAATCCAGTCCTCGTACAAATTTATTTTCGATACAGGTTCAGTAAGGGTCTTTGTTTCATCAAAAAGAACATCATTAAGTTCTGGTGTAGATCTTAAATCGATCGTGTAATTTCCTTCAACAGCAACATCTATATTCAAATAGGCCACAGCTTGTTCCTGTAACATAGAGGCGTGCTCTTCTACCCATTCTGTGGAACCATGCATCCCATGCTCGTGCCCGTCCCAGCTCAAAAACATGATACTTCTACGCGGTCGCCAACCAGATAGCCTTGCTTTTCCCAAACATCGCGCAATTTCCACGAGAGTAGCTTGCGCACCAGATGCGTCTGACGCGCCATACGCCCAACTGTCACGGTGGCTTCCAATCAAAACATATCTATCTGGCTCAACATTTCCATAAATCACACCAGATATAACGCTCAGAGTTTTCACCTCCAGCTTATTTTGAATGTTCATCCTAATTAAAAGTGAAGAATTTAGCTTGTATGTAAATCCACCAGCGCCTTGGAAGTGTTTTGATGCGTCTTTTCCATCCATTGCTTGCAGAAGAACCTTGGCGTCTTTAAATGCAACCGGTTGTGAGGGAATACTTGGGAGTGGTGAAGCCTTGGAGACATTTAGTCGGTAGAAATCTTGCTTTGAAGGATAGCCTCTAGTAAGTGGGTCGCCTGTTGTTTCTAGTACTGTTCCAATTTGAATACCAGAATCAGGTAACTCCCATCCGTTTGGGTACATAGCATCATTTCCATTTGGGTTCATCTCCATAGGGTCAGAGAATAAGATGACCCCCACCGCCCCATTTAAGCTCGCATAATCTACTTGTTGGCCCCGATAAGGAAACCCGTGTCTCATTATGACAATTTTTCCTGTCACACTCACTCCATTGTCATTTAGTTCCTTGAAGTCTTGTTCTGTTCCATAATTTGCATAGACAAGATACCCACTTACATTTCCGGAGGGCGAATAAGCATGAAATGGGGACACAATACCATTTGCTTTGCTACCTGTTGCAGGATTCCTGATTGTGAAGTTGAAGACCGTTCCATTAACTGCGATTGAGGTTATTTGTGCAGGATTTTCTGGATACGATAGAAGCACATCGTATTTATGAATTTTAACAGTCTCCAAACCAAAATTACGCCACTTGGTGGCCACATAATCAGTTATTACGTCTGCATTGCGCGAACCTGACATTCGAGGGGAATTTGACAAATACTTGGTATCCTTTTCGATATTCTTTGCATCCATTTCATCGATCACTTCCTTGTGTTGCTGAAATCTCGTAGTCTCCTTTTCTTCAGCATTGCTTGATGTGTAAATTCTATCTTTTTCTGTCGAGCGAGTTTTTATTGCGTATCCAATTAAACAACCAATGACAAGGGAGCTCAAAAGCAGAGCTGTAATCAAAATGTATTTTCCATTGACGGAAACGCTATGAAGCGACATGTCTGTCTCTTCGCAAGATCTGTTCCCCGGCAAAGACTTTGTTGTGACACAACATAAGATGAGTTAATATGGTTTCTGAGACGTGAACAAAGTATCATCGATATCATATTTCACAATGGTTCTGTATCTATTCCACCGGAGGAACCCCCATACTTGACAGGTTGTGCTGTGGATCAGGGTAGGGTATACTTTTTCAATTAAAATTATGGAATAGGGTATCAAAATTAAAGAAATTGTTTGGGACAGGTAATTTACATGCAGACTACGAATTTACCTGATTAAAAAATTACTACCAAAAATTCCTTACTTTCTGACACAACCTCTGCAATACATTCTATTTATCTAACTCTGTGGCATATAATTCGCAACTTCCATTTATGTGATAAAAACGGACTTTCCTAATAGTTTTCTCAAATCTGTATATCGGGATGGGCAAAGGATAAAGTTACTACCGGAGTCGGAGCCAGAGTTGCAACCAAAGAAGCAGAAAATGTTCGCACTTTGATGCTTCTGTAACGATAAGGGTTCTTGTCATGACGTTGAAGAACCAGTGAATAACCAAGCTCGTTAGTGGAGCTATGGGCTACGGGCCAACGGGCCTAGCCCCAAGTAGATAGCACACAAGAGATACTCGTTACTTGATGTTATCTCTATGGTCAAAACAGTAAGACTAACTGATCAACACACACTAATAAACTAATAACATAAACGGAAGCTAATTAACAAGACAATACGAGCGTCACACTACATGTTGAAAGACAAGCACATTGCCATAAAAAGGCGTTGTTCACTAACACAACATGACTTGACAGAACATGTGACTATAACACGCAAAGGGGAAATTACTAAAATTGATTAAATACAAAAGCCAAACCGTTACACTTGAAATTCCCTGGAAAAAGCACTCTTTTTTTAGCAAATTTACTAAAGCAATCCTCCCAACCCAATTGAAAAATCTTTTATTTTTGCACGGTAAAAGAAATTGAGGCAAAATTGAGGCAAAAGTGAAAAGAAATATACTATATCATTCTCTATCCTTTAAATATGCCCTTATCTTTAGCTTGGTTGCTATGTCTTTACTATAGAAGACAAATATAAAATTGAATAAGGGAATTTAATCGAAGAATCTGTCATTGTCCAAATTATACAACGAGTAACAGCTTGACTTGGAAAATAGATTAAGATCAAGATCAAGAAAATAGATGGGTTTTTTCAATGGCCTAAGCTTGGGTCTAAACAGGTTTTATTAGTAACGAAAACTTTCTCAGAAACACTACAAAAAGAGAGAAACCAGCTGTGGAAGGCAGGCATTAATTTAAGGAATTTTTATCACTGCACCAAACAGCGTAAAACGCAGATTTTCGGGGCCAAATAGGGTGTGGCTAAGGGTGTGGCTAAGTTTTGACTGGACCTCTTTTGAATGAACCAAAAACGTTTTACATTGTTTTCGGGGATATTTTCAGTGTAATTTGGCCTAACTACAGCTACCACTGATTATGTATAAATCTTACCAGAACATATCAAACCTGGCCAAAAGAAAACAGAGTTATTGATTGATCCTTAAAAGGCAAATCAACTGTTTCTAGCTGTTTCTTTCTATAAAATGTTGTTTTTAGAGACTTGATCTCTAATCTTGTTAAATATTTTTCAATGTTCTAAGAACTGTCCAAAACACAGCCTTATTGTATATTACATATTTTTTCTAATATGAGGTTCGTCTATAAAATACAAATCTGTAACTGCTACTAATCTTTCAAAACTACTTATCTTTAGTTTTTTGAATAAACTAATATTCTAAATCTAAAACGTTTATATTGTAATACGTTCCGTAGGAAAGACGGAGAAGTGACGACAAATAGACGTTTTCACATGTATTTTCGACACAACAAATCTTACTCCTTACTGAGGTCTTTTTCAAGCACCAACAGAAGTTAATAAACACAACTTTAAAACTCTCTTACTAAGGACCTGTTTATATGAGGCAGGCCAGCCTGCCTGACCGAGCTGGCTCGCCTAGGCGAGATCTGAGTAAACAATAACATCCTTTGCTTTTATTAGTAACGAATATGCAAATTTTTAAAATATGCAAAGGAATTTTTGTCAAAAAATGTACTTTGCAAATTATATAGAGGTATTGTAGAGCCACATTTTCGGTACTGCTGTACTGTGTGGGGGAGCTGTGCAGAGTTCCGACTGGTTAAGCTTCAAAAATTGCAGAATCGAGCCGCTAGAATTATTACAAATAGCAGCTACGATGCTCCTGCTGAAGCTTTGATTACAGAGTTAAGATGGCCAACTGTAAGGGATATGATCAGAAGTGAGACTGCAACAACTGTATATAAATCTGTTAATGGTCTCGCGCCTGATTATCTCTCGAATTTATTTGTTAGAAATTCTGAACGCAATTGTATCAACCTTAGAAATGCCGAAACTGACTTGCTAGTGCCATTCATGAAAACTAGTAATGGACAGAAAGCGTTCGCATTTCGTGGAGCAAAAATCTGGAATGATCTCAGCCGCGAGGCCAAGCAAGCTCCCTCTTTATCTTCTTTTAAGAACAGGATAAAGGGTTTTTTGTAAATTTATTGCAGATAGTTGTAAATAAATTATTTATGATTGTAATTAGTTTCCTTTTTTTGTTATTAATTTTAGTAGATTTTTTAATTTGTAAAGTTTTTGGCACGGCCCCCTGAAAATCAGTCATGACTGACGGGGCTACCGTGCATAAATAATTTTAAAATGAAAAAAAAAATGAAAATGCTCAATCAAGTTGCGTTTATATGAGCAGCGGGCCAGCTCGGTCAGCCGGGATCTGTGAGTTGGGCAGGCGGGATCCCGGTAAGGCGAGCTCATATAAACAGTGTCAGGCGGGCTGGCCCGGTTGACTGAGATGAAAATGCATGTTCTCCGCGAGCGCGGGGTGACTGTGTTGTGTTGGGTTACGTGCCAAAATTTTATTTGTTTATCAAATTTTCTTTTCGCAATTCGCATCGATCTCCGTTTCACTGTTTCATCTGCTCATCATGTCAGCGATTCCTTGAAAGGCGAAAATTTTTATGCCAAGCATCATCACTTCCCTCTCCATTCATCATTTCGATCCACCATTCTTCAGTTCGACCAGGGTTAAACCAAACATCTAAACTTTAACTTTAAAATCCAAAGAGCAATAATAGTTTTGTTTCTCGACATTTTGTGTGGTGATTGAATAGTGCTTGAAAACTTATTTCATCAAAAACAAAACAAGCCCGTCAAAAATTGATATCAACTCGAGTCTATCAGTTGAATCAATATGAGGCCACCCCGCTTTGCCGAGATGAATTCTGCCTCATGTAAACGCAATTGAAATTCATCCCGCTTAGGCGAACCAGCTCGGCAAAGCGGGATGGCCTCGTATTGATTCACATTTGATTACCATATCAAAATCATGTGTGAAGAAACAGGAAAAAAGATAAATGCATTTGTAATTATAGCACCTTATTTAAACAAAGATAAAAGAAAACTTTTAATGAACAATTTTTTTGACATTCTTCAACTATTGTTCCTTGTTATGGATGTATTATAATAGGAAAACAATAAACTTTTTCACAACCTTCATGAAAGAGCATTGCAAATAGCCTATAACGACTTTTCATCTAGTTTTGAACAACTACGGCTCAAAGACAATATGGTTACCATCCATACAAGGAATTTAAAGCAACTTGCAACAGAAATTCACAGAGCAACAGAGCCTGATTTCACGCGGGAAATTTTGAGAATTACCAGTTCTCTTTTGAATTTGAGTGTATTGCTTTTACCAAGTCAATATTTTGGGAGATTTATCAACTTTCTTGTTAAAGATTTATCAAACATTCAACACTAACTATAGATATTAATTAGCAATCTAAAATAGACATTCGGGACATTGTTTCATACAATAAAATAAATTGCTGTTGATTCGATTGTAAATCATTTTTTGATACACTAGATGCATATATTCAAAATTGTTATCGTTAACTTCAATACTGTTGTTTTTTTAAGGATACGGTAAACGTTTTCTGGATGAAAACATCCATTTTTCGATTTTTTCACATTCAAGTAGCCGAACTTCCAAGGCACACAATGAAGCTAACAGAAATTTTGAAAATGGAAAAAATCCCATGGAAACGAAGGTTTCCATAATTTCCTTAACAAAGCTTTTAGTTGAGGTCTTAAAATCCCTTGACCTGTTAAACCGATTATCGTTGCTTTGCAGTTGTGGTCCCATGTGTAATTTATAATATCGCATGGCACATGCATGTTTCCATGTACGGCTGTGTTTGTTTAAACAGGCGTATTGATCTTAAAACTTCAAGTGACTTGACCCGGATTACACTATGCACGAGTGTACCTTGCAAGTGCGATCAGTAAAATCCCGTTTTCTCCGGATTTACAATTCCGCTACATACAGACACGAAAAAGCTATTTTGAACCAAAGGAACCATTTGAATGGCTCAAACATATTTGCACACGGCAAGGACAGATGTCGGGTAAGCAAATTGTGTCTCAAAATTTTTGTATTTCCTCTGGTCCGTCCTTTATAGCCAAATACAGCTATGAGAGGGAATTGTTTGCCAATTTTTGACAGGGTGTAGTTTCAAGAGGAGGAGGAATTTGAAAAATCTGAGAAAGATTTGGGTAGCTTTGGATCTACGCTTTTTGCTGATATAAATCAGATTTTGATATCTCAAATGCAAGGGTACAAAATAGCTTTTGAAGGTGGTACACTCATTTAAGCAATCAATTTCCTGGAAAGCATCGTTTTACAATATTTGCCAATTATTTTGGTATGGTTGGAATCACCACATTCTTTTGCATCGAATGATGCATAGCTTGATCTGACGCCGTTAATAGTTTGGCTTTTAGGGAGAGAAAACCAAATATCGTGCAAAAAACGTTTACCGTAACCTTAAGCGGAGCTCCGTCTTCTCCACAAACAGGCTTGTTCAATAAGGGTTCTTTCAGAAAAAAACATTTTGCAATATATTCAGATTTGAGATGTTTTATACGACTGTGAGGCCGCTTGAAGACGATTTGTGGCAATCATCAATTGCCTCTTTACTTGGTCCCAGTCCTTATCAATGCCATTCACTGCTCTGAAGATAGCCTCAGAAATAGCAGTAAATCTTGTTCTAGTGGTCACCAGATCCCACCTTGTTGAATAAACGACATTTTTTAAGTCATCTCTTCCCATGGTCCCAGTCTGGTGGATAAGCTGTCTTTGGAAATTCTGCAGGCGATCATTCACCATTCTAACTTTCATATCTTCATTTTTGTTTACCTTCTTGACTCTTGCATCAAAATCCTTAGCTGCCAATGTCAAGTTCCATGCAGAATTAACCAATAAGTCACATGATATGTTTTGTGGTCTAATATAACCATCATGGCTATTTTTAAATGCAACTGCATAATTGTAGATTGCATTAGTCGCTCTGGTGAGGTTGAATCGCAGAATCGTCGAATCGGCCAGATTCAAAGTTGTTTTCATCCACAACTTTCCAATCAAAAGATGGTAACCGAAATCTGGATCTATAAACTTTTTGAGCCAATCAAATGTGTCGTACGTTGAATGGTACATTGGATTTCCAAATGGGTACTTTGTTCCTCTTGTCTTTGCATATGTATACTTTAAATCGACAGATGAGACACCGATGGTGTGGTAAAATGGTTTATAGTCACTTCCAGTAATAAGAACAATTGTTCTTGGTTCATTTTTTTCAGATGGACTTGGGCTTTTTCGAATCCAGTCCTCGTACAAATTTATTTTCGATACAGGTTCAGTTAGGGTCTTTGTTTCATCAAAGAGAACATCATTAAGTTCTGGTGTAGATCTTAAATCGATCGTGTAATTTCCTTCCACAGCAACATCTATATTCAAATAGGCCACAGCTTGTTCCTGTAACATAGAGGCGTGCTCTTCTACCCATTCTGTGGAACCATGCATCCCATGCTCGTGCCCGTCCCAGCTCAAAAACATGATACTTCTACGTGGTCGCCAACCAGATAGCCTTGCTTTTCCCAAACATCGCGCAATTTCCATGAGAGTAGCTTGCGCACCAGATGCGTCTGACGCGCCATACGCCCAACTGTCACGGTGGCTTCCAATCAAAACATATCTATCTGGCTCAACATTTCCATAAATCACACCAGATATAACGCTTAGAGTTTTCACCTCCAGCTTATTTTGAATGTTCATCCTAATTAGAAGTGAAGAATTTAGCTTGTATGTAAATCCACCAGCGCCTTGGAAGTGTTTTGATGCGTCTTTTCCATCCATTGCTTGCAGAAGAACCTTGGCGTCTTTAAATGCAACCGGTTGTGAAGGAATACTTGGGAGTGGTGAAGCCTTGGAGACATTTAGTCGGTAGAAATCTTGCTTTGAAGGATAGCCTCTAGTAAGTGGGTCGCCTGGTCTTTCTATTACTGTTCCAATTTGAATGCCAGATTCGGGTAACTCCCATCCGTTTGGGTACGTAGCATCATTTCCATTTGGGTTCATCTCCATAGGGTCAGAGAATAAGATGACCCCCACCGCCCCATTCAAGCTCGCATAATCTACTTGTTGGCCCCGATAAGGAAAACCGTGTCTCATTATGACAATTTTCCCTGTCACACTCACTCCATTGTCATTTAGTTCCTTGAAGTCTTGTTCTGTTCCATAATTTGCATAGACAAGATACCCACTTACATTTCCGGAGGGCGAATAAGCATGAAATGGGGACACAATACCATTTGCTTTGCTACCTGTTGTAGGATTCCTGATTGTGAAGTTGAAGACCGTGCCATCAACTGCGATTGAGGTTATTTGTGCAGGATTTTCTGGGTACGATAGAAGCACGTCGTATTTATGGATTTTAACAGTCTCCAAACCAAAATTACGCCATTTGGTGGCCACATAATCAGCTATTACGTCTGCATTGCGCGAACCTGACATTCGAGGGGAATTTGACAAATACTTGGTATCCTTTTCGATATTCTTTGCATCCATTTCATCGATCAATACTCTGTGTTGCTGATATCTTGTAGTCTCCTTTTCTTCAGCATTGCTTGATGTGTAAATTCTATCTTTTTCTGTCGAGCGAGTTTTTATTGCGTATCCAATTAAACCACCAATAACAAGGGAGCTCAAAAGTAGAGCTATAATCAAAATGTTTTTTGCATTGACGGAAACGCTATGAGGCGACATGTCTGTCTCTTCGCAAGATCTATTCCCCGGCAAAGACTTTGTCGTGACACAACATAAGATGAGTTACAATGTGGTTTGTGAGACGTGAACAGAGTATCATCGATATCATATTTCACAATGGTTTTGTATCTATTCCACCGGAGGAACTCCCATACTTGACAGGATGTGCTGTGGATCAGGGTACGGTATACTTTTTCGATTAAACTTATGGGGCCGGATATTATAAATTGCATCAACACTCCGGAATAGGGTATCAAAATTAAAGAAATTGTTTGGGACAGGTAATTTACATGCAGACTACGAATTTATCTGATTAAAAAATTACTACCAAAAATTCCTTAATTTCTGACACAACCTCTGCAATACATTCTATTTATCTAACTCTGTGGCATATAATTCGCAACTTCCATTTATGTGATAAAAACGGACTTTCCTAATAGTTTTGTCAAATCTATATATCGGGTTGGGCAAAGGATAAAGTTACTACCACAGTCGGAGCCAGAGTTGCAAACAAAGAAGCAGAAAATTTTCGCACTTTGATGCTTCAAATTCCCTGGAAAGCACTCTTTTTTTAGCAAATTTACTAAAGCAATCCTCCCAACCCCATTGAAAAATCTTTTATTTTTGCAAACAAATTAAACAGAAGATAAAAATAACTGGTGGTACCAGGGACGCTGGAGGAGGGGCGCGGGGGATCAACCGCCCCTGTCGCCTTTTGATAGGAGGGGCAAAGGGGACTAAAGTGTATTTTTAATAGAAGAGCCCTTGACGCCTGCCTTTTTTAGGAAATCCATGAGATTCATATGAAATCCTGACTGTATTGTCTTATTTATGACGACATTTTTCAAAACTTGCAAAGAAATTTCTTATTGCCTTATTTCTTATTCCGGCGTCCCTAACAGGTACAACTTCGCTATGGTCTTGAAAATGCAATTGTCGCTGGGCAGGGGGGGGGGGGGGCCGGGAAAAAAAAAAANTGGTACATTGGATTTCCAAGTGGATACCTTGTTCCTCTTGTCTTTGCATATGTATACTTTAAATCGACAGATGAGACACCGATGGTGTGGTAAAATGGTTTATAGTCACTTCCAGTAATAAGAACAATTGTTCTTGGTTCATTTTTTTCAGATGGACTTGGGCTTTTTCGAATCCAGTCCTCGTACAAATTTATTTTCGATACAGGTTCAGTAAGGGTCTTTGTTTCATCAAAGAGAACATCATTAAGTTCTGGTGTAGATCTTAAATCGATCGTGTAATTTCCTTCAACAGCAACATCTATATTCAAATAGGCCACAGCTTGTTCCTGTAACATAGAGGCGTGCTCTTCTACCCATTCTGTGGAACCATGCATCCCATGCTCGTGCCCGTCCCAGCTCAAAAACATGATACTTCTACGTGGTCGCCAACCAGATAGCCTTGCTTTTCCCAAACATCGCGCAATTTCCATGAGAGTAGCTTGCGCACCAGATGCGTCTGACGCGCCATACGCCCAACTGTCACGGTGGCTTCCAATCAAAACATATCTATCTGGCTCAACATTTCCATAAATCACACCAGATATAACGCTCAGAGTTTTCACCTCCAGCTTATTTTGAATGTTCATCCTAATTAAAAGTGAAGAATTTAGCTTGTATGTAAATCCACCAGCGCCTTGGAAGTGTTTTGATGCGTCTTTTCCATCCATTGCTTGCAGAAGAACCTTGGCGTCTTTAAATGCAACCGGTTGTGAAGGAATACTTGGGAGTGGTGAAGCCTTGGAGACATTTAGTCGGTAGAAATCTTGCTTTGAAGGATAGCCTCTAGTAAGTGGGTCGCCTGTTGTTTCTAGTACTGTTCCAATTTGAATACCAGATTCGGGTAACTCCCATCCGTTTGGGTACGTAGCATCATTTCCATTTGGGTTCATCTCCATAGGGTCAGAGAATAAGATGACCCCTACCGCCCCATTTAAGCTCGCATAATCAACTTGTTGGCCCCGATAAGGAAACCCGTGTCTCATTATGACAATTTTTCCTGTCACACTCACTCCATTGTCATTTAGTTCCTTGAAGTCTTGTTCTGTTCCAAAATTTGCATAGACAAGATACCCACTTACATTTCCGGAGGGCGAATAAGCATGAAATGGGGACACAATACCATTTGCTTTGCTACCTGTTGCAGGATTCCTGATTGTGAAGTTGAAGACCGTTCCATTAACTGCGATTGAGGTTATTTGTGCAGGATTTTCTGGATACGATAGAAGCACGTCGTATTTATGAATTTTAACAGTCTCCAAACCAAAATTACGCCATTTGGTAGCCACATAATCAGCTATTACGTCTGCATTGCGCGAACCTGACATTCGAGGGGAATTTGACAAATACTTGGTATCCTTTTCGATATTCTTTGCATCCATTTCATCGATCACTTCCTTGTGTTGCTGAAATCTCGTAGTCTCCTTTTCTTCAGCATTACTTGATGTGTAAATTCTATCTTTTTGTGTCGAGCGAGTTTTTATTGCGTATCCAATTAAACAACCAATGACAAGGGAGCTCAAAAGCAGAGCTGTAATCAAAATGTATTTTCCATTGACGGAAACGCTATGAAGCGACATGTCTGTCTCTTCGCAAGATCTGTTCCCTGGCAAAGACTTTGTTGTGACACAACATAAGATGAGTTAATATGGTTTGTGAGACGTGAACAAAGTATCATCGATATCATATTTCACAATGGTTCTGTATCTATTCCACCGGAGGAACCCCCATACTTGACAGGTTGTGCTGTGGATCAGGGTAGGGTATACTTTTTCAATTAAAATTATGGAATAGGGTATCAAAATTAAAGAAATTGTTTGGGACAGGTAATTTACATGCAGACTACGAATTTACCTGATTAAAAAATTACTACCAAAAATTCCTTACTTTCTGACACAACCTCTGCAATACATTCTATTTATCTAACTCTGTGGCATATAATTCGCAACTTCCATTTATGTGATAAAAACGGACTTTCCTAATAGTTTTCTCAAATCTGTATATCGGGATGGGCAAAGGATAAAGTTACTACCGGAGTCGGAGCCAGAGTTGCAACCAAAGAAGCAGAAAATGTTCGCACTTTGATGTTTCTGTAACGATAAGGTTTCTTGTCATGACGTTGAAGAACCAGTGAATAACCAAGCTCGTTAGTGGAGCTATGGGCTACGGGCCAACGGGCCTAGCCCCAAGTAGATAGCACACAAGAGATACTCGTTACTTGATGTTATCTCTATGGTCAAAACAGTAAGACTAACTGATCAACACACACTAATAACCTAATAACATAAACGGAAGCTAATTAACAAGACAATACGAGCTTCACACTACATGTTGAAAGACAAGCACATTGCCATAAAAAGGCGTTGTTCACTAACACAACATGACTTGACAGAACATGTGACTATAACACGCAAAGGGGAAATTACTAAAATTGATTAAATACAAAAGCCAAACCGTTACACTTGAAATTCCCTGGAAAAAGCACTCTTTTTTTAGCAAATTTACTAAAGCAATCCTCCCAACCCAATTGAAAAATCTTTTATTTTTGCACGGTAAAAGAAATTGAGGCAAAATTGAGGCAAAAGTGAAAAGAAATATACTATATCATTCTCTATCCTTTAAATATGCCCTTATCTTTAGCTTGGTTGCTATGTCTTTACTATAGAAGACAAATATAAAATTGAATAAGGGAATTTAATCGAAGAAATCTGTCATTGTCCAAATTATACAACGAGTAACAGCTTGACTTAGAAAATAGATCAAGAAACCTGATCCAGAATAACTTGCTGTCAGCACAAATTGACGGAGTTTTGCTTTTTCAATGGCCTAAGCTTGGGTCTAAACAAGTTCTATTAGTAACGAAAACTTTCTCAGAAACACTACAAAAAGAGAGAAACCAGCTGTGGAAGGCAGGCATTAGTTTAAGGAATTTTCATCACTGCAGAAAACAGCGTAAAACGCAGATTTTCGGGGCCAAATAGGGTGTAGCTAAGGGTGTGGTTAAGTTTTGACTGGACCTCTTTTGAATGGACCAAACACGTTTTACATTGTTTTCAGGGATATTTTCGGTGTAGTTTGGCCTAACTACAGCTACCACTGATTATGTATAAATCCTTCCAGAACATCAAACCTTTAAAGGCAGTCTGTCTCCTCAATGATTGGCTAATATGAACAATAGGTCTTCTGGCCTTAACGGATAACGGATTGCTTGCTTTGGCTGGCCTAGCTGCGGTAGTGGACAGCATTTGAAACTGCGAGCAAAAAGCTATCGGGAATGGCAAGAAGATTTAATTACTGGAATTGAATGATGATAATGAGAGCATTTCCTTTCGCTGTTGACTTATTTGTCACAGAAACCAAACAGGGAGCCATAGTTTTCTAGTCAACAACGGCCATTTGATTCAAAAGCTCTGGAATCGAAGTTGTCTTTGATTGGTTCAAATCGTTTAATTCTCCATCAAGCTCAACGGTGCATGAATTTCATTCCCATGAAAATAAAGTTGAACACAATAGGGGACAGACTGCCACGTTATGTTACACAGGTGAATCACGTTATGTTACACAGGTGAACTTTTCAGCTGCAATAGAGCTTAGAAGAAGCACAGTTGAATAACTGTACGCTTACAAATAAACTCTATAAGTTGCAATGAAAGGATGCCTTTAAAACTTTACCCGAAATGAAATGTCACGCCGGCACGAGTCTCATTTCGGCTATTGAGAATATCCAGTGTTGAATTTACAATATGAATCTCAAGGCGGCATGATCTCATTTTGGTTTTTATTTCATTGAATCTATTGTCTTCTATCTTGTAAACACTTTTTCTGCTTCGGCCGAAATGATACTTTATTATCCACAAAACGAAATGAAAAGAGGAGCAGTCTAGTTTCCATACTGCTCGATCTGGTGACGTAATTAGTTTACCTTAAACCTAACCCTAAACCTGACCCTAAACCTAAACCTAGACCAAACCCTAAACCTAGACCAAACCCTATCCCTAACCCTTTACTTGAAATAATTAATCATACTAATTTATGACTATTAATCATGCTTAGTTATGTCTATCAGGTCAAGCAGTATGGAAACTGAGAAAATATCAAAAGTGAAAATGGCCTCGTGCAGGCGTGAGTTTACTTACTTTACTACTTAAAGGCTCTTCTACTATGCGAAGGGTTAGTGGTTACTGATTGGTCATAAGAGAACCCAATCAAACACACCATTATTCCGTCCACGTCACTTCCGATACGCATCTAGATATAAATTTCCCCTTACCCTTTGTGGTAACCGACAAGCAAAAAGAAACCAAAGTTGGATTAAGTCTTGGGGTGAAATCTTGACAAAATGACATGCATGGCAATAACAAAAACAGCCACAAGCGCTTATCTTCTCTTTTAAAAATTCTATTGCCATGTTTTAAAATGTTTTAAATGTTAAAAAGTGCTTTGAATTGGCTCCATTCTGGTAAACCTAGTGCCTCAACAAAACCATCCCAACCCTGTCACCATTCTGTGGCGTTCCTGGGTATAGAGATATGATACCAGAAAAACAACAAGTTTTGCTTTCATTTCTTTTGATTTCTTTTCAAAGCTAAATCTTAAAAGTTAGAATACTGGATATGTGCAATATTAGTACAAGCCAAAAGACACTTTATACACTAAGGAACAATCAATTACTACAATTGACACAAAAGCGACTAATTGGACACTGCGAGTAGCATTGGTGCCAAGCGGGGATGGCGAGGCAAAACAAAGGGCCCTTGAGCATTTTTCGCAAAGGAGCCCATATTAGTCCGATCCTTTTTCTGAAAACTTGACTTGCAAAATTCTTGTTTCACAATAACGATCAATGCATTTAATTGTAGATGACATTATAATTGAATAAACTGGTTCAGTTTTAATACCTAATTGCATGTAATTTCAATATCCATTTATATGATAATAACGGACCTTCCAACCTCATGGATCTGTATAGATTAAAGAGGAGGGCACTTTGTTTACGCCCATTTCTAAGGCAAGACTAAAGTGAACACACCTGCATATGTTTTTCACTTTTAAAAAGATTATGAATTACTTCTGTCTAATGCATTATCAGTAACAATCTTTGGCTCAAAACATATATGTATTCCATATAAACCAAATACTTTATCAGCTTTGCTAAGTTAACTAGCTACGATGCTTATAGCTCATCATTTTGGTGACCTCATTCAAATGCGGACCATGTTATGTGAATTTACCACTCAATTATTCAAAAGACTTTCAGGAATGAATCATTGATTTTATTAAAGACAAAATAGGTTTTAAAGTTGATTATGTAATGTAATATTGCGTAATACAATTTTTTCTCTAGGATGTTCTCAGCAAGAAACAGAAAATTGATTACCGACCGCGATCATTTTGCAATTACTTGATCAACAATGTCATACATTGAAGTAATTAACAAAGAACAATGTCCATAAAGTCTCTTAAGTCTTAGCTGCAGTGGAAAATAGTCTCAAGGGAGGGGCACATCAATCTTAAAAATATCATAGATTTCCTCAAAATAGGTAAAAGGTGTGGTGTAGATCTCCACCAAATCACAAAGATTGTCAGAAAAAACAATAGGATTTTCAACAAAGGTATACAAGATTTCTATAGAGTAATTCGCACCTCGGTATCTGAAATTATTCTGTATCTCATTTTAATTTAACTTGAATACAATGCAAATTGCTCTGTTTATAGCTTTGTGTATATCTTATTGAAGTATTGAGAAATTTTCTTTTTAAAATAAAAAAGCTGTGGGAAGGTAAATAAAGATGAGACTGTTTTCTTTCTCATCAAAGAAATAGCAAGTTTTTATTTGTATGGTTTGAAGTACAGTTACTACCATAGCCCCCTTGTATTTTTTGAAACATTTTCTACCTTGTATCTTATGAAACTTGCTCAAACATCAGCTGTATCGTCATTAATCGAGACACATAAAAATAAGCGGAGTAAGAGAGAATGTCCTTTAGAGATTATGTTGCTTTTCTTTGGTAAAACAGTTTCAGGAGTTTGAATCATGCTTGTGAGAAAATGTATCGGAAGGTTAAGGACGGGAGGGGGCGGAAGTGGAGAGGGTAACTTTAACATTAAGGCCTAGAAAAAAGACTTAACATAGAGGCGAGCTGGTCACCTATCAACCCTGAAGCATAAACCAGGCTGTACAAATATCTCATAGAACATGGTATATGATTTATCATATACCATGTTTGAGGAGCTTTTTGAGCAATACTCCTAATTACCTTCTCTGCCTTTGAATCTCGCATTTGGTAGCTTTTGCCGAAAATATCACATAAACAAGCCTTTACCTCATACCAGACAATAAGCTTTTCAATCTCTTCATCTTCCTATTTTTTATTACATTATTCATACGCCATTTTGTTAAACAAGACATTAAATATCAGAGAATAGCTAATATATGAGATGTCAACTCAAAGAACAACACAGCCATAATATATGCAATATAATATGTGATTGAAAACGACAACTCAATCAAAAGGCCTTATCAGCCAAAAACATTATTTATCTTTATTGGCTTAAAATTATTTATCTATATTATTTTCCATGTTTAAACATTGCAAAATTCCATACATTCAGGAAGTTACAATACTTAAAAGCCGAACAAATACGCGTCGATTTCGTAAAATTGTTACGTCACAATTTTCGGTTCCTGATCTTCATGATTTTTTTGTTCGGCTGTCGTCTAAATCACTTCATAAATAATTGAAGGACCTCAAACTCAGTGTCTCAATCTATAAAATATCCTTAACGAGTTGAAAAGGATTCAAATGAATGCCATCATTTTAAAAAATATTTGGCGAAAAATGAAAATATTGGAAAACGTTGACTTGGATAAACTGAAGGCCATTTTCTGGACAGCGGCTATCCAGATGTCATTTCTGCCTACCCAAGCGAAAAAAATTGAAGCTTTTAAACAAGTGCCCAGTTTATCCAACAGATCGAAAGAAAGGATAAAACAACATGCTTCTTACAACAAAAAAAGAAAACTGCCCTTCAAAGAAAACAGCTTCATCAATCTTGTAGGTCCAAAAAAGTGATTCTGCCATCTGAAAACATATTTTCGATAACCCAGATTGTGCCAAAATCTATAATTACTGTTGGGACCACTATTTTTAGCGGTGCCCCTATCTCAATGATGGACCATGGATGAAGTATGAGATGTAGAATCAAAGAAAAATCACCACTTTGCGAAAACCGTTTAGTATCCATTCCATAGGTATTGGTGCGAGGATGGTCCAGTTGTTAGAGGCGCTGGTTACAGACCCAAGGGTCCGTGGTTCGAGTCCCTGGCATGACCAAACTTTCACCCAGAGTGGGGAGAGTCGCCAGCTCTCTGTAATTCCAGGCGTAGGAATCACGAGGTGTGGTCACATCGAGAGGAAGGACCAGGACACTGCTCGATAAGCATAAGCTTCTCGGTATCCTAAAAACTACCTTCGGATGCTAGGTAGCAACAAATACAAATACAAATAAGTATTTCATTTTACATATCCGCTGATCACAATCCTTACTTCAACTACTTAAAGGGCCTCTCTAGCCAAAAAAATTGTTTTTTTATTGACTAAAAAGTTAGCATCTGGTGCGTGTATTATGGCAAAGTCGTTGTTTTTGCAAAATTCCAATTAGTTTAGAAGTTATAAGGCTTTAAAGTTGCACCTTTCCGAGAAAAAACGACAAAAGCCGAATCAGTTTGGTGACATTCTGACGTCACAGTGTGCGGCTTTCGCTCGCCATGAATTTCGTATATCTTCCACCGAATCGTGAAGGAGTCATGGTCACGCGTTGATAACTGCATCTAAATCTAGAGCATGAGCTTTTTAGGATCGAAAAATATTCAATGTTTACAATCATTCTAAGTTTGCGGGTCGGAATGTGTCCATGCTGTGTCACGACTTTGTTTTGATCACCTGTGTAGGCCCACAAAGCTACGGCTTCCTGTTCCAGCTCTTCCCCCGCGTATAATTAATCGAAATTGACACTTCAGTTGTTCTCCAGAAACGATGAACAATTAAATGATTCTGGATTGGTGTCTGAGACCCCGTTTACACTGTCCCGTGCAAGTTTGGAACCGTGACAAAACTGTCGCGGTTCGCCCTTCCGTTTACACTAGCACTGTGGAACCGTGACGATTTTGCTCTGCTATCCGGAACAGTTTGGACCCTGCTTTGAAAGCGAACGAATTTTGTACCGTCACGGTTCCGTTTTTGAACGGGACAGTGTAAACACCTATCCGAGACGATTTTGTCACGGATTCACAAAGAGGTCTTTTGTATGGCTGTTTCAGGTAATCGAGGCTTTGATTGTGGCGTAACTACGTTGTCAAATTCTGAAGAAAAGGAAATTCTGAAGAAAAGACAACCACAGAAAAGGCTTGTATTGTTTCCCAGTCCAAGCCTTGATTGGAATTTGCAGTTTTGTAGTCTAAAATAACACTGAAAATTAAAGCCACCTTGTCGTTCGTCCAAGTAAAGTTTTTATCGGCCTTCCACTTCATTTCAACTTTCAATAAAAATTCGATTGTTGACTTCGGCGGCAAAATAAAAGCCTTGGTTGACTAAATACAGCTTCTTCTAAACAATGTTCTGCCATTAAATTCAGAAGCCATTACACTGTACCGGTACAGTGTAAACGGAACGGCTAAACGAAACAATTTGGAACCGCGACAGTGTAAACACTAGCGAACCGTAACGGTACAAAATTGTCCCGGGACAGTGTAAACGGGGTCTGAAATGCCCAAACTAAAAGCCGGTGGAACAGAACTGAGAGTACCATCACTTGCAGTGTTCAATTTGCGAATCGCCTTCGTTCGATTCGGTTTGAGGCGAGACTAACGAAATACACTGTGACGTCAAAATTGCGTCACAGTGTCACCAAACCGAATATTTTTGTCGGTTAATTTAATTCAATTATCGAAATGCAAGAGCTTATATCTCACAAACTGTAAAAAATATCGAAAAACAAATAACGAATTCGTGATCAGCAGGTTCAACTCCTTTAGATTAACCAATAAAATTCAAGTGCAAAATTTGGCTGGAGAGGCCCTTTAACAAATTTCGTGTTGCAACATACATAGTCATGATCACCGTGACTTTTCGATCAACCAATCAACCAATCAATCAATCAATCAATCAATCAATCAATCAATCAATCAATCAATCAATCAAAAACTTTATTAATGTGTCAAAAAAATATTTAGCTTACAAGCTAATTGGGGACAAAGCTAATCGATTGACATTTACCATGTGTATGTCATTATTTGGGTAGAGAATCAGAACATATAATTTCGTACTGTTCTAAATCAAATATTAAAAGAACATTTTGATTATTACCCTACCTGCTGCTGTGTACATCGGCACGTATTACACTTCCGAACATGATAGTTACTGTGTGGGGTCTTAAGAAGATACTTAGGAGGGTTCTGAAGTGACAACGTCACAGAAATCTATTTTTAGAATTTCTGAACTTGAACCCCATAACCTGAAAGATCATAATGAAATACCTCTAAATTGGACATTTATACCGGTCATCTGCTCGTGTTATTCTGATTGGCTAACTTCGATCCATAACTGGAGATATATTTTCCATCTTGTGCTTTCGGACCCTCATTCTAACGTTTTATACTCTGAGGAGTGTCAGACGAAAAAGCTTATAGTACGTTGTATAATGTTCGCTTTTTCAAAGTCGTTATCATGATTTTAGTACTGTCAGTTCAATGCAATAATTACGAGAGCTGACAATTGCCTATTGCCTAGGCCTTGAGACTTCTCCCTAATATATTTTATTGATAAAAAGTTTTGTTCGCGGTATCCAGAGCTCCATGTCTATATTTAAATACAATAAAACTGCAACTTCTACTTTTTGCAACTAGCGACATAAAAATTGTCTTGCTTCACGTAAGAAGACGAAATCATTCAAAATGCATTGTGACCTCAAGTTTATGAAGCAGTAGCATCAAACCGAACCAGTGGCGGATTTAAGGGGGGGCATCTACGGGCAGTTGCCCCTCCCTCACCGAGTTGAAGAAAGTCTGGCGACCATTTTTTGGAAATTGTGCGCCTCTTTAGAAGAATGAGAATCAGGTAAAAAAGTTTCCTAGACTTTTAGGTTAATTTACTTCAAGGATTTCCTGAAAGTACACAACAATTACACTCTTTTTTTTATAAGAACAATTTTATAAGAACACTGTGAGGCTGAGCTACTGTAAAATGAAATTTTGAACAACGTTTTATCTCAAAAACGAGGATTTTCAGCCATGCGTGGGTGCTTTTTCGGTGAATATTAAAACATGGCGGCAAATTAAGTTTGTCTCTACGCACTTTGTTGGCAAAAGAGGCCTGAACAATTCCCCAGAACGAAAAGCTAGAAATCGCACTGCTTATACCCTATAAATTTAAGAACAAATTAAGAACAATCCAGCCTCAGATTTTCGGAAAAAATTAAGAACAATGAGCCTGAATTTAAATTTACTGGTTCTTATAAAAAAAAGAGTGTATTGTGAACAATTTCCCTACAAAGTGAATACAGCGTACACTCGTCATCAATTTCTGAAAATTTTTCAGCGCCCCCATTACCAACTGCCCCTCCTTCGAATCTTTTCTGGATCCGCCCCTGAACCGAACGGTAATTTTCTCGCAATATATTTCAGTTGTCGAAATGCAAACACTTGTAACTATAAAAACTTTTATACAATATTTAAGAAAAACAGAAAATTAATAATTAGCAGGTTGAGTCAATCTTTTCCTTTCTCTTTATTACATGAAGTAAAAGTATCTGCATTTTCTGACTATGGCGTATGACTGCTTCCATTCCCTATAGTTCGGTGCCACTAATGTTACTTACATTTGCACTTGCCTTGGTGTTCCGTGTAACATTCCCAGCAAACGAGCGGTATATTTCAAATGGCATCGTTCTCAATTCCTGCCGAAAGGCTTTGACTTCAAAAGCATAGATAATTGGATTTAGCATACATGAAGATTTTGCAATTATGCTACTAATCTGTCCAAGGGTCTCGTAAACATCGCTGTTGAATTTCGCACTGCAAAATCTCAGTAGAGAGAGTACCGAGTACGGTGTCCAAGCAAACAGCGTGGCCATGGCCATTACCCAAGTAATGTGGGCAGTTTTTGACTCTGCTTTTGCATTCTGGATCACCTCTGCAGAGTGAGGACCAAAATGCGCCCGTGCGTAGCGCTTCATCAGCTGCAGAGTTCTCTTGCATAAGATATTGCAAACGATGGACAAAACAAACGGGAGAATGAAACAGAATACCATGATGCAGATGACAAAGTTTCTATGAATTTTATCACCTGTATCCCAGTTGATAGTGCAGCTACTGAAAACAAACAAACTGTAGTCGTTCCATTTGAACAATGGAAATATTGCCCAGAAAATTGCATAGCCCCAGGCAAAGCAGATGAAGAACGCCTGACAGGTGGAGCGTGAAGCCAACATCTTTATTTTCAACCATGGAAAGCAAATATGTATGCATTTTTCGATGTTCAATATGACGATTGTGGATATTGACGCATAGGCAAAGAGAGTGACAATGAAAGCTGAAGCTTGGCAAAGAGCCGGTCGAAAGCCATTCGTCATCGAGCTGAG